AGTCAACGCGGGCGTCTTGTCATTGGATCGCGAGTGACTAGCGCCAGCAGCAGATGCGCGGTGGAGAGCGAGGTACCACTTGGTGCCACAGGGTTCACAGGCACAAAGCGCACGTTCATCGAGCGATAGGGCATGAATACATTGGAGAGATGGCGAGAGCAGCGCAAGGATTTTTACGCAGGCGGCCAAAGAGAGAGTTCCTCCCTCCGGCTTCAAGACATCAATTGGACAATTCAACCTCTCCCTCCCCCCTCTACCTAACCAACCAACTACGTCAAAACCTCTCGTTTGGGTTCGCCGTCCTCCCCAAAATTCCCGTAACGAAAAAAAAAGCATGTTTGCCGCTTCGAGCAGAAGCCCGCGTACGGAGCACCTCTAGAGCCATTCGAGTCCCAACGCTTTTATCTGCCTCTACGGAGTACGCTGCCGCAGGAGCACCCTTGGGATGCAATATGCCTGCTGATCCCTCTGACAGCGGAACGAGATGCTTGGGGACCCCAGGCTGTGCTATCCACCTCCCCCCTTCGACGAGCAAGGATGAGCTCGCATCGGGATATACTCATTCGTGCACCACGTCGGCAGGAGGAATTCCTTCAACGGAAACTCAAAAAGAAATGCGGTGAGGCAACAAGCTTGATTGGCCTGGTTTAGAGTCCTCGTGCGCATCACTTTGAACCAAGTCTCACAAGCTTGCAAGATCCACTGCCCAACTCAAGGTCGGCGCCATCTCCTAAACCTAAGCCAAAATCCCCTCCCCACGACCATCCATTGGCCGTCCCTGTTTCCAAAATGTTGAACAAATCGTACGGCCCCTCAAAACCGTATTGGCTATGTGTTGGCTGATCCTCTTGGGGGGCAAACCGGCTCATTGGCCGGCGACAGCCAGCGGACGTCCGCCGTCGCGTGGCCAGACGCGTCTACACGCGCCGCCCCGAAGCGCGACGCACCTTTCTCGCGTTTAATCTTGCAATCGAGCGGCAAAAATCTCGAACGGTGACGTGGCGGCGTGCATGGCGACAGAGCTTGAAAGTTGGGCGTGGAGAAGCAACAAACTACGACGGAAAACTGAAACTATTTTTCAGACTTGTGTTTATCCAGGACAGGAGACCTTTTTTCTTTTTTTTTTCTCTCCCCTTTTTTCCTAGATGTTCCTATTATTATCATCCATTGTGTCATTTCGGCATAACGCGGATCAACCATATTCCGAAGAATTTCGGGCCTATAATTTTCCGCTCCGATCGTCGATCGAAGGAGGGGTTGAGGGCGCAATCTGCAACACCCTCCTGTTCTGCTTCATTTACGGCGGAGGCCGTCATTTCTCCGTGCCACCGATGTCGAGCAGAGTACTCGGCCCCCAGGAAATATCCGCAACCGATCGCAGTCGCTGCCGACGAACCGGACCCCACCTCATCACCGGGCGGGCCCGCCGCCAACTACTTTTTCGATCCCGCGGGGACTAACGAAAGCCTTGCCGCGGCCGACCCATAACTAGCATCACGATTTTGCTTTTTCCCAGTCATGGGTGACTTTGGACCCGAGGTGCCGTCAGAGGGAACGCTACCCGGGCCGAAGACTACGGATCCGGCAGTTGTGAAGGATGAGGTTCATGTTCTTATCACGGGCTTCGGGGTGAGTTTGCACGGGACGGATTACGGAGCATTTGTCGATCTGTCTATTCAACTGGCTCCCTCCGAAACAGCAGCAGAGTTAACCTCGTGGCACAGCCGTTCAAAACCAACCCTCTCAACCCTTCCTTCCTGATCTCATCCACCCTCCCCGCAACCATACCCACGACACCCTCGAGCTCCCGCACGGTCCGAATTCACACACACCCGTGCCCGATCCGAGTTTCATATTCCACCGTCCGAGTCACAATCCCCACCATAATAGACTCATTCAAGCGCACACACAATGGCCAGGCTCCGGACCTGATCATCCACATTGGGATGGCGTCAACGCGGCATTACTACTCGGTGGAAACGCAAGCGCACCGTGATGGATACCGCGTAACAGACATTGACGGCCAGCTGGGCTACGACGACGGGGAGGCATTCTGGAAGTGGGAAGGTTTACCGGAGACCTTACAACCCGGCCCACCCCGACTTGACGTCTCCTCTGCCGGTTCCGCTCGCCCGGTTACAGCATCATCAGACCTGAAACGTCAGGTCCACATACACCCCTCGTCACCCGATGCGGAGTTCCTAGAGACCTGGCGATCCTATCTTCCACCGAAGACTGATATACGTTTATCAGAGGACGCTGGGAGATATCTTTGTGAATTTATATATTATACCAGCCTGGCACACGCGTATAAGGATGGGCGAAGTGGGAATGTTGTGTTTCTTCACGTCCCTGGTTGGACGGACCAAGGCAGCATCGAGAAGGGGAAAGCTGTCGTTATCGGATTGATACGAGCACTGGTCGCTTGTTGGATTGAGGAGGGTGCAAAAGCGAATGGATGATTTGGTTTAAAAAGGGATCAACCTGCTTGGCATGAAGCCAAGAGGCGTCTGGTTCGGGCCCTGCAAGAATTGGACCCTATCAAAGTAAGCTATGGGCTGCTTGGTGACTTTGCTTTCGATCTCATTGCCTTTTCCTACAACGTTTCGGGGAAACGGGATTTATGATGCGTAGGGACGATCCCCACGAATAGCTACGATTACGAAGTTTATGTCTGATGAACAAATCCATACTCTCTTCATTATCAAGGGAACCTACAGGTCTATATCTATATGCGTCTATCCTCGTAGTTATATCCCTGTGTCGATCTTGATATTTTTCTGTGTTTCAAGAAAGAAACAGTGCGGCAGCCATTTCGGCGGTGATCCAGAACTTAGCTAGATTAGAGAGCTGCCGTGCGACATGCACATTCTCGTTTCAATCTTCCGAGGCCTTGTTCGGAGAGTTTCTTTTCTTTCTCCATGTCTTTTACGTACCAGCGACCATGCGCGAACCCGCCACTTGTGTCTTCGTGACACCTCTGCGGCCCTCGAAACCTGTACGCATGTAGCAGCAGCATCTCCGGGGAAATTAGATGGTCCTACAGTCGGTAAGCAGCCGGCGAAAAGTCCTAATAAACCAATTCTATAATAAAGAAAAAAAGAAAGAAAAACGAAAAGAAGAAAAGGGGGAGGATACAGGAAAGAGGCTTAGTTCGTCCAGATCATAGACAAATATCACAATGCAGGTTGAGAGCCATAAATAGCCAAGAGATGGTTGCACAGAGGCTCGTATTAGAACGGAGCCTCTCGTCTTTGACTTTTTGTCCTTTTCTCTTGGCTGAAATCGTAGAATATCGTCATGGTTCTCCGGGACCCGAGCCGGTGTATTCCGCGCTCCCTTATTACGTGAAGAAATGCGATCCTCAAATTTGGCATGAGGTCATGAAGAGGAATCCGGAGGAAATAACTTTTTTCAAGTTAACCAAGTCAAAATCTCCTTCCGCGCCCTCCATTGAGACTTTTCTTCCTTAGCGTCATATATGGTCAAACAACTTCAGGAATTTCCAAGGCAAAAGGACCTTGCAAGGGCCGCAATGGCATTCATTCGCGAAGTGGCTTTGAACCATCAGCAGCCTCGGCTTTCTCGTAGTTTCCTGGAGGGCTGTCCGGCTTGCTTGTTATGAACTAACTCCGTCTATGGGTATATATCCGAAGATATAACTAGCTTTAGGAGCTTTTCTTCCCGCATCAGTGCAAGAACATCGCCCATGCAGGAGATAACTCCTCCATCGCGTAAACTTGGCTGAACCAACGATGTGGCCCTTAAAAAGCGTCGCCGGTGGGGATGGCGAGGTGATGAGGCAGACGCGCGGAAGGGCAGGAATTGAAGATGGGCCGATGCTCTTTCGTTGACCGGGAAGAGCTCTCTCACGTTAGTTAGTTACATCTTCGGAATAGGTTTGCGCGATTCAGTGACGCCAGAAGGAATGGATCCACTCAGTTAACTAGTTAACTAACTGAGGCAGATGCGCTACACTACTCTCTCAACGGCCTCCTCTATTGCTGTTTTCTTTATCTCTGGCTTAATTCTAACCAAACTGCTGAAATCACTCTTTTATCCAGTGAGATTAAACTAGAGCCTCATAGTTATCATGCCTAACAGGGGCCTACTCGCTTGCAATTTCCTTTATACCTGAAACAGGATCATGATGCCTTGATTGCTCATTTTTATATCGATTGCTATGTCCTGAAATTGTTTCATAATTTATAGACAGTGAGCAGCAGCTGGTGAACCTGCTCGTCCAAAGTTCCGGTTCCGCATCCTATCATTCTGGTGCTGGCAAAGAGAGTTGAAAATCGGGTCTCTTAGTCTCTTTTTCTCATGATTCTACCTAGTTTTTTTCCGACAGAGCACCCCGTTTTCCAACAACCTCGAGTCCGTCCTCTTATCTCTGCTTTTGTAAAGAAATACATGAAAGCAACCCCACTCTCTGCAAACGAATCCTGCGTTACAAGGAACTACCAGTTCCTGACATGCTCTGATTTGTTGTAACCGAGCGATTCAACTTTAACGCCAACGAAGGTGGGCCTGAACCGGGAGAATAAAGCCGCAACGTCAAAGGCAGGCCATGAAGGGACGTTGTCAAAGTCGAAACTTGCCTTTCAGCTCCTGTTAGACCCTCCCCCCTCCCCCGGGGGAGGCAAGTGATTTCTAGGTCGATATCGTAGTCCATGAGCAAGTTCTCTGGAAAAGGGAGGAAGATATCGACGCTGTGGCAAGAAGGAAACAATACGCAAGCTTAAGAAGTACTAGATGCAGGCTTGAGAGGCCAGCAAGTGAAATCGGAGAGTTTTGTAGCAAAATGGGGAGAAAATGGAGCACAACGAAATGTATGATAGGAGCTGGGACCTGGGAGAGTGCTATCTCTCCATTTATGGGTAATGTCAAGGCGATATCCCTATTGTTCTTATCTGGAATCGCTTCAAAAAAAAAAAAAAAGAAAGGAGAGAGAGAGACATTATAGGTATTTTTAATTATCAAATCTAGGGATATCCGACTCAACTTGTTCGGAAAGGGTTTCTAATCCTCTGAACGTGCATTGCACATAGCATGGTATTATGATCTTTCGCGGAAGATACAACACCTTGTGAACATGGAACACGCTCTTTCAGCCTGGTGTTAAATGGGGTATCTTGGGAGAGGCCGGGAACTTCCCATAGCCGTGAGAGGGTAACACCCGATATGGTTACTAGTTAGCGAGCAGCCACTGGCTCTGTAGCGCGGCAAGCCCTACGTACAGGCTAAGGGACGGCCGAAATGCCCATGTGGACCGGGAGGCGCGCGCACGTACCTCGAAACTCGTCGCACGGAGCGATGGATGGATGCCGTGTGTTGTCTCGCAGTCAGCCTTTTCTGATTTGCGGTTAGATAGGTCATCAGTTAGTTAGTTAGCTGGCTCACGGCGGGGAAAAAAAAAAAGAAAGAAAGAGTAATACCATGTGAAGATTGTGCTGTTGCGATCGCAGGTCCCGACGATTTGGGAGAATATCATCTTCTAGAACACCTTTCTGCTTGACTATCTGCAATGATAGACAGTAGCTAGGTTAGTTACTATAGATGATCTTGGGCGTCTTGACATCAACCACCGCAACAGAGAACATTCGGTACTCCCGGGGTTAGAAGATGTTCCCGGGTTGCCTCTTTCGGGAAAAGACGGCACTGAGCTGGTGGGCTTTCTCTCTCGCGTGGATATGAAGGAACGGATCAGTCCACTTCTCCAGATAACTAACCCAAGGGGCAAAAAAGGAAAAAAAAAAAGAAAAGAAAAGAAAAGAAAAGCCCCGCAGGCATGGGGAGTCGCAGGATCGAAAACCCAAATAAAATGGAGATAACCCGGCGCGCTCTGGTTCGTGAAGCGCAAGATGGAAATTCTCCGCACTCCACTTCCCCCCAAAACTTACTTGCTAGTTAGTGAGCTGAAGAGCAGGGGAACTCAAAACCCCATGCTTCTCCAGAAGACCAGCGAACCCACCCTGAAGCAGAGCCAGTGGACTAGCGCGAGAACCGCGCTGGACGAAAACCGGCTTGCACCTGCGCCCGTTTCCCTGGTGTGTCGCATTCCGTCATCGTTCGACGGGGTTTGAGCCGGCTATGGGCTTGACAGCCGAAGTGGGCAGCGAGACGTTGACGATCAGGTTGCCACTCCTCGTGCCAAGGTGATGAAAGCCATCGTGTATTTTCTCCGTAAAAAAGCCTGGGTAGTTTTAAACTACGGAGCAACCCGAGTATGTATCCAAACTACGGAGTACGGAGTACAGGGTGTTCCATGGAATCGCGATGCTCGTCAAATGGTAGCAAATCGTCTATGATCGTGATTTTCACTCAGGCCACCGCGGGAAGGGGTAAAAAAAAAAAAGAAAAAAGAAGGGAAATTGACAGGCCGCAGAGTGTTCAGATCTTGATCCACAATGACGGGATGTACGAATTAGCCAGTTTAGCGTCCTCCATTCGGGCTTGGACTTTTGCTTGGGGAGAACAAGAGAGAGAGGAGAGAGAGAGAAGAGAGAGAGAGAGAGAGAGAGAGAGAGAGAGAGGGTGCGAATGATGGCGTGAATCTGAACCCGAGGCAATTCAGCAGCTTAGAAGGGGAAAAAAAAAAAAAAAAAAAAGAAAAATAAAAGAATCTCCCATGACGGGAGACGCTGGTGGTACGAAAGCAGTTGACAGAGTACTCTGCGGGACAAAACGGTTTTGAAGCGTCGGGATGCGTCAAGTTACACTTGGCTAAAGAAAAGGCACCGGCGTGTTTTGTTTCTGTTAGTGATTCGTTTCTTGTTAGTGAAGGAAGCCAATAATTTCCTTGGTGAGCTTAAAGAAAGCCACTGCGCAGAGTTGCCAGATCCACGGTCACGACGCGAAATAAAATAAAAAAAAGCAGAAGCATCCCATAATTCCACGCGAACTTTGTGTGGATATTAAATTTGGGTGATGCGGGAGGTTCCAGCTTAAAGAGTAGTGAAAGAAGATCGTGATTCCAGGACCTGCACTGCCGCCGCCGCCGCCGCCGCCGCCGCCACCTTGTTGTTCTTCTTCTTGTTGTTGTTCTTCTTGTTCTTCTTTGTTCTTGTTCTTCTTCTTATTGTTGTCCTTACTCCTCCTCCTCTTGCCAGTCGCGTGGAGCTTGATCGTGCATTTGGTGGGCTGTTCGATGTTCGACTCGACTACAGAGTTAACCAGGACGGCGATAAAAACAAAGCTGCAGACAGAAAACGAGTTGATTTTTTAGCTGGTGGTGGCCCCTGTCCGTGATCTCCCTCCGCATCCCCAACTGACTCTCCACAAAAACTGGATCCGCCCAGCCTTTCCGGTCACGCTTTGAGTTTGGGTCCCTTGCGAGGTTGCACCGCTGCACGCCATCCTTGTTTTTCCTTTTTCTTCTTCTTCCCGGTCTCTCTCACGGCAAACCCCGTGCTGCTCGTCATGGCTATGCTGAGGTGCAGGGTGCAAAAAAAGGGACGACGAATCCAATCGACTGTATGGAGTACCGCCAGCTCGACCATCCAATGGACTGTTCTTGACACCCGCGACGGATGTGTACACACACAATGGTGAGTGATTATCCGTTCGAGAAACATCACCGTCATTGTGCGGATGCGAGCGTCCGCAGCGCCACCAGCCAACGACCACGGAACGGAGCAACATCCCATTATTTAAGTTCCAGGACCACATGAAAGGATGGGCCGCCGCCTAACCAAAGACAGAGATTAAATACAGGTCTCTTCTGCGAAAAGCTGCTTCTTTGAACTCCCAACCCACTCCCCCCACCGCTGTCCCTCCACCATCGACAAGCCCGAGCCAGCACGGTCAATGCTCTCTGCAGCCATCCAAACCGACGGTATCCTGCGGCGCAAGCTCCCTCGCGGCAGGTGAACTCCTCCAGAGCTGACTCCCCTGCCCCGGGATTTCGTATTTCTCCGGCCTTGTTTAAATAACTGCCCTCCAGCCCGGACAGCCGAAATCTAATAACCCTTCGTCCGTTGACCGGGGGTCTGACGAAAGAAAAAAACGTCGTTCATCTTTGACGGAGTGCCTTTTTGTTTCTTGTTCCTCCCCCCGTCCTCTTGTCATCTCTACCTATCCCTCTGTCGTCTGTTCTTTTCTTTTTTTCTTCTTTTTTTTTCTTTTTACGAAATATTCCACCTTTTTTTTTTTTTTTTTTTTTTTTTTTTTTGTTGAATTCCTCTGACCTTGGAGACACTCGCCGCTCCATCTTCCCTCAAAGATGGGCAACGAAAAGGACATGGAGGTCGGGACGACCAACGTCTCAGCGGCGGCGCCCCCGCCCTACGAGAAGGCAGAGGTCGGCCGCGACTTCGTCCGTTCAATGGTCGAGAAAGATCTCCTTGACAGTCGGTACAGTCAGACGCAGCGTGGCCTCAAGTCGCGACACGTCCAGATGATGGCCCTTGGCGGGACCATCGGAACAGGTCTCTTCGTCGGCAGCGGTCAGGCACTCGCCATCGGTGGCCCGGCGTTCCTGCTCGGTGCGTACGTCTTCATCGGCTCTCTCGTCCTCATGGTCGTCACCGCCGTCGCTGAGATCGGAACCTACCTCCCCGTCCACGGCGGCACGATGAGTTACTACGGATATCGGTACGTCTCGAGAAGTCTGGGCTTCGCTCTCGGGTACCTGTACTGGTACTCCATGGGTATCCTGGTTCCAAACGAAATCGTCGCCGGTGCGTTGATCATAGATTACTGGGAGTCAAACGTCCACATCGGCGTCTGGATCACCATCCTGCTCATCGTCATCCTCGCCCTCAACGTGCTTCCCGTCCAGTGGTACGGCGAATCAGAATTCTGGTTCGCCAGCTTGAAGGTTATCATGTTGCTGGGCCTGCTCATCCTCGCCTTTATCCTCTTCTGGGGCGGTGGCCCAAGCCGTCAACGACTCGGCTTCCACTACTGGAAAACCCCCGGGGCGGCAAACGAATACATCCTGACCGGAGACAAGGGCCGCTTCATCGCGCTGCTGCAGTGTATCGTCCTCAGTGCTTTTGCTTTTCTCTTCGCACCCGAACTCATCATCCAGACCGCCGGTGAAATGCAATCCCCTCGATACAACATTCCCCGAGCTTCACGCCGATACTTTTACCGTCTCTTCTTCTTCTATATCTTGGGCTCCATCGCTATCGGTGTCACCTGTCCATCCGATAACGCTGCCTTGACCAACGGCGGTGCTGGCGCCGGCTCTTCGCCGTTCGTGGTCGGCATCAAGAACGCCGGTATCCCCGTCCTTGACAGCGTCGTCAATGCCGTCATCCTTACCTCTGCATGGAGCTCTGGAAACTCCTATCTATACATGTCCTCCCGCGCGCTTTACTCCCTTGCCGTATCAGGCAACGCTCCCAGCATCTTCAAGGCATGCAACAGGTACGGCCTCCCATACACTGCCATGATGGCCAGCGCTTGCTTCTCCGGTCTCTCCTACCTTGCCGTCGCGAACGGCAGCTCGCAGGTCTTCAACTGGTTCGTCAGCCTTACCAACACATCCGGTTTCATCTCCTGGACCTGCTGCTGCATCATTTACTTCCGCTTCCGCAAAGCCACCGATGTCCAGGGCGTCGAACGTCCTTATAAGTCTTTCCTCCAGCCATACGGCGCGTACATCGGCATCGTCGGCTTTATCTTCCTCGTCCTCATCAACGGCTTCCAGGTGTTCTTCCCCCAGAAGTGGACGGTCTCTGGCTTCTTCACGGCGTATATTGGTCTTCCGGCATTTTTGATCTTGTACTTCGGGCACAGACTGGTTTACCGAAAAGATCCCTGGGCGTGGAAGCCGGAGGACGTTGACCTCGTGACGGGTCTGGAGGAGATTCTTGCTGCAGAGCAGCCTCCAAAGGTTCGCACGGGCCCGATCAAATATATCTCTTTCCTTTTCGAGTAGATCATTGCAGTGCAGAATATCAATGGAATCCGTGTTTTTGGCTTCTTTTCTTTTTTTTTTTTTGGATGTATCTCTTTCCCTCCCAATGCGCTTCACTCCCGAAAGCCCTGCATCTTGATTATTAGATGTCTGCCTAATGTGCTCCAGCTACCCTTTTATCCTCGTCCTCATAATTCTGTAAGCCACGCCCTATCGCTCAAAATAAGCGAACCTCGCACACCGTAAATCTGATACCCTCATTTTTGCCCTTCGTATCCTTTTATTTGTACTCCGTACCGGCTCGCTCTTTCACATCAGTCGATCAATATTAAAAAAAAAAAAAAAAAGAAAGAAAGAAAACGTAAACTCCAGTTGTACGGAGTATAAACGCTCATTATTACCCTCTTGTGGTGTGGTATAATGGAACGAACGAGTGCTGTACGCTAATATATATTAATTACCTCGGTGTTCCCCTATCCTCGTGCTGTTTGGCCAAGGATTTATTGCTGTTTAATTCAAGAACATGTTGTTGGCACTTTGGCGATTAGCCACCAGGCCGCGAAGGAATAGCCATATCAAGTATGGATAAAATGTTATTTTATGCTCTGGCCGTCATTCAGCATCGTCCGTACGGAGTACAGTATTGATTAAATCTGTGCTTCAGAAACTTGTTATTGTGCTTCTGGAGTCCATTCCACTTTCTAGTATCTTTAAAAGACTAATGGTGAGCCGAGAGAGCCGTGACCAGAAGATCTTGTGAGTTGTTCCAAAAGGTGAACCTTATCAACGTGGCTTAATCCCACTGGATCGAAAAGGAAAAAGAGAAGTAAATATATTTCATATTGTGATTTCCTCCTGATGGTACCCCTTTGGAGGGTTGATTTAAAGGATGTACAGTATGCATACACAGGGCCTCACCTCACCTCACCTCACCTCACTCCTTCATCTGCTTACTCGCAGAGACGCACCAGTTATTCCAGTCCGAGAAGAACGACGGCTGAACATGGCACCTCTTACTTAGGAGCTGTCTCTTCCTCGTCTCAGCGTACACATCCACGATACCCTTCGCGTTTTCCTTCTTCTGCGCCACTAATATTCTCACAATCAGTAAGCTGGCCTGGCTGCAGGCCGTCGCGTGGAAAGCCGGTCCGCTATGCGTGGCCTCCTCGTGGATCGCTTTGAGCAAGTCCCACAGCCGGTCCTCGTCTTCGACGGCGGGGAGGCTGTTTCCCTTGCAGAGCTTACAATACTCACGCAGGACATTGCTGGCTTTGTTGGCGATCTGTTGCACTTTGGACTTGCGGACGGCCTGCAGGAGTGGGAGGAGGATGTCGGTCGCGATGATGCTCGAATGTGATTTTTTCACGTATATTTCCAGGAGGTCGAGTGCTCGGTTTTTGAAATTGATCATGTTCTCGCGGGCTTCTTTCTTTTCCTTCTTTTTGCTCGTCACTTGGCTGCGTGCCTTGAATACCTGGGCTAGCTGCTCGTCGAGCGCTTCCATCTGATCGTCATCCATGTCGGAGTCCGATGACTTTTCCGAGCACGCGTCCAGGTCCTTGTCCGCACGGTGGGTTCCAAGTGCAGCGGCCAGTTTAGCATCAAATTCTTCTAGTTCGTCTCCGTCTTCGTTTTCGGATCCATCCTCATCACTTTCTTCATCCGAGGCCTCAAGATCCTCCTCGGACTCCTCTCCAGACTGATCGATCTCTTCAACGTCATCATCGTCTGGATCGATCATTTCCACATCGCTCCCTTCATCGTCATTCTCGAACATTTCCTGCTGTCCTGCAAGGGTATCCTTCGCCTCCAGAATCTATACACTATATCAGTAACGTGATTATTGTAAATTTAAAACAACTGAAAGCACCGTACCGCAATCAACGACTGAAGGCCCGTTGCTGTAACTCGATCGGCAAATGCACCGAAGACTTGCTCGCTAGTGCGACGAAATAACTGAGATTGCTTCGATGCGAAGCTTAGCAAGATCTCAACCAAAATATCAGAAGCCTCCGCGGTATCAGCATCATCAGCCTTTTTCCGACTGACAAATTTATCATAGCATATTTTAAGTTCGTCCAACATGGACACGGCATCAGCGTCGCCGTTGTATACCTGGAAAATGGTCATGGCGTAGAGCAGCTTGAGTGCCTGAATGCTAGCTGCTCCGGCTTCACTTTTCTTCTCCTGAAAAACAGTCGATTAGGCAAGTCTAAATTGGAAGGCGATATATTTTTGACGCACCTTGTGCTGGATCTTTTTCAATATTTTGAAGGCTGAATCGACCGATCCGCTGATTTCTTCACCCATTTCGATCACGAATTTTCCATATTCTCCATTCTCGTTCATGTCGTGGATGCTCTGAACGACCTGACATGCGATAGTCGAAGCATTCTTGCGCCCAGCAACGACCATATTTAGGCATGATGAAATTTTATTCCTGAAGAATTCCTGCGTTGACGAGGTGATCGGCGGATCGGGGACGGTGGCTTTGTTCTTGCTGCTTTCCACAGGCACAAAATACGCGAACCGAGCCACAACTAGCATAACACGCTTGATAGTGGAATCTAGATCATCCGGCGAACTTGATTTAATGGATAGCGATTTTACGATCGAGTTGAGGAGGGTAGCGAGTTGCTGCCTCCTTGACCCAGCCACTTTCGCATCGTCCACACCTGGTTTGGTGATCAAGTCTTCCAGGAAAGGAACCGCCTGCTCCAAACCGTCCACGGAGCCATCACCGATTAATTTCTCAACGGTCTTTGTCTTAGTCACCTGGTCGAAATTGACGGCACCCGCTGAGCCCATCAAGCCGCGAAGTGCCGGGGTTATAAATTCTGGATCCGTTGCTCCACGGGCCTGTATCGACTTTGCGGCTTTCTGGGCTATTCGATGAAGATATCGATCCTCAACTGATAGCTGATTCATCAGACAGCGGACGAAATTTTTTGTAAATACCGATCCGGCGGCTTCTTTGGGGCCATCATTGATGACCTTCATAGATACCAGGAAACCCCAATATTTCCGCTCTTCTGAGGAAGCAGCGGCGAAAAGTCCGTCTACAAATTGTTAGCAAGCGCCATTTAGGTCGGGGGAAGAAGAGAAGAAAAAGAACAAATAATGATAGGAAAGCGCTTACTGTCAACAACTTCGGTCCAAAAATCAGGAAAAGATATTTGCTTAGAAGATTTGTCCCCTTTTTTGCCCTGAGAAAATGTATATAGCTTGGCGAGGATTGGATCCCACGCGAAATGGAGCTTTGGATTCCAGACGCCAGACCTATTCGCCGTTCCATTTTCGCCATTCTGCTCAGCATGGAGATCTGATGATTCTTTCATAATCTTCGCCAGGGAGGATCGTTCTTTCGAATGCAATGGATTGTTGTTCTGCCACACACCGGAGGCAAAGTTCACTGGCAAGGAAGATTCCATTACCGCCAGCCAAATCGCAACACCCTCAGGGGTCCTTGCAAGTCCGTTCTCTGCTAGCCCTTTGATGATTGCGTCTACGTATTGGATGCCGGCTTTCTTGCTGGCAATGTCTCGCACCGCACAGTAGATGATATATCCGCATTCTTCCCTGAGCCACGGCTTTTTCTTGGCCAATTCAAAAATTAAGAAAAGAAGTTTACTCCAGTTCTCGAATGGAACATCAGGCTGGAGTAAAATAGCGGACTTTAGGATGGCTTCCGCTCCAAATAATCTGCCAAAGTAGTGATCTCTTTCCTCCTACAGCAACCCAGTCAATAGAAAGAAATACTGCGTTTGGAACAACTAGAAAAACCATACCTGACCGGAAGCACAGTTTACCGGGCTGGTCTGCGACTCCAGGATCTCAATGGTCTTCGGAATGTTCAGCTCCTCCGAATTTCGACCGTTGGAGCCCGAGAACACTTGCGACAAGAGCTCTGTGAGTGCAATAGAAAAGCCAATTCTCGCGGCTTTTCGGCTGCTGCATAGTCCTCGAAATAACCTTTTCAAGACCTTTTCAATTTGCTCGTTTGGCGCATTTTGATCTGGCGTAAATCGAGACAATAAATCGTGAGCAGCTTTTAGACGTATTTCATTTTGTTCATTGGAGAGATCTTCGTATATCTCAACAAGCTTGACATCGACATTAACGGGCTCCCGCCGTCTCTTTCTAGGGTTAACAGCGCCAGCCATATTTGTCTTTGGCCGTTGTCGAAATGCGTGCTTCTCTACTCGTGTTTGGCCTTTTTTTCGGCGACAGAAAATTATCTGATAATCACGTGATTGGCCATCGGTGAAGCTTCCCGAGTGGGTTTAGCGCGGAGTCGAATGAAATTCCCGTAAAGCATGGAATTTTAGGAGAATATGTAATTCTTTTCTAAGGACATGTCCTGATATATTCCACATTGCTACCTACTGGAAATGAGTTATTTACATGCGTGACTCTCGAGGAAGCTAAAAGTTCCGCCTGAGAGCAATCCTGGTCCTTGCATGCGGAATGCAGGCGTCCTGAATCATGCCCATAGCTCCGCAACCTGAGGATGCAGGATGAAATCTCTGTTAGTTTGCCTAAAGGTGTTCGAGCCAAACAGAGTCCTGATATTCGTGGCATGTGCATTTTCCACGACCGAAATTTCCGGCCAGGCTTCTGAAGCACACGTCATATGACGATGAGCATAGGTGACAATCACTATATGTCTGGCAAACTGAGTGTCTGTCTGGCCTGGATGAGTAACAACTTAGGGACTTTGGCTCAGAGCCCGACTAGAGCGCAATTTTTTCACCACTATTCTTCTAGTGTCTCGCACTCTCTCATGTTGCGTCCAATTTGCACGGATCGTCCAAGGCCACGGCCACCACAGTGTTATCATGGTCTGCTGGAGAGTATCCTCCATTCTGGAGGCCCAGAGCTCATGTTACCTATTCACTTAATTCTTGTGAAGAAGTCTGCATGTTCCTGTTCTTCGCATTCCATTCTGTATAGATTGTATTTATTCGTGAAACCCTCGAGCCCCTTTCCTAAGTCTGGTATAAAGAGCAATGCGGCATTGAGCAGCGCTTTAGCCACGGCTGTCAAACACCGCAGGGAGTGCAGGATCACCAGCATTCAAGGAGGTTTTGGGAAGCATCTAGTTACCCGCCCAGAAACCCACGAAAGAAAATCATTTAAGATAGATCCATTGTGTCACATCGGATAATGTCCTTCTAGTTCCATTGCTGCTCTTTTTTTTTTTTTTTTTTTTTTTTTTTTGATTTTTGATGGCTGCATCAAAGGGCCCATTCTTGTGGCTTTAAACATGGGGTAAAAACAACCTTCTCCAGTTTGGATTTGTGAGTGATTTGAAATTATATACCCCGTACTCCATATGTACTCTACTGTACAGCACGTATCGATCAGGTGACATCTGGATCAGTGACCCTATCTGGGGTAGTGGTAGCATAGACTGCAGCAATGTGTCTGCCAAATGCCTATATAGCATTTCAAGCTTCTCTTTATCAATATGTGGATTGAGAGCTCGTCAAGCATTGATTGGGAGTCGTGGTGTGTTTAGAGTGCTTCACCCCAAATCCATTGCACGGTCAATGTATAGAGTACTCCAGGTTAATAAATGGGGCGAGACCAAGGGGACTTTGCTCCTTGTCACCCAAATGCAAGATGAATAGCACTGGAATTGGTGTGTGTTCCTGGAAGTACCTGATTACAGCGATTTCATTGTGGACCTTCTCCGAAAACACTCGCGCTCCAGGCTTCAGAAAATGGATCATGGCTGCACCTCCATGCTTGAACCTCATTTTAAAGAAGGCATTGAATGCTCCCATTTGAACCACATAATGCAACAGAATACTTGTCTGCATATCTCACTAACAACCTGAGATTGATAAGGGGGCAAGATATTTCCACAGCAAGGTGGGAGAGCCAATTTTTTGCGCTGAAATTTATTTTGATGGATTGGTCATTGTAGCATTCCGTGCTTTGTACGGAGTACTCCGTACTCCGTATCCAGACTGGCGAATTCATTTTGATGTGTTGGCATCCTGTGGGCTGCTTATCCAGGCCAGCTCGTCCATCGAAGCGAAAGATTTTCATACCAACTCCATTCGCAGGATTGTGAGAGGACCAGTCTCGCGAACCTAATCCAAGAAGGAATAGCGTCTCGTATCACCGTGGCAGCCGGCCGTGCACGACTCTGAACGCAGGATTTTGAAGCTGGTTGGCGCCGAGTGATTGACTCGTCATCGATCCACTCCACATGGTCAGGCGGGAGAGGGTATCTTATTCGCCAGCCTTTTGATATGAAGCGCCGGGGTTCAGGGCACCTTCCCAGTAGTGAGAACACCCTGATTCAGCCACTTCGAACCTTTGAAGCGAGACAAACTGGAGCACAGATCCTTTTTGGGGTTGGGGGCCACGGAAACGTCTCCCGGAAAATTCAACTCTTTTATCCCGGAACATCAGCGTTTCCCTCCATCAATCCGTCCAGATTTCCTTCGGCGACACCGTCTCTTGAGGCTGATCATTTGACTGGCCTCCATAGTTAGTGGGGGCGCTTAGCAGCAACTAGCTCCGCGCCTGCATGACATTATTGGGACTTGAGCGATGGGCCTGCGAGCCCAGCGACCGATCAAGTCTTGCAGCCAGGCCAAAGCCAATCACAGCACGAAGACGGCTCTTTCTGTAAGCTTGGCAGAGTTTCACGAAAAGCCAGCTCAGAACTGGGGTGTTTTCCAGTGGCCAAAGCCGCGCTGGGGATGCCTGTCTATTTTATCGGGCGCTGCTGGGTTCCCGCGTTGCGCCAAGACGTAAACAACACGAACACCAAGCGAGATCTCGTGACTTCTCAGCGTCGGGGCTTGAGCCTTGAGAGCAGCGAGCCAGTTCGAGCAGACAAAGCGGGAGGTTAGAGAGCCCTTTCGGCCGTCGAGTTAGCTGGTCATTAACTACGCGAGTCCTCCGTAGTGCAATAATGGCCCATTTTTCGTAAGTGGATGGCGTCAGACTTCAAAGTTAAATACAGCCCTGCAAGGTTGGACGGAGATCCCATCTTCAGCCAGCCCACTCCACCTCGACACGCCCTCGTTGTCACCACAGTCTGGCCGAATATGTAGTTATCATCGAGCGTGGGGGTCCCACAGAAACATAAAGAGTTATGCCCTCTCCGGATGGACACTGAACTTGGTGCGGTGCGCATGGTTGCTCGCGAACTTGCTCGATGTGCCGAGTTGCTGCGGTTGTCAATGTTTACATTTCCGTCACGTCGACGCGCCGGGCTGCAGATAAACACAGCAGCTCACCAACCCCACCTGTGCCCCTCATCCCAGGTGAAGGCCCTTGCTCCCCTCAAAAGTTCACGAGGATATCTGGCTGGACACAAAATCCGACCCTGCATCCGGTCGCTCAGCCACCGTGAATGCGGGGTATTCCCATTTCCAGCCTCGAGGCCGTTTCTGGACGGCGGCTCGAGGTGAAGAACAATGTCGAATCGAATGGGCTTTTTCCCCAAGACAATGGGCGTTTCAGCACGCCTCCTGGCAGCAAGCCAATAATAGACGCCTCAGGCTTTTAATGTATACACATACGGAATATTCCATACAACACCCCACGTGTAGTGTGGGCGTGATTTTAAACACTTCCATTGCATTCTGGAGTCCACAACTTGGACGCGCTGAATCTATGACATCAAGAGTCCCTCCGAACTGGAAGCCCCCAAAGAATGGAGATGGGACGAAATGGGGGTTGGCACCGCTGACCTCACGGGACAACTAGCAGTTCAATCCGAAGGCGAAAAAGGTGCATCACGATGGACCATCTGAGGATGTTTCGTGGCTTTGGTTCCTTGGAACACTTTTATATGCCCTGAATCGCAGGCTCAGGGTGGGTAGCAGGGCAAATGATGCCTCTCGGAACTCAAAACACCCACCATCCTAACCGAGCCAGCGATTGGATTGGCCGCTGAGCTGCCATGTTGCAGTCATCAAGTGTCGAGGAAATTTCACCTTGGAATTAAGCTTAATATCTGCGATTGAGTTCGTCGAATCCTGGGAAAGTTGTTGATCAGCCCACGAGACCAAGCAGCCAGCTATTCCCGGCCCAGATCAATAGACATGATTTTCGGGAGAGTCAGACTACTCGATAGCCGTGAAGAGCTCATTTTTGCTTTTGCTCTCCCGTCCTTTCGAAAACGTCGATCAACCACCGGGGACTATTTTTGGACTCTCCTCCGCGCTCGAGGATTCTGGCGGCTACTTCGGGGATTGAGAGAACGGGCCTATTCCCGAGGAGATCTGGATCTGAATAGTGGAGTACGGAGTAGATACGGGAGTATTCCATTCCCAGCTTTCATCACAAACCCGCAGCGCGGAGGAGGCACTCGGTTGTCGTATGCTTCTTCCATAAGTATTCACTACGTAGTTTGGCATGGCCCGAATTGAGTTCTGCATGTTCCGTTATGACGTCCCACAATCAAATTGACTTCCAAGCTCGCGAGAGACATCTGGGCAAGGGTATGACGACGGAGTAAATTTTGCGGAGCGCCAGTGACAATCAGGTACCATCTCACCTTTGCGGGCGGAATAGGCTGTTCCTGAATTGCAATACCCCATGTGGGACTGAAATGTGCCGAAGCTGGAGCAAACATGGATGCCCGACATGAATAGCAGCCGTCGCTCCGGTTGCGAGGCGGCAATTAACAAGCACGGATTGGCTGAGAGGAGGTACCGGTACTGGTGGCCCTGGTAACCAGCTGGCGTTGATCCCTTGCTTTGTTGCCCTGCCAGAGTCCGGCTAGGAAGTATTGGTACAAACTTTACGGCAGAAAAGTATATTATAATACGCCGTGTGTATCATCTCTCCACCGGTGCGAGTGCGTTGCCCGTTGCAACAGAAGTCCACCACCTTGTTCCAGCTTCATTCTTTCTCCCTCCGTTTTCCCTTTTCTCTCCTTCTTCGCTCCTTTCTCTACCTTTTCCTCTCTTCCCAGTTCCAGCCGTCCGTCGAGCTTCGGTTTCTTTGTCTTTCTTCATACCTATCCCTGTTATCTCCGTTGACCAACCTCGACGGCCTTCCTCCTGTCGACCACCACCGGACGCCTCGTATTCACGGCTTTTCATTCTTGCACGATTGACTTTGTGGATTGGCAGCCATGGCCTGCTCACTTTGACTTCGAAATCCTTGGCCACAGTATCTACTGGCTTCAGGGATATCGAAGTCGTCCTCAAAGCCGTGCGTTTGGCTGCTTTCGGTCAAAGGAAGGGGGGAAAAAAATTGAAAAAGAAAAGAGGAAAAAAAAAAAAAAAAGGCCATCTGCAGCTCGCATTGACATTGTCTACCAGTGCACCGTTGTCCTGACGACCGATTTCGTAATACGCTCCCTCTGACACTTCTTCTCTCCACGGACACCATTTCGTCGTTATCTTCCATCCTCTCAAATACTGCGCTGAGGACTAGACTATAAGCATTCTTCTACTAAGTTGGAAGCATGGAGCAATCGTCGCCGCTGGCTGCCATGCAGCCTCCTTCAGTGATGCTTCGGCATCATTTCCGTTCAGAGGCTAAGGCAGGATGTTCATCGTTTCCTGCTGTGCGAAAGTTTGGGCCGGATAGTTTTAATTTTAGGGATCTGTCCATGAAGACGGGACACTCCGATTATTTCAACACGAAAGCTCTGAGAGGGTCTTCTCCAACAGTTAGCTTGGCAGCTGACCTTTCTCAGAATTTTCACATTGATAAAAGGTATGTTGCCGGCCTGCATATGCGTAAGTACGTTTGCGTACTAATATTCCAAAAGTCCTCAGCTAGCAACGCCCCGAAGATCCCTCTTCACGGCGAGCTTGTTTGGTCCTGAAAATGGTCGTGGTATATTCTCTGCTGAGTTTGGTTCCAGAGTTAGTAATGGTATTAACTCATATCTGAATAGACAACATGACTACACCCCCGTTACCATCGTCCTCGCCTGCCCCGAATATGGAAATCATGGATATGTCTCCTTTGCCTCACAAGATACCATACTGCCATAACGCAGACTTGGATCTAGATTCCCCCACGACTGAGATTTCTTTGGCGAAGTCGCAGCAAGTTCATGCACAGCTTTCGTTAGAGGATTCACCCATGGACCTGGAACCGCCTGGACGTCCACAGTAGGTTATGCCCTCATAAGGGGGCCTTCGTTGAAGTTTATTTCTTATCTCTAACGATGTTGAGCAGGAGACACAAGCCACCCATTCTGAGGCCTTCTTTGATGCGTTCTAAAGCTTACTCCTCTGGTGATAAGGGCTCACTTGCGCCCCAACCACCACCCTTTAGATTCGCAGCTGGCAGCAGTAAGCCGACCGCTTGTTCGTCTCTTTCTCTTTCTGAGATGTTTGAACAATCGCCTCCTCGAGAATCATCCCCAAGGTTTTTGACGTCTATTTCAATGGGCCCACCCCGTCCCCGTGCTCCTTTTTCTGGTGTGGTCGGGCAATGCCGATCAAATGGCTCACCAGTAAACGGTATACGCAAGAGCTCCAATCCCTTTTGCCGACCTAGGAAACAAAGTAGAAGGTCACTCAGCATGTTCGAGCACCCCGAAGATATTGTGAACCAGGAAGAGGACACGATCATGTCCAGCCCGGGCCTTCAACCCATCGCGGATATTGACAGCCAACCAACACTACAGCTGCCGCATTTTATCCCAGAAGATGGACCGGACCAGCTACCTCGCGTGGAGAGTAGTGTCTTAGTCGACATAATTAATGGTAAATATAATGATTGCTATGATAAAATAATGATCATTGATTGCCGTTTCGAATATGAGTACGAAGGTGGGCATATAAATGGAGCTGTCAATTACACAGACAAGGAACATCTTGCCGCGGAACTCTTTGACCAAGAGCCGAAACCAAGTACGGCTTTGATATTTCACTGTGAATACTCCGCTCATCGCGCTCCCATCATGTATGTCTTTCCAGATTTCCCTTTTTTATCACGTCTTCCTTCTGATGTTCATTTTACCAGGGCCAAATATATTCGACACAGGGATCGTGCAGTCAATGTTGATATATACCCCAAGCTGACCTATCCGGAGATGTATATTCTGAATGGTGGATACAGCTCATTCTTTGCAGAGCACCGTGCTTTATGCTACCCGCAAAACTACGTTGAAATGTCAGCCAAAGAACACGAGTTCGCTTGTGAGCGTGGACTAGGCAAAGTCAAACAACGCTCCAAACTTTCTAGAGCCCAAACTTTTGCATTCGGACAGAATTCGCTTCAGATTGAAGAAAGTCCGACTGGACGATGCCGGCCTGTCGGTGATCGTAGCTGTGACCCTGATGCCCCCTTTGACCGCGACGTCGAGGTTACGCGGCTTCCTGGACGCCGCATGTTCTCTTATTGAGTTTTACCTTTAAGTCGTACCTTGTTCTGACATAAAAAGGTGCTCCATGATTTACGGACTTTATGCACCTTAACTTACCCATCGTTGCCTGCCCGGTGTGGGTTACGATATCCCAAAGCCACCACTCTTTCACCCATATTTTCCTTTGTCTTCTCATACCATTTCTTACGAAGCTTCCCGCGATTTCCTTAACGACCCCGACTGTTTTCATTCCGCTGCCTTTGGGACATTGCCGTCGGCGGAGTGACGAATAGTTCATGATTTTAATTTTAATCCACGGCATTACGCCATCAACAAGCGCTCCTGCGAATCCTCGGCAGCTCCTATCGATATCTCACAAAAGGGATCATTTCAGCAACCCCCAACGATGCAGCGATATTGATCAATATTTTAGCCCAATTAGCATCTCACACATCGCATTTCGCCATCGGTTTTCATGATATGACCTCACCTATTGTTTCCTTTGTATTTCAAAAGCTTTCCCTTGCTTTCCTTCGCATTTCCCTATCTTGAGTCACCGAAATTTTCTTCTTACGGAATACGTCGAGAGTACAACCGTCGGATACTAGCTTCTTTCCTGAGCGCTCCCTTTCTTGTCTGCCTGGATAAGCATCCAACTTTCCACTTTTTGACATGTCGGATAGGGCAGACTCCTGCGGGTATGTTCAGCCTCTTATTCCTCTGAATTTCTGGTTCGAGTATCGGCGTTGGAGGCCATTTCCATTTTTTTAGCCAGTGCGAGCAACACGTCGTGCCAACACAGGTTTGAACTATCCATTTCTTTCTTGTCATGGTAACAATTGGGACAGTCTGGTGGGCTGTTACGAAACTGCGTGATCGGTTTTTGCCAGGCTTATGACATTGCATGTCTGACAGATTTCCTTACTTCATCCCTATAAACAATACTTCAAAATAGAAATATGAAAAAAAGATCAAAACTTTTCTCATATCCGCGATGATTGTAATTCTCCGTGATTTCATAGGCTCCGCAACCGCCTAACGGAATTTGGTATGACGTCAGCGACCAAATTAGCTTTGAGCCCTAAACCCTAATTTGTATAATTACATAAGTACTTTCCCGTTACAAATGGTTACCAAAATTACGCTCCCCGTCCCTCCAAAGCTTTGACTGACCGAGCGCGGGCTGGCTTCCATGCTTCAAGACTGCTCGATGATAGTGGACCATGGACATTGATGATATCCTCGCTTCTGTCGACAGGGATGACATCAATCTCCCCGAATCTATCGCTCTCGATCATCAGCAACTTACCCGCTTTTGGGTAGCGGAACGCGCCGCTCCGGAGTTATTACCATGGCCAGGACCGCTGATGGACAGGATGATGGAAAGAGTGAGAAAACAGGTACGTCGCATCGAAATAAAGAGCTGATTTTGCTTGCAAATCCCTTTTCCTTTGGGAGAAACTGCTGAACTCAGTGCACTTTTGTTCCCAGATCGCCAAAATCGAAGACCTCTCCATCTCCGACCCCGCCAGCACCACAACAAACAATCCCACCTTCAACCTCACTCTTTCAATCCTACAGTCTGACCTCTCCCGAACGCAATTTCTCATTCGGTCATTACTCCGCCAACGATTAGCTAAATTGACGAAGCACCCGATACACTACCTTCGCCTATCCACGCCGCCGTCAGCATCCCAACAACCACGGCTCTCTTCTACACACCACCAGCAAGAAGACCCCCTCTCGCCCCAAGAACGCTCCTTTCTATCTGCACATCACTCTCTGCTCTCAGATCACTACTCCCACTCGTTTCTGGCCAGCTTTCCTCCCGCTTTGCGTAAACTCGATGATAATGCCGGTGGGACGAGCATGGTGACTGCTCCTGAGACCAAGGAGGTAGTATTTGCCCGATGTCTCGCTGAGAGTGCAGATGTGATCATTCCTGCTGAGCCGGACCAGAGCGATCGCATGAGTTTTGGGATGGGAGATAGATTGGGAGAGAGGATGAGCAAGGGTGAAGTGTGGATGGTTAGGTGGGAAGGGATCAAAGGGGCCTGGATGAAGGGAGAGGTAGAGATCCTGTGAGTAGGGTGGAAATAGTGATGGAAATTTCTTTCTTGGGTTTCATACTTAACCATGCATTGTTTACAGGCGTTGAGTATGGTTGGAGTCTGAAATGGGGTAAATTGGATCTATCCCCTTATATCCGAATATAAAAAGGAGGGAAGCATGATATGATTGATGACCTTTAGGAACGTACGCAGCCCTCTGATGATACCCTACAGCATGAGATATGTGCATTTCTACTTTTCCCTGTTCAGCAGCCTTTGCAAGGAGTTACGAAACAAATACTTATTCCAAAATGTTCTTTCATATCCTTAGTTGAAGAAACATTCGCAAAATCAGAGAGGAGTAGTCACCAAAATGTCTTCTTGAATCAGTTGCTACTTAAACAATAAGCAGAACCTCAGCACCATACACAAAGAAAAGTATTCCGTTAGGCCGTTGTTGACCGGAAATCTAGCAGGAACAAGGTCCAAAGCGCCGCTGTTAATCTGCCCAATCCGATCCTAGCTTCAGGGTATGTGCGACTCCGTAAACCTGTCCCATGATCATATTGACGCCGAATCATGAAAGCGCAACCCAAACTCAATGCCATTTTTAACAGTCAAATTTAGGCAAATTCGTGAAAATCATCTGAAACGAGGCAGACCTATGCTATGTAACCGTAGGATGCTGGTTCGACGTCCGGAAGACGCTCCAAATATTCGCGGTCGATCAAACTTTCAATTTTTTTCTTGATCATGTCCACATTGGGGACAAAGCGTGATGCGAGCTGCGAGATGACTTCGTTCACCAACTGCGAATGTGCTAGTCTTTTGCGTTGTCTAAATGGTGTCAATTCTGTAAGATGCGAAAATGGAAAGTCTGAGTCTACTTACTTCATGATTCGAACAATAGCGGCTTCAACGCTGCCTCCGCGCTCGTCATTCATCTTCTTTTCGGTTTCTGACCGTTCATCTTTGGTCTCGACCTTATTCCCGCTACTACTTACAACGCCAATCTTAATCTTGGTGAATTTGCTCTGAAACTTCTCATTGAAATAGAAGCGATCTGTGGGCTTCACCTCCTTACTCATCGGGTCCTTTTTCAGAACCCGAGTTTTCGGAGCAACTGCTAAAGACTGTAGGTTTCTTATGAGATCATGAGTCGGAATATTTGTTCGTGCTTGGATTTCCTCAAACGTAAGTGATTCACTCGCTGGAAGGTCATTGAAAAGCAGGAGGATAATCATCGCATAAGTAGAGACGTTCAGATCATGGCGCTCAGTCTTCCCATTTGGTCTCACCCACGTAGCCCGAATATCAGCGGAGCCCATTCCGGCCTGCCATGTGAGTTTTCGTCCACTATGTTTTCCTAGGTAGAACGACTCAAAACTCTGTTTGAGAAGGTCTATGTTCTTGGGAAAGTTGCATGGGGCATGACTTGCGCTATCCTTCCCCATAATTTCCATTGGCCACATTGTGCTGGTGAGAATACTCATCTCAAGTTCGATGCGTTTGGGATCAGGACCATTGCTCTGAGAAATATGGTCTTTGTAGCTGGAACTAAGATCCTCCGATATGGCCATGTCCTTGAACATAGACTCCAATCTTTGAGTAAATGTGTTTCCAACCTCCATCTTCATTTTTGATATCATCTGTCGTTCGGCATCCATACTTACGGATCGCTTCATAAGTAAACGTCGCGAAAGATGCTTCTTGTAATAGGTCTCGAAAAGATCCTTGTCTCGAATATACCGGAGCAGCGTTATTCCATTTTCAAGAAGAATGTCCACCTCTTCCTCTGACTTGCCCTTGATACCCTTTTTAAGGTTCTCATCGAAAAATAATGAGAGATATTCCGCGCTGCGGGGGTTCACGTTGATGAAATCGGAGAAACTTTTGGTCAGAGAAGCTTGCATTCCTTGATCTTTCCTGAAAGCATTTTCCCAAACGTGATCAAACCGTTTCTTCAACTGCAAAACGTCATCCACCCATTTGATAGCTGCGGCTGTCTGTAGACTAGCCGGTGATTTTTGCTCCTCTGGCGCCTTGGCTCCGTTTGACTGAGCTTGACCCCCATTTGAGGTGGGCTGTGGACCTTGTAGGTATTCTTTAGCAGCCTTATTTATCTGATTCCCAAGCTCGATTATTCTTGCCTGGACCTCTTGAGTCAGTGCGGTCTTTTGCAGATCGATTCTCGAGATGAGATCATAGATGATTGCAAGATCAGCCAAGCGGTCATTATCTAGCATCTCCTTAACCCCGCTTCCTTCCATTTTGATGATTTCTGGGATATTTTGTTTGAGTAAAAACTCATCAATAACCCACATTATCTTAGGCTCAGTACTGATGGACAGTGTGTGATGACAGCGCTCCTGTTCCTCTCGGATTCTAGTTACTGCTCTTTTGCAGAATGAAGGCGCATCTGTTGTTGATAGCAACTTTTGGCCCTCAGTCTCATAGAATCCTCGGCTAGAATCCAGGAATGCCGGCTCGAACGAGGTGATATAGAGTTTGGTTGATTCATCCTCCTCCTCTGTCTCATAGAGACCTTCCAGCATATAGATGCAATGACGGATAAGTGGTCTATCAATGATGATCCCTTCCCGCTCGAGTTGGATCAAAAATAGGATGGTCGATTGCAGGACCGAAGCAACGCTTGCCTGGCTATCCATTTCTAGACCTAGCCTGAGCACAATATCTCGGAACGAGCACATCGACGCGACATAAAGAGATGGTGAGCGATGTTCTGCAACAACCGATTTATCCTTTATCGCAATATTAGCAGGCAACGCGGCGAATGGGAGCAGCAACTCGGCGCACCATGTACATGAGCACGTCTGCAATCATCCCCATGCAAAGCTGATAATCCTCCCAGACATCTCTTATTTTGGAGAGAAACCGCTCGCCGACAACACGTCGCTCATTCTCTTGTTCCATAGCATTTGCCAGTTCCGTATTCGGGAGAAGCAAAGGTGTGATCAAGTCCGTGATCTTCTTACGTAGATTGTCCCGTAACAAGGTCCGTTCAAATTCAATCACTTTGTTATAGAGAACTAGTCCTTGTTTCTTCATTACAGCTTTGTATGCACTTCTATAAATTTCTTCAAACGAAAGACTGGAGGCGTTCTTGGTGTGAATTTCGCTCATAGAGGACGCGAGGACGTTCCACAACGTATCGAAATCTGCCGTACCGCCTCTCGACATGACCCCCTGCCAATATTCCAATATCAGCCAATCTCCTGCTACTCGTAGGATACAGATGAGCCAAGCATATTAGACGGAACGTAGGACTCCGGCCCAGATGAACAAGCGAGTGTTTCGATGACAGGCTGCTCGAATAACTGTAACTTACCGTGCGGGGGATCCTGACTTTGCCCCTTGCCTTCATGCTGGTATAAATCACGCTCCGGAGGCTTCTGAGGTATTGAGAGGCTCAGGGGAAATGTCGACACCGGGTGCGTTCTCAGGGAGCGTTTTCATGTGAACAGAGGAGGAGGATAGTTGATAAGGTGGGGTTGGCGGTGGGATTCGGAATGAGCGACGAGATCCCACCCAATGAAGTTTACATATATGAGGCCTCGAGAAGAAGCGGGCGAAATTTGAAACCCTGCACCCAAAGCCCGGTCAACGGAGCATAAGAACTGCATTGTCCCGCCCCGTGGGCGCGGAGCTCGTCGAGCAACGAACTCCAGCTCCGCTCGCTTACGTAACTAAGGGAGGATTTTCTCACGGCTCGACACCGCGCTCGCTCCAAGCTGTAGCGGCATCGACGAAGAAAGTATAACAACGCAGAGCATACAGGCTGCAATCAGCATCATGGCGGCCCCAAGGCGTTTGCTCCGAAATGTTGTCTCCACCTCGTCTCGATTTTGCGACACGGGTTTCTCCCTGACAGTCCGAAGCTCCGGCGTCAACCCTCTCTCGGCCCGCTTCGTCCATTCGAAATACACCTTCAAAAGCCAGACCTCGTCCGGTGTCGCTCCTCTCCTCGTTCGTTACAACTCTACGAATTCAACGCCCCCCAATTCCCTCACAGACAGAAAACCAGCTACTCCGGAAGAAGACGCATATAACGAAGCCCGCCGAGCCGAAGAACCTTCATACCTCATTACATTCACCTGCAAGCCATGTTCACATCGCTCCGGCCATCGAATCTCAAAACATGGCTACCACAAGGGAACGGTACTCATCATGTGCCCGAATTGTCGCAATAGACATGTCATCAGTGATCATTTGAATATATTTATGGACACAAAGTCGACGTTGGAAGACATCCTGGCCAAACAAGGTCAGTCCCTAAGGAAGGTTACTTTAGGCGAAGGGGATATGGAATTGTGGCCGGAAACCTCGAATACCACGAATTCGGAAACGGAAATTAGCGAAAAGAAATCCTGATACCTTTGACATGATAGACTTGGATTTCCGGTCCTACATCGATAGAGTCCGGATAGCTTTGGAGTTCAAGCTTTGTCTTTTTTTTTTTATGGGGAAATGGTCATAACAAAACGCTTTTCTGGGGAAAATAATGAAATCCTGCGGGTCGGGCGGCCTTGTTGATATTACGGCGTTTTCATGCGGATAGCCATGTATTATTATTTGCAAGGTGCTAAACTTCAAATCTACTTTTCATTCCATTTTCCCCGTTCCAAACAGCCTTATAAGTGTACCATTGTTTTTTGTTTTTTCAGTCCAACGCCGTCCGGAACATACTCCATTCCTGGAAAAGATAATAGAATCACCAGCCACGTCTCCGGTCCCTGAAGCCGAGTCCCTTCTCCTTTCTCTTTTCTTTTTTCCGCTCATTCTTCCGCTTCTTCTCACGACCAAACTTCTCTGGGTCCGCGACGGCTTCGATCTTCCTCTTGACTCGTCTTTCATCCCTGCGCGTCCTAATGTTGTCTCGAGCTCGGCTCAGTTCCGTTACAAACTCAGTAGTTCCGAATTTCTTTTGAAGTAGATCTAAAATCTCTTGGCTGCTTTCCACGAGGACTTTATAGGCGGCCCGGAAATTCTCGTCTGACGATCTGGGTGGAGGAATGGAAGGGTCAGTTAAATGAAGTAGTGGAAGAAGAATTTTTTGCAATGATGGCAGTAGCTGTCCAGTTTCAAGATGACTGCAGAGCGCTGCGATGAGCTTCATGCATGCTGTCTTGCCTCTTAAGGACTCTGCTTTTGTGGTCAGGGGTTCTCGGCGAAGTATTTTGGCGGCCTGCTCGAAAATATATTGAATTGCTTTTTTAGGTTCTTTCGATGGCTCCGTAACTTCTTCAACTTCGCTCTCCGAATCGCTATCCTTGCATCCATTCACATGTTTGACAGGTAGATATAGATCATTTTGACCGAAACATCTTCCAAGGAACACCAGGTTACGTATCGTCTGCGTGGCTAGCTCTTCTGAAACGGTTGGGGTCTTGAGACAAAATATGCAGCCGCGGGTAAGATCAAGCATGGTGTTCTCGTCGAGTTTAAGGCCTGAGGAACCCACAAGGGGTATGGCTCCATAGCCATTGGCTGCATTGGCTTTGGCTTCATCAGCAAGCCAGGTTCCGATCAAATTTGCTGCGCAGGACTTGATCCAACCGTGCGGGAAGAACAGGCTTTGGCGAACTTTAGACCAGATCGGCGCACAACTTGGAGACAAAGAGATAGCTGGGAAGAGTTTGGAAAGCTTGATGAAAAGCTGCAGTGAGTAATAGAGAGTTTCCCACTCTTCGCTACTTGGGTTTTCAAGGGGTATGTCCATCAGGCGAGGGAGCAGGTTTGTCACGAATTGCGCCTCGTTTTCCTTATCCCCCGCGTTAGATTCGAAAAATATCCTTGCTGCTTGCAATCCAGCTGTAATAAGAGATAAATTCTCTGTTCGTTCCAACCACATTCGAAGGGATGACAGTATTGGCTTAAGCTGTTCTGGTTCGGCACAACTATATATACCGTTCAAGAGGATTCCAGCCATCTCCCGGCATTCAGGCGATTCGTCGTTGGCCATGACCATGACGATTGGAACAAAAAAAGTTCCTACAATGTCCTGAGCCAGTTCTCCATTTGTTTTAGTGAGAAGAAGATGCACTGCTTCCAGGACAGATTGACGGCCTTCCTTGTGACGGTAATCCAAATTTTTGGTCAAATACCCCAACTGCTTCGACCAGCGGTTCTTTGTTTGCGGGTACTCGATTAAAAAGTGAACGTATACTCCTCTTGCAAGGTCTCGAGCATTCCGAGTATGGTTCGTAACCATCATGGCAGCGATATTATCCACAAGCTCGTACATTTCAGGTACAATGAGCTTCCTTGCCATCACAGCTCGAATGAAATTGAAGGTAATTCCTTGTCGATCGGGTTCCTCAATGTCACCGGAAATCCGCTTCAGCATGTATGCAAGATGCGAATCCTTTAACTTAATGCTTCGGCGCTCACGCAGAATAGATGCTATCAATTTTATAGCAGCTTGTGCGCCTTCGGTGTTGGTACTTGGGGCCTCTTTGATTAGTTTAATAGCTTCAACAAGATACACATCAGAACTTTTATCAATTTCTTCCAATGGTAGCTTTATGATGGTCGACAGCAACCTGATCGCCGCGATTTTCACTTCCTCGTAACCCTGCACCAAGGCATCGCCAATGATGGGAAGGAATCCACTCAAATTTTCCGCTGTCAAAAGGCTGTTATATTTGTTCAAAACCGATCGAAGGGCATCAAGGCTAAAGCGAGCGAGCTTATACAGGTACGATGACGTGCTTCTTCCAGTACCACTCTTGTTAAAGGCAATCATCTTGACGATGAAGCGATCTTTAGGTTGTGCTGCAGCGTCAGGCTGCGAAGGGTCTGTCGTTTTGTAAGACTCCTTGATAACTTGGTAGCAAAATATCAAGAAATCACGGCTTTCAACTCCGGGGTTCCTCAGCAGGCCGGTGGCAATCCGCCTGAGTAACTCATCAACCTTCTTCACAATGCTTGAAGTAAGTCTCTCTTCCAGCAACCTCTGAATTGGCTGAACCAGATTGTATACGTGGCGAACAGAGGCATTCTTCGCAAGAAGCTCCATTGAATCAAAACTCTTGCTGGCTTTAACTTCTTTCATCTTGCTGACATAGTCCTCTGCATCCTTTTCCTGGCCAACGGTGCCAAAGATATCGTCCATAATAATAGAGGCAAGGACCGGAAGGTCCTGGTCCAAGTCTCCAACCATGAAGTCCTGGCTGGTTGCGACTAGGATAGAATGGACGGTGAAGGAAAGCACGTGGAGCTGGTATCCTTTCGTGAGAGTAGTTCTCAGTTCCTTTAATATGTATCCGAAGTAACTCGGGCCGAGGATGAGTGCAATATCGGCGAGGGTTTTCCGTGCTACATCTCGCGAGTCTTGGGATTTGCTCTTCAAGATGTTTGAAATATCTAAGAGGACTGGCGGAAGGAGAAGAGCCCTCTCTTCTTCTGGAAGTAATTTGAGGAGCTTAACTGTTGTAACCGCAACTGGCAACCGCAAGCTAACTTCGGATTCTTCCTTGTGATGAATGAACTTTGAAAGGAAAGGGATAAAATGAGATTTCAACTCCGATGCTACTTGAGCAAGACTTGGCAACGACCGGCTAAGTGTGCTTTTCGCAATCCCGTCCACAGATATTTCCTCTGTTGCGCTCGGAGTGGAATTGGAAGCACGAGTAAGAGCATCGGTTAACTGTCCAAGAAGGCGTATAATATTCTTTTCCATTCCAGGCTTGCTTCGCAAGTAATCTTTGAATCTGCGGAAAATGGCTCTGAATTGATTCCATTCTAGACCTCCAGCAAGGATACCAATAGTGGAAACTGCCTCTGCGGCCAAATTATGGGCGTTGTCGTCTTCTGCCTGGTTGAAGACATAATGTTCTATCAGAGGGAAAAACACGGTGCTAATATTGGACGCAGATATTTTCCCCTTGGTGACCTCGGTCGTCAAGCGGCGCAGAGCACGCTGACGACGATGCTGTTGAATATGAAGAATATTGTTGAAAAAGGAAGCTTCTTCGTCTCCGTTTGCAAGAAGATCATAAAGGTCGCTAAGGTTGGGATGTTTCGGGTGAAGCTGAATCAAGTAACCCAATACGGCCACGAATTCTGCTCGAACGGTTTCCGCGTTTTGCTTCACTCCGCTTTTCAAAGATGGCAGAAGCACTTTGTCAACCAGCTCACGGAATTCTGGGATTTCGATTTCCTCACTTGGCGCTGCACACTTAATGAAACGTCGAATGCCTAGGGAGGCACTTGAGCGGATTGCGAGCTCTTCTTCGTCTTTTATATGGTAAAGGAGATTGTACAATAATGGCCGCCATTGCCTCGCAGAGAATGTGGAGAATTTCTCCTCGTTAATGGCGTGAAAGGCACCCAGACGCCGCTCAAAATCCACTTCATCTAGCCTTTTGGATGATAATGAGTTCAAATCTGCCGCCAGCCGAGACACCTCAATCAACTCGGGACGGCGCTTCGAGAATAGTTCGAAGACTTTAGAAAGGGCTTCTCTGTTGGCGTCATCCTTGAAATAATCAAACATTGACGACAACACTTCGAACAACTGCCCACTAAGCTCATCATTGCCTTCAGGGTTATATAATGGAAGGAATTGCTGGAGGACGCGAAGAAGGCCTCCTTTTGTTCTCGGAGGGACCCTATCTGGAGGTTGTTGCAAGAGATATATGGTCGTGTCTATTAACTTTGAGGTTTCTGTGGACGATTCGACAAATTGGGCCAACTTCGACAAGATTTCCACTCCGGACAACGTAAGCTGACGTGACGATTGTTTCCTGAGCAAGGAGTCGATCTGGACCAGCATATATTCCACGTGAGATGCAAATACGCCGGTCCGGACTAAACTCATCGTTTCGATATCTGCATCACCGTCTTTATCCTTTTCTGGGCAGGTAGCAGCGTTGACAAGGGGAGTAAGCACCTCATCTAGTACAAAAAGCTTCACCCCTTCACGAGCAGACTCCACGCCTAAAATGTTAACGACCTTTGGAACGACATTGCTGTTACAAAGGTATAGCGTGGATTTAGGGTGAGATGCCCAAGTTCGAAATAGCTGGAGAAGCCCAGAAATGCTTTGAGCTGTCTCCACGGCGAAGTTCGGAAGCCTTGGATTAATGACCTCCGCAAATATAATGGGCATATACGGAGTCCAGTCAACATCGGACGAAACCGAGAACACCAGCTCAAGGCACCGAGTTCCTATTTGGCGAACGTTTCGGAGAAGAGATAGTTGACTATTTTGGTTGGAATCCTCTTCCCTTATCTCGTCGCCAGCATGCAATTGCCTGCATGCACGTACAATGCAATAGAGGATAACATTCATGGTGCAATCCACATATGCATGCATCCTGCTTTTGAGGGTGGAGAACATGGTTTCGATCATTTTTAATAGACCATATTGCTTTCTCGGTCCGAGCACCTCTTGAGCCAGAACACTTTGGTGTTCAGACACGCCGTCAAGAATGTTAACGTTGGCAAGGGGACCAAAGGCTATACGAATGAAGTGCTCAAAGTCCTTTTCCGACAGCTGCGAGATGGCTCTGAGTATTGCTTTCCTTCGGCCTTCCTGACCACCGCCTTGAGAGCCACGTAGGCCTGAACGTGCAACCATTTTACCGTACAGTAACCGCAGAAGATAAGGGAATAAGCCTTCGCGATGCTCATCCTCAATGATGCTATTATCTTTCCCGAGATGGACGAACACTGCCAATTCATCCCTGAATCGCGCGTCATCGAGGAGGTTCAAAAGATTTTGTTCGTATGGTTGCACAGCCGGTGACTTCCAGGTAAAAATTGCCTTCATCGCAAGTTTCTGAATTTCAGAATCGCCATTGCATAGGAGATTTGCAAGTGTGTCATGAACTTCGGAGGCCTTGTACAAGACTTTCGGATTCGTGAATTTTCCAAGCAAGGTAAGCATCGCCTTCTTATCTCGTAAGTCCCATCGCGCTTTTGTCTCGTCCATTGCCAGTGTTGAAGACGATCCAGAAGAGCTATTAAGAGGTTCATCATCTTTCGAGGTCCAGGATAAGAAAAGGGGTACTAGTTGTCGGGATCTCTTTTCTGCCACATGGGGTACGGCACTCAGCACACGTAGTGCTTGGGATCGAGCATAAACCGGGGTTAAAACAACGGGTTTATGGGCATTTTTGAAATCGTCGACCAAAAGCGACTCTGAGTCCCTCGCAGCTTCAAAGGACAACATGAGAGACTTTTCGACATTCAAGACGTTGAAACACTGAAATTCAGAAGTTACAATGGAATTCTCCTCGTTCGCATCCGCTTCATTCGTTTCGTCAGAGCCAGAAGAGCTACCTTCTTGTAGCCAGCTCATGGCAAGGTCAGTCACGGTACGCTCCCCAGTCGAATCTTCACATATCACTTTTATAGCCTCGCAGGTGTCATCCCAAAGGGATGCCAGTTTCTTTGACAGCAACCCAAAACAAAAGTTTGGAATTAGTCGATCCAGCCATTTAAGTTTGGATGCTTCTGCGTAACTGCTAGCAAGCCGACGCACAAGCATAGAGAGCTCTCTTGCTGTTTGTAACGTTAAGTCGCTCTGCTCAATTTCAATAGCGGTCGATATGCACACTGTTTCAACATCAAGCCAACAGAGTACGGCTTGAATTATCTTCAGAGATGACAACCTTAGCTCATGCGACGGGCCAGCAAGAATGGAGAGGAGGGTGTCCACAAAAGGTTCAATTTTCTCCCCAGAGAACTGGGGGGGCTTGTTGGAAGCGGTCATGAATCCCAACGTTGCCTCCAAAAAAACGGGAACGGTAGCAAACTCAACACCTCTTGAGATAACTAGATCCCACACATTACTATCAAGCTCTTTCATCTGGGCAGCCAGTTGAACATAAGCAAGAAAGCCCTGACCGCAAGCAAACGAATCCAAGTCTACTTTTCTATTGGACTGTGGGTTTGCAGAGGTGAGCAACAAGTGATGGAGACTTTCTAGAATCTGGGGAACAATAGATGGTGGAGTAGAAAATGATAGAGCACCTTGCAGTGTTGTGTAGGCATATAAGAATGTGATGTCACGAGTAGTCGGCTTTTTGTTTGAAAATTGCCTTGCAATATGCTCCTTCCAGCCATTTGGGCAAGTCAAATAGCCAGACCTGTTAGCTTGAGCAGTCACGCAGTTCAAACTACGAAGTCGTGGCAGCGTGAGGCAGAAACCAGCTTCATAATCTTGCCAAAGAGAAACAATGAATCTAGAAATAGGCTTGTCAGCTTGTATTCGTCTTTGCCGATACAATTCAACGTTTACCTTTGGAAATACGGCAGGACGACACTGTAGAAACGGTCGGAGCCAAAGCTCGAAAGGAACAAGCAGAAAGGCAAAAAGTACTGCGACAGCGGATCGCGAATGATGATTTCCATTATTTGCCGCATATGCGGGAGCAACTCGTCCATCGGGGATGTTTGTATCGCAATAGCCGTAGCTCCTGACAACTGCTCAATTGATAAAGTGTTAAGTTCGGAGTTGCCGGCAGCTTCTTTAAAGAGACAAAGCAGAACTTTGTGAACTCGTTTCCAACCTTGAATCCGAGAACCTTTCCGCGTTACCACAGCGAGGAATAACAAGTGCACATTGACGCGAAAGTGTATCGCAGAAGACTTCTTTGACGATGCTTCGATGTAATCACATATCACGTCGAGGACTGGTGAGAACGTGTCGCTAGTACAGTAGTGGACCAGGTTGATCAAAACACCACTAAGCACGGCTTCCGCGACAGCGCTGTGGGTGGCATCCTCCATGGTAGCAGAAGTCATAAGACACTGTAGAATATCGGCTCCGTTTGAGTGTATGCCGCCTTTAACTCCCTTGACTGCATCAGCAAACATATTCATAAGCCCCTCTTGATACATCGCAATTTGCCGTTGTCCCTCGGTTTTGCTGAGATCCTCGAAAATAAACGTCACTGCACGTTCAAGAGGCGCTTTATTTTTGTAGTAGACGAGAGCTGCTTTTCGAATAAGGAAGGACATGGACTCCGCAGCGAATCTGGCTACGAAGTGCTTTTGGGGTTGTTTTCCAAGATACGGAGACATAATTCCTAGCAACTGCCGTAGGTCTGGAACAAGCAGACGGGACAGAAATTTGAAAATCCATGCCAGACAAGTGAAACTCCACTCTATCACCTCGATGCTTGAATGAGTGGCTGCCACAGAGGCAACCAACCGAACGGTGGTCGCAAAGTGCTTCTCAAATCTTGAACCCAGGTCCCTCGCAAACTGCGCCATGAGGCTCAGAAGCGGCTCCATGCTCAATTCATCTCTTCTCCTGATATATTCAGCCAATAAGTCCATGATCGCATCCTGATGATATAGAACTTGCGGAAGGCTCTCGCAAAGACGACCGGCGCGTTGGGAAAATTCCGTAAAGTTTTCAGATAGATTAAGCTCCATCCAATGCTCAAGCGAGGCTCGAAAGTAGGAACAGGACTCGTCGCCATTCTCTTCGCTAAAGCTGTTCCGCCGTACGCGATGAACCGGATCTATCTTGAGTTTCGCAATGCGCTGGGAGAAAGGCTCGAAGCGATGGGACTTTGTAGTTTCGGTGCCTCCTTTCCGCAACTTCGGAGGCTTGCCCCGAGCTGAATGCGCTCCCGCCATTTTGAGCGAAAAGCAGCTTGAGGGGTTCGATTAATCAGATAGGGCGACCTCGCTGTCGGCCTCGAGAATGGCTTCAAAACTCCCAGAAAAAATATGGCGGAGCGGTCAAATGATGTTCCGGATCACGTAAGTGTGGTTTTTGATTAGTCATTGCTGGCCCAAGCTCCCGTGCCAAGACATCGCTGCAACCTGCGCTTTCATTCAGCCAACTGCGATCTCGATTCTCAGTGCATCGAACGGCTGCGTTCGCGGAGCAACTGGATTATGAAGCTTATTTACGCATAAGTTGCTTTTATTTTTACAGCCTCAATTCAGTCCAAAATTAACTACCTATCTTAAAGTGAATAACTTCTAGAATTCCATACCTCACTTTTGAGCCAGCCCTGATCTTTACTCGTGCCACCATTTCATCAGCATGAGATTACTGCTTTCAAAGAAATGGCTTCTAAGATGTACGTGATCTGACTTATATACAATTTTGTTAGCCAGTTTAAGCAGTTCTAAATCCCATAATTTTCTTAGAATTGTTATTGGAGGCATCCATTCTGCGTTCAAGGAGGTTTTCGGCAAACTGCAAAAGCTTCAAGCAAAGCAAAACTTTTCGTTTGCCCTGGTAATCGGTGACTTATTTAAGGGAGATTCCGATACCAGTGACGAAGAACTTTCTGCCCTTTTGCGGGGCCAAATTGCTGTTCCTTTGCCAACTTATTTTACAGTTGGCAGCCATAGAATCCCTCAGGCTGTTATTGAAAAACTAGAGAAAGACGACGAAGTTTGTCCAAATCTATACTTCTTAGGGAGACGAGGCGTCCTCACATCATCTGAAGGTGCCAAGATTGTGGCGCTTGGCGGTAACTGGGAATCAGCGGCGACTCCCGTTGCTGGAGTGAATGAGAAATATTTGCCGCAATACACGGATTTTGACTGCAAATCATTATACAAGACAGAACATGCGGACATTCTTATCACTAATCAGTGGCCGAAGTCCGTCCAGAGCGGATCAAAAGTCTTAGTTTATGAAACACGTCCAGTCGAAGGGGTTAAATGCCTTGCCGATCTATGTTCCATCCTGAAGCCACGATATCATTTTACTTCGCATGAATCCTTCTTTTATGAGCGTGAGCCATTCTTTCATGTACCCGCAGAGGATGACTCTGGATTGAAGTACGTCACAAGGTTTCTCAATTTGGCTCCCTTCAACACGTCAAAACAGAAATGGATGTATGCCTTCAATTTGGACCCGAATGCTCCCCCCTCCACATCCCTCCCAGCGGCAGCCACGATAACGCCGTTTCTGAACGCTCCAAAGAAAAGAGAGCCCATCCAAGAACAAGGCGAGGTTTTTAGCCGCTTTTCACAGAGCGATGATTACCATCGACCCAGGAAACGAGCGAAGAGATCAGCCCCGGACCAATCAGAATGCTTCTTCTGTTTATCAAATCCAAACATTGCGACTCATCTCATTACGTCGATTGGCACCGACTCTTATCTCACAATCGCGAAAGGCCCATTGACAACGGCTGGTACCTTTCCTAAACTTGGCTTTCCAGGTCACATACTGATTATTCCATTAACCCACGCGGCAACATTTTCAGCCATGGGCGATCCGGACACCACAAAGACAACTTACGATGAGATGCAAAGATACAGGTCTGCCCTCCATTCCATGCTAGAGGAAAGATCAAACGGAGAATTGGGTTCTGTTACGTGGGAAGTGAGTCGCAGTGGCGGTGTCCACATCCATTGGCAATTTCTTCCTGTACCGTCGAGCCTAATCTTCCGCGACCTTCTGGAAGCCGCGTTTAAGGTGGAGGCTGAGGACCTGAACTACCCTAAATTTGAGAAGCAGACTGTTGAAACTGCACCATCGAGTCAGGGTGATCATTTTAGAGTATGGATACGTGGACCGGGGAGAGGCTCAGAGCGAGAGAGTGGATCATCTCTTGAGACGGTATTGACAATGCCCCTCTCTGGAAAGTTTCGATTTGATCTCCAGTTTGGACGAATTGTGATGGCGAAGCTTCTTAGGCTCGAAGACCGGATCAACTGGAGAGATGCCACACAACCGCAAGACGAAGAAACAGCCGACGCAGAAGCTTTCAAATCTGCATTTAAAAGTTTTGACTTTTCACTTGAAGAATGAAGAAGCCCGTCCTATGGAGCTACCGGCCCTTCATAGAGCCGCAAAACCGCTTGCTGTGAGCCTACTGGTAAGCAGCGGGATACAGTTCTCGATTTGTAACCGTCTTGCCGGTGCCGAGTGGGAGACGGAGAGCCGATATTCGTCACATTTATACCACGTTCTACTTCGGGGTTGGATCTTGTATTATATCTACAGCACCGTATGCATTACTTCATATGTCCCTAGGTCATTATTTATTGGGGCTTTCGAATTATATAGTAAAAAGTCAGAGATTATTGCTTTGAGACAGTATACAACTGTGCTAACAACTGGCTAGATTCCATCTAGCAGACTGTGTGGTTTTATTAATGCTCCCAGCTATCATGCCCAGGGGTTGGAAGACAGTGTTTCTTGTCCGCCATCAACGTGTGTGCCTTCCCTCCAGCAGCAGGAGGGCAACCATCCGCAGCAAGGCCCTTACCAACTAACTGCCGGACTTGACCGTCTGCCATCATGCTAAACAGTAGCAATCGCGGGATTTCCTGCTTGTTTGATGGGTTAATGTAGGTGATGTGTTTCTGCTGCAAATATTTTTGCCGGCAGTCTTGTGCCTTTTTGTTCTCCTTCATCTATTAAACTCATTCAACGATGTATCAAAAAGGAGTGAATAAATAAACAGAAAACCCCTCCCTCCAAATGTTCCTATCTGTCGCATTGTTTTTTTTTTTTGCATAGAGGCTGTGCTCTTCCTGCGCCCCCAATCTCTTTCATATGCAGACGAAAAATTCTTGAGTTTTATTAAAGGGCCTGCTAACTTAAACGGGCCAAGACCAGGCAGTGATCTATATCCATCAGGGCCCTTCACCGGCTGTTTTCGTTCTTTTTCTGGGAGAGACACTGTTGGCAAAATAGAGAAAGCCTCCATCAGTACAAACAAGCTTGAACAATCCACTCCTATCACTCTTGCTTGTGTCCAAAATCTGTTTGCTTGGGCTCGAATTGGAGGGGAAAGGCTTCACTGATCCCCAGTCACCCTGTGCAGCGAACGAAGCACAGTTCCTAGTTAACTTGCCTCTTCAACACCGCAAAAATACCACGAGTGCTGTCAAACATGATTTCCACCATTGCTGATATGGCCTGGACTCTTTCAGGCAGAGGATCCAAAAGACGCTTCTTTGGCTCCCGGGTCCGCAGGCGCAAAACGAAAAGGGACAAAACTCGTCGCTCATCGGGTTCAGAAACGTCTTCGCCTCTGATCCGAGATACCGGTATTCCTAAGGACGTAAGCAGAGTGCTCCATCCCGATGCAAAACGTCCAGGCAGCGGCGAAGACTCGGGAGAAGGTTGTTGTGAGGCTGAGTTGGACTGGTCCGAGGTGCCATCCGACGCGCCACGGAGAGCGGGAATTTTGATCGTGACCACGTCACCTGAGGGAAAGGTGAAGGTGGCAGACTGCGATAAGGAAGCCAAACAATCGTCAACGAGGGACTAGGGGTGAATATGTGAGGACAGAAGTCAACTGTGAACGTTGGACATGCGGAGTTGGGACGCGAAATGAAGCCATAGGTTTTCAGAATTATTGGTTCTCTTTGAGCAGCCGTTAAATGAACATTTTTATCAAATGACTATGAAGGGCACAGACAGGATGCTGTATGGAGTACTCCGTAGACGGAGACACAAAAAGCAAAAAAGTTACCTCCGCGACGGGGAGTCGAACCCCGGTCTCCCGCGCTTGTTATCAAACAATTGACAAGCGGAAATCATGACCGTTAGACCATCACGGATTGGTGCCCAAAGTCAAATTTTATAATTTTATCAGGACAAAACTAGGCTGCCTTCAAAACGGTGGTTCCTTTTGTCTCTTTGAGAGACATAATATGTGAACAACCTCATCCAGTCACTTGGCTACCGGACCATGATGAAGAGTTTCGGTTTGCCTGGATGCCCCGACACTTGAGGACAGGCGTGAAAACTCCGGCTCTGGCCGCGTTGAAGCTTGTTGAAGTGGATAACTAGCCAGCAAGCTGCCACGGGCACCCAAACTTGCAGGGAGACAAAGTTGGAGGCTGTCACAAAGTTCACCGCAAATTCGGCATCCGCATCGGTGAAGTACACCATGAATTTGCTCGACGGCTTGAGATACCATAGGAGTTTGCACTTAAGGGCAGCGTGTAGTGATAACAGCCTGTTTGGCACGAAATTTGCGAGTGCAGGCATTCAGAGATCCATTCCACAAGGTATTTAAAGCCGGAGAAGACGCGCTCGGGCTTTGGGTAAGCCATTGTTGTCACATCTGCCTTTGTATTGTTCTTGGCATGAGTGAAGAACGATGATCTTTAACCAACGCACTATATTTGTTGATTCAAAGTCCCTCCAAGGGCCGCGGCACAACTATCGTGCGATTCTTGGTCATATTCAGTACTTTTCAGGGAGCCTTGATAGATAGAATATGTTGCAATTTGCTTGTTGCGAAGTTCCAATGCACAGTTCCAGTTATCTAACAGGCCATATGATTGCGCAAGATAGGATCATGGCCATCTTTCCCTGGTGCCTCGAGAATTTAGAGTATCTGGTCAGACTCACTCTGTTATATGAATCAAATGGATAAGACAAGAAGTTCAATTAATATGTACCTACATAAGATCTATCTCTCACTATTGTTCCGAAATCTATGCTCCTTATGTATGTTATATGTACCCGTCAATGCCGATGCATGCTATGGAAACCTCAACCGTCACAAATAACTTTTTCAAATCCACCGGTACTACCAAACACCGGATCATGCAACTATCTCTTTGGAATGGAATATTCGCGCTACCAATATCATAATTCCTCCAAGCATCGTGAGTGCGGCGCTAAACGCAATGGCGGGCTTGAACCCAGAACTGCTGACAATGGCGCCCATCATCGGCGAGCCGGTAAGGCAGAATACTCCCAGCGCGCCCATCATCATACCCAGGTATGTCCCGATTTGATTGGCCTGAGGAGCAGTCATGGCCACTGTCGTTGGGAACAATCCAATGATGGCCCCTGAAGATATCCCGAAGAGAACTGCGAAAGTCACCAGACCTCCGAGGTTGGACGTTGCTAGCCAACAGAACTCCAGGATTCCAGAGATGAAGATCGCTCCGATCAGAGTGTTAAACCGCCCGAGGTAGAATGTAAGCCTAGAACCGACGATTCGGCCCACGAAGGATCCGGAGTTGTAGATCGGCATGATATAAAACGCCCAATCGACATCGACTCCATGGGAGGTGGCATATGCGGGAAGGAAAAAGAATGGAGTGTAAATGCCCCAGAAAATAACGCTATAGCCCACCACCTGCAGCGAGTAAACTGGCTTCTTGAAGGCGGCCGGAAGGAAATGCGGACCCTTTCTCGGCGAGATACGTGGTACAAGGGTTGCGCACGCAATGGAGAGCAAGACGAGCATAATAAACCCGATGATTCGAACGGACCAGGGGAACCCAATGTCCGTATGTCGGAGGAAGCGATTGAGCGCGATCGGGAAGATTATGCCCCCAAGTGGCGAGCCGGCCGATGAAATGCCAATGGCAAGATCGCGCTTCTCTTGGAAATAGTGACCAAGGATTGAGATAGCAGGAGTATAAAGCATCCCGATACCAAACCCACCCAGGATACCCTGGGCAAGAAGGAATTGATAATACTCTTTGCAGAGTGATGTTAACATCACGGAGGTGACGTATAGAAGAGAGAACGGTATTAGGACCATCTACTAGAGTTAGCTGCATCCCACATATGGAAAATGAAGTTTTTAGGGATTCTAGCCTACCTTTGTTCCATATCGATCCACCAGCGGCCCGGACACTAGACCGGTGGTGCACATAAAGAATGCTTGCAGTGATCCAATCCAGGCAATCTCAGAGTGGGAACTGCCCCGTAGAAGGTTACTGAAATAGTATGACTCCAGTACACTGACCTCAACACATGTTAGCTCGCTCACACGCGGTTACCTGTAGAATATCCAAGGGAAGCGATCGGAGAGTACGTACCCAAAGGTGCTCAGGTATCCAAAAGTGCAGAACATAGTGCTAAAGGCGCCTGCAACCGCCAACCATGCCTTGAGCCCGCCATCCGGAAACGTTGGGACGGCATCGCTCTTCTCCTCCGCCGCAATAGAGGCAGATGAGACCTCGTTCTTGGAATCTGGAGTGTCTGACATGATTAACACTCATACAAGATCTAGGAAACCTTGGAAAATTGATAGCAAGAATGAAATCTGCAATTCATCAGCAGTTCATTTTTGTACTTGCATCCAGCGTCCCTTTTCCTGAAAGGGGAAGGCGTGAGATAAGTAACAAATCCAACATATTCGCCATCCGTATTGGGGTTCTAGAGCGATCATGAGGATTTATAAATTTTTTTGGTGAAGTTATCAGTCGAAATGAAAGCGGATCCGTGTCAATCCAGGTTGGCATAGAATTCGACCCGGGGAAAACGTATCCACGCCCTTGAGACTTTTGCCAGAGTGGAGACGCTCCCCGCGCTAGTAGGACTTCTGGCATGGCTTTTGAAGAAGCCTATTTGCCTGTCGACATATCCAAGCCTAGACCTCCTCTGACTCAAAATTCATCAAACATTCATAACTATATGAGCTTTCTGATGCTCGGGACAGCGACCAAGAAGCCACCCAGAATGGGCGTCCGCACGATCATCGCGCACGCCGTCCAGACACTAATAATAACCGGCTTGAGACGCCTCACGGATCAATCGGGATGATGGCGATAACGAGGCTTAAGTCCATGTGGTCCTCGTGAAGCGGCGTTGGATCTCGCGGCCGGAGCTAAGAAGCTGCCCAAAAAGGCTAGCGACCTCCTGCCCAGCCGGAGTTCCGGTGCCGTTCTCGACGCCAATTAGTCATGCCTCGCTGCGATCAGCTTGAACCCTGGTCGGCATCCTTCACGCTCCCCAAAAACCAGCACCGGAAACCAACAAAACAGGCGGCCATGCAACCACGCGCATGCCCGGCTGTTCGGCACAAGATTGGGGGCTTGTTTTGACCTGGCACAACGAAAGGATCATTATTGTTTTAAAAAAAAAAGAAAATCAAGCATTTGTGATCGGTCTTGTCGCTCTCCGCCTTTCGTCACAAGCTTTACGGAGTACGGAGTACTCCTTTTGGTCGGACCCTCTTGGATCCAGTCTCGCCGGCACTCCTCGGTTCGGAGTAACAACATATTCAATGCTTCAGAAGGCTTATTTGCATTTAAGCCCCGAAGAAGCCCTCTGGAACTCCCCACTCGCCCCATAACCATGTCCTATGTACTCCGTATATGCGTCGCGCTTCGGTTTGCTGCGGTGGAAGAACGCTTTGGAGTCCTTGTGCAAACTCTCGATAAGTACTCCGTAGTGGCCATGTTGCCCATGTTTGTTCGGGCAACAACGTCATTATTCTCGCCAGTTAACTCGTTAGACCCCTTCGGGAATGAAGATTATGGACACGACTGCAGCATGTGTGAACGTGGCCAGATCCGCCAATTCGTCCTCGAATCGCAGCTCAGGACCCGATGAAGATCCCCGGAACCCACACAGAATACCCGGCAGACCGGCTTGATGGCTGAAGCCCTCGAGCTCTGTGCGGCGTTTTGACCGCTCGGGTGGCTCCCCTGTACCTCCTTTGAGGATGGAACGCATTGAGGCCATGTTGTTCCACCCAAGCATCGTGAAGGAGAAGCTTTTCGGCGGTGGTGTTCGAAACTGGTATAAAGTTTTGATATCGGCTCAGGCACAAATGCTTATTCGCTGTTCAAAAATTGGCGAGGACCGTGCACATGGTGAGCCTGTATGGCCAGGGATTCCACGCGGGCATGTGTAACAGGTTTGAGATACGAGATACGGAGTACTCTACGGAGTAAAGTACGTTGCATACCATAAAAGACGTTGAAACAGGGAATTTTTGATGCAAGATCAGAGTCAGCTCCCGAGTATTCACTCGGGACGGATGAGAGATCCTCGTATTGGGGGGAACAGAGGAGTTACTCTACCCCCCCGGAGAGTGACCAAAGTCATGAGATAATCAAACACGGCTCCGCTCTCAACATTATGCACTTTTGGCCCTTTTTCTGCCGTTAATGGACTTACATCTTCTCGCCATGGCGGAAGAAGCGTATCAAACTCGAATTCCCCCAACATATAGCAGCTGTTGCTTTGAGCCACGTTCTGGAGCTTTCAGATCCTTTAGCAGTCCACGAGGGATTTGTTAGAATTACTACCAGCTATGTGTACTCCGTACATAGAAACTATTACTATAGATAACAGATAACTCTAGAATGCTGTCTGCCCAGGGGTTGCCTGCTTAACAGCAGCCACGCTATATAATCATGATGTCATATTGGTGTCACCATACTTCGGTGGTGGCTTTCGGCCTAAAACATTCAACAGTGATATGCTGGCTGTTAAAATCCAACCGTGTCCGGGAGCAGGTGTTGTTTGTGATGTTTTTTGCTTTTCCATGCATGTCGAGCACTAAATCTGATATAACTTACAGCTGAAAGCACTAGTTACCACTGATCAGTGATATCTAGGAACTGCTGAAAACTGAAACCAGGTATCAATCGCCCTCGGACTAGCCTGCGATTGATACAGGTACGATTATAAAGCCTGATTCCTAGTATAGCGAGCTGCGGTCTAGTCGGAATAAATACTAAGTCGTACGGTTCCGGATAATATACTGGTCATTGCACCAATTCTTAGACGAACCCGCTGACGTTCGATGTTGCTCGCACGGTGGGCGGGAAAGGTGACATTGGGGCTTGGACTCGCATGGATACCCAGTTTGTTCTTGAGGAGGCCTCAACCGATAGCTGGTGCCTATTGGATTTAGGTATGAGCCGGATTTGAAAAGTTCGGTTTATCCTGAGGCCGAACTATATCCATGACTCCCCGCTAGTTAGACATGCATGAACCTTAGAAATATTCACGGAGACAGCCACGGCAGTATATCTTATTCAAAACAGAAGTGATGATCTGACTGTCTCAGTGAGGAGGACGCAGGCAATGCTGGGTCGAATTAAACAGTGTTCCATCCGTTAGACACTTGCTAAAAGCTATGTACCCGGCCAAAGATCTCGGAAGGGCATAAACAGGTTCTCGCTGCGCCAAGACTGGCTCAACCTTCCTAGTGTTGTCATCCGAGAGAGGGTGAAACAAAGTAGACTTGCACTCGAGCGAGTCTTGAAGTTGTGGCTTTGAGGTGGGCAGGAAATGGTACACCGTACTCCGTTCAACTTGTCTTGATCTGAGCGAACAAAAGATTTTGAACCAGTGAGTGAGTGAAAAAGATATGTGGCTCTTAAACCACAATTGCTGCTAGCAAAATTCAGAATCTACAGACACAGGTGAACTATTGTCCTAGTTAGCCATTGGCAGTGCAAAAGTGAAAGGGTTAAAAAACTCTTACTGTAGCAATCTTTTCCCGTTCCCGCACATCGTGTAACCCAGAAAATTAATATCACACGTTCACAGATGTACAACAGGACTCTTTCCCCCATTGATCTGCAAGAGGCAGATATCTGGCAGTTTCCTCTTAATAGTTTTTGAAATACAACTAGCCATAAGATCATATAAGAAGGATGCACATGCCTATGCGTGACTCGGTTCAAAGTAACAAAACATATACTGAGCTCTTGGTCATTGAAGGACCCTCATCTAAGCATGGCATGCTATGTATGAGCACAGCGTGACCCATATTATTTGGACTTGGTACGCAAAAAGATCGTAATGAGCCTATCAGCAATTGGAGGCTTTGGCGGACGCTCAAGCAGGTCAATTTGCCGTGTAACTAATGTCTGGCGAGGCCAAAACAGATACGAAGAACATATATAGGCATTTTAGGTGAGCTTTTGGCATTTGACCCCAAGTGGGTAAATAAGCTCTTTCAATTTTGTGATAATTAAGAACAAGGTGGAAGAATGCTCAGGCCATGCCGGACTCTGTATTGACCTTGCATCACAAGATAAGGAATAGCAAATGGAGACGAGAAAAGGGCCATTTGATGTATTGGAAACATATGACAGTTACTTGCAAAATTGTAAGCCAGAAATAATAAGATGTGCCGTTCTTTGACCTTCATTTTCCCACAAGTCGTTCCCGTTTACATTTCTACAGGATATCAGGAGAATTAGAAAAGCCCATTTGACTCAACTCGCCCGGACCACCGTACCTAACGCCACATAGCAAACCATTTAGATAAAAAGTCCATGATGAGAAGCGAAGAATGGAGGTACCATGCCTTGGCGGTATGGAGAGAAATGAATAATGGAGGCCAAAGTATGTCGTGGAATATCATGTACAAAGAGTTAAAGGGGGAAAAAGAGTAAGAAAGGAAGAAAGGGGAACGGAAGAAATGAATAAAGTAAGATAACCTTGAGGATATTAAATCGTGAGAAAGGAAGCTTGAAAGAAGTGAACCAAAGAGCAAATGCATAGCAAGGCTGATGCATGATAAATCAGCCCTGACAACATGCGAGAAAACGAGTTTCTCAAGAATAGCAGAAGCGGTGAGGCATCTGCAGCGAAAAAAGGTTGTAGAAGACAAGAGAGGTCACTTGGAGATGCTCTCTTTTTAGACATCTTTCCACGAATTTTCGACCGGCTTCCTCCCAGGTTGCAGCAAAGTTGGCGTTTGCCGCCCATTGTTATTATCACCATACGTTGACGAGAATGGCGGCGGCGGGGAGGACGGGATAGACGGGGAATACGCTGCGTAACCTGATTGCTGCTGGCTATGAGGAGAATAAGGCGCATAAGCATTCTGCACCGGAGGAGGGGAAGCGTTTGGTGATCGCGAATATGGATGGGTAGTGTTAACGAACATTCCTCCTGTGCTGTGAACGGGAGAGCGGTCTCTATACGGCTGATTGCTGAATCCCTGAGTTTGGGCAATGCCGATGTTCGACGGGCTGGCTGGGGTACCTGCAAGCTCGGTGCCGCGATAGGCGTTGTCTGGAGCGAAGTGGGGAGAGGTTGGCTGGGATGGGACTTCGTAGTATCCGGAGTGATTTCGACCAGCGGTGCCGATAGCCTGCCCCGTGGCCGGGCTCAGCTGGTTCATCTCGACGTCTTGCGATGTATCCTCGACTCTCCTCGTTGTGGCGTTGGCCCAACTTGGCATGTGCGGCAAGGCATCTTCGTTAACTGCCTTCTGTGTCGGCACGTCAAACTGTGCATGCTGGGCAACTGGGCTCCAGTTCTTCGTCGGTGGTGGGGGGTTGTCATAGACGGGCGGAGCTGAAGGCTGGTACCCGTAATTGGGAGCTGGCGGAGGCTGGTAAGCAGCCGGCGGGTCGGCGTATTTGGAGCGCTGTCCGCCACTGCTGCCACCACCACCTCCGCAGCAGGAGCAGCAAGAGCAGCAACCCTTACAGCATGTGTAACCGCAGCACAGGCAACCGATTATGCACCAAGCGATACCAATGACGACCAAGGATCCCACGACGATTCCGACGATGGCAGGCCATCTGCAGGATAAGACCCGCTATATTAGCATCTTATTACTATAGCGAGTTAAAGCAACCTGAAGCGGGTTCGCTGCTAACATACTTGCAATATGGCTTTGCCATACACGAGTCCCAGCTCGAGAAAGTCTGTTTCACGTCATTTAGGGCTCGAATGTCATTGCGATGCCAAGGCGTGAATTCCACTGGCCCCATGGTGAGATTTTAGAACTGCCGGACCGTTGATGGCCGGGCGATCAAGGAGTAAAAGAAAGGATATGTAGATATTAGTCGCAATGAAATGGTAGATCGTTTATTTCGCACGTAGGGCAATGCAAAGGTAGACGGGCAACCAAGATCAACCAGTTTTACGAAGGGGAAAAGCAGCGAGCGATCTGGTGGATTGGACTGAAGGGTCTTGGAGAGAAAGCGAGCGGCAAATCAGTCGATCATGAAGTAAAGAGTCGAGTTCGTTTAAGAGTCATATGTCAAACGTTTGGGATGCTGGGCTGGAAATATAGTTGTTCCCAGTTTCTTTGCGGGAGCGATTGGGAGGGGCGTGGGCTGAGAATCAGAGGAAACGCAACTGATCTCTAGGAGGAGGCGCACATCCAGACGCCAAAAGGTAGATGGCGCCAACGGCCCATGTACTGGTCTCGATCGAGATAAACGTGTGCAGGCTCCAAAGCGACTGGATAAGAGGTAATAAATCGCAAAAAGAAGGTGACGACGGAAAAAAAAAAAAAAAAAAAAAAAGAAAAGAAAAGGAAGGTTGTCGGAAGGATTCTGGCGTGAAGACCGGTTGGGAAATAACAGCGCAACAATCTTGGATTGAAATGCGTACTGCAGTACGTTGCTGGCGACTCTTCCTCTGGCACTGCCCACCCGTGGTTCATGGGTGAGAGTCAATACGGCTCGAACCTAACCAAGTCTGTTGAGTCGCGGCAAACAGGAGAGGCAAGCAGCAGCAGCCTTCGAAGGATTTTCGACAAAATCTCTGCGGGAAAAGAACGAAATAACGGCTTCTCTTAAGCCCAAGGAAATTAATACTCTGCCAATCCCCTGCGTCCGGCCTTCGATCGATGGCGAGCGTGCGAAGTCGTGCGGCACACGCTCGTCGATCTGGGCGGGAACTCTGGACCAAGTTACCCCAGCGGTGCTTGGCACTAGAGAGGCAGTGCGGTCTTGTCACCCAGGGTTCTGCTCGGAAGTCTCTTTTTCTTTTTTTTTTCCCCTCGTCTAACTTTGATTACTTGGGACGACGTTCCACTGAAAGAGGCTACGGACAGAACACATATCCGGGTGCTCTTCCTTTTTTACTCTTGTCGGAATATTTCCATGTCCCACGTGTCCGTTGGGGAAAAGGAAAAAAATATAGAAAAATGCTCCTAACCCCCCCTTTATCCCTTCATTGACGATCCTATGGGGAACTGTCGTCCCCGCTGCGATGGAAACAAATAAAAATACTCTCCCTCCGGAGTCTTGCGCAGCTGCTGTGTGATTGACATCACATTCTTCTGTTTCAGGTGGAAACAAAGTTGCTAGCGTTGTGGACTGCTTCGTCCGACGCCGCCATATCATTTGGATGCCATTGGCCATCCCGGCTGACAGATGGGGCACTACGGGGCACTCGAGCGGGTGAGACCTCCGACGACAGAGGAGCACGAGAGGTACAGAAGACGGAGAAGTTACTGCAGTAATAAATTCATCTCCGCTCGGGAGCTCCATCTGCAAAAAGGGTGCGCATCTCAGGATACTACAGTACTTTCAAAGGTTTGCAAAGGGGAAGAAAGAGAGGATGAGCTGTCCAGTCCATTAGTTAACTAACCATCAATTCTTAGAAGCGCCCGTAAAATTTCCGTGCAATATGAACAAAACTTTCATAGAGGAGAGAAAGAAAACACCCGGCTCCGAATCAGGCTGAGGAAACGGGGAACAGTGATATTAGTTATTCACACAGCATGAAGAGCACAAGAGTTCACTGTACAAATTGCTCATACTTAGACATGCATGGCTTGATCTGGGAGTAGATGCTGAAAGTGCGCACCAGGCAACCATCATTCTGGTAGTTCTCTTCGTTCCCGAGGGCGACTTCTCTGGCCACTCTATGTCTTGGATCAATTATGAAAAATACCCGTCTAAAATTGTTCCATCTCAGATCGTCTTTTGCGGTGGAGGTCCCGATGGAGGCTCATATACTCCGTCTCCCCGGTACGCATGCTGTGGTTGCTGCAGCTCGATCCCCGTCTGTTGTTGGCTGGTCTCGCCGGGGGCCTGGTTGTTGGCATACCCTCCGTAATACGGCCCTGATGTGTATTGCGGTGGAGGAGGCTGTTGGTACTGATACTGCGGAGCAGGTCGTTGGTCTCCTGGTTTGCCCCATGGGCCCATATTGGCAGCCCAGCCAGTACCCATGTACGGTTGCATGCCCCTACTGCGTCGTCGACGGGCAGATATACATCTATCACGACGAAAGGCTGTCAGTTGTCTCTTCTCTTTCTCTTCGCTTTCTTCCTTCTTTTTTCTTTCCTTTTTTTTTTCTTTTTTTCTTTTTTTTTTCTTTTTGATGTTCTTTGTGGACACGTGGGGGAGAACGTACGAGAAGGCGAAGAAGAGTAGAAATGCACTGGCAATAAGGATTGCTAAGAAGACCCAACGCGCCCAGCTATACCAGGCAGAGTCGCAGTACAGACGCCCTGACGGTGTGGTGAAGCAGCTGTAATCAAAGGCACGATGCTTAGCGGAGGCGGTCGGAGGAAAGCTGCAGTGGTTGAAAATTACTTACTCTCGCTTCGAAAACAAAGCCGGCATGTTTCTTCAAGAAGTCAAGATCTAATAGCTCTTCAAGCAAGGGTGCAGAGCGTAGTTAGAGAAAGCAGGAATGGATGGAAATGATGTATATGATAAAGTGTGAGAGAGAGAGAAAGAGGGAATGGAAGATAACAAGGTTGTGGGGTAGATATTCAGGGCCTCCAAGGTCGATGAGGTTGATAGTGGGTCTCGAAACGATGAAAGAATGTGATGATTTGCAGGCGGGAGGGTTGGGATGGGCGATAATATGTAGGAGGGACTGTCTGGTTTCGAGCGCAATTGCCCAGGTAATGAAATATCGTGGCTTCGGAAAAGTGTGGCTGCGCAGAGACGACTTACGCTAAACTGATCCACGGTAGCTTTAACCGCGTGGCCGGGATTACGTCACCTTCCCTCAGATCTCAAACCTTCAGCCCTACATATTTTTGCGCGCTGGACAAGTACAGTAGTCCAGCCGGGGATGGGTCAAACTCTTCGCAAGAAATGATTGGCTTGTTTCTCCCTTCAAATATACGGATTACCCTTTTTGGGGTAGATTATGCTCTTTGAACCGCGCCCGAACTGGCTAAGAAGCAAAGCTGGGCGGTAGCTCCGCAAGTTACCCGACCAGCCACATATACAACGACATCCATTTGACTACCGGCGAGGTGACCGCTTTGATAATCCAGTCCTCCCGCCTCTCCCTGTGCCTGACGTGCAGACAGGCCCTATGAAGGTTTGAAGTCGGGAACAGGATGTCTCATCTAATTGATAGCCACGCCAAACCACATTCCTGGCACCGTGACGGGCTCATCGGATCTTTACTTCTCCCGCCCTCCGAGGTCACATCTGTTAGGTAATCCACCTAGCACCTCGCTCACGTGACCCACATAGATTAGCCAGATTCCCCTTTAGGTAGCTTAGCGAATGACAAGCATACAAGTCCTCCATCAGGTTATAGCCCTTTGCGCCGAAGAGCAAGAAATCCTCTCGGATGCGACGGAAGAAGAAGAGGCGAATGGAGCTGAGCTTCCAGTGCTCAGCACGCGTACAGACATACCAAAATCCATCGCCGAAGCCAAACGCTCCGAAGAGTGGCTTTATTGGAAGGAGGCTCTAGATGTTGAAGTCTCCAAACTACAAGAGAAAGGCACCTGGATCCTAGCCGAGAAGGAACCCGAAATGCAGATCCTCTCTGGCAAATGGGTATTCGATAGGAAGCTCAACAACACAGGTGGCACAGTACGATTCAAAGCCCGTTGGGTCGTACGCGGATTCGAACAGCAAGAAGGTGTTCACTACAAGAAGACCTATGCAGCAGTTGTCAGTGGACCTACAACGAGAGCCTTCTTTGCTATCTCAACAGCCAAGAACTGGAAGGTCAGAGTCTTTGACTTCGTGACAGCCTTCCTAAATGGAACTCTTCCAGAGGACGAACGTGTATACGTTCAACTACCCACTGGATTCAAGCACGGGCGGGGTAACCTAGTAGGGCTCTTACGCCAGGGACTCTACGGGTTGAAGCAAGCTGCTAGGCTTTGGTATCAAGCAGCTACTGACTATCTGAAATCTCTAGGATTCCAGATCTCTCCATACGACGCGGGCCTACTCTACCACAAGAGGAAGCAAATCTACCTAACCCTACACATCAACGACTGCCGTATAATGGGACCCAACGAAGCCGAAACAGAATGGCTCATCGAGAAGCTTCAGGAACGCTTCGAGATCAAGGAGGTTACGGAACAGGGCCATTACCTAGGCATGCGGGTTCAAAAGCAGCCAAATGGAGACCTTTTTGTGAACCAGGAACAGTATATCGAGGATCTACTGACCAAATATGGAATGGAAGACTGCAAACCTTCCAAAACACCAATGAAGAAAGGAATAAGCATCAAATTCGCGCCAGATCAGACCCTCAAAGATGGAGTTGACGAGCAGGCTACGCCTACGAATTACAGGAAAGGCCTGGGCTCTCTACAGTTCCTAGTTACATGTACGAGGCCGGATATTGCATTCGCAGTCAATTATCTGGCGAGATTCAACAGCAGGCCCAATAGGGAGAGCTGGGCGGCGTTCAAGCAGATCCTACACTACCTCAAGGGCACAAAATCAAAAGGAATAGTCTTCAAAAGGGATATGGATCCTGAAGGCTTGAAACCAGCAGCCAGTTCGGATTCTGACTGGGCTGGAGCCGACCCTGCGTACAAATCCACCAGCGGCTATATTATTACCATGAACGGAGCTCCAATATCGTGGAGATCACAGCACCAGACATCCATCTCAAAATCTACGACCGAAGCGGAGTATTTGGCAGCTAGCGAAGCCGCTTGTGAACTGGTTTGGATCAACGACCTGTTGATAGATGCCGGGGTAATTAGTGAAGGCTCAGCAAGGCTAAGGAGCTCAAAATTAAGTGTTGACAACAAGGGAGCCGTTGACTTAGCCAAAGCTGAAGCTATAACGCGAAGAGCACGCCATATTGAGATTCGGCACCATATGCTAAGAGACTGGGTGCAAAAGGACGAAATCTCGATCGAGCACGTTGGAAGCAATGCAAATAAAGCTGACGGGCTCACGAAGGCTCTCGCAATGGATCCCTACGCTCAATTCGTGAGCGCGATAGGGGTGACGGGTTAATACAGGAAAATATGGAGGTCTATCAGTGAAGCCGGCGAAAATACCGTATCGCGGCGAACGGAGCTAAGCCTAAAGAAGGAATAAATCTGGATTTTGTAATTAATTTTTATCGCGGATTTGAGAGATTTGGAAGCTTTGGATCTTTGTGGCTCTCGCTCACTGCTGGAGCTCGTTGCATGGGGGGGTGTTAGGTAATCCAACTAGCACCTCGCTCACGTGACCCACATAGATTAGCCAGATTCCCCTTTAGGTAGCTTAGCGAATGACAAGCATACAAGTCCTCCATCAACATCAGTTGAGGTCGGGAAGCCCTGAAGGAACTTTCGCTTGACCTTGGTCCGACCAACCGGCAGGGGAGTCCTTGGCGCGAGTCGCCCTTCTCTTTTCGCTAGCCAACAACTAAAATGCCAAACATTCCTTGTGGCAGCATTCTCTCAGCTTCACAGCTTCTTCATCTTCCTCCCAGTGTACTGTATAGAGGAATTTCTGTCACCTAGCCAAACACTGTCTGGCAAAGGAGGGCACTCTGTGCTGTGAGTTCTCACTGACACGTGTATGCCACTCTATGGGTAAGACAAGCAGCTTTCGTGTGCTGGTCGTTGGTGGTTCACCTCTCATGATGCATGTCATCTTGCCAACACATCACTTTTCTTGGGGCCCGTGTGCCCGTGTGCCCGTGTGCCCGTGTGGACCAGCTAACCCGCAAACAAGCAGAGCTCCTCATTCTAAAATAATTATGAAGCACTAGCGGTTGAAGGGTTTAAGAAGATTGGAATTGTCTCCCGGCCACCGAGGATGGGACTTTGTTTGATACTTTTTTTTCTTGAATTTATTTCCCACTTCCTCAGGGAAAACCCCCCCTTCCCCCCCCCTTTTTTTTTAAATTATTCGAGAATATTCTTGCTTGAAGACGGGCCTTAAATATGAATGAAATTCTCTCACCCCGACATCTTGGTTTTGATGGGAGATGTCCTGGTCATGAACATCAGCTCACACATGCTTCAGCTCCAGTCCATGATTGATTAACAGCCAGAGATACTATCCAAAGTTACAAAAAAAAAGTCCTCCACAGGGAAAAGTCGGACTACAATGGCGACAAACAGCATGAGATCAACATTGGCAGCCGTTATTCAAGAAAAGAGATTAGGGAAAAAAAAAAAAAAAGAAATAGGGAACGAAGAAAGCGGTGATTAAGCCAGAGCGCAAAAGTCCCAAACCCGAATGCACAAAGATAAAAAGAAGCCGATCCCAACCCGGTCACAATACACCTGATAAGATGAAACTAGATCATTGAAACAAGCAGGCTATTACTTGCTCGAACGCGCAATCAACCAATGCAGCACTGCATCCAGGTTTGTTTCTTCTTTGGCGCTGATGCCGTAGCAACTGACTTCCCGCCGAGTAATTGACTTCAGGTCCATCTCTTCGATCAATTCATCCACTGACAACTTGTCAGGCAGATCTGATTTGTTGCCTAAAACGAGAAGAGGGATTCCATCGAGAGACGGCTTGCTGACAAGCTCATGGAGTTCATCTGTCGCCATGGGCAAAGCATCCCTATCGGCCGCGTCGACGATATACCTGTGCGTCCTTAGCCTCCATCCGCCCCCCTCTCCGCCGATTTCTCAGCGTGGCATAAGTTAACACTTACACGATGGCATGCACTCCACGGCAGTACCTCTCCCACATCGGTCGAAACCTTGGTTGACCACCAAGGTCCCAACTGCTCTGTCGTCAGCGTCACTAGATTCTATAGAAATTCAAGAGGAGGAGGTATTACCACTTCAGCGTTACATGGCCTTTTTGCACACGCTTGGTGTTAAACCCGATGGTTGGTATCGAGCTTTGTACATTTGGAGTCAATAATCGACCAAATCACTGTCTGGCGGCGTTGGAAGCTATGGTTTGCCAGGGGTTATGACATACTCGATTGTGAATTCACCACCCTAGTAATAACATTAACACATGCTCCTTTCAGGTAGGTGTACAGTACTGACCGCTAAAACTCGCAACAGCGACGATTTTCCTGCGTTCTGAAGACCAACCATCGTAACATCCATTTCGGTCGCCCTACCATCGAGAGAACAAGCGAACATTAGCACAGTATTCTCCCATCAGCACGAAACCGTTCAACCTTGCGGGCGCTCTGTTTCGGTTCCTTTACATCCTCGCCGCCAAACGGCCTTCGTTCGGACAACGACTAACCAGAACATTCTGAGCAACCAGTCATAGATACTTCTGAAGAAGCTTCCCATCCCGACCCCGGCTCCCACCTGAACGTCGCTTGCTATCAGAGAATACACGTCAGACGGAGCCGACACTTGTAAAAACGATAGAAATTCGATAATACGGAATTTCTGCCTTGCTGGACGTACTGTACAGCGAGAAAGCGGGGAGAGTACTAGATGGTAACACAAGGGGTATTTGGGTGTGTCGGTGAGGATGTGCTTTTCCGCTGGGACCTTTTTTCGGTTTACCAAGAGTGTGGCGCCTGTAGCCTTCCCCCAAGGAACACACTAACTAGTTTGCTGAGGAACCATCACAGGTAAACAATCCAAGGCTGGTGGAGAGTTCGAATGCAGGCAAAGGGAAATTAATATTAGAACTGAACACTGAGACAAAAGTAATTATAATAAAAGCAGCAATACGGAGTAAAAATAAAAAGAAGGTAAAAAGAAAAAAAAATAAGAATAAAAAAAAAAATAAACAAAAGGCTGGCGAACTTTAGATTGTTCGTGAGAGGCAGATTCGAAACAGCGGGTACTGTTGAATGCTGATTAGCTGAGCGCTTGTTTGAAGCTCTCTGCTTCACATTCCTGGCCAAAGTTTTAAAAAAAAAAAAAAAAAAAGGAGAGTTAAGAGATAATGCAGAGAGCAAGTCAACTACTCGATGGAATTGTGCCGTGTCCTGCTGGGATGTGAATGCACACATGACCAAGCCCTTTCGCGTGCGCTTTGTTGAGGCGGGGCGGAAGAACTCGTGTGCAGCCAAAGCCGGTAGTGGAGCTTTGGCGTCTAGAGGGATAAACGGGGTGATAAGGGGTCCAGGTCCTCGTTAGTCCTAGTCGATGTTCCTTGCGTGATGTGGGCAGCCGCAGCCACTAATGCTCCTGATGGATGCGCAATGATGTGGACAGGGGAGTGCGAGTTGGGCGGGCTTTGCCTGTGCTGCGTTGGAACTCTGGGATTCACGAGAAGGACTGGGAGTGGGGGCCTTCCCGGCGCTAAATGGAACCTGACCAGGGAGGTTTGTTCGGAGAACTTGCTAATTTTATATCAAAGACCTGCCGGCAATTGGATCGAAAGTCATTCCAATAATATATCGACATTTTCACGTCATTTTGGTTTTATAGATCAATTGGCTTAGATGCTTCTAGGGAACTCTAGATGGAACATGGAATATAGGGTACTGAGACAGAGTCCACTATCCTATTACTTTCTTTCTTACCAAAGTTGAAGAGGCTGCGGTATCCGAATAGTAGACGGGAATCCTTTCTTCTTTTTCTTCTTCCGCTTCTTCATTTTTTCCGAAGCATGGTGCCCGGACATACGCCCACCCTAAGAGCGGATGGGCTTTCTTCTCTTTCTTTCATCGCCTTTTAGGGACAGAACCTCTCTCGCTTAGTCTTCCGCCCCTTCAACTAGTATCTAGCAAGTCGGCGGGTAAAGGCCCTCTGTAAACATGATAAACGAAAGAGGAGCACACACTGTCAGCCCAATGAAGCTGAAGTAAGCGATGATTTTGCGATAAGTTTCCCCCGAACCGGTTAGCTAGAACTCTCGCGACTTGGCCGCAACCTTTCGGCGGTAGGGCGGAAAATCAAAAAGTGGAGTGAGTGTTCAAGGGCTTAATATTGGTAGATCCTTCTACTCCTCTAGGCCTTCAGACTTTACAACCAGAACTGTGGACAGAGATTTCAAGGGGCACCTGGGAGGCAAGACTTCAGCAATCAAGTGGATATTTGTGTTGATCAGGCCCGGGTAATTTCCTTTCGTTCTACTCCGTAGTAAACAACCAAAAACGAGATAGAGCTAAAAGATGATGATCCGCGCGCTGTGGAGGCTATGATTTATTCATGTATGGGCTTAGCCATGCAGATAGCGGCAGCGGTGATGCCGGTCATTCTTCACAAACCTGTTCAACATCATGATCTGCCAGGTTGCGGACAAGTGCGGCGTCCCAAAACTGAAGAAAGGAGTACGCAAAAGATTTGAATACACAGCTACGCTTTCCTGGAAAGCTGACAAGTTCCTTACGGCTATTGATAAGACATGTAGCACCATGCTGGAGGGGGGCCAGGGCTCTGCGAGAGACCCTTTGTTGAAGCCGCCTTTCTTCACATCGACGTACTCCAAGTTAGCGCGGGGTTTAACGATGTGCCTGAGAGGACCGGGGGTTGTTTGCGGCCGACCTGATGGAGCACCATCTGGCAAGAAGGCAGTTCACTGGCTATAACAGCTGTTACTAGTACATAGCTTGGGATGGAGGAAGCGGGGACATGGCATATTATGATGTTGGCACTCCGTAGTTGCAACTGTTAGTTACCACAACGAATTGTAATGGGTGGAATGAAACATGGAGTACGGACGAGTACGGTGTAGGTCCATACAAGCTGTACTTCTGAGGTGGTGCATGACCGAGCCTCCTCTGTAGCATATGCGCTAAACTATTTTTGGGCTCAGTGGCTCATGCGTGTCCTTAATAAGCAATTAAAGTTTTGGAACTAACTAAGTTAGTTAACTATCGAGGAAACTTCCTACCTGTTTTCATCGGAGTATCGGCGTATCATATTTCCGGCGCCTGAAAAATATTTCGAGCAGAAGCTCCGACAAACAAGCAGATTGAACGCAGAAGAGCGATTGACTTCATTTCTCTTTTGCAGTAGAGTACATATATTTAATGTGAATTGTGCGCAGAGTGCCATGGGCGCTATTACATCTCTCCACCGGTAATTGCAAACTTTCCTACCTTGATTCTTCCGCTCCACGCATTCAAGTTTCTGCAGGATACCATGGCGTCCTCTACAAAAACAGACTGGTCCGTCCAGTACGACACTCTCAGACGAGAGCGTCTATTTAGACACCCGCCAAAGGACCACACCGCGTATCCGATGCTCGCCGCCGCCGTTCGACCGCATATCGATTCCTTCAATGCGCTCTTCGACGATAGCAAGGTTATGGAGGCTGCCCTGAAAGACATTGGCACAAAAACATTCCTCGACGGAGTCCCAGAGACACCGGAGCTGAGGAGGCAAAGAAGGGAAGAAGGAAAGCGAGCTCCGCGGAGGAATAGGCTCAGCGTTCGCGTCACAGAACTGTTTTTGGAGAAAGCAGTGTTGCCAGCGTCGAACAAGTTTACCACTCGGAACCGTGAAATCTTGCCGGCGGAATGCCGCGAGAGACATGCTACATATCGCGGCAGGTTGAGGGCCAGGTTAGAATTCAGAGTGAACAATGGAGACTGGAAGGAATCGGTTCGGGAGCTGGGCCAGGTCCCCATTATGTTAAGGGTGAGCGATATAAGCTTCGGAAAGCGTGATGGCTCGTCGATAAGCTAATATATTCCCTGATTCAACTCCGCAGACAAACAGATGCCATTTGGAAAAGCTCACTCCGTATCAATTGGTTGAGCGCAAAGAAGAATCCGAGGAGTTGGGCGGGTACTTCATTGTCAATGGCAACGAGAAACTCATTCGAATGTTGATCGTGTCGAGGAGAAACTTTCCGATGGCAATCATCCGAACGTCTTTCACAAAGCGCGGGGCGTCATATACAAAGTTTGGTGTGCAAATCCGATCTGTCAGACCTGATCAGACTTCCCAGACGAATGTTCTTCATTATCTTAGTGATGGGAATGTTACGTTTAGATTTTCTTGGAGGAAGAACGAATATCTTGTCCCAGTTGTGATGATCCTGAAGGCTCTTATCGAGACGAATGACCGGGAGATCTTTGAGCGCCTGGTTGGGAGAGAGGGCTCTTTGGGAATAAATAATACGTTCGTTACGGATCGGATGGAACTCCTATTGAGAACTTACAAAGCCTACGGTGTCCATTCGAAAAGCAAATGTCGAGCATACCTAGGTGAGAAGTTCCGGTATGTTTTAGGAATGGCGGATAACGTGTCGGACGAAGACGTTGGCACAGAATTTCTTCGCAAAATAGTTCTCCCACATTTGGGAAACCAGAACGTAACGGAGCCCCAGGACAATGACAAGTTCAATATGATCCTTTTCATGATTCGCAAGCTTTACACCCTGGTGGCTGGGGATTGCGCACCTGATAATCCTGATGCAGTTTCCAACCAGGAAGTTTTACTCGGTGGTTTCCTTTACGGAATGATCCTTAAAGAGCGCCTGGAGGAATGGCTACGATCAATTGGGCCTTTAGCACGAGACTGGAGTAACAGGAATCTAGGCGCGCTGTTCACTGATCCCAAATTTGAAAAGGATTTCCTAGGCCGCATTGTAGCCAGGACTAATGAAAATCTTGGTGGAGCTTTGGAGTATTTTCTATCTACTGGAAATCTTGTTAGCCCTACTGGTCTCGACCTTCAACAACCGTCAGGTTACACTATTATCGCCGAGAAGATTAATTTCTACCGTTTTATCAGCCATTTCCGAATGATTCACAGAGGTAGCTTCTTTGCGCAACTGAAAACCACAACCGTTCGAAAACTTTTACCGGAAAGTTGGGGTTTCTTATGCCCGGTCCATACCCCTGACGGTAGTCCTTGCGGCCTTCTTAACCACCTCGCCCACAAGTGCTTGATTGCAACAAGCAATTTGGATGTTTCTGGGATACCTGAGATACTATCAACTCTCGGAGTCGGCTCAGAGTCATCATCGTCGCTGGAGGAGAGTGTTGCTGTGCTATTAGACGGCAGAATAGTTGGGTATTGTGCACCAAAACAGGCTCGGGTTATAGCGGATACTTTGAGACACTGGAAAGTGGAAGGTCACCCGAAGATTCCTACGGAGCTTGAAATTGGCTACGTTCCGAACTCTAACGGTGGTCAATACCCTGGCGTTTACATATTCTCCCAGTGTGCCAGAATGTACAGGCCGGTGAAATATCTGCCGTTGGATAAGTTGGACTATGTCGGTCCATTTGAGCAACCGTTTATGGAGATTGCCTGTGTGCCGTCTGAGATCACTTCGGGGCTCTCTACGCATGTTGAATTCGATCCTACCCATATCCTCTCAATCCTCGCCAACATGACCCCGTTCTCTGATTTTAATCAGTCTCCCCGTAATATGTACCAATGTCAGATGGGTAAACAAGCAATGGGTACGCCCGGGACATCGATAGCCTATCGAACAGACAACAAGCTTTACAGGCTACAAACGGGCCAGACACCAATCGCCCGACCTCCGTTGTATAATGCCTATGGCCTGGACAATTTCCCCAACGGAATGAATGCTGTTGTGGCAGTCATTTCGTATACAGGTTACGATATGGACGATGCTATGATTATCAACAAATCAGCCCACGAACGTGGCTTTGGATATGGAACCATCTACAAAACTAAAATTTACGCACTCGACGACAAAGAAGCGCGTGGTCGCGGTAAGTCAAGGCGCGAGATCACCAAGTTATTTGGGTTCGCACCGGGGGGTCTTGTCAAGGCCGAATGGCGCAATCACCTTGGCGAGGATGGTTTGCCTCATGTCGGAGCGAAGGTGGCGGAAGGTGACATTATCGCAGCATGGCATACAGTTCAGTATGACCCAGCGGCAGAAACCTATCTTAATGTGGACAAGGAGACGCACTTCCTCAAATACAAGGACTCCGAGGAAGGATACATAGACAGCATTCGAATCCTTGGGGCGGAGACAGGCAACGAAGCTTGCCAGGCGGTCAGCATCAAGTACCGCATTCCTCGTAAACCAGTCATTGGAGACAAATTCTCTTCTCGCCATGGTCAAAAGGGTGTCTGCTCTCAACTCTGGCCGGCTGTCGACATGCCGTTCTCCGAATCCGGTATTCAACCCGATGTTATCATCAACCCTCACGCTTTCCCTTCCCGTATGACAATCGGTATGTTCGTCGAGTCACTTGCCGGCAAAGCGGGCGCCCTTCACGGTCTCGCGCAGGATTGCACACCATTCCAGTTCTCCGAAGAGTACACCGCAGGCGACCACTTCGGTGAACAGCTCCGCAAAGCAGGCTACAACTTCCACGGCAACGAGCCCATGTACTCCGGCGTCACTGGCCGCGAATTCGCTGCGGATATCTACATCGGCGTCGTCTACTACCAGAGACTTCGACACATGGTTAACGATAAATTCCAAGTGCGTACCACCGGTCCCGTCAACGCTGTGACAGGCCAACCCGTCAAAGGTCGTGCCAAGGGTGGTGGTATCCGTGTTGGAGAAATGGAACGTGATGCTCTTCTCGCACACGGTGCGGCGTTCTTGCTTCAGGACCGACTGATGAACTGCTCTGACTCGACGCGCGCATGGATATGTCGGACATGTGGCTCGTTCTTGTCTACACAGGTTGCCGTCTCTCAATTACTCAATCCACATAAGAACCCTGCCATGGAAGCGGTGGTGAAATCGTCCAGTGCGGCGGTTGCCAGACCTACGGGCGGTGTGAGCGCACTGGGTGGTCTGTCGGGGATAGTTCGATGTAGAAGGTGTGCCCGAGAAGCGGTGTTTGATGATCCCCGTGCCGAAGTGTGGGAAGATGGTTCGGGGAAGAGATTTGTTGGAGGGGATCAAACTACGGTTGTCGTGGTGCCGGGAGTGTTGAAGTATCTTGATGTTGAGCTAGCCGCTATGGGAGTGAAGATGAAGTTCCATGTTGATAATTAATTAGATAGATGGCAAAAAAAGTGGTTAGATGAATGGGTTACGCGACGACGAGAGGCGTCAAAGGCGCAATATTGAGAATTTATACTGATTAGTTAGACACGACAGGATTTGAATGTTTTGAGCCTTTACCTACTCGTCGCCACGTATACTTCCGGTGTCTTAACTATGAGAGAGTAAACAAGACGGCTAGACGAGTCCCTAGCGTAGTCTACAGTTAACCTGATCCGTACTAACTCATCTATGCGCCTACCCTCATGTAGAATGGAAGATTGGCGGGAGAACAACAAGGACATGAGCTCAACAGAAACCCTCGATAAAACCGGGCAACGCACAGTACGAGAATTAAATGGCAATCAGGAAACCAAAAAAAAAAAAAAAAAAAAAAAAAAACGTATGTATTCGCTAACCCACGTTCATAAAAGGCAAATCACTCCAGCTTCATCGGGACATTGGAGAACTCGCCAGTCTCTAGTTTCTCCTTCCAGAAAATAGGGTTCATGTCATTGAAACCGTGCTTCACCCATCCGTCCTCCTTCACGTGGTACAGATTGACGAAGCCACCAGAATAAGCATCACGGTGCATAGCAGCCAGAATGCTTCGACGCCCGAGATTCAATGCCTCTTCCTCAGTCAAATCGTATCTGTATTCCGCGTCCAAGACGCCATAGGCAAAAGTCTGACCGGAGCCAACGCAGAAGAGGTTACCTGCCAGCCTGGTTCCGTCTGAATCGATGTAGTATAGGGCCGGGCCCTCTTGAGGCGTTACACCAGCACACATCGTACCCATGCTGAGACCCATCCCCTTGTAGTTGTAAACGAGGTTGGCAAGGAGTTTCGAAGCGGCGGCGACGGAGATTCGACGTTTATGGCGGAGTTCGTGGAGACGACAGAGCATGCCAAGATACGCGAGCCAGTATTGGCAATCCTAAATATTGAAAAGAAGATCGAACAAATCAGCAAAATCCGGGCCACGAACTAGTTGAATATGTTGCTGTCCATGTTGAAACGTACAGCGGCACCACCGGCCATGGTTCCCAGCAAACAGTTATTGATCTCAATGACCTTCTTCACCGTTTGACTCGCAATCCAATTTCCCGCCGTAGCTCTTGAGTCTGTGGCGACGATAATTCCGCCTTGGAATCTGAACGCGAGGGTCGTTGTACCGTGGGCAATCTTGATTGGGCACTCTGGATTGGCATGGTCGTCTGTCATCGCTCGGAGGAATGACGCGGGCTAGTTAACAAAGTTCAGTATAAAATATGCCCAAATATGTTCCCGGGGAGGTTCAGATGTTACTTGAGAAATAGGAGGTAAGTCGAATCTCAGTGACAGGGGAGGGAGAATCGTCGTGATTTCCTGGTCATCTTGCTCTATGGCGGCCTGCTCCTGGTAGTGCGGCCGAGAGTACTGGGCAACTATGGCATCCATCTGTGAAGAAGCTGAAAATAAAATCTAAAGAAGCAAAAGGCGGAATTATCGACGGAGCGAAAGAATCGGCTAGTATACAGAGAGAGGTGGATGGGGGTTTGCGGTCAACTGAGTCGTTGGGTCCTTTTCAGAGAGAGCTTCGCGATGCGATGATGCTGGTGGTTGGCTGGAGGAGCTTCGTGGCCCTGCTGGCGCCTGGTTATATAAGCGCCAAGCCTCGATCATCGAGCAAGCAACAAGAAAGTCACGCTGAAGCTGAATTTGAAAGCTCGTTTGGAACTGCTGAACTACGTTCGTTGCATTACCTCCAGGCTATTAAGCTGCATCATACGGAGTAGCCAACTGCATTGCTGAAAAAAAATTCTCAAGCACAGCCTCAGAGCACCGAATCACACCTGATTTCCTCATTCCACCCCTTTCTTCCTTTTTTTTTTTTTTGTTCACCCGTAATTTACTTGAAAGCAAACAGCTTGCATGCAAAGAGATGGGAGTATCCAGGGTACCAAGGATATAATTCCAACAATTAGGGCGCAATTTATGCCCCCGCTCCTCCTGGCTCATTAGCAGATCGTGTTTCTTTCTGGTACGTCATTTCCTCCGGTCCACCGTTGGTATATGTGTCTCCGTCCGCATCTTCCCGACGATGAGTCGGAAGCATTCCAGGGCCAACTCCATGGGCGGAAGATCGGATCGGTTCGACACTCGGCTCCCACGTCCGGAGCTCTTGTTCTGCATCCTCAAGGATTTGCTTCCCTGGCTCCGCACCTTCGTAAGACCTCCGTGCTTCTCCTGGAACCAGCGGAGTGTCATCGAGCAGGTTCAGAATCCTGCGCCCGTGGCGGGCTAGGATAATCTGCTTCTCGGCTCTCTCGATCGTGGCTGCCAACTGCATGTCGTATGACTCTTTGAATTTTTGGCGTGTCTGTTCAGGAATCACGTTCTTGTCAACTTGACTTCTCAAACTAGATATGCTAGCTGGTAGTTTCTGGGTGCCTTTACCATATTCGTCAACTGTGCTTCGGCAACCAACACCTGGGCCTCCGCCCTGACAAGCTCCTGCTCCAGAGTAGTTACCTTGGAGCTACCAGGGTCCCTCTGCTTGTACCTCTGAATTTCATCGATGAGCTTTGTTTTGTGGTCACGGGCCGGCTGGACAGAGCTTTCTGTGTTTCGAATGTGCTTCAAGATATTGCGCGAGTCTTCCAGATTCTGGGCGTAGGCATCTTCTTGCTCCCCAAGCTCTGCAAGGACGACGCCCAGTTTATCCGAGATATCGGAAATCGCCGCATCTCCTGTTGATTCCCCCCACTCGGACAATTGAGAGGCCACAGAGATACGATCGCGTCCTGCGGATTCATAGGCGTCGATAACGTGGTTCTCCGTCTTGATCATTTTAAACAGCTTCTTGCTTAGCTCTGGCTGTCGCTCCCCGCGGAGCGTGGCCATGGTGAAGCGGTGCCTCGGACGAGTCTCCGGGGCCGCCCTCTTTCCACGATTCCTAGCCAAAGGGATTCGGAGTCAGCAAACTGTGACAACCTCGAGCAGCTAACACCGTAGCAACTCACATTTTCGCTTTTTCCCGAAGAAAAGAGTATTCTGTAGTAAAGAAACGATTTCTCTTCGCCGCACGGAGGACAGGCGAAGATTCAATTGCTCCGGACGGCGATCAATTGCTGTTGAAGTAGCAGTTAATCCGGAGAGGAGCTGCAGAGCATGTCCAAGTTTGCGCCTTCCCGCGAGCTTCCATGTGAGGGTCGGTCGATGACGGCAGGCTGGACGTTGAGGGCTATCCGAGCCGGCCTGACGTCATGGACAGAGGCGGGCATCTGCCAGCCAAACACGATATGCTAAAAGTTGCCATCTGCTGGTTAAAGCTTGGGCAAGGGGGAGTTTCCACGCGAGAAGAGCTCTCTAGCGGGCATTTTTGAGTTGATCGCGTGCTGAATCCGGACTCCTACGCCAACTTTCTGCGGAAATTGACTTCCTGTTAGCAGGTAGGAGTATGTACTGACATGGCGTGGAGCTTGCTCCGCACGTTCCAGCTAGGCTTGAGTTTATGTATGAGAGCCATGATTGAACTCAGCAGGGCATTTTTTAGCTTTATGTACTCAATATGCGACAAAACTTACAAAATTGAGCATGCAAAGTTCCAATCATGGGGACTCTATATAACCCATAGGTACGGAGTATATGGTTTGGGACAATAACGTAGATTTATGATAGGTGAAAGTATATATTACATTATCATTTATGCCTCATGGACAAACGCCTCGCGACCCCTTTTCCCCCGTCCGCGATTCCCCCCTCCATCCCCGTTCTAACCTCAATCGCTCAAAGTCATGCCCAACCGCTCTACCTTTGTGATATGTACCTTAAATCCTCCTAACTTGAGAGTCCTCCCCCATTCTTCTATATATGTCCTTCCCATTTATTCTCTCCTCTTGTTGTTTATTTTTGGAATTTACAATGACTGTTCCCTTTCATCCTCCCCTTCTCAAATACATATATTCTTGTGATCCCCCACACTGTTCTCGGTGACAGGCTCATGTGGTTTGAAAACGAGCTCAGCTGATTCCATGTAAGTACAATGACTGCAAGAACACGAAAATCTGGTTGGCTTGTCCAAGAGAACCCCAAGGCCCAGGGAGCTGTAAGTTTACTGCAGGAACATTAATTATTTAAGAGCAAGAGGAGAGGAGTTTTTTGTTTTACACCAATTTAGCTTATAGTGTTGTTATATTTCATCCATTATTAAGGTACGTTGTACATCATCCAGTCAAAACATATGAAAAACATCAATCGTGGCAGTCTGGTAGCTCCCACCCATGATTCCAATCTATTGGGTATCTTGGAAATATCCGAAATATAAGCAAAATATCCAGAACCAAAGAAAAGGGCAAAAAGCGACCGAATACGCCTCCCATAGTATGACATCCAAATGCTCCGGAAAGTGTCCAATATTGCACACCACGAGTTGAAACCGTGTTAAATCGAGAAACACCATACACCTGCTCTCTGCATTCATGGAAAGGGCGGCCCTAGCTCTGCGCCACCATCATCCTCACCAGTATCCACACCTCCAGTTCGACCCCCATTCATATCCGGATGGGCGGATCTCACAGTAGGACGTCCGTGACGATGGCCTCCATGATGAAGACCATCGGGAGGATGGGGAGCAAGTATATCTCCGGTACGATGGCCTGGTAGGATAGTATGGTGTTGTTCTGTAGATTTTCTCCGGATAACAGGTAGTGGACTTCTCCAATAATGAATATTTGGAAACACGGTGGTAGAAGACGTGGCGGTAGACGCGGATGCTGTCCGGGAAGCACAACATCTTGGCTGAGTCGGTGTGGGAAATTGGTAGGAAATCAACGTCTGGAAGACTACTGGTGTAAGAGTGAAATGCAAGGAAGATTGCAAGCGCAACGAACAGTAAATCGACGACGAGGAGACTGCGTGAGCGAAGAGAATGGACGTCGGGTTCCGACAACGCAGATGAGATGATTTCTAAGGAGAGCAGTTTGGCGGTTCTTTCCTAGATCTCTTGCTTTCCTTGCCTGCTCTAGTGTTAGCTTCAATGTCTCTCTGGGAAGTCGGATAAACTGCGACCTGGGAGGAGATAGACTCACTTATTTGAGGAAATCACCCAACGGCTCAACGATTCAGCAGCAAGATGAATCTTTAGTCTGATGGTAAGTGTTTAGGAAAATACTTGGTGAATACCGCGCAGGTACAACGCTTTGACGGCCCCTGTTCCCTAGCGATCGCAGAACTTGGAAGGTGTGGTAAAGAGAGAGTTGGTGGTGGGAGCTTGTCCTTGGTTTCTTGTTTATGAATGAATGTATTGTAGTTGCTAAGATTCTTGTATGACTTGAGAGGCTTGTGATTGTTGAAGAGGAGAATGGACGAGGGTATAGGGTGGATTTATACGAGTGTGCCAGGTACACATGATGTCGGTATTCTGGCGAGTGAGCCTGGCTATGCTCACGTTCGCAAGGGATGTTTTTTCTGCATTGCTCGCTGGGGAAGAAACAATCTGCCTGTTCAGGCATGGTATGCCTTACTACTAGAAAGCAAAGTGCGAGAGAGTGACAGGCAGAGCGACAGCGAGATCGAGCCACGACATCGTCATATTCCCCCCCCCCCCCCGAAGCTTCTGGCTGCTGCATTTTTCACTTGAGACGGTTCCAGAACCCGTCGAACGCGCCTGTCTGCTGCACCTCCTGCAGAGAAATTCGCAGCCGCAAGCACCGTTGGATCTCCTGGATCTCCTGGATCTCCTGACAGATCGATCATATGATGTCATCATGCAGCCTTGTCCAGTGGGAGGAGGGAGCCCGACGGCACTGCCTAGCACATCTTAACTGCGTGGAGCCAATCCACCTCGCCAAAAATGCTGGATGGCACTCCGCTGTGCCGCCGACTGGCTCTCCGCTTCCCTGAGGTTCGCGTGTTTTGGAGTTTGCGTTCCTGCGGGCTTTGCGTGGGCGGGATTGGCAGCTGCACGAGCGGCCGCTAATGCAGGACCCACTGCCGAAATGCCGTTTGGGTGAAGGAGCCGCGTGACTATGGGCTTGGCGTGAGAGCCGCCCTGGTGGCTTGACTGTTTCGGAGTGTCAGTCCGCCGCAGGAACGGGGGAAGAAACGGGGCCAACGGGCTGGGGGATTGGGCAGCAAAAGTGACTTATCGGGCGATGCAGAACGGCTTGACGGAGCCGCTCCGGAAGGCAAAGCCGGGGGGGGAGGAGGGGTTACCCAAGGCATCCGTCGCTCATCCCGGCAGCATTTATGAGAACGCTGGCACCCACGAATCTCGAGCCCAGCAAGCAGGATTGCTGCCTCCAGAGAGCAGAGGCATAGAGATTTAAAAAAAAAAAAAAAAAAAAAAAAAAAAAAAGGTCAGATTCCTACCTACCTAACGCCCGAAGATCACGAGTTCTCGCTCCATAGAACCACCGATCATTGAAGAAACACACCTAGTCCCATCCCGTAACATAATCATACAGGAAAAAAAAAAAAAAAAAAAACCAAAAGAAAAAACTCCCGTTCTTTTCCCCCAACGCATAGCCCCCCTACGAGATGTCCTCTGTGTCATGATGTTGATGTCCACCCTCCGACGCATGGAACGCATCGCCGAAGGCAGAGTTGTCCAGCCCTTCCAAGTCCAGTCCACTGTTTTCCTCGTACGCTGCCAGGGCTTCACCGGCCGAATCGATATGGCTAAAACTCGCGGCGTCTTCGAAATTGCTCGTCTCTAAAACTTCAGGCGCTTCAAGTCCAGTGTTGTTTCTGGGTGTGGTGCCCTCTGGCTCCTTCATAGACGCGCCCTTCGGTGCACTTGGCTGTTCGATGGATTCAGCCTGATCTCCCTTTGGGCTACCGTCTCTTGAAGTCTTTTCATCTTTGTTCACTACCACCCAGTCCTCCCCAAGTTGGTCAGCCGACGCTGGCGCTTGACCCTCATTCACGCCTCCCATTTCGATATCTCCACTGGGACCGGATGCGGCCTGTATGTTGCCTTGGGCTGCGTTGGAAACATCACCCGTCACCTCTTGCGTTGCTTGTGCTCCTTGTTTCGCCGCTTCAAACTCAGATACGGACTCGCCCTGTGCTGTAGGCAACTCGAGGTCCTTTGAGAGGTCTTCCCCATTTCCCATGTCAACGTCTGCGGCAGATGGTTCGGTAGTGGGTTGGGGCGACTCTTTGACTGGCTCCTCGAGCCCGCCTTTGTCGACGCAAATGACTTCCTTGAGAGGCACAATAGGTTCACCCCAAGCCTTTTGCACTTCAGCAGATATATCAGCGACTTTCGTCCTGGACGTAGGTTCGTTATATTCGACCTGTTGCATTGTTTCATCCGTTACGACAATGGGTCTCAGACGATTTTCAATCCGCCAAAATTCTTTGCCTACATTCGAGGGGTCAACGTAGGCATCGCGAAGTGCGACCTCTCCTTCTTTCAACACGGACAGCCGGTTGATTTTCTCGAGTCGGCGTGCATGTCTTCTTTTGAGCGCTTCAATTTCAGCCGTCACATCAGCAACCCTCTTCGTAACGGCGTTGGTAAACTCCTCCATCCTTTCTGGCTCCATCTTGCTGACTGTAGCATCGGATTCGGCACCAGGAGAAGGACCAGCTGGAGCCTCCAGATATCCCTTCGTGAGAGATTCCAGTTCTCCTTTTCGGCCAAGTCCCAAGTCAACTGGTAAAATCTGATTTATCCGGTAAGGTGAATCAAATATCTCCTCCATCCATTCATGGTTATGGCGATATCTTAGTCGACTGATCTCTCGCGGTGTGATATTATCTAAGAAATCTCCAGTGGATACTTCTTCGTCCTCCAAGGAAAAGTCTGGGAGTGCAGCTGCTGCCATTGCAGCCGATGCGGTCGCTCGGTGTCCGCGAGGTGTCTTAACCTGCCCTGGCGGCATGTTTGCACCTGGAGGGTGTTGGAAGAACGGGGCTTGCGGGTGGCGCGCCATGTATGGCTGTGCGTAAGGACTGGGCTGCGCATATGGCTGCTGACCAACTTGGGGTGGAAGGCTGATAGTGGGCCAGGTATTTCGGTCGTGCAACATGAATTCCTTTCGCGCGAGCTGACCTTGGCTCTGAAGAAATCGGCGCTGAGCTAGAATGTTATGGATTGCCGGAGGAACAGCGATGTGCGTTACGGGGATCTGGTCAATGGAGGGTGCTTTAGCATAGTGAACGATCCATAGAGATGGGTCGGGAGGTGGAAGGTTGGGATTTGGTGTTTTCGCAGGTGTCAATCGGAATCTTCTACGGGCATGGGTAGCAACTGTCTCGTGCGGTGGATGGTATCCGCATCGATGTAACCACATTTCAACAGTCTATTGCCGTGTTAGCATAGATATGGCTAGCAGGATGTTATCCCTTGAGCTTGGAAACTGCGTACATATCCGCGCGATTCTGTTGTATAAACTTGCTCTGCGTCTCCCCACACGTAGCCATCACTTGCGAAATTCGTTCCCAGATGGTTTAAAGGCTGCCAAACAAGCATGACTGTCCCGTCTGGAGGTGCATCAAGAAACATCCAGTGCATTGGCTGTAGTTCTCGAACGACTTTCGGAGCTGAGAGAAGGTATTCGACGGCGGTCTCCATGGTGAGGTTGGCCATTGACGGGTACCTATAGCTTGAGACAAGGTGCATGTGTGGCAACTGTCAAGAAGGCCATAATCAGCATATGTGCGCATAACTTAATAGACAGCAATTCAGAGGAGGTCATGAGCTCACCAGCTGTTGCGGCACACCCCCAGCTGGGTCCTGCATCCTTGCGGCAGGATTTTGACGACTCATCCACAAAGATATTTGGGGCCCCACAGCTTAAAGCAAAATATGAGCTGATAATTGGGTATCTATGCGCAAAGAGCAGATGGTGGGCAGATTCTGGTGCCCCAGCTTGCCATCTTCACTTTCGCGTCTTTAAACCAATCGCGACTATAAATCACGTGATGCCAAGCCAGTCATTATGTAAGAGTGTGCCAATTTGGCTCTCCTGGCGTCGGCAGCCACCATTTACACAAAAGTTGCTGTGATCTTGTACTCTATTCATCAGGATCAAAAGATACTAGTCTTCTGCTGTTTCCAGCCTGATTGAGCCAGGAAACTAGTGTCGGATGCCATGTCCATGCTAAATGAAACTTCCTCATCCTCACCTGTGTGCCCAACATTCTTTCTACTGATCCTGTCTTATCCTATCCACTTGTTTGTGCTGTTTGCATTGTCTTGCTGAGCAACATCGTCGCGTGCGAACTTGGTCATTATATACTCCTTCTAAGGATAACCCTCCTTTCCTTTACAAACATGGCTGTGCAGGAAAACCAATATCTCCATGCACTTGTTGATATGGGGAGGTGAGGTTCTCTGCCCATCAACAAATATGATGGGGGCCAGGGCTCGGGGAGCCCAACAGCTAAACTCTTGATGACAGCAATGGTATTCGTTTCTCAATATCCGATCTGTCCCCACTCACTTCAAGAATACTGCCAACTGTGTTCCAAGACCGCACCGGCATCTCTCTTTACGATGCTCAATTCAGGCCAGGGAGCAATACCAGGCAGCCTATCTCTCTATCGGTTCAGGAAGATGTTGTTCGCCGTTTAGTGCGATTCAGGGAGACATGCAAGGACTTCGGTGTACCTGAGGGGAATATTACCGTCCTTGCAACCGAGGCCACCAGAACTGCCATAAATTCCCGAGAATTTCTATCCGCGATCAAGGAAAGCACTGGATGGGATGTCCAACTGCTTTCCAAGGAAGAAGAGGGAATATTGGGAGCATTTGGGATTGCCAGCAGCCTAGAAGCTGTGGAGGGTTTGGTGATGGACCTGGGAGGAGGAAGCACTCAAATTACGTGGGTCATTGCTAAAGATGGCTCTGTGCTCACGAGCCCCAAAGGTTCGATCAGCTTGCCATATGGGGCGGCAGCAGTTACAAAAAGACTAGAAAAGCGCTCAGAGCGGCAGAATTTGGAAAACGAAATGATTCCAAAATTCAGGGATGCCTATAGTGAACTCTGTGTCCCCAAGGAACTGCTGGAGCATGCTGCGAAACGAGGGGGGTTCGATTTATTTCTTAGTGGCGGCGGTTTTAGAGGTTGGGGCTACTTGCACATGAATCGTTCTAAGATAAACCCATACCCAATCCCAATTATCAACGGTTTCAGGGTAGATTGCTCAGAATTCTGTGATACTTCTGGCATCATGTCTTCTGCCGCAATGGAAGGATCTAAGATTTTCGGCGTCTCGGATCGCAGAGCATCTCAAGTGCCGGCAGTTGCTTGTCTTGTCAAATCTCTTACAAAGGCCATCCCAAATATCAAAACTATACAGTTTTGCCAGGGTGGCGTGCGCGAAGGTTATTTATTCAAGACTTTACCTGAAGAAATACGCTTAAAAAGTCCACTTGTTGTGGCCACAGCGCCTTACAGCACACAGTCTGCCTTTGAACTCTCTTCTCTTCTACTCAGAGCCCTTCCCTGTGGTGTACCAGAGAACACCGATGCTTCCGTCCCTCTATCATTCACAGAAACTATGATTGTTGCCCTGGCAAATATCATGTTTGCACACTCCTCTATTTCAAGGGAATCGCGCGCAGCCGTTGCTCTACATTCAACAATAAATGGCTTGCTTGCATCAGCGCATGGCATATCTCATGCTGATCGCGCCTTATTAGCGCTCCTCCTCTACGAGCGATGGCGTGGCGATCTGTCTCCATCAGACCAGTCTCTCCTACGACGTCTTCGCCAAATCACTTCTCGAGAGGAGGTTTGGTGGTGTCAGTATCTTGGGCGAGTCGCTGCTCTTGTATGTGATATATATCCCAGCGGTATCATCAGGGATAAAATACCACGCGTTGACTTCGTTGCCGGATGGGCTAAAGGGAAAAAGGGCAAGACTCATGTAAGGCTGGAAATAACGTTGCCAAATAATAGTCCTGGTGTCGACCTTAGCTGGCTGATGGGTGCCAAGCAGAGCGTTGAGAAGGCCGGAAAGAAAAAGAACTGGGTTAGGGCTGTGGAGAGGATAGGGGAATTTGAGGATTGGGGTTTGAAGATTGATGTTTCATTGAACGAAGGCCGAATGCAAGGTAAATGATACCCATGTGTTATCATTACTAGCAGCCTAGTCGATGGACACTTGATAATATTGGTATGTGAAGTGGAATTTAATTGGTTATTGAGTATCTAATAATACAACCACATATAGCAAAATGTGTCTGAGAGAAACGTCAACACCGGGAATCCCGTCGGACCATGCCATGGAAAGGAGAAGCAGGGGTACCCGAAATGACTATTTCGGGAATAAATAAACTACGATCTCCGGCCATGCAAACACTATATTGGGATAACCTCGTTGAAAATTATGATACCAACATATATCCTGCCCGGAATTACGCTTGGAGTTGGTTAGGAGGCTTAGCGTTGCGATCCACGGGGATTGACTGGAGGGAATTCATCTTCATCGTCCGACCGAAAGGTAGGAGGGGCCTGATTAGGCAAGCTGGCTCCTTGAGAACCCTCGTGCAGTCGGCCATCAGGATGCATATCATAGAGTACATCGTCATCGTTATCATCATCATCATCATCATCAGCGAAGGACCTTCCCTGATGACGTTGCTGCAGACCAGGTGGAGGATATTTGAAACCGTCTTCCTGGGAATACATTGACCTATCGTCGTCATCAACCTTGTCATCGGAGCCATAGCGAACATGGCCACCAGCGCGACCCTTGCCCTTGCCAGGACCATCGTCTATATCAAATAACGGACGTGGATGCAGATCGTCATCTTCCACGTCGAGCACATTAGCACCCTGCGCCTGGTCATATGTTGGCGGCCCGGCAGGACCATGAGAGCTTCCTCCAAGTTCGGTGGCATCTGGCTCCAGAGCATTCTCGAGGTTGACCCATTTCTCCATGCACTTGTTACAAATGCCTCTGACTTCGTTGATGAGAACCTCGGGTGTCCCATCGCCTGGATCTCGCTCGATATCAGTCTGGATTTCTTCTCCTTCATGGCGGCACTCCCATTTGTCCTTGGACTTGTAGAACGATTTTGACTTGGGGGATGCTATAACTGGAGCGGCTAACTGTGGGTTTTCAGCAAGAAGGCGATCGAAGTCTTCCCATTCTCCTTCGGCAGGCTTGGGGGTTGGGGCTCGCAGTTCTGGGTTGGCCGCTATGGCCTCATTCAGTTCGTGGAGGATGGATTCTTCATCATCAGCAGCCTGGGGAGCAGGAGCAGGAGCAGGAGCAGTCTCAGCCATCCCCGCTAGCTATAGAAAGTTAAGTGACTAGAACTAATGAGGTCGATTCTTTGGTCGCGAGGACTGAACTGGTCAACCAAGTAGTGTGCACAGTCAAAGGAATGTAGAAGAGCGATGATCTTTGCAACTGTAGAGGAGCAACTCTGGGAGTATTTATGTATGCTTCAATGGACATCCCAACATGAGCAATAAGTGGAGGTGATGGTAATGCCCCGTCCCCAGGGCATCATGGCATGCCAGATACTGTGACTGTCAAGGCCATCACTAAATTTTAGAGTAAGGACTTGGTTTTTCACATAAAGATAGGGAATATGTCACAACTCTCCAGAGCTGTGAAGATAAAGACTTTGTTTCAGGACCTTTCGACAAGCATACTGACGATACAGGTGCCATTTCATCGCAGATATACATATCACTAGATCCAGAATAGGCAACTGTCTCTGCAACGCAGAAGAAAGTCAAAAGTCGAAATCTGGCCGTGAAATGGAGACAGCATGTGCTTCCCGGGTCTCTTATCCTCTGAGCTCTGGGTTTCGTCGGCAAGTGTGCATTGGTCTGATGAAAGCTCAGCCTCTGGTGGTCCCATGGCTAGTGAAGAGACTGCATCCTTATCTTCATGGTGCCTTCGAGTGCACAAAGAGCTCTGTGATCGTGTCTCACCGTAAACAAGAGTCCGGCGAGCTTTCGCACAATCGAACTCCGCCATTCGCGCCGAGCGAGAACCTATCGCGAGAAGTGAGGGGTTAATGACGCCATTATGGCCGGGGATCGTGAAGTCTGTTCGGCGCGCTGCCCCTCACTTGCATTGTTGTTGAATCGACCACCGCGCAAAAATATAAAAGGAGCAGCACACCCCACATCACCCGTTTCTTTTTCTTGCTTCCACCTCTCAACTCAAGATCGCCTCTCTCCAGCACTTTTAAAAAGTATATTACAGCAATTACTCCTCATCAGGTAACTCAATTGACCGTCACAAGTTATTTAGTACTCAAATACCCCGCATTTTTTTTCTCTCGGCCACGCCACTGACCTTTTTAGCAGGTAGACGCCGAATATTGCACGGTACATCTCTCCCGTGAAGATGGAAAGCAACAAAATCCCTTTAGCTGGGAATAACATCCATACGTGGTCAAGGTATCTCAAGTAAATCATCTTGTGCATGAGCCGGTGTCCATCTTCATCTCGCTCAGTCGTGGACTTGTACCCAACTCTCCATTCTGATCCTGCCTCCATTGTGTGAGAAGCGGACAGGCATGGAGAGCGATACACCTCCCACCGAGCGGGCTCTGTCGATTGGTCTGAAATTATACGGTTTGAACTTGATCTGGATAATACCAGCGAAAGGATCATGCTTTCCCCCCTCCTCAACTCCCCATGAACGCAGTGTGGCCTTCTAACCCAGTATAGTCCTCCATAATGTCTACTGTCACTGAAACCGTTACCCTGCCCACCCATCTTGCCAACAAGACCGAATTGGTTGGACACCCCCCCACTGTTAATAGCAAGGAAGCGGGTGATCGTGCTCTCTTGGACGAATTTGCTGGGAAATGGGATAGTTTTAAGTTTGGTCCCATTCGTGAGAGCCAGGTCTCTCGTGCCATGACCAGGCGATACTTCAAGGACCTGGACACTTACGCTGAGAGTGACATCGTCATTGTCGGCGCCGGTTCCTGCGGCCTCAGCACTGCCTATGTCCTCGCCAAGGCGCGTCCTGACCTGAAAATTGCCATCATTGAAGCTGCCGTCTCTCCTGGTAAGTCGAAACTGGAAACAGTAAAACATATACCAAAGCTTTTGGATCAGCCGACTGACGGTATGCTGTAGGCGGTGGTGCATGGCTCGGCGGTCAGCTCTTCTCCGCCATGGTCCTCCGCAAACCTGCGGACAAATTCCTCGACGAAATCGGCGTCCCTTACGAAGAGGAGCCTTCCAACCCGCATGTTGTCGTGATCAAACACGCCTCGCTCTTCACCTCCACCTTGCTCTCTAAGGTTCTTGCATTCCCCAACATCAAGCTCTTCAACGCCACCTGCGTTGAGGACCTTATCACCCGCCCAGAACCGGCCGGTGGCCTGCGCATCGCCGGTGTGGTGACCAACTGGACCCTCGTGGCTGAACACCATGACGATCACTCCTGCATGGACCCCAACACCATCAATACACCTCTCGTCATCAGCACCACCGGCCACGATGGTCCTTTTGGCGCCTTCTGTGCCAAGCGTCTCGTCTCGATGAACGCCATCGAGAAATTAGGCGGTATGCGTGGCTTGGATATGAACTCTGCTGAAGAGGCTATTGTCAAGAATACCCGTGAAGTCACCAAGGGTTTGATCATCGGTGGAATGGAACTTAGTGAGATTGACGGATGGCACCGCATGGGCCCTATCTTCTCTGCCATGATGCTCAGCGGCGTTAAGGCTGCAGAGGTTGCTCTGGAGGTCTTTGAGCAGCGCAAGAAAGAATGTGCGGCTTAAAGTATCTCTGGACACCACGCGGCTTTGCTACCATGGTTGTGGTGCACACCGTCTTTGTTGCCTCAGACTTAGTTGACAAAACCGAAAGATCTATTACTATCATGTACCTACTTCGAAAGCATAAGCTCCAATCGTAACTGTACACTCGCTTGCAGCCGTAAGAATCGTAAACTATCCCACTTCGCTAGTCGTAAAATTACATGTCAAAAACGGTTTGCACCCTAACAGACCCCAAAACGCCCTCAAATCACGCAGGGATTAAGAAAATATATCATAAAACCATGCGGCCTTAAACACGAGATGGCTTCCCCAGCTGCCCCAAATCCTCCTCTATATCCAACCCCATCCCCAATGCCAGTCTTTTCGCGTTTCTAATCTCCCACTCAAACTCCCTCAACGCCCTCAGCTCACTACTCACGAACAATCCTCCAATCAAGCCGTCAATGACACCAGCTGCAAAACTCAGTGTGCTCATGAGACATAGTATAAACGACACAAACGCACGCGGAGACCACCAAACCCCGATTAGGCAACACATGGACACACCAAGAGAGGCGAGAAAATGGCCGAGGCGTGCACGTCGCTGAAATCGCTCTCGAAGGTTGTAGATGTGTATCATTTTTATTATCTCGTCGTACATATCGGAGGTGCACGTGGATGGGGTAGGAGGTTTGGGGAGCGTTGTGGCGATAGTGACCGTCGTTACTGTGTTCGAAGGTGCATGAGAATGGGGAGATTCTTGCTTCTGGATGGGAAGAAATGACGCGTTTTCTTCTTGCCAAGATGTTTCACCGCTTGATACGTTGCGTGAGATTACGGCTTCAACGGCAAAATGATCACTGAGGGAGCAGTGGAGAGTCGGATGGCGTTCCGTCATACTGACGCGGGCAGATTCAATGGTCCATTTCCAATCAGAAGGTTGTTGTACTGATGACTGAGTTGGACTCGAGGAAGAAGGCTGCAAAGTCGGTCCACCGTTTCCGACGAATATGTAGTCGAGGCGTTTCCCTAGAGGGTCGGGTAGTCTCCCATCCACTTCGATGTGTCCTTCTTTCTCTAGCCGTTTCTGTTGTCCTTTGTTCCAGCGCCACGTATTAAAGAGGCCATCACATGTAACACCATTCTCACTCAGGTTATACTCTGCTGAAGGGACTGGCCTCTTTCGCGCCATTTCGACTGCGTCGATCGCCGCACCCAGGGAAGAATCGGGGTGCAGGTATCGCCACACATCTTGCACAGGTGCATGCGTAGTGATTAGCCGATGAGCCAGTGAGAGAGGAAGCATATTAAAGTCCCCTAGCCCAATAACGAGATGACCTTTCTCTGCGGCTCCACGCATCAGCTTCGCCATCTCCCATGCCTGCGCTGTTCGATGACAGATGTATGAATCGTGCGGCTCTCTTTCGTACGGCGCGTGCAAATGCGTGCAGAATACAGCTGCAATGTCACTTGGCCCAGGTCCGATCCGTATTCTTGCACAGGCAACCCCCTTGCCGACGAACCAGTCGCCGCGGAAGAAAGCGGTTGGTCGGCCGTTCAGAGGGTAGCCAAACATGCTACTCTCTTCGATGGGCCATTTTGAGAGAATTGCAAGCCCTCCGCCAAATATTCCGCTAAAATAGAACTTTCCGTATGGAAGAATGTGTCTTGTCTCCTTGCGGATGTTATTGTAGTCCTGCTGTGTCCAGCATTCCTGCAGCCCGACGATCTCAGGCGGGGCTTCGAGGCTGGCTAGCCGTTTTCCAATCTCTAGAAGACGTTCCCGGCGATATTTGGAGATGAACTTGAGGCCCCAGCAGTTGAGAGTTAGGATATTGATCTTCCGCGGGAGGTCATCGCTGTGATGCGAGGAGAACATTGGAACGCCGCGGGGAGAGAGTGGTGGTGATGGAGGAGAGGAACGGGCGTAAATTACAAGCAAAAAAAGGCAATCTATTAAAAGATCTATTCGCTCAGATACACACGACAACACGCGGGAACGAATAAACAGCGCGGGTCTCCGACGATCGTCTCGCCATCGCCTGGTCGCCGGGAGGGAAAAGCGTGAATACTGCCCTCAGCCACCGCCTGGGATTGAGCCCGCTGATTGGCCGGCGGCGCGCTGTGAACTTTCCGCCGCGATGCAGTGCGCTCGACGCAGCAGCAGCAGCTTCACCGCGAACTGGATGCCGCCTGCCACCGTCACGCCAGGGTTTCTCGGGCACCTGAACACGGCACTGCAGCCATGAGCGACAACACCCATCCCGCTAAAAGGCGGCGCCTCGACCGCCGTGGCTTCCACTCCCAAGACTCGTCCTCCGACGAGCTGGGTGCCAACTCGGATGTCGAACGGCGAAGAGCGAGCTGGCTCAAGCAAGTGAGAACAACGTACCAGTCACCCAGACCGTACAAAACTACGCCTCGCCAAACTACGAATAGCGATTCTGAGAGCCCGGATGAGTTGGCGGTCGATCACCACCATACATATTGGCGAAGGCAGAGCGCGATGCGTCGCAGCATCCTCTCGACGCCCCGGGAAAGTAGCCGATCAGAAAGACATCGTACGGAGGATGCAGACGATGATGATGACGATGAAGGGGAGGAAAGTAGCGAAGACACATCTGAAGACGAGAACAGGGCAAAGGAGAAGGCCGAGAGGCCTGTGCGTGTGCGGACACCTACCCCTCCGCCTCCGCCTCCGCCACCTAAACCAGAGAGGTTGAACTATAAACAGAAGTTGGTCTTGAAGGGCCACCAGAGAGGGGTTTCGGCGGTTCAATTTTCGCCTGATGGATCGATGATTGCCAGCTGCTGTAAGTACCTCCGGCTTAGTCCACCTTTTATTGGAGCGATCGGTCTAACGAGGGAGCCAGCTGCGGATGGTACCATACGCGTTTGGAACTCTTCCACGGGCAAGCTCATACACACGTTCGAAGGTCATCTTGGTGGGATATCAACCTTATGCTGGAGCCCAGACGGGACCTTCATCGCCTCCGGCTCCGACGACAAGTCCATCCGACTATGGAATGTTTTGACGGTACAGGCTTTTCTCTACTCTCTGACTTCTAGCCGGCTGCGATACTGACGCTCCTCACTCACCCAGGGAAAACAACACCCAACGCCTTTCCTCGGTCATCACAATTACATATACTCCATCGCTTTCTCCCCGAAAGGCAACATGCTCGTCAGCGGTTCTTACGACGAAGCCGTGTTCCTCTGGGATGTTCGCTCCGCCCATGTCATGCGATCCCTCCCCGCTCACTCGGATCCAGTTGCAGGCATCGATTTTATCCGTGACGGCACACTAATAGCCTCCTGCGCTAGCGACGGGCTAATCCGAATATGGGACTCCGCAACGGGACAGTGTTTACGAACTCTAGTACACGAAGATAATCCGCCGGTTATGGGTGTGAAATTCTCTCCGAATGGGAAATACGTCCTTGCGTGGACTTTGGATGGATGTATCCGGTTGTGGAACTATGTGGAAGGTCGGTGCATAAAAACCTACCAGGGACATAAAAATGAGAAGTACAGTATATCTGGTGGGTTTGGGACGTATAATGCGCCGGGTGGGCCGCCTATTGCTTTTGTATTTAGTGGGAGTGAAGACGGCGCGGTGGTGTGTTGGGATGTCGTCAGCAAAAAGATACTCCAAAGGCTCGAGGGTCATAGAGACGTTGTTCTAGGTGCAGATGCATGCTGCGTCGGGGGGAAGCGGCTAATCGTCAGCTGCGGCATGGATATGACTATTCGACTCTGGGAAGAGGAGGAGATTGTTGAACGGGATCAAGAGGGCCAGAGCGTCAAAGCAGACTCTGAGCCTCGAGAGAAGTCTGACAATGCGGCAGCGTCAGAGGTGGACGCTGATGGCGACACGCCTATGACTTGAAGTGTATGGGAATTTCAATCTGTTCGACCTTTTTGCCTTCTCTCTCTTTCTCTGGCAGATAGCGTTTATTATCGTGACGATGATGGTGGGGTTTGGGTTCGGGGCATGACTCATGACTAACGGTCGAATATAGACTTGTGCCATCTAATAATTAATAGTATGCTTAAGGAGCACACTGCGCCTTTGGACTAATCGGGCGAGCGGCGTTTTAAAACCTTCTAAGGCTCGGTTGGCTTCTTAGTTCCGTGAATCATACTTCGTAGTATTTCATTTCTTCGTCCAAAAAAAAAAAAAAAGAAAAAAGAAAAAAAAAAAGAAGGCTCCGAAGTTCGGAAGCCGAAGTATCAAAAGGGCAACCCTACTAAACAGAAACGACAGTAACGAACGGCATGTTGAGCTGGGTGCAGGAGAATCGAAAGGCATAGTAGCCATAAACTTAGTTACAAGAAAAGATCAATCGTATCAACACAACATTTATTTGTAAACCTCCTAAAAGATTTTTTCTTTTGGTGGAAAATCGAACTGCTTAGGCGCCTGCGTAAGCCTTTCCAACAGCATTGAGCTGGTTGCCGGAAACTAATGTGTCGGCCATGAAGTAAGAATAGCGGGCGACGCCAGGGTTGGAATCAAGCCATGGAAGCACCTCGTTGAGGAAATTGATCTGTGCCTGGTCATCCCCAAGGCCCTGGAACTCGGTAATCCAGACCTGGTCGATTCCATGGCTCTTGGCGAGCTCGATGGCCTTGGTGATGTGCTGCTTGAACCCTTCGATCTCGTTGGCTGGGCTATACCAGTGAACGGCGAGGAAATCAACTGCGCAGCTGCCAGCACAGCCGTTGAGGAACGATTCCATCCAGGTGAGACCCATATTTCCGCCACCGTTGGTCACACCAGGTGACCCAAGTTCGACTTTGCCGGCGAGGGGCGTGAGAAGATTTTTGAATGCGTCGACGGCGGATTCAGGTGACATGGATGCCTGATCACCGTGATCGGGCTCGTTAAAACCGAGGATGCTCTTGCAGCCAGACGAGAGGACAGATGAAGAGTCCCAGCTACTGAAGAGCTTGGGGCCCCAGAGCATGGGGACATAATCTGGAGCAGCACTACTGCCAGGGGAGCTTCCCCAGTTGTAGCTCCAAGAGTCGGCTGCAGTACCCTTGAAAGGCCCGAGAGCATCGGGATTGTTGTAGGCGAGACCACGCTTTCCCTCGGCGGAACGGGTTTGATGAAGTGGTGCAGCGACGACAGCGCTGGCCAACAAGGTAGTGAGGAAAGGAATGTTGAAGGACACCATATTTGCAGAAAGGAAGGTAATGAAAGATTGCTTCGTCTGCTCTGAGACCGAGTCAAGTGCACGTAGCAAAGAACACAACTCGACCAGAATCAACCTGGGAGGATAAAAATGGAACAGCGAGTTCAAGAAAGTTGGATTTCAAGGAATGAACAGCTCGAAGAAGATGCAGTATAGAATGCTGCGCCTCCCAGAAGCTTAAACCAAAAGGAATGGAATCAATAGAACGACAGAAAGGAAGGAAAGAGAAGAAGGAGCGAGAGCGTCAAGACAGCGAAGCAATCGATTTTCCAAGGAACAAAAAAGCATGAGAGAAAGGTGGGCAGACCAGCCCGTATATATACATATGTGCAACACGGCATCTTTCCGAGCGAACCTGACGGGGAGGCTGTACTCCGTAGGAGTGGGGAGATGGACTGTTCGAAGACCGCTCTGGTCTTTGAGGCTTGAGCCTAATCCCAGCCCGAAGCAGTGGTTCCCGGAAAGGTGGAGAATGAAGTACTGGGGGCGGTTAGTTCGAGAAGTCCAAGGTAGCTCCATCAGCCAGAGGAGGAAACTGTCCGATGGACCGCCAAGATACCCAGAGTTAGTTACATATGTAACACCCTCTATTCGTAACTATCGACAGCAAACGGGCCTACTTCAAAAAGCCTTGTTTTAGATGAAACAAGCAAGCAAAAACCAACATATCAGGATGGGCTTGGCCTGCAATGACCAACTAGGGCGTGAAAAAAGGGGGGGGTAACTGAGCGGTGTTGATTCCCCGTTGCGTCAAATTGCAGGCTTTTTGTACTCCGTACCTGGGCGACAAAAGCCCATGGAAAGACCTTGCGTGTCCCAATGGTTGCGTAACAAGCGGCCACTGGCCACTGGCTAGTTGGCAGCCTGGTTGCCCTCAAAATTCACAAATCAGTGATTCCAGGTCTCGTTTTCCTCCTCGGTTCCTGAACTCAAAAAAGGGCCGCCTGGCTGTCATTGGCCCGTCCGCTGAGGACGAAGGTGATTGGGCAGACGGGTGAGGTGAACCTGAGGAACTGGGGCCACGGGCACCACCAGGTAACCGTGGGCGTGGGCGTGGGCATGGCAGATAGGACGGGTGAGGGGCTGCAGTCAGCGTGAGGCTGCATGAGGCGGCTGTTGGGCTCGAAGGAAAACGGTGCATGAAGCACAAACGATGCATCTTTACCCTGCTTTTTGTCTTGGACGATCAGGTCGATGATGATGATGGTGGTGTCTGTGACGCGGCGATCGGCCGGCTGGAAATTGGCGTGTTTCTCTGATCGCGCTAACCAAGAAAGGTTTGAATCGCCGCAAAAGTGGACTTAGGGCTGAGCTAAGCCGCATCCGGTGTGCTTAGGTAATGGGCAGCCAAAACACTCGGAGAGAGACGGCGACGTCTGGCAGCGCTGTTCTGGCCGGCCGGCCGAGGAGGTGGAGCCGTGGGCCTCGACGGGGCCCTGAAATGGTGAAACACCCCGGCACTGGCTCCGAGTTCGTAGCCAGGTCGTTTGTTTAGCGGTCTACAGAGTAGTCGCGGGAGTCTTCAGGAGGCGGGCTCTCGAAGCGGCTGGAGATCGCCCAGTCGGTTCCTATTTTGCAGCCCCGAGTGGCCTTTTTGAACTACGGAGTACTCCGTATTCCGTACAGAATTTTGCGATCCATTTTTCCTATCCCTACGGCGAAACGACAGCTGCCCGATCGACTGGTGCTCTCAAGGACCCACATGCATATCGTTGTTGCTTTGTGGCAAGGAAACCATACACCGGCTGCGATTGGAGACTTTCTCAGCTAGTCCAGGACGCTCGCAGCATCGTCTACCACCTATGCTGAGATACATGGTTTTGTTGCTTTTAGCTAGGAATATGTGTATCGATAGGTGCTCCGTATGGAATACACCTTCGGATGTTGGACTTGCCGAAGAGTTCTCGAATCGTCGTTCGATCGAAAGAAATCACCAAACCCGACACGGTCACGTTCCCCCAGCGCTTTTCTTCCTCCCTTCCAACACCTTCATCACATCGCTCGCGCTATCCTTGTTCCCTTTCCTCTTTTTCGGTCCTCGCTTTCTTTTATTTCCCCCGCCACGCTCCTCCCAGACCTCTTCGTCTTCCTCATCCCCGAATCTGCTCTCCCCGAATCCCATGTCGAGATCCATAGCATCTTCCCTCTCGCGCCGTCTCGCTTCCTCCAAAAACTTCTTTCGTCGTAATATAACCTGCTCGTCTGCTTCTTCCTCTTCCTCAGTACCTTCGGGGGCAGGGGAGTTCCGCCGAATCGCCGCTGCACGTTTGAGGGCAGCGAGAATCGTAGGGTCTGAGGATAGTGGACTGGTGGATGTTGTTTCAGGTATTTCAGTCGTAGTACCAGTAGCAAAGTAATTTCGAGAAGCAGACGGTTTAGTTGGGCGTTCGTTCTGCTGTTCTGTTTCTCGCGGGGCTTTATCCTTCAAAGGCTGCTCTGTTTCCGTCTCCCCCTCGCTCGCCGAGGATGAGTCGTCATCGCCGATATCCGCAAGAGGGTTATAATCCGCTCCAATCCCCTCAAAAATATCGCCGTCGTCATCGTTCTCTTCAACAGCGTTGGCGCGTGCAAGAACTTCTGCTGGGACATCCATGCCCAGCGGCTTTGCGTCCTTATCCACTGCCAACAGGTCACCCTTATTCCCATCAGGTTTATCCAACCACCGCACTTTTCTTTTGGCTTTTCCCTCTGAGTCGGTAACGAGCAAAATTTCCTTCCGCCGGCCATTCTCGTCGGTTTCGATCCACCGCTTTTTCTGATCACTTGTTCCAATCTTCTTAAACTTCGCTCCAAGTGATAACGCTGGAGGTTCTTGTGCTAACGAAATCGGTGTGCCGGCAGCCCGACTAGCTTTCAACTGCTTCAGAATTTCATCCCTCGTCATTTTCCGTGGCGGCGGGGCCATAGTGCCTTTCTTCACCTTCTCTTCTTTCTTTGCAGCCTGCACAACATCCTTTTCCTTCTCTTCGAGGACTCGTTCAAACTCATCGTCCGCTCCGGCTCCATCGTCCTCGCGAGTCTCGTCTGGGGCAGCCGCGGCAAGCACATCAACATCCTCACCTGCCTTCACTCTTTGCAACAATTTCCAGTCTAGACCTTTGACCCGATGTGTACTACTAGAATCACCGCCAAGCCCTATTTCCCCTCTCAACTTCTCAAACGTAGCTTGATCAATCTGCCTTAGCTTCACCATATCCTCCAGCGCCTTCACTCTCTTCGCGCGGGAATCACGATCTGCTGCATCCTCATCTCCTTCCTCGGCCTGTCGCCGCAGCAGAGTGCGATCTACGTAGCCACCGGTGTATCTCGTGCCTTTTGGCGCAGAGGACTTGAATTTCTTCGCTGGTGGCGGCTGGCTTTCCCGTCGGAATTCGGCGAGTTGGCGGGCAAAGTTCGCGCTGGTAACGGCACGGCTGAATAATGCTTAAGTTAGCGTCGTCTGGCGGGTACAACCGAAGCAAAATGAAAACAAAGTGAATGTGAGGGGCATACGGCGTCATGGGAATGCTCGAACGCATCCTCGACCCAAGCGCTGCGGCCTTGGGCGTACTTCCGCTGGTATCTCCATCCTTGTCACGCCGCGGCGATAATTTATTCGCCGAGGACGGTGGCGGGTTATCAAATAATAGCCGCCTAAACTGTTCGTTATTCATGGCCTTGGGTCAGCTCGAGCGTGGTTTTAGCAAAGCACATCGCATGCCAACAAGCCGTCGAGCTTCCCATTAGGTCCACTACGGAGTAGCTCCGACCTGAGGTCAATGAAACCGGTTCGGAACAACAAAATCCCGTCCTTTACATCATGTCTGCCTCGCTTTTGTAGAATTCTGAACAGAGAAATCATTCCATTAACAGAGCTAGTTGGCATAATTTTGCCTTGCCTAGTTTTAACAATGAGGCATAACCATAGACAAACCCCTCGCTGTAAACACCGTAATACATTCGTACATCCATAGAACATGTATCATGAGAGACAATACTCCGGACATGGTGCTGCATTTCAACGCAAGCATCATGTATAACCCATAGTTATTCCTATGCTAAAATAGATCTCCATGCGAATGCAAAGGAAATTTCTTATCGCCAAACACTTTTCTCATGCGTTACTGAGTCTCCCATCCACCCGTGTTGGTTTCTGATTCCATCTTTCGACTGACAGTAGCTGGGATTCCATTGGTCAGCCAAACATCACGAATAAGCCGATCATAACGCTTCTGGTTCAAGATAAGCGGTCTGTGGTGCCTGAAACCCAGATCCACCTCGCCGTGAATGTCAAGATACGGTGCAACGTGGAAGCAGCCGTGCCTATTATGCAGGAAGAGCACGGCGCACTTGCGGATGTTAATGAATACACCGACATTCTTGCCGCACCTATGATTGAGTCGCATATTTGTTAGTAACTTGGTAAATCCTTTAAATGCCAATTAGAAAACACAGCTTACTTTTCCACGTGTCGATTACATCCACCGATCTTTGACTCGTCCATGCAGCAGGTGGCCTGACCGCAAAATATTTCGCTGCAGAACAGGCACAGGCAAGGGTCGGTTAATTCCTTTCCGGTCGTGGGGCACCGTCTCTGATTGGCCTCGTCGAACAAAGTATCATAGTACTTTGGTAATCCTACTAGCTCATAGATCGCTGGGTGAGATAGCGGCGGTCCCTCCGGACGACGGCTTTCCCCCTTTGGTCTCGACGTATTCCAGTGAGCTATCCACCCGGAGGCCAATGAATCCAGGGGATTCTCGCGAGGATCTCCCGAAAAAGAAGCAAATATCTCTTCAACAGTGGGCAGCCGTAGAAGACTCGTCAGTCGATCAATTTCTGATAGATCGGCGCAATCGACCCCAGTGTTGGGAAACTCAACACCATATTGCACGTGGAGCAAAATGGCAACCTTTCGCAGGAATGGAAGGGCGTATTTGGCCGCAACTTTCGCAAGTACCCTCAATATATATGGGGAAGGATCGTCGAAGTTAAGGGCGCCGGGATTTCGAGTCTCCCGTAAAGCTGAAGCTCGATATGTCGCAACAATCCAGTCGAAAAAGCCCCTGATGAAATCTGGTCCCTGCGTCAAGGCTTCTTCTTTTGCTTCATCGACCATTAGGAGCATGGAACAGTTCAACTGTGCTACCAGCCCTTCAGGACGAAGAATAAAACTGAGCACAACTTTAATGATTTCGGCGACATAGCAAATACGAACGACGTGATGGATATCAATATTAAGGACTGGGACTAGACATAGTGAACACTCCGCAAGGAAGACAAACGTGTCCATCGCGAATAATGGCTCAATGTTTTTGTTTTCGTTGGCAAGACTGGCAAGCCCAGAAATTCCACGGTGCCCAAGGAATAGCTGACACAACTTCCGACGATGCATATCACGGAATTCGTAGACCGTTTTATTTGCCATCGAGTTTTGCAGGCCTCCTATAGCGGCGTAGGAGAGTGCCGTCTCAGATAGAATGCGTAGGTGAGTCAACGTCATCCGAGGAATGGTATCAAGCAGAGTCGCGCCAGGTTCACATCCCACGCCACGCTGAGATATCTCTACAGCCGATATCGATGCTCCAAATGTTTTAATCAAGGTATCTGTGCGGATCAAGTCGTCCGGTGTAACGGTATTCTGCTGATAACCGAAGCGAGACGGCATTGCATTACACTGCATAGTCATTCGCAGTCTTTTGTAAACAGTCATCAGTTCAGAAACTGCAGGATCCTGTATGCCGGGAACTTGATGTAGAGAGTTCAAAATAGACCCATCCTCTCCAGGAGGAAATAGCCCAGGCATTGGCATTCTTGGAGCGGGCGGCCGCGGCCCAAATGTCAATGACGGGAGGGAAGGCGTAACCAGTTGTTCCACTTTGTTTGACAGCGGGGAGATGACATTCTTGGACACATAATCAACAAAGAAGTTTTGATAACCAGATGTGTGAAGCTTGTCACTTTCCATGATCAGGGCGTGGTTCCGGAACCGAGAGGCGGCCTGGATAAGTTTCCCGTCCAAAAATTCATCAAATTCTTCGCTCGTGACTAAAACACTTGGATATGACTCTTCTTTACCTTTCCAAATAATCGGCAGGAAAGCATTGCCAAGTGCTTTACAAAGGGGGCACACAAATTCTTTCAGCATCAGCCGCTCTGGATGGTTGCGAGCAACTTGATGGCTATGACGCCTGTAAGTTGTGTTGCAATAGGTCTCAAAGCAGGTGTAATGCATGATATGTCCACAACCAGTCATAATGGGTGCCCTGGCTACATGGGATCGAGGGAATCCTTCACCGAGGCCCTGCTTCTCCGAAATGACTTCTCCACCAGTCGAATCTAGACGACGTACCTGCTCGCGATTCTGACCGGCTATGCCAAAAGGCCGAATGGCATCGGCTGATCTGTCCAGGCTGCATGGACAATCCATAACTTCTCCAACTGAATTTTGCGCGCATTCATCCGTCTGCCTGAACATCATACTGTCTATCATCAAGGCAAATGTGCCGTACAACCTCGAGTCGTTGGTTTCTTCCTGACAGAAAATACAGTTTCCTGCAGGATATTTCCACAATTTCTTCTCCGTAGGACTTCGTACTGATGCTTTTTCATCCGCACTAAAATCTTCTTCCCCCCAATCAATTTCACCCTGGTTACTCAGAAAGTTCTGTTGTTGCTGCTGGAACTGGGCCATTATCTTTGCTTGCCTATCAAGTGCGCGTTTCTTTTTCAAGTCCAGTTCGTTTTCCACACCAGGGACAGGTGACTCGGATTCGATTTTGTCGTAGGGAAACTTAAGACCCTCCGTTGCCACAGCATAGGTTTTAGGACGTTTTTGCCAGAGGCGTTTAAGAATGTGACAGATTTTTGATCCGCAGGACTCAAATTCAGGCACAGTGGATACATGTTGGAGCAAGCCAACAATAGTCAGCTCGCCAAGTTGTGTAGACTTCATCCTGCATAGGGCGTGTGAAGTGAATGATTTAGTTGCATTCTCTGCGGAACCGTCATCTTCGCCAGCAGTGTCCTCCATAACCGCTAAGAGCAGTAAATGCAGAACCATATGAAGCAGCGCTTCAACTCTAGTTGCTGTAACACCCGGCGTACAAATCTTAAACATCAAGCAATACTCGAGACACTGATGTATAATCTGCGCAAATAGAGGTGTCTGAGTGAAATGGCTAAGATCTGCAAAAAGACCGTTAGAAATTGGCTTCAGTTTCGGCTCAAAAACAACGTCAGCTGGCTTTTTCCCAGTTTTCTTCGCCATCCATTGCTTGAAAATATTTTCGGCCTCGTCTCGCTGATTTTTGCTGTAGTGTGCAGCATACGGGTCTATGAAGTCGACATAATCTTGTTTCAACTCGAAAATGCCCGTGTCATTCAAGCCATCCGGCGCTCGGAAAGTCGCAACCTCCTCAAGCGCGTCAGGAAAGTCGTCTGAATCTGACACCTTTTCGCTCACGCGATTCACCAAGTCCGTGTATGAGAGCGGCTTGAAGCACAGTGCATGGGCAATATCTCTTTTGATTATATCGCGTTGGATAGTGGCTTCATCCTCAAGTGGTATCAGTGATGTCCGTTCAGAGACCAGCATTATCAACAGATGGATAAATTCTTCAGCAACGTCGACATGTTGTGGGTCGTCGTAACCCGGACGGACGACATAACCTCCTTTCACCCAGTCCGTAATCCCGTATCGATCGGAAACTGTAGCTAAAACACGGCTCGGATCACAAACAACCATTGCAACCTGTATCATAAAAATATTCCGGTAGTATGACACATCACGAGACATGAGTGATCGATATTGACCCATTTGATGACGAAGACTCAAGCCGTTTCTTACCCACATACCAGCTTTCAACTGGGCAAGCCATGCACAAACTCTCAATGGATAGTCGAACATCGCAAGCATAATATCTTCGTTATCAAATGACTGAGCCAGTGCTTTAGAGAATTTATGCTTCGAAATTTCGGCTGCTCGTAAAAGCAGGTCTCTCACAGTTTCCGAGGGCATGGTCCTGCCACATTCTAATAACCAGGAGAGGGTATAGTGGAGTGGATGGTGGAAACTCATTGAGCCACGCTCAACAACAAAATCCACAATCCGGTGCCGTGCCACTTTGTTGAGAGCATCAATTTCGAATTCAACATAGGGAACCGATTTGAAATGAACCAGCTCTTTAATCTCCGCTTGGTCAAACCTTTTCCTTTCGATACCAACAGAATTCACCATTGTAGAAACACTAGCAGCGATGATAGCTTCTGCAAGATGACACTGACCTTCTTTGAGTCTGTCTGGTTGAAAAGCCTCGCAGAAAAGTCGGCAGAGCCTGTTAATTTCTTTCATCAAGAGCGAGGCGCTGATCCAGGAATCTGTCTCGTATTCCACATGCTCTCCAACGGCTCGGATATTCGGGCAGATGCCCTGAGGAAGTTTAACGAGATCAAGGAATTGCAGAAGATATCGTCGTTCTAAACGAATCCGGCTCTGGACATGTTCCGAAGAGAGAAGATAACGCAAATCGAGGAAAAAGTGATACAATCGCCGGTTAGTCATTGAGCCGGAATCCATTGCAAGTGTTACAGAGGGGTTCACATCCCGGGCTTCACCAACCTGTCGAGTGGTGAGGAAGGTGTAAATGATTGCCATGATGTTAGTAAAGAAGTTCCCGCGCTCAACGATCTCCTCCGTGATGGATGGAGTGGTCAAAAGCTGTAGTGATAAATGAATAATGGAATGGTCCGGCTCTCGATCCGCAATCAGATACAGTTGGGCCAATGCTGTGTACAAGGCAGAAAACCGAAGTCCAAGAATCCGTTTGAATTCGGGAATATTGACGATAGTGCCCAAGCACAGCTCTCTAGCATCTATGCGCGCCTTCTTCCAAAGCCGTAGATCATACAAAATCAGCCAGTCGAGTCTCGTTCTCTTCCGAAGATCTTCGTACGCAAGGTATCCATGCTCATGATAGCGTGCAGGTTTGACTTCCCAGTATGGCGCCGCCTTTGAAGACCTTTTGGTCCGTAATCCCGGGGTTTTTGGAATTTTGATATTGTTTGCACCGAGCGAGCCTCGATTTCCTCCCTGCGCTTGGCTTCCTTCCTGCTCATCGTTTTCCCTATCCTCTCCACCGTCCTCATTTCGTCCAATTGGCAGCCTTGACTCCGGCCAACCTGTGTAAGCACCTGGGTTAACAAGAATAGCTGCCATTTGTTCAGCTACCCGTTCTTCTTCTCGAGTACGAGGCGGCGGGGGCGGCGGTGGTGGTTGAGGGTACCCAGCCAGTGTGGCTTCACCGGCCTCCAGGCCGTCTTCGGTGCCCATTTCGACATCTGAGTCTTCTCTCGCTTCGGTCCTGGCTGCAAGTATAGCCTCTACAAGATCGTCCGCATACGAGTCCGCCAGGTCCAAAGCTGCATCCATGTCGACGTCGTCGGCATCTTCATCCTCGTCCTCGTCCTCATCCACGTCAACTTCAACTCCACCTTCCACATCAACAGCTTCACGTATTTCATCTTCATTTTCTTCGTCATCATCCATATCCAGCGGTAGGTCACGTCCAAAAATCACCTGGCCTTGTGCGGTAATCCCTACCCTAACTCGAATACTTCTCCCTTCCTCACGTGAGTGGTCATCAATACCGTTCATGCCAATATCAACGTTAGATGCGCGGCTACCAGGTCGCCAGAGACTCAGCATTTCCTCACAAATTGTCCGCCTTAGAACCTCATTATCACCGCCGACTTGGCAGCCAGCGATGTCAGAGAACCATTCAATAATCGTACCGCACATTTGTTCTCGATAGGTATCTCTAGACGATCTGACGGTTACCGTCACCCTGATCTGCTCGATGACCCCGGAAACGCGAAGTAGGCTAGACAGGTCCTTTGAATACTTTACGACACTCCTTCCATAGTCGTTTGTTTCATTCGCTCGGTCTAGGCCAAACTGAGAACTCTCGCGACAAGCCCGAGCAACTTGCTGGGTAACCTCACGGATCGTGTGCTTTTCGTCGTTCCATAATACAACGGCGAACTCGGGGCTTTCTTCTTCGAGATCTTCACCACCATACCATTCACAAGATAATCGTGAAGCAACTTCATCCTGCCGAATATTATCCTCCGTTTTGGGGAGCCGGAGTTGCTCTGGAGAGCACGATATAACATCACAGAAATAATCGAATACTCTAGCAATCGTCGTTCTTATACTGTCGAGAAAATCTGCGGGGAGCTGCGACGATGTTTTACCCTTGTTTGCTTTCCCATCTAGGTCCGTATGGATAGCACAGTTCACAGGGAGCCTGAAAGCCTCCTCATCTCCACAGTCGCAGCACCCAGAATGGCCCCCGGAGACGAAAACGTGGTACTTATGGCCAGTGTGATCCGAAGCGTCAAAGCACCGGGCACATAAAGCGCATGTATCGTCGGTAGAACACGTCATGCATCGATATGACGCTTCTCCCACCTTGAATACATGCCCGCATCGTTTGCCACGCGCCGCTTCAGTATATTCTGCCCCTTCGACCATGCCTTGAGCTGCGGATAGCTGCCAGTAATCGCTCGGGTTGCCATCGGGGAATAGGATACGTAAATATTCATCGTTGAAACCCGCTAAAGACCGGAAAAGGAGTTGTAGAAGGTCATGTTCTGCGTCTTCGTTGTAGCGGTACTCGTACTTCTGGGGATGCGAGAGCAACGCTCGCCCAAGCGTTAACTCGAGCTCTGATGGCTTCATCTTGGAGGTGGGCCGGCCATTCGCTCACTCATTCGGCATGAGATGGTTACCGAGGGTTTAAGTCAGTGGGATATAGTGGTGGAAGTACTGGCGGTTGGAGAACCGTTTGTCTGGTATCGCGGGGTGGGTTGGCTTGATGTGGAGTTCGATAAATATGTATTTAAAGAACAAGGTAGATGCTCCGAGCAGATATCATCACATTGGCCTCAGACAATACAATGATGAACAGAAATAAGCAATGTCAGGAAACAAATTCAAACTAGGAGAAGATGACGAGTCTATCTGGTGGGAGCTTTCGAAGAGCAAAAGTGATCTTAGTCAACAGCTTTAACGGATATTGGACATGCACAATCACTACTTCCCACAGGAAACTTCACTAAAAACCACTACATTCTGCACAATTTCATTCACTTAATATTAGCTTTGTGTCAATAAGTGTCAGATTTCGGGCGCACTTCCAAAATCAGATAGTCCTGGTGTAATCTTAGGGCGAAATGAGATACAGCCACAACAGTCTGGCTTAGGATGGACTTGGACCGAAATCCCAAGGCAAAAGTAGGCCCCGGGCAATACCCGCTAGCCACAGATTCAGAATTCATCCGCCAGCACAACCCTAAAATGCCTGAAGGATAGTTGGCAGTGCCATGTTGCATCCAGAGACATGTTGTGTCCCAACACAAAACAACAAAGAAATATCTCTCTATTCGGCCATGCTAATTTGTATCTGTACAAGTGGTCTGCTTTGAAGCTTCAAAAATTATTTTAAGATAATCCCGGCAGATATTTATTCTTCCTCCTTGTTGATATATCTGTGTTTAATGTCCTTCCATTGTCGCTGTACCTCGAGTTAGTCGATTATCGCGTAGAAAACAAAAGAGGGGAGGACCGGCACATACACCCTTGTTGATAGTGTCCCAGACTCTGTTGCTGACGGTATCGAAGGCACTGTAGAATAGTATGTGAGTTATCCGAATTGCGAGTTATGCATTATTTGGTAAGATGGAGGGGGACGTACATCTCGAATGCAAACGCGCCAACGAATATCGTGCTCAGGAAGACGGCATTGCGTCGGATTAGGGTACTAGGGGAGCTATGAGTTCTGTCCAATTCTCACTAGAGAACGAAGGGGCGCGGTTCCTTACTTGTAGATTGCGGAGGAAATCTGCCCGGTGGAAATGCAATTAGCTTCCTCTGGACGCTCAAAGGGATCAAATGAAGGGACTTACTCCAGCCATTGTGAAGGTAGATCGCAGTATCTGAAGAATACTCTGGGTTCCAATGCAACGATAATGGCAGAGGGAGCTGCTTGAGAGTTAACGCCTGTCCTCACAGAGTGATGTTGGAGGAGAAAGCTGGTTGATCTCGAGAAATCACGGAATCGGGAATTTGCTGTGTTCTGATTGGCTGGGCCCAGACATCAGTCCAGACTCACTCACTCACATAGGACGAGACGGACAATCGCCCTTGTGACGAAAGAAGGTGAAACCTGTTCTCAACAACATGTTATTATGGTATCCTTTTTAGTCACTGTGATCTAGCTATTGCTTCTTCTTTTCCATTCCAACAATCACAAGCAGCAGCTCTCAGCACCTCTAGTTACCGAGCTTGCCTTAGAGAAAAGGCTGCACCATCATGTCAACCAAACCCGGTGTCTCCTCTTCTGGAATCACCACCAACACTGCAACGGGTGAGCGCCATGTCCCCTCTTCCATTCGAGCTGATGGATCTGTTCGTCGCGAGATCCGCATCCGACCCGGATATCGACCACCGGAGGACGTCGAACTCTACAAAAACAAAGCAGCTGAATCATGGAAGAGTCGCAGTAAGGCCGGTATTCCAGGCACGGAAGGGCTGAAAGACGGCGATTCTAAGCCATCCACGGCAGCAAGCGCCAAAAACGCAAAGAGACGTGAAGCCAAGAAGAAAGCAAAGTCCACCAATGAGGCAATGAGCAACGGAGCTGAGGATCACAAAGCCAACGGCGGAATTATGGCACAAGGAAACTGGCGTAACGGACCTCCCGGAGGCCAGGAGGCCGAGGCTCCTGTAGATCCAGAAGTGGAGAGGGAAAAGAAAGCGCGGAATTTGAAAAAGAAACTCAAGCAGGCTCGGGAACTTCGCGACAAAAAGGATAACGGGGAGAATTTACTTCCTGAACAATTCGAGAAAGTTATCCGGATCAACGAGTTGATTCGTCAGTTGGACGCCTTGGGTTTTGATTCGGAGGGGGAGAAGAAGGTAAAGGGACCTACCACTACGAAGGAGCAGGGAGATGCAGTGTGAAGACCGCCAGACGTTCCAGGGCGAATTTGCTTCCTGCGGCAAAGTGGTAACGACACATGACACATATGAATAATGATCCTACACCAGTAAGATGATTCGCGAGGGCCTATAGGGTATGAACACATAAGCAAGGATTCGGTCGGTGGTTCGGGACTGTCAATCCAGAAATATGAAGTGTACGGGCGATTTATGGGAGACACACTTGCTTATGGAGTGAGACAGAAGCTGGCAGGTGGCCTGGCGTTACCCATGGAGTATAAAATGCCCTGTCAGTGAATCCTATGACGACAAACCTTGATATTGAAAGGGTCTAAAACACAACCACCTATGAGTGGAGATAGCTTGATCACCTTGGATCTATGGTTCGAGAGATTCTCAATCCATAACATATTCTTTTATCCTAAGTTTTATCTATAAGCCAAGGTGAAATACGCCGGATCCTTTAGCCCGAGCTCCCAAGAGGCACTTCGTAACCTGCTACATTTTCATCAAGATATTTTTCCAACCCCGTCTCTTCACGTTTACCTGAAAGGATTGAGTGGGCTGTCAACCTTGCAGCTCGTGTGCAATCGTTAACTCCAACCCCAGTGTACCATGCTCCAGCCAGCCTTATTCCCGGGGCCACGTGCGAAAGTGAAAAATGCAGGTCCTTCATCCGAGCAGTATGTCCAACCGTATACTGCGGAATTGCATTTTTCAGCAGTTTCGCCTTGGCAACAATCGGCTCCTCATTAATATGTAGATGACGCTTCAGCACTGCTTTGGCCATTTGAATTCCCGACCGCTCATCGGGAAAATCCCCGTCTCTCCACCCGTCCCACCAGTGGCCTCCTATCATAACGGTGAGCTTAGTACCCCGTGCTGTGTCTTGACCGACGTTGGAATCGGACATAAACACAACACCCAAGGCACGTTCAGGGTTTTGTTCCAGGGGTATAGAACGAGGAATCAAGTAACCGAAACCGTGGACGGGCACCAGGTTTGGAGACCTGAAGAAGAAATTGACAACCATTACGTTAACGGCGTAATTATGACTTTCAAGCGCCACGAGGGCTCCAGTATTTGTCAGAATGGGAGCTATTTGTCGGCGGAGCTCAGCAGACGAAGTAGTCGAGACGACACAATTGTAGTCCTTCGCTCCAATCTAGGGTAAAGTATGTTTAGCATACGTGTAGTCTTGAACACTATAACTGCTCACACTTACCCGCCATTGAGTATCACGCCGCTCTATGTGATCGACACTTGAACCTGTAATTATCTCAACGTTTGGAGAGTTGGAAAGCGACGTATCCAAGGCTTCGACCAGCTGTCCCATCCCCCCTTTCAAGGCAAAGACACTAGCACCAGAGATGTAGGAGCCGATTTTACTAAGAAATTCTTTTCCTTTCTCTTCCCTGATTATTTTTCCCTCGTGGTAAAGATCGTACGGGAGATGTAGCGTCCTCTTAGTGTTGAGCAACGACCCAAAGATGCCACGCCTCGATATTTCATACTCCCAAATACGGGGTAATATTGTCTTGACACTGAGCTTATATATATCACCAGCATAGATACCATGAAAGACAGCGGAAACTATATTATCAGCAACGTCTTTCCCCAATCTCCTAGCTACGAAATCTCCCACGGATTCGTCATCAAGATCTTTGGGACGAGAGGGTCTCAAGGGCTCGGTCGCCAGCGCCCATGGTAAGCTCTTCAACGCCGGTTCCGTAAACACGCCTATAGCATTGGAGATGAGGTTTACGAGCAGGCCGGCCCCGGGTTGCGGTCCTGGTAGGCGGACAAGGTGGTCTGGGTAATAAATGTAGCGGTTGCGCGAAGCAGCGTCATGAATGCCCGTACGAAGGATCTGCTTTTCGAGACCGAACTCGTTTATCTATATATCATCAGAACTTAAATCAGCTTTCTGTGCAACCATATAAGCCTGTAACAAGTCAGGTAAATGCCCACCAGTTCGAGCGTGGAAAACGCACTCGCCGTAGCACGGAGGGTGCGAGGTCCATAGTCGAAAAGCACATCTCCACCAATATTGACGTTGATCCTCTCAGAATCCAGCCATCCGCCTAGACGATCTGAGCGCTCCCAGATCGTGACTTTAGTCGATTGGTCTTTTGCAAGATGATAAGCAGTTGCAAGGCCGGTAATGCCACCACCGATTACTGCGACATTTCTTGTGTCATTGCTAGCTGTGGATGAGAAATTAAGTCGAGTTCGGTTCCTTAAATGCTTCGAAAATACAACGCGTGGCCTGGTGGAAAACCTGTGCGCTTGAGCAAGCGTCCATAGCTCTTCAACTGCATGGGCGGACGAACATCGCGAACGCATTGCAGGGCAGCCAAATGGAGTGATTCAAGGAGAAAGAGATTATGCCGCAATGAACGCAAGTTCATTAGATATCAATTGGATATTCTGTTCAATGGATGAAATACTTCGATGTATTTACGGGGGCATCGCACACTAGCAATTCATGGTCGCCATTCCCCGATGAACGGATCACCGAGGTTCCGATCGCCATTTGCAATGCGGGTTTGTTTTTTAAGTACAATCTGTGGCAATAATCCGCGTTTCTGAATATTATTCTTGAATACGGAGTACCCTAACAATGATTTAAAGGAAGCCAGCGGTGTAAATATTCAAATCCCAAACTGTACATTTCTTAGTATCTAACAATTGACCGTAGAACGAGCGCTGTAGAATAAGAACTTTATGAACATTTCCCGTTCCCCTGGATCCCAGTTTGGCCAGTCATCCGAATGAACGCCATTATTCATGCCAAAAGAAAATAAAGACCAAGTAACACAAGGGAAATTATCGGCACAAAGGGCCTGTCTTAAGGGAATATCCGCAAATCTCACCAACATCGAAGCCTACTGCTTTCGGGATAAGGGAAAACTCCATCCTTTTAGGTAACAATCTCAGCCTCGCTGGACGAGGGTGGTGGTTTGATCAACTCCTCTTCGCCGGCTTCATCCGAAACGAATTTGCGCTCACTAACATGAGGGGCATCTTTCCTTTCAGCGGTCCAAACTTTGTCCGAGAAGACTCCTTTCTGCCCTTCAGAGTGTTTGAAAGGACATGTGGGATTTAGGCATGGCTTATACCGACACGGTATTTGCTGATGGGTGAATTTGCAGCCGGGAACAGAGCAGTCGGCTCCATTCCGACACAGAGGCATAGACGGATGCTTGAATTGGCAGTGAGGATTCTGACAGTGCGGGAAGTACTTGCAGAGCTCTTCCGACTGGTGCATTGCTTTCTGTGCCGGAGAAGGATGCCGAGCAACACACTTTCGGTTCTTGCATGCAGCTCCAAACGGGCAGACATCAGAGACATCAACTGTAGTACCTTCCGGCGCCGCCGGCGACTGGTGGGCATAAGGGCAATCTTTATTCGTACACCTCAGGTTGTAGCGGCAAACACCTTCCGTTCCTCGATCCTGCGACTCGCTTTGCGGTGCTTCTTCCATTTGAGTGTCCGTACTTTCTTTTGGGCCACCGTCTACATCCATGTTGGTGCCCTGGTTATGCTGCCGGCCATTCTGATGATGTCTTTGGAAGTGAGGATTTCTATCCTTGTGGTGTTCCGCGCGCTCAAATAATGATCGCCCCTGATTCTGAAGTCCTTGCGCGGTTTGAAAAGCGGGGTTTATGGCTGGCGGAACGAACCCGGGCATAAACTGTGCCATCATTCGAGCCTGCTCTTCAAATAAGGCCATCATTTGCATTTGTTGTTGGGGCGTCATCATATTGGACCCGGGAGGCATATTCTGCATTGGGTTATTTCCCATTCCCATAGCACCCATTCCCATGTTCATCCCCATTCCGCCGGCCTGCCTGCCCCCTCCGGAGCGACCACCCCTTGCTTGAAAGGCTCTAGGACCCCTTGGTGGTTCCCGGTGCATATTTATTCTTTCGGCACCGCTTTGATTTCGGACCCGATGTAGGACGGACTCGCTTGATCGGTCCATAGCCCTCGTTATTTGGCCTAAAAGCCGTCCTCTTCCGTTCTGTTTAGGATTTCGCATATTTCTGGGACCGCTTGGTCTAATAAGACAAGAAACATCAGTCCCGTGACATCGCAGATATTAAAGCAGGGATAAACTCACAGTCCGCCCTCTCGAGGTTGTAAAGGAGAATCAGTCATCTCGGCATCAAACTTAAGAGGCGCACTGGCAGGTGCGGCAGCATCATCGCTCCCTTCGGTAAATGATGGAATAGCCTGCGCTGCATTCTCTAGCTCTAGCTCGGCCAGTTCACCGTTTAACCGCTTGTTTAACAGCTCGACTTGTTCGAACAGCCATCTCGAAAAGTCAACAGCTTCCGTGTCATCGGGCCCAAGGCCGAGGAGGTCGTTTGCCAATTCCGACGCGATCTGTTCCTGTGTTTTGCCGTTTACCAGCATCAAAATGACATACTCGGCCAGCGCCGAATCATCTCCACCACCCGTACTCCACCCAACCTCCACCAACTTGGGTTGTATAACTTCATTGAGAGCCTGAGCTAGAGGCGTATTCAACTCGACTGAGATTGCCATGATGCGGGTATCGTGCAAAATGCGATCGGTGAAAGAGGCCGTTATTCAGTGGCGATCGGTCAGAAGACGGTATTAAAACGTGCGCTGGACGAGAGACCTTGACAAAGGCTTTGATGTACAGAAAGGAAATGACTAGCGCTTTGGTGATAGTAGGGAATACAAGTATCAACCTCCCACCATCTCAAATGAACGTCTGTTGAGATGAAGCAGCGAGCTTGAAGGCGAAGCTCTCTTGCAGGTTGCTTCTGCTTGCTCAAAGACTGCGACAGCCACACCACACCCTAGCCACAGAACACATATAATATTACTAAGCAGGTGCTGAGTCAGTCGCGTGTTTGTGGCTGGTGCCCATTGCTATCTTATCAGCGGATCGTCGGCTGTTTGTTTTGTTGTTTGCTCTGGATCTCACTCACTGCGAGCAGCTCCTCAGCACATGCGTAAGTGTGTACGCGCCATGTAGCCAGACGTCGCTCGACCTCAACCTACATCGCTAGCAGAGGTGAGATGGCCTTGCATGTTAATAATCCAAGATATCTGAATCAAAATCATTGCGTCGTTCATCACCACCAAAATGCGATTCCTACTTGTATCTTACTTTCTCCTTACAGCTGGTAGCTTCGTCTCTGCGATTTGGCCAGAACCTGCCCACTATACGCACGGAGACACTGTGGTATTGCTGGATCCGTCAGTTCGCTTTACCTATCAACGTGGGGAGTTCAGGGTCTATGATGAGGGTGGGAGCTATTTCACTGCCAGCACGGACTATGGCCGTCTAATGAGACTGCTAGAACCGCAATGGTTCGGTATTGGGAATCTCCACCCAAATTCAGAGAAGTCGGTAGATGATATCCTCAAGAAAGCCATAAAGCGCACCAGAAAGGAGCTTCGGCGTACCAGATTTGTACCTTGGAAATTTCATCCTCGTAATCAATCGTTCGAGCCACGGTCTCTGAGGCGAGAGGAAGCGATCAAAGAGATTTTGATCGAAGAGGCGCCCTCAGACGATGAGATTTTAAGTCGTGACTATATAAGCGGAGATGAAAGCTATGAAATCAGGATCACTAAGAAAGGCAAGGCGACGATTTTGACAGCGTCTCCAATTGGAACCCTCCGCGCGCTTCAAACTCTTCCACAACTGTTCTATGCCCATTCGTCTGGTGGCGTATATACACCGTATGCCCCAATTTCAATCTCAGACAAACCAAAATGGAGCCACCGAGGTCTAAACCTCGATATCTCACGAAATCCTATCGGCCCTAATGATGTGAAAAGGACAATTGATGCCATGGCATCGGTAAAGCTGAACCGGCTGCACATCCATGCCACTGATTCCCAATCGTGGCCTCTGGATATTCCGTCGCTGCCGTCAATGGCGGCTAAGGCTGCATATCATCCTGGACTTGTCTGGTCATCGTCTGATCTACGAAATGTGCAAAAATACGGGTTAGCAAGGGGAGTCTCTACTTTCATCGAAATTGACATGCCTGGCCACACAGGATCCATAGGGCATGCGTTTCCGGACCTAGTTGTGGCTTTCGGTAATGACAGCTGGGATAAATATGCCCTAGAACCTCCTTGCGGTCAGGTGAAACTAAATGATTCGGCTGTTCGCCGTTTCTTTGATACCGTTATGGCCGATATCTTACCTCGAGTATCTCCATTCACCGCATATTTCCATACAGGAGGAGATGAATTCAATCTCCAGAGCTATATGCTCGAGGAGACCATACGTTCAAATGACCCAAAAGTACTCAAGCCTCTTCTCCAGGATTTCGTTAATCGCGTGCATATGCAGATCATGGAAGCTGGACTGACACCAATCGTTTGGGAAGAGCTTGTTCTCGACTGGGACCTTACTTTCCCTTCGCAACAATCAGAAACCCAGGGGATTATTGTACAGGCCTGGCGAAACTCTACAGCAGTCAGACAAATCCTGGAGAAAGGTTACCGCACGATCTTTGGATCAGGGGATGCCTGGTATCTTGACTGCGGAGTAGGAGGGTTTATCAACCCTCGGCCGGGATCCGGTGCTGTCAAGGAGCCATATCTTGACTGGTGCTCCCCCACTAAGAACTGGCGACACATATACACATACAATCCACTAGAGGGCATACCCGAAGAGCTGCAGTCGCTGCTCGAAGGGGGTGAAACGCACATGTGGGCAGAGAACGTGGATCCTGTGAACATGGACCAGATGATCTGGCCACGAGCAGCCTCGGCAGCGGAGGTGCTCTGGAGCGGACCCCGGGCGCGCGACGATATCATGGAGGCGTCTCATCGGCTTGGAAAATGGAGGGAGCGAGCGGTGATCGACATGGGGGTCGGGGCGAGCATGGTGCAGATGACGTATTGCCTTATGCGCGAGGGCAGTTGCGAATTGTGAGCTCAAACTGCATGTTCCTCCTCAGACTTGACCAGAGGGCTCAATCTTCGTAAGATGCTGACCCGGATGAGATTGTGTCCGAGGGTTAGACAATGACGGAGTCAATTGCGGCGAGCATTCATGCGACATTCATCTCTGAAATGTATGTAAGGCAATCAGCTAAACTTGTGTCGAGACATGCCTATTTTATGTATGGCGGAGAAGCGGAGGTTTGGAGAGGTCACAACAGCGAATACGAGTACGCTGAGGCCCTTTGAGCTCTCTTCATTGGCCCGATATTTGCCTTCGTAATCGGAACATAGGCCAAGAAACCGGTTGCTCCGCAGTTTTGGAGTGAAATAACTAAAGCCATTGAAGCTCTGAGACTGGGATGTTTTGCATATTGTGTGCATCCATAATGCTGCATGGGAATTAAACTTGTTAAAAAGCCCAGCTTCCAAGAGTGTTCCAAGTTGCTGGCTCAGAAGTTGTTCCGAATCCGGGGCAACCCAACGGCTTTTGTCTCAGAAAAGCAGCTGACATCTCCCCCGTACCAACTGCTAACCGACTGCTGGCAGCAGCCATTAGATTCTCTTATCGCCAAAACACTAGTTGCTGGTTAACTCAGTCGCTTAATAACCTTGAACCCAGGCAGCACAATTTCCAAGTGTCGAGAGAACAACCCGCCCGCGAAATCCAAGCATGTGAAGCCGGGGTATAACAATCCCGCCGGAAAATGTGGAGAGCGGTGTCTTTGCTTTCATTGTGAATCTCGATCTCAAAGTGGAGTTGACAGGATAAATAGTGAAGCCCTTTGTTTGAACTTTTTATTTTTCTTTTTTCCCCCAATGCTCAGCCACTCACTCTCTTTCATCCTTTTGGCCGTGGAGTGATCGTTTATTCCCACGTCATCTTCCCTCTCCCTCGGAAAACCGGCAGGCCACCCCACGTCGACCTCTGTATATACAGGCCGTGGTGGCTTCCTCCATACAGAGAACTTCATCGTATCTGCACATACATTCGTGTTTCCTTTGTTCATTGACTGGGGATTGAGGCACGGCCGTCTGCCATAGCTCAGCGGCTCCTCGGTTTTGGCCTATCCCTTCCGAAACGTTCACTGAAACCTGAAAAACGGAAGCCCGTCGATGTAACCGAAAACTCCGTGAAACATCGATGACCGCCTTGTCGCGAGACTTCTGAATATACATATCGTCCCCTTCGTATATACATATTATATCGTACATATACTCCTTTTTTTCCCCTAATCGCCGTGGGATCATACACAGTCTGCACATTCTTGTCCGTGGCATTACCACCCGGTCTCGATCAGACTATATATATATCTGCATATACATCCTACAAGTATCAGCTCCGTGGATGTTGCAATACTGAAAAGCCACCGTTTTTGGAACCTGACTGCCCCGACAGGAGGAAAGCAAGACCTGAGCTAGAGCGGGACATCGGGTCGGACAATATGCTTGAAGAATTGGTTACCGCAGTCTCGCCTGGACAGGCAGTCCTGATTGCGTTCGGCCTGTTCGCTACCTTTCTATTTATCTTGGATTTAAAAATCGATTGGCGCATCCAGAAATTAGGGCCACAGGCACCGCGTGTAAGGACTTATCTTCCCTTGGGTACGTAGCCCCCTGTCCGAGATATCTTTCCGCCGAGGAAGACTAACCGTCCAGTGCAGGCGCTGATTTCATCTATCGGGCAATGAAGGCTGCCGGCAAGCAGAAGGATCTCGAGTTCTGGACTAAGATGACCGAGGTTCCCAAATATACCGGTCCTGGCCGACTTTCGACCTTTGAGGTCAAATTTAGCTGCTATTCCCGCAGCCTTTTCACTATCGATCCGGACAATATCAAAGCAGTGCTCACTGGCCAATTTGCCGACTATGGCAAAGGGAGAAGGTTTCACGAAGAGTGGAGGGACTTCCTGGGGGATAGCATTTTTGCCACGGACGGCGAGCTTTGGTCGAAATCCCGGCAGTTGATTCGCCCCATGTTCTCGAGAGATCGGATCGTTGACACTGAAATCTTCGAAAAGCATATCCACAAGTTGATTCCGTTGCTTGGTGGTGGCGCGAATCAAGATGGGAGTAAAGTCGTCGATGTTGGCCCGTTGTTCTTCCGCTTTACTTTGGACGCTGCCACCGACTATCTTCTGGGTCAGAGCGTCGACAGCTTGGACAACCCGAAGACCACATTCGCGGAATCATTCCAATATGTGCTTCATCGTCAATCCGTTATTTTTAGGTCTGGGTATGTTCTTCGTCCCTTCTGCGGTTCTAGGATTCGCCCTTCATTCTAGTTTTAACATCCATTTTAGACCTCTGAGTCCACTTCTGTCACGTAAGCTCTTCCACGAGAACCTCAAGAAGATGGACGATTTTATGCAGCCATTCATTGAACAAGTCCGTGCCCTCACTCCCGAGGAGCTTGATCACAAACTTTCCAAGAAGGATACGTTCCTTCATGCTCTCGCTCGGTTCACCCGTGACCCAACCGTTCTCCGCGACCAATTAGTCGCCATCCTTCTCGCCGGTCGTGACACCACAGCAGCCACACTCTCTTTCTGCATTTTCGAGCTTTCCCGGCACCCCGCAGTCGTGCAGAGACTCCGCAATGAAATCGAAACCGTCTGCGGCAACCGCAAGCCCACGTATTCCGAGCTCAAAGAAATGAAATACCTCAACGCCGTGCTGAATGAAACCATGCGCCTCTATCCTGTCGTTCCATTTAACGTTCGCCACGCCCTCGTCGACACCACTCTTCCGCGTGGTGGAGGCTCAGACGGCCAATCGACCATCGGTGTACCCGCCGACACTCGAATCGTGTATTCGACCATGGCCATGCAGCGTCGCAGAGATCTCTACCCGCCACCACCTGTTCCAGGCGAGAAGACCTTACAGCCATACTTCGATCCACTCCTGTTCCACCCAGAGCGCTGGCTATCGGGCTGGCAGCCAAAGCCATGGCATTTCATTCCGTTCAACGGCGGGCCGAGAATCTGTCTGGGTCAGCAGTTTGCAACGATTGAGATGGGGTACACTGTCACCAGGATCCTCCAGCATTACCCTGAGATCATTGGCGTGGGAGCACCGAAGCCAGGGACAGATCCAAAGTTCAAGTTTGATGTTACTTTGAGTCCAGGCCAGAGACTGGATTGTGTTTTTGTGAAAAAGGAGGAGTAATTCACAATTAGGTATCCTTTCCCTTTTTCGTCCGACCCTTGACGGGTTTGGATTTTCTTAATGCCGATGTGTATATGATTGCATTTATTTCTGTCGGATGTACTCTGTACGTATGTACATACTCTTTGAGCACATGCTACCCGTACTTCATGTTATAGGTGAGTAATGGCAACTCGATAATGAACATCTTCTTTTGTCATGTCAAGAAGCTAGTTATAGGAGTGAAGATTCGAGTAAGAGACACTTACCCCCGTCTTCCTGCATGTCAAGCATTGCACAGTCAATCTGGGACTATCCATTCCGTCGGGGGATCTTGATCGTTTCGAATTTTCAGCACTGAAGAGGTAAGACAAACTTCAGAAACCTCATCACTGCAGGATCAAGACAGATTTCACTCAGGCGGGAATCAACAGGCCAAAATTATATCTACTCGCCGGGAAAATCATTCCACATCGCATGATATCTGTGGCACCAGTCGCAGCTGGGCGCATGGGTTCTCTCAGCCGTCCTTCAATGGCTTCTCAAATAGCGCCCGCCATATAGATAGTGCAACCGAGTGCAAATTCTTTTTGAGAAAGCAAGAATTAATGGCTTAAGAGGAATCTGTTGCTTCAACAACTAACGTTCCTTTTGTAGCACAAGTGTGTATAGAATTCTTTTTATTTTCAACTTCGGGGAGGTAGGCTGGTAGCTCGAACCGTATCTGTGTGAAAGCAGAGGTGACGAGCGATAGCTATTTAACTAGTTAACTAGTTAGTTAGTTACCTGCTACACGGGGTAGAGAGTAGCACATAGAAATGGAGCGACGCAACAGTTTCTATGCTACCACAACCGTGCAATGCTCGAGGAGTCCAACTTAATCTTTCTATATTCTGTGGAATACTTGCCGTTAGAAAATGCATGAGCCCTTGCTTTGCCCAAAATGGCCTGATATCTTAACTTGACCGTTTCAACCGAAATGGCGCTGTGGCTCCGGTGGATTTCTTCGAAAACAGCGAGAGAAGCCGCCGTGGATGCAAGGCGAAACTTATGGAGTGTGTCATCCAGATCGAAAACAACGCACTCAACACTCGACAGGAGGGTTCTTATTTCCGGTTGCACATCGTCGTACATGGTGATATAGTAGTTGCCCAGTAGACTTAATGAACGGCTTCTCCTATCAGACGATGAAATAATTATAGAGGCTGATGAGCTTTTGAGATTCAACAAAGAGAACTTGGGAGCTGTCAGAATTAATGCGCTGTTTTGCCTTATTTTCATGAGAGTGAGAGGTATCGGATACTCGTTGCATCTGGCCAATATCCCTCTTGATCATGACTTAGCAGTGCAATCCATAAACTCATGAGACATGCCTATATGCAGTCTGGAGTACAATTCTTCATATGCGACTGCAAAGAACAGTGTGGTTACTTACATATCAGTTTACTATCTGCAACACTGTTAATCATGGAGGAGTCTGTTACGAACTTAACACATTCATAAAATTAATAAGTATCTGTCAAGTCTAACCCTGACATCTATTTCGTCTAATGCGACTGTAAAAAGGAGAGTCGAGAAGAATAAAAATGTGGTAAGCCAAATGCCGTACAATTACACCTTCCACCCTACCGAATTAGGAGGCGTTGTTTGAGGCGGAAGGGAAAGAAAAAAAAAAAGGCGACTATGCAAAACATGTCAGCCGATGTTCACCCCCCAAAAATTAACAAAACACAACTCCGTTCTGTAAACCAGGTTCTACGCCCGAGACCCCCCTCCCACCCCCCACGAACCGAGCCGAACTCCAATGAGCATTCCCTTGATATATCGTCATCATATCCATTCATTGTCTTATACGTGTCACCCTTTTCGAATGTACGTTTGAAACCTAACTCTGGGGATCAATCGGGGCCACGAATTCTTGCATCTGATTACAAGAGGACGACTAAGCCTATGATCCCGCAGATGGCGGCGAGCCCGTGGTAAGGGCTCGAAATATGCGCCAATGAGTTTTCTGGTGCTATCGTAGCAGAGGGGTTGGAGCCTCTACCCGTATCTGGTTCTCCGTTGGTGCCAGTTGGCTGAGAGCCATCAGGCCCACCAGAGGAAGGTGAGTCCGGAGAGGAAGGCGAGGATAATGATGTGGTAAGGGAAGCCGTCTACGGGATCACGAGGTAGGGATATTAGTCAAATAATCCGAGACCAAAGATACGAGGAAAAATAAAGGATCACACTGGGGGCGTTGCTCACTCACAGAAGCCGTACTCGGCGAAGTGGGTCTCCCATCATCAGTGACTAGCCAACTGCTGGGAAGCCCTGCAATTCCTGTTATTGACTCTCTTGCAGTGCTAAGTGTCGTGGTAGGATTAGGAGGGATCCATGGATGCACACTGTGTCCTGAAGGTGACGCGGTTTTCTCGGCTGGAGGAACTGAGGACCCTACCTCTGGACCTGAACCAGGCCTTCCAGAGCTCCGGACTTCACCGTCCACTGCCTCAATGGACTGCCAGGTTCCACTCCGATCCCCGTAGCGGTACTCTTTGCCAGTGGAATAATCGGTGATCACGATATTCCTGGCTTGCATAGTGAAGGGAGCTGCGCTGAAATCGGTCTCACCACCAGCCCATTCTAATTCAACGTCAGCACGAGGGCCGATGCTCATCTATGATCCGGGAAAGAACGGGACTTACCGATTGTTCCTTTGCCGTTGGTGGGATCGCCTCCAGCCCAGATGCCTATTTTGATGAACATGGGCGTCTGGGGATAATTACCCCGAGCGTTACCATCGTTGGGGGTCACGGTGCGGATCTTTTCACCATCGAGGTAGAATTCAATGCGCTCACTGGTCCAGTCGACCGCATATTTATGGAAGCCATCCTGGTTCCCTGGGTTGGGATGCCAGACAGCGCGGTCATAAGCGTTGCTGCGGCCCTCTTTAAAGAAGTTGCTTTGAACCTGGCCATTGTTCCCACCAATCCATTCCCAGTCGATTTCGTCCAAGCAATCCGACTGCATGACCACACTGCTGACAATGCCTCTGCCAGGAGCCGCTTTCACTTCAACTTCGAAGTGTCCGAACATGATGTAGAAGTTGGACTGAATTGTGGGATAATCACCCTGTTTGTTGATTGTGAAAGAGACTCCCTCATCGTTGTATGTAGGCTTCCCCAGTTCTGTAAACCGCTCAGAAGGGCTCTTCAGATCAAAAGTAGCAGTTCCCGACAGGGCGGGATCCGCTGGACAGGCTGGAAGATAGAAGTCAGTGTTTGCTATGCGCGGTGCGGGAGGGCGCCATGCCACCTACATTGCTTTGTTGGATCACATTTTGTATATGTCTGGGCGGTTGCGAGGAGCGGAGCAGCCACAAAGGCTGCGACAGCTGAAGCAGTAAGCTTCATTACTGCTGTCTTGAGGAGCAGGATGAGGACGAGGTGGCGACAGGAAGAGCCAAGCCTAGGCCGAGAAGATCCCGCTACCCGCACCGAGGAATTGGCGTGAGAGGAGGGTGTAGGGGGCAGGCGAAGGGACGAGGGTAGAAGAAGGAGCAACAACCCGAAAGGATGGAAGTTGGGATGCTGGCAATGAGTGTAAAGGTGTTAAAGAGGAAGAGATGAGAGGATGAAATAATAAAACAAAAAAGAAAGGGGGCGGTCGGGGGGCTCTTTAAGAAGACGAGCAAAGCCGCCGGTGGGTGCAGCGTATCCACCCCGATCGCATAGTGTAGTTTTTTTTCTCCGCGAGTGTCACCAGCCAAAATCCTACTGCGACGGCAACGGGCGGGGGTGTTTGGGCTGGGCCTGGAGCTGGGGCACCGCCAATCACGGGGCGACCGTCTGCCAGCCTTCCGGGAGTGACCTTATCGCTTGACGCCACTGGACGCCGCTGAGACATTGACAGTCCAAAAATAATGACCACCCCCTTTTTCCTTGTGCTGCCGTGATGTTCTGCAAAGCTATCTGCTGCTACGCAACAATTGCCAGAGCAACAACAGCAGTAAGCGACGGGTTATCCGGGTAACAAGAGTGTTATGTACTCCGTACTGACAGGGGAGATCGGATTCCGTACCCACCAGCTATCTGCGCGCTAGTAACTCCTGCTTGGCTTTTCTGTGCTCTGGGAGAGACTGCAACAGGTGTCAGGCGGCCCAATGGATGTGCGCTTTGTCGTGACATGTTCCCCCCATGATCCACCGGGTCAGGGATTAGGACACAGGACTCGTCAGCTGCTGATCATGATCTCATCCCGGCCAACTTCATCATCACAACCGGAGCCATGCAGGTTGAACAACGGCGGCACTCAGCAACAGTAATTTGCAACAACAACAACAACAACCACCAAAAAATGGCCCATTCTGCTACACATCACGCTCTCTGTCAGCCGTTTCACGCCAGTTCGCCAGGCACGCGAACTTGCTGCTCGCCCGGCAACCCGGCTGCGGTGACGGCTGATTGGCTGAGTTTCAACCAAGCTTCGGCTGCCAGCCACTTCTCCCAGCCACTTTTCTGGTGCTTCCAGCCGATCCAGCAACTCTATTGGCTGCAAGAGCCCACCCGCCAAGACCCACTCGCTTCTGCGCTGCTGTGGCGTGGGAACCGCTGTAGGGCTGGGAGCACAGAGCTGTCACCGAGTCACACATGGAAGTGAGACACTCTGAGCCTCTCTCTTTCGCTTGCAGCTTGTCCGTTGCACTTCTTTCCGACAGTGGACGGCTGCAGGCTACGGAGTACAGAGTACGGAGCTGAGTATGGAATCCTGTACTCCATACCTACATCTCTAAGTCTCTTTTCCCTCCCAATCCTATGCATCGTCCCGCGTGCTCTGTCGCCGAGTCGGCACTCAAGAAATGGCTTGTTGCAATATCACATTCGAACCCTCTTTGACACAGGCGTCTTTCCGCCCAAGACATGCATAGCATGTTGACTCTGCTCTGTACGAGCTGTAGTCTATCAGCTTCGTGGTTGTGGCAATCCTTCGCTGTTGAGTTGCTTCCGCGAAAAGTTTTATTCCAGGAACCATCCGAAAAAGGCCCTTGCCGCACGCCACAAGCAAAGGTTCGAGTTTTCTTTTCCCCCCTTTCTGAACTTACTCTGTCCCTAGATAGTCTACTTTTGCTATGCTGCCCTTCCACAAAGGCAATGTGCGGAGGAGAGTAACACAAGTAGCACCAAAAAGATAAAAGATTGTTTTCTGCATTAGCCAGTTATCACGTGATATCAAGCTGAGCCGGGCCCATCCCGCCCTTGAGTCAGCCTCAGCGATTGCGGACAAAAAGACTGTTTTCTGAACCCCGCCGTGAAGCCGCCAAACAACTGAAAAAATCACCACAGCAGCCATGGGTTCAGAACTATCGCCGCAAGAGAAGCTTGACCTGATTAAGCTGAATCTCCAAGAGGTTTTAAAATCGGAGATTCTCGAAGATATAATTATTCGCCAAAACAGAGCCCCCGTCATTTATTGGGGTGAGTCAACGGTCCTCTCCGAGTCAACAAACCCCCCCTCCCCCCCCACACTTCTTCTTCTCTCTCTCTCTCTCTCTCTTTTTCTTCCCCTCGGATCTAATCCTCGACCACACAATGGCCTTGTCCTGTGTTGCTGACATATGTGTGTTTTTGTCCTCATTCAGGTACTGCGTCGACCGGCCGAATTCATTTGGGCTACCTGGTCCCGATAGTTAAACTTGCCCATTTCCTCCGAGCGGGCTGTCATATCAAGATCCTCCTTGCTGACATCCATGGCTTCCTTGACAACCTCAAGGCCCCAATCGAACTGGTCAATTTCCGCGCGGAGTACTATCGCCATTCCATCACGGCCCTGCTCGAAGCTGTCCATGTCCCGACAGACAAGCTTGAATTCGTGCTCGGCAGCTCCTACCAATTATCGCCCAAGTACACCATGGACCTCTTTCGTCTGAGTAGCGTGGTGACAGAGCACGATGCGAAGAAGGCCGGTGCCGAAGTGGTGAAGCAGGTAGATAATGCTCCGCTATCGGGCCTTATCTATCCTCTGATGCAGGCCTTGGATGAAGAGCATCTGGGCGTGGATGCGCAGTTTGGTGGAGTTGATCAGCGAAAGATCTTCACGCTCGCGATGGAAACACTGCCGCGTGTGGGATACAAGGAGCGGGCCCATCTGATGAATCCGATGGTTCCTGGGTTGGCGGGCGGAAAGATGTCCGCGTCCGACCCGGACTCTAAAATTGATATCCTGGACACTCCGGACGTGGTGAAGAAGAAGCTAAAGAAGGCGTTTGCTGCACCGAGAGAAACAGAGGGCAACGGGATTGTGAGCTTCGTCGAATACGTCTTACTCCCCGTGAGCGCGCTGGAGAATCCGGAAGGAAAGGGTAAATTTACCGTTGACAGAAGTGAGGAGGAAGGTGGGCCGTTGGTTTACGATAATATTGAATCACTCAAGGAAGATTACAGAGCCGATAAGGTGAGTTTTTCTTTCCGCGTGAACCTTCTTTTCTCTTCCGCTCACAAATGGGGGTCCTGGAGGCTAACTGAACCTGCAGCTTACACCGCAACTCTTGAAGTTTGCTGTGACGAGTGCTCTTAATAATCTCCTCGCACCCATCCAAGCCTCATTCCAGGCAAATTCTGTGTGGCAAGAAGTCACAAAGAAAGCCTATCCGCCCCCACCAGAACCAGAGAAGAAAAAGAAGAAAGTAAAGGACAAAGGCTCGAGACACCCGGGGGCAGCGAAGAACGTGGTTGCACAGCCCGATGGGTCCGTTGAAGGGCCAGAAAGTAGCAAAGTTGCTGTTGGGGCTGGAGTTGAGGATGCGATGGAAAAATTGGACATGAAAAAGTAATGCGAAGAAACATGTGTTGAAAAAGAGTTCTAGAGGCGATGGATAGACCTAACATGACCACTAACGAATCGTCAAGATGATTCCTTTTTTGCTTTGTCTTTTCCTAGGGCCTTGAAGCTTGAATCTAGCGTAAAGAGATATTTATCAAGTACATTCTCTGTACATATTCCGGAATATACAAACATAGAATTATGCACACCATCCTACATTTCAATCATGCGAGTTGTTGCCGTCCTACATTTTCACTGACGATTGCGGGAACTGACTCTTCCTGTTCTGAAATAGAGATTATCCTTCTTTTTATTTTTTTTATTTTTTTTTTTTTTAATACTAACGAGCAAAGGCCCAAAATCTCGGTGGGTCGATGGAAATGCCCTCACGTCGAGAAAGTACTCTGGATGGCGAGGACACGGGAAAGTTAATATTCTCGACAAACGGAGTAATCAGTGTAGAGGGAATCCGTCAAAACGACGGCACTTCGACCAAGGCATCGTCAGTCTATGCCGTAGTACCCAAGGCCTTGCGAGCTTTTCTTTTTGTGATGGCATCCCCCCGTCGCCCTGAACTGGCAAGGCATTGGCAAATCAACGTGGAGGAGCAGCACAGCGAGCGCACGTTCCGCGGCCCAGCGTGTGCAGGCGGTGGTTAGGTGGCCCGTGCGCTGCGAACTAAATCTCGCCATGTAACCGTCATTCCCCCAAGGGCAGAACGGACGGCACGACGGGTTCAGTTACAAATCACAAGAGACGGGGGGTTTTTTCTTAATAAAAAAGAACACAAGGGGGACAGTTTTGTCGAAAAGTATCCCTTGTCCCCTAATATACCACTCTATGCTTTTTATTCTCGGTCCTAATTATGCCATTGGGCATTTTTCCATCTGATCTTCGCTTCTCTTGTCTTGACGCAGGGAGGCGATTGACCGCACTCGACTTCGCCCGTGGCTAACCCCCCCCAAGACCCTCGTGGTTTCGTTCGACGACATGGGGTGTTAAGGTCGCCCTCATCGAAGCGTCACCCCCAAACCAGGAACTGATCTGTTTTTTCCCTCCCCATCCGACCTCCCGCCTCTGGCGCCATTTATCTAATCTATTTTTTTTTTTGCCTCTTGCGTCCTTGTCGCCATCGATACCTGGCCGTCTGGAATAAACTCTTCCTGATACTTTGTCGCCTGCGATGCGTATGGCTCTCGGGCTGTGTAGGTTGTGGCCTTTCATCCCATCAGATTGGACCTGATCCCTGCTGGGTTGCGGCTTAATAGGTCGTGGAGCGGCCGAGCGTTTCCCAAAGGTACGCAACGACATACATAACCAAACGTTCATACGCGAGTAGTTCCGAACCGACGAGTTACCCTACCTTTGAGCCTCCTCCGCCCTGCGCGCAGAGATTTCATCCCATCGAGTTTTGAGGCGTCTCGCGATCCTGGATCTCTACCTTCGTCTGCTTGCTATCTGCGTTTGCGCGAAACTTGGACGGAGTCTAAAATACGAGACATCGTGTGGTGAGAGCGAGCCCGGCCTTTCTCCCTCCAGAGCTGGCGCGAGTCTGCGTCGGCTCGCTAGAAATATATGGCCTCGCGCCAGCGGGAGCGATATCAGGCTGTGAGACATGGGTCTGAGAGCTCCAGCGTTGGTAGTCGACAGTCTCATGACACTTTGAGACAGAATCGACTATCTGGAGGTGGCCGGAATAATCCTTCCCACGGCCAGCAGATGGGAACAGAGAATAGGTGTGTATTAGATACTCCGCCTTTGATGCTTACCTGGACGTGATATCTCCCCGCGCCTTCGGATGAAACGCCGGCGACACACGGAGTTTCAGCGCGAGGCTCTTGAAGATCACAGTTGCTTAGACTGTTTCCTTGCTCTTTTGACCATTACTACCTCTTTCCCACGTGCTGCAGGGGTAATCTTTGTAGTCCTTTCAATGTTTCATCATTGAGGAGGAACCAACCCTTTGGAAGCTCAGTCATGCTGACCTGAGCGTCATGACAAGCAGGTCGCATTCTGGTTCACGACGTCCTTCATCGGTATTTGACGATGTCCCGCATGCTCCTTATCTCTCCGGATCCCCCGATGTATCGCCAACAGATCGGCGATCTCCCTACGGGTTTCAAAGCAACAGAAAAGCTCTTGCTGTACTAGGTACATCCGATTATCCTGTGAGCACAATGCCGCGAAATAATCCTTCGTCAGCAAGCAACCGTCCTAAACCCCCGGCTCTTCATGCCGTACCCCCTTCTCCGTCGTCCCCGCCTCCAACTAGCGCTAATCACGGGACGTTTTTCAATGATTCGTCTGAATTCGATGACACTTCCCCATCCCCTCGTCCAACCACTTCGCATTCCGTTGCGAGCAATTCGCCTGACTTGGTTTATGATGATGGTGGCCGAAGACCCTCAATCGCGAGTATCGCGACCGGTAGTAGCGGAGGTTCAAGGTCTACGGGCAGTGCGCGATTTCATAAGCGGTTACAAGGCTTTTTTGGTGAGGAATATCAGGATGGCGCATCTATGGAGCGATCTATATCGAACCGAGTTCCTAGCATCGTTCATAGCCGGGATCGGCACAACTCGCTGAATTCCGCCAATACTCTGGAGCGGCGGCCATCCCCCAGCCTCTCCGCACCTCGAACACCCCTTCCTTCCAGTGAAGTTACCCCCTGGGAATTCCAAGACTTCAGTGATATCCCCCAGCTTGGAGATGCTCCTGTGCGCGAGGAGCCTACGGAATCTAGCGCGAGATATACAGCTAGCAACGCCACCGTGCGGCCAAGGCATCGTTTCCATCTCCCGGGACACCGCCATAACATTAGCAAAGAGGATCAAAGTAGTGCTGGTTCTTCTCGACCATCCACGAGCCGCGAAAATCTCAATCCTTCGCGCACATTGAAGGATCACGCCCTGGGTATTTCAACTCCTATGAGCATGTCGACAACGACCCTTGGCGCCCGCTCGAGCAGCCCGACTCCTAGTGCCCAAAGTGCTGGCCTTCGTGACCCAGGCCAGCTCTCACCCCGCGCTCCCACTCCTAAAAGATCACTTTTCGATAAGATACGAAGACCAAAAGGCCAAGGCGTCTCTTTGTTAAAACACCTCCCAAGCTCTTCCAGTATACTGCAAGAACCCCTGAAAGGATCGAAGCGCCTAAGAGCCGAGATGTCCCCAGGATCGCGCTCCAGGAATGGAAGTGTCGAGGCTATGGGGCCTGGAAGGCAATGGGAATATATTGACTATGATCGAAAGAAGGAGCCTTACGGCAGATCTGGCCCTAGTAAGTTGCGACATGGCCGATTGCCATTTTCTCATGATAGTGGGCCAAGTAAAGACGCCGATAAACACGAGCGCGAGATGTTTGAAGGGGAACGGGTCTTTTTGGATACCAATCTCGGTGATATGGAAGGGATTATCCGAAAACCACGTCCCGGGTCACCGACAGACACCGGAGGTATTTTCACTGGGGTTGACCACGCTGACAAAAACTTCCGAACCGTTCTCGACACGCCTGCCGCTGGTGACTGGCACGCTCCAGAAAGTTGGGCAGTGAAAAAGCCAAGCGACGACATCGTTAGTCGGCTTCCTGAGCTGGCGGAGGACGATGCGAGTTTATCAGTGGATGAGGATGGCCATCCCTACTGCGTCCGTGTCTTTCGAATCGATTCCACTTTTGCCACGCTATCTGCCGGTCTCAATACTACTGTCACTGAGATTCTTGAAATGCTTGGTCGCAAGTCCTTCCTTCAAGATGATTTGAACAACTACGATATAGTAATGCGGAAGAATGACCTTTCCAGGAGATTGGATCATGGAGAGAGACCGATTCTTATGCAGAAACGGCTTCTGGAACAAGCCGGATACCAATCTTCCGATCGAGTTGCAGATATAGGACGAGAAGATAATAGTTACCTTGTCCGCTTCACCTTCCTCCCCACGAAGCTGGGTATATATTCCAGTCTTGATTCGGAATTAGCGTTTAATGAGAATCAGAAATTCAGCCACCTCGACCTCCAAAGCAAGAATCTTGTCACGATTCCCATTAAATTATATAAAAAAGCGCCGGAGATCATATCGCTGAATTTGTCGAGGAACCTAGCGCTCGACGTTCCCAAGGACTTTATTCAGAGCTGTATCAACCTGCGCGAAATCAAGTTCATGAGCAACGAAGCGTGGCGTCTACCTGCCAGCTTTAGTTTGGCAAATCGATTGACATATCTGGATATCTCAAATAATTGCCTGGAGCAATTGGAGCACGCTGAGCTACATAATTTACGTGGACTTGTGAGCTTGAAGATGGCGAATAACAAGCTTTCCTCGTTGCCTTCTTACTTTGGTGACTTTCCGTCGCTCAGAAGCCTGAACATTTCATCCAACAACTTCCAGTATTTCCCAGAATTTCTCTGCAACTTGGAGTCGCTGGTGGACCTGGACATAAGTTTCAACCAGATCACCCAGCTATCGAATATCGGGCGCCTACAAGCGTTGGAGAGACTTTGGGTCACCAACAATGCGTTGACCGGAGAGCTCGGGGAGACATTCAAGCTCCTTGTGAATCTGAAAGAGATTGATGCCCGGTTCAATGACATTAGCGGGATTGACAACCTTACACAGTTGCCTCGACTGGAAACCCTTCTCATAGGCCATAATTCCGTCTCTTCGTTTTACGGCTCCTTCGTCAAACTGCGAACATTGGTGATGGATCATTGTCCCGTAACAGATTTCCATCTTACCGCCCCTGTGCCTACACTACAGTCTCTTAACATCGCTTCAGCAAAGCTTGTGCAATTCAAGGATACTTTATTCACCAGTATGCCGAATTTGATGAAATTATACCTTAATAAAAACCATTTCGTCACATTATCTCCATATATTGGATATCTCCGCAGGCTTGAACATTTCACCATGGCGAAAAACCCCTTATCCCAGCTGCCACCAACTATTGGATGCCTAACTGAGTTAAGAACTTTGAATTTGAGGGAGTGTAATTTGAAAAGGCTCCCTGGGGAAATTTGGTACTGTCTCCGGCTCGAGATTCTAAATGTTTCGTCCAATGTTCTTGACACTTTTCCAAAGCCGGCAACTTCCCCTCCACAACTCCCAACGGCCGAAGTTCAGACTAACGGGACTTCCGCATCAACGCCCGGTCTGTATGGCTCTCCTAGTTATGAGGAGCTTGGAAAATTGGAAGGGTTTGAGGCGCGAAGACCAAGTCAAGCTTCTGGAGGTTATCTCAGTGCGGGAAGCCCTCCTCCTGATGCTCCCAGAAAGCTGTCAGTCACATCACTTGGTGGCAGGCAACAGTCTGTGGCGTCTCGATCGGGAACTGATGGGTCCAGAAAGGATTCTACATTTTCCCAGAGGATGTCGAGCACTTTTGCTGGTTCATTGAGGCAGCTATATCTTGCGGATAATAGGCTGGAAGATGATCTTTTCCACCAACTCGTATTATTACCCGAATTAAGGGTGTTGAATCTGTCATATAACGAATTGACAGAGCTCCCGCCAGGTGTCTTGAGGCGCTTACAGTTTCTCTCGGAGTTGCATCTTTCAGGGAACGAGCTTAGCGCGTTACCTTCTGATGATCTCGAAGAATCCAGCAACCTCAAGACACTTTATCTCAATGCGAATAAGTTCCAGGTGCTCCCCGCTGAGCTCTGCAAGATCAATAAACTGGCAGTGTTGGATGTTGGCAGCAATTCGTTGAAGTATAACGTTTCAAATTGGCCATATGATTGGAATTGGAATTGGAACCATAACCTTCGATATCTCAATTTCTCTGGGAACAAGAGATTTGAGGTCAAACCGAGCTCGTCATATGCATCTGGTGTCGGCAATATCAATGGGACAGACTTGACAAATTTCAATTCCCTCAGCTACATTAGAGTGCTCGGGCTGATGGACGTCACGCTTACCATCAAGAACGTTCCCGAAGAGACAGAAGATAGGCGCGTTCGCACGTCGGCATCAGCTTCAGGGTTGATCTCCTACGGAGTGGCTGACACCCTTGGTAAAAATGAACATCTTTCTATGATTGATATGGTGGTCCCGCGCTTCAGGGGAAATTCGATGGAAGCCATCATTGGCATGTTTGATGGCAATTCATCCTTAAGTGGCGGGTCGAAAATTGCTAAATTCTTACATGAAAATTTCCCTTCGACGTTTGCAAGTGAGTTGAATAAACTACGAACGTACAAAGATGAAGAAGCAGACGATGCCTTGCGAAGGGCATTCTTGGCGCTCAACAAGGACTTGGCAACAGCGGCACACAAATCCTTGGACGAAAGGGAGTCTCGGCACTGGGACCGGGTTTCTGGCATCGGAAAGGTTCTCAACCAGGATGACGTGCGGTCCGGCGCCGTTGCGACAATACTCTATCTTCGAAATATGGACCTTTTTGTTGCTAACGTGGGGAATGCACAGGCTGTTTTGGTGCAGTCTAATGGCCAGCACAAATTTCTCACTCGAAACCACGACCCAGCTGAAACATCGGAGAGGCAACGCATAAGGAAAGCTGGTGGATATGTCTCCAGAAATGGAAAGCTGAACGACCGCTTATCCGTCTCGCGTGCGTTCGGCTACTTCCACATGATTCCCGCTGTAATGGCTGCACCAGACACTTTGAAAGTGACGTTGACCTCTCAAGACGAAATGATAATTATGGCGTCAGGAGAATTATGGGATTATGTTACTCCTGACGTTGTAGTTGATGTTGCACGAGCGGAGCGCTCCGACTTGATGATTGCATCTCAGAAGATCCGCGATTTAGCCATGTCTTACGGTGCAAGTAATAAACTAATGGTAATGATCGCAGGCGTGAGTGACCTGAAGCGACGCCAGAGGAACAAGTTTACGAGGAGCGCCAATATCCCTATGGGCCCAACCACTCCGTTGACCGATGATAGCATACTCCTCACCAGCAAGAGGGTCAAACGCCCTCGTGATGCACCAAGTGACTCAAGGCTAGCGAGATTGGATCGTGTGGAAGCACCGACTGGAGAACTGGCTATCGTGTTTACCGATATTAAGAAATCTACCTCGCTATGGGAAACCTACCCCATTGCTATGAGATCTGCGATTCAGATACATAATGAATTGTTCAGACGACAGCTCAGTTTAACTGGTGGTTTTGAAGTCAAGACCGAAGGAGACGCGTTCATGGTCTCTTTTAGCACCGCAACTGCAGCATTGTTGTGGTGCTTCACGTGCCAGACTCAGTTGCTGGACGCTCCCTGGCCCACTGAGATTCTCGATTCTCCGGCCTGCAAAGAACGATTTGATGCTGAGGGTAATCGAATATATCGTGGGCTATCGGTGAGAATGGGCATGCATTGGGGTCAGCCCGTATGTGAAAGAGATCCCGTGACGGGGCGTATGGATTATTTCGGGCCTATGGTCAACCGTGCGTCGCGTATTTCAGCAGTAGCAGATGGCGGCCAGATCTTTGTCTCATCGGACTTTGTGGCTGAAATTCAGCGGACACTGGAAGCTTTCGCGGATTACGAGCGAAGCAGTTCAACAGGCTCAGAAGACGCTTGGCCTGATGAACTCTTGAACAATTCCATCCGAAATGATCTTTATCAGCTCAGCACTCAGGGTTTTGAGGTCAAGGATCTAGGCGAGCGCAAATTAAAAGGTCTTGAGAATCCGGAATTTGTGTATTTGATGTACCCGCATTCGCTGGCCGGCCGCCTGGCTTATCAACCCGATCTGTCGGAGGAGCGAAACGAAATGCCCGTGCCAGGAACTTTAGGGCGGAACTCCAAACTTAATATTGAGGCAGATCAGTTTTGGCGGTTGATGAAAATATCACTTCGGCTAGAGGCGTTCTGCAGTGCTTTGGAAAATCCGAATGCGTCGACGTTGATAGAGCCTGATATCAACTTGATTAATGCGATCAAAGCTCGTGGCGGTGAGATCACCGATGCTTCTGTTTTGAACCTCCTTGAACACCAGGTCGCTCGTATTGAGGTACGTAAATTTATGTCAGCTAATATATTCTGTTCTATGTGGTTCTCTAACGTGCTATAGACATGTACGAACACCCTTGCCATCCGGCACATGATGCGGCCTTTTAGACCTGGCGATAGCCTTGAGGATCATGCTGTTCCCATGATCGAAATTATCAAGCAGCTTCAGGCTCAGCTAGCCGAGTTTAGAGCCTTGAAAGAACAGATCGACGTTGTGAATTCCAGCATATCTATTCCACCATCTCCAAATGGCAACCCCATACATCGCGCGGTTTTTCTAGGCAACGATCAAACGTCGTCTACGCCCACCATTGTGGATCTTAGCTGTGAGAATTGCTCTGAGGACACTGATGTTATGTGTTTCAGAGAAATGTAACCCTTCCATCACCTCTGATGTTTCACTGTTTTCCCCGTTGGCTGGTTTGGACCGGTTATGACACTAGAATTTGTGTTTATTGGCGACATGGGTCTGGCCGGAGTCAGCTGTCCCACACTTTGTTTTTTTGGAAAGCTCGAACCGGCGTTCTCTGACGGGTCGGCTTTTTTTGTGTCAGCATTCCCAGGGAGATAATCTTCTTGCATATATCTTGTGGTATATTTGTTGTTTCCTGCATTCTTGTCTATGAGATTGGTGTCTTTAGACATATGGTTGTTTTACGGAATTTTTGCCTCATTTTTCTTGGGTCATGTAATTTAGGATCTTGATGCTTATACTGAATGACATGTCGACGTAAAAAGCGTTTTCGTTATCAAAAGACATCCCATGCCTTTCTTCCAGCAGTGCAACAACAGCGCTACAAGGCGGTTGAGATGCGGCTTAGCGTTGAGATAGGACGAAGGTCTTGGCACCGCACCTTCTAGCCACGTGGCGTTCGATTGTGGCGGTGAATCGAACTCCAGCGCCTTTGAAAGTGGCTGGTGGCGCTGTTGCCTTGATTTTTTGTTGACAAAAAATCACGCTCAAGTTAGCGCCTTGTTAAGGCCAACTTCCGCCCGGAGCTGCCAGTGCCCGTCTCCTCGCTTTCTGAGAACCGGTGTCTCCCACATATCACCTGCCAGTTATTTCAATCTTTATTGAGACCGGTTTCATCTTCGAACGAATTCTGTCATTGCGTTGGTTTGAGGGTGCCCATTGGACTCCACTCCAACCTGTTGCCCTGGATACCACGCTACTGTGTTTGCCAAAAACTCGCCAACGCTGCAATCTGAACTCGTTCCCTGCTCTCATTCAACTCCGAAGCGCACAAATCCAGCTTTTATTTCAATCACATTTACTAAGCAAATCTGTGAGGGACGCCCTGCTTCTTTACTAACCGGCGATCGCCCAAACTTCCTCAGGGTCTATTAGGCCACATTGCGCGATCCCCGCCATGTCTAGCTTCGACAGTGGCGACGAGCTCGCCTATCTGATGCCAGGCTTCGACCTCAATTCTTTAACCGTACCGCGGCTTCGATCGATCCTTGTGAGCCATGACGTTCCTTATCCGACATCCGCAAAGAAGGCGCAGCTCATCAACATCGTGGAATCCGAGGTCCTACCCAAGGCCAAGCAGCTCTTGCGCCAACGAGATCGCATCAAGAGAACGAGTGAAGGTATAATCGACATGCCCAGTAGTCAAGAGAGTATGGGAGAGGATGAAAGCAAGACTCGACGTTCAAAAGCCCCGCCAGCAACGCCGTCAACCAGAAGAGGCAAATCACGGCCCAGTACTCGACAATCCACTGTCGAGGTTGATGATAGTATCCCACCACCGTCTACAAGCCGGAGAAGAACTACGAGGTCAGCTGCCAAACATCCACGTGCGTCTGACACCGAAGAAACCGGTGAAGATATGACCGCGATAGAAGCTACTCCTCGGACGACAGGGCGGAAATTAAGAAAGAGCGAAGCATATCCGACACCGCATGAATCGACGGCGTCTCTTCAGGAAACGCCTGTGCCGGTGAAGTATGAAACTCGAAGTGCCAGCGTCTTTACGGATGATAATCCCTTCCAGAGTGGATCGCCGGTGGAAACCCTCCGTGCTCGGGGGGTTAGTAGTGAACTAAGACGGAAGAGTACGCCAAGGTACTCCACACCAGCCAGAGCAGCAGCGGATGAAAGGAGGAAACGGAAGAGCGAGTTCTTAGCCTCTCCTAGTCTAAAGCAAGAGGACGGCGTCAGGGTACCAACCAGATCAACATTTGACGCACCTGTTTTAGGCCTTAGGTCTTTGAAGGCAGAGGAGTCTGAAGAAGACGATCTGGAGCCCGGAGAAGAGTTTACCCCTGATGAACAGCTCGCTTTGACGCAAGCACAAGCTACACCCCGAAAGCCAGTTGTGAAAAGAAAACCCGCGAAGCGGGGAGGAGGGGGAACACAAGCTGTGTCATGGTTCGTAATTGTTACGCTGCTATCCGCCATTGGCATGTGGTGGAGGAAGGAAAAAATCGAAATAGGGTACTGCGGTGTTGGCAAGCCACACTGGTCTCTTGAAGGTACAAAGGTTCCCGAATGGGCCTCCGTAATAGAGCCAAAATGCGAACCTTGCCCACAACATGCCTTCTGCTACTCCGGTTTGCAAGCTACCTGCGAGCAAGATTTTGTCCTGAAACCACACCCATTGTCTCTAGCAGGCTTGATTCCTCTGCCGCCAACATGTGAACCGGACAGTGACAAACTGCGCCGGGTCAAGGTCGTTACAGACAAGGCTGTTGATGAATTGAGAGAACAGAGGGCCAAATATGAGTGTGGAGAGGTGGGCAAAGATGGTAGTAAGGAAGTCACCTCTCCTGAGATGACGGCCGCCGAACTAAAGCAACGAGTTAGCAAATCCAAACGGAAGGGAATGAGCGACGAAGAGTTTGAGGAACTTTGGAGGGGAGCTCTTGGTGAAATTACTGGTAGGGAGGAGGTGATGACAGCCACGAAAGGGTAAGTTGTTTTTCTTCTGGTGGTACTATACATTATTCCCAGAGATCGCGCCTCGTATGTTGGCAGACCCTCTAGATATGTATAATCCGCTGGGATGTATGTTCATTATTGACAATCTGACATTGCGGTTGCAACTAACAGTAACGGGCACGCATACACAGCGCAGCCTCAGCCAAGATCATCACGTTTAGTTCGTCATCCCTCGCAAAACTCTCCCTCGTCTGCGCCGTCAAGCGGCACCTCAGACTCTCTCTCCTCGCATATCGACTCCCTATTCTCTTTTTAGCGTTTTCCATATCTGCTGTTGGATATGTGCGCTCTCGCATTCTCGCTAAACGTTCCGATGCTGCGCGTGTTCCGTCCCTGGTCAGTATGACTCTCGATCGCTTGGCGACACAAGCCGCGTTACATGCTCGTGGAGAGGCACTGGAACCCTGGATTTCGGTCGGGCAACTCCGTGACGATGTTCTACGAGATGAACTGAAGAGAAGTCGGCGGGAAGAGCTTTGGAATCGAGTCAAGAGGATTGTGGAGGGAAATGCAAACGTGCGAGCAGCTGTGCGAGAAGGACGTGGAGGAGATGTGTCGAGGGTTTGGGAATGGATTGGGGGTATCAAGGCAATTGGCGGAGAGTTGGAATCCACGACCCATCGACCAGAGGGTTCGAGAGTCCGGTTCTCATTGCTACCATCGGAAACGGGGGGGGGCGCGAAGGAGGTTTCTGAAAGTCGAGAGATGAAGAAGTGGGATGAAGGGAGACCGGTCTATTGATCATGCCCTTGCCGTGTCCAGGGCGTTGTTGCTCCTTTGCATATATTTACTACGGTGTTCCTTTGATTTTTATTTCTTGTCGAGCTGCTACTAATAGGCAGTATTGGGCAGGTCAGGCTCTTGTATCTTTTTCTTTCTTTTTACCTTTCTGGGTGGGTTTGTGTTGGGTTTTTCCATTATACTGTCAGTTACTCTTGGACAAGATATCCAGTGCTTCACTTTCATGCGGCAAAATTACTCCGCGTGGCTTTTACAAGACTAAATAAGTAGCCAGTTTTCCTGTTTCAGCTCTTTCGACCGAAGAAACATCGCTCGAGGTATAGTAGGCGCGTTGATAGCCATTCTTGGGTTTCATTTGGACATTCAGGTGGCATCCTAGACATAATCATAGTTCCTCTAGTATTGAATGGGAGCGCGAGCCGTACATTAGTTACAGAGTGAATAACATACACAGATATCAACATCGATGTCACTGAATAGAAACTGACAACCCAACAGAGGACATATCAGGAGTATAGGAGTATACTTATAACCCAAAAAAAAAAAAAAAAAAGAAAAAAGAAAAGGATCTTAGCGCTATTTACTTGGTTGTCATAATATACTTGTGATATCGGGTCTCCAAATGTTGCACCATTTCAGGGATCGTGCGGCTTGCCATTTGCAGCGGGACACTCTCGTACGACGGTGTCAAAAGCCTGGGCGACGTATTTGACGTTACTGGTATTTACTGTAGCAGGAGTCAGCCCTATTGTGTGGTAGGTTTATGGTGCAGTTTAGAAATGGATTGTATGGGAACACAGCAGGCGGGGTGTGTGACTCTTGAACCACAGACCCTGCAGGGCTCGTAGCAAAAGAAAGCGATAAGACAAAGGAAATAGAAAAGCAAATGGATGGTACACAGCTTGGGAAAGCTTGGTTCAACGTACATCCAGAAATTGAGATGCGGCCCGAATCAAGGATATAGATGTGATACTTCTGACGCAGGACTCGAACCTGCTCCTTGGTCAAGCCCGTGTAGGAGAACATGCCGATCTGGTTGATGATGTGCTCCCATGTTCCCGGGGTGTGGAGACGCTTGAGCTCGTCGTACAGGGCGCGTCGCATGGACTTAATTCTGCTGCTCATCGTGATAAGGTCCTGCTTCCAGGTGTCTCGGAGGGCTGGATCACTGAGCACGGCAGCGGCGATTCTTGCACCTGTGGTTGTTTACGAAAATTAGAACTCCCAGTTAGTTCATCCATTTTTGCTGTCGTTTGGAGGGAGGGAGAGTTAATTTTTTTTACCATATGCTGGTGGAGTGGAAATCTCTCCTCGTTGGATCTCCATGGCTTGCGATCTTGCCTTTGCTGCAGCATCGGCGCTGCGACACACAAGGTGGAACGCGCCCACGCGCTGACCGTACAGGCCGAGGTTTTTGCTGAAGCTCTGCGCGACGCAGAGTTCCATACCGCGTGAAGCGAATTCTCTGATGGGCCAAGCGTCGTTGTTTAGGTCGCCGGAAGCGAATCCCTGATATGCGGAGTCGAAGAACGGGAACAGGCCCTTGCGCTCACAAAGATCTGCGATCTTGTGCCACTGGGCTCTGGTTGGGTCGATACCGGTGGGATTGTGTGCACACGCGTGGAGGAGTACGACATCTCCCTTGCTAGCGTCCTTCTCCAGGACGTTAATCATGCCATCGAAGTCCAGCGTTCGAGTGGGCGCATGGTAGTATGGATATGTGCGGCGTTCCACGGGGCTTCCCGTCGTTCCTGACGACACGAGTTCCCAGATGAGGTGGTGGTTGACCCATGTTGGGTCGGAGATCCAGACCTTTCGCTTCTTTCCGTGGACGAGGGGAGGCAAGAAATCCGCGAGGAATCGAGCGCCGATGTGGTTCGCTCCAGTGCCAGAGACGGTCTGCAAGCTGGCAATCTGGTCCTTGTCTACAGGCGAGTCTGCTCCGCCGAACACAAGATCCCGGGAAAGTTCAATGAACGGTGGGTAGCCCGCGATGGGAAGATATTCGTGGTCGAACGTCGGGTCGTCGAGGAGTTGCAGCTCGACCTGGAGGAATTTCTTTTCAGCTCATATTCTTAATATAGTTGCAGCTTTGGAGCGAAACGGACTTACCTTCTTCACGGTGGGTAATCTCCAACTTCTCGCTTCGTTATCTCTATATACACCGGCTCCCAGACTCACCTTGTCCGGAAACGGGTCAGCGCTGAACGCACCCATGAGAGCAAATACCTCATCGTGCGGTGCTGTTGTCAGCTGCGAGAACTGACTGTCTGGTTGCATTGGTGCCATGTCTTGCAAGCAAATATGCCTGTGGGAATGAAAGAGGATGTGGTTATGTGAGTATACTGATGGTTTCGTACTGCGCTGGGAGGATATGTCCAACTAATCCCCAATGTATGCACAGGGAGTGCCGGCCACCGTTGCTATGAGAACGATATGGTTCCGGGGAAATATTTACATGCGGGAGTTTTTATGAACAAAATGCAGACTTTTGGCTTTTTAGCCTTGGTTTAGGCCCACGGCTCTAAGCAAAAGTGAACCGCAGAAACGGAAGAAATTATGGGATTGAGTGGGTGCGGATACCCACGGTCAAGTTGTACGAGAAGCACCGCTGAGCGAAATAAAGCCTGGTTTCACAGGTGAAACTGACGGGGGAAACGCCTTGATGTCTCTTCGAGGAATATCCACATTGAGGTCTCCAGGTCTTGTTCTTGTAGGACTCTGGCCTGTCTGAGTCACAACCACCAGCTCTGGGATTCTGCGGCTGGTTGAGGACCCCGTTCGTCCCGTCATCGCCAAGGGCCAGCAATAACTAGTTGCCGTGATCGGGGACAATGGGCCAGCCGCTCGAATTAGACAAGTTTCGTGGATTTGGCCAATCAGAGCATGTGCTCCGGGTAAAATGCCGATTCGCCGTGACCGCTGTCATCGCCTGGTGTGATGTCACGGCAGAGTATTACTCGTGGTTGTGTTTCCAAGATGCTTTTTGAGGTCGCTCTTAATATGCATCAAAGTCCAATTGCTCCAGCACACATACCGCATAGCACAGCCTCGGATTCATATGCTTTTGACCTCTGCGCTGGTACCTTGAAAGTTGCAAGCCGTCAGGCGATATTTTCTCGACACGACAGCATTCTCTCACGGGCCAGACATCCCAGACCCAAATCCCCCAAGTTATATATTTAGTCGCAGCGTTTTAGAGTCAAAAACTACTCCCGTATGGCAGACAGAAAGCAGCCCGGCGAACACTCGGTGTCCTTTTCGGGGCCTAGTTAGGGCTTAGGGCTTAGGGCTAGGGCTCCTCCGTTATCGGGCCCGGAACGGCATTAGCCTGTTTAGGGTTAGCGCCGGTAGCGGCAATCCCTGGGATGTCCGCGTCTAGCCGCCGCCGGCCGGGTCAGGTGGTCCTTATCTTATCGCCGCCATCGCCGACGATCACTCGGCCTGAACTATCCGCTGGGGAGTCGGAGCTGAGGGCGAGACGCGACGAAAGCACCCAGAACCGCATCCGGAGCGGGCCGAACTCCAGTCACGGCCGTGTTGCCAATCTTGTGTTGTCCAGAATATTTTTTACAAATTGGCGGCGCAAAAAAAGAAATAAATACGCCGTTGGAGTGGAGAGGATCTTTACGTAACTGACCGATACTGCATGCCCACCTCCAGGATGCATCAAGGCACAAGGGAACCACCGGATAATGCATATATGCCGTCTCGCCTCTATTCCGAGCCACTTGGGACGCCGCTTGATGCAGCGAACTGTATGTGTGTATGCACATAGAACCACTGGTTAGAGTAACAAGCAGCCAGCTTGGTAACCAAACACGCCCATGCAAAGGAAGCAAACCCCCACAAGCTCGTCCTCCATCCACTCCAGTCAATGCCTTACTTCGTTTCTTCGCTGCAGAACGGGTCGACGGACGGGTCCTCGTTCCGCACATATTCCAAATAATGAGACAGCACATCCACCTTCTCCTTGCCGTAAAGATGTTCAACGAAGGCCAGCATCCCATCTATCCCCGCACTAATGCCCGAGGTGGTCCAGATATTCCCGTCAACAACCCAGCGCGCCCTTTCGACCCAATTAACCTTGGGGTAAGCAGCCGCGACCTCGCCAAAAGCAATCTTGTTGGAGGTCGCCTTTCTCCCTTCCAGGATGCCCGCGTGGGCTGGGATCTTGGAGCCGGTGCAGATCGTGAAGAGGTACTGCAATCCCGGATACAAGTCTCGAGTGAGCTTGGAGACTGGCTCGAGAACTCTCGGGTCTCGATTCCCCGTGCCACCCGGGATGATGAGGACGTCAATGTTTTCTGGCGGGTTGGCGTAGGTGTGCGTAGGGACCACACTCTGGAAGAATGCCGGGTTGAATATCAAACCCTGCCGGGGCAGAGCATTGATGCTGACGGGGTCCAAGCTTGGGCCGATGATGGAGAGCTTAATTGGCTTGTCTCTCCCGAGTACATTGAGGACGTCAAGGGGTCCAAAGGCGTCTAGAGCTTGGAAACCCGGGTAGAGGATTATGGCGTAGTGGACTGGGAGTTTGTCTAGAGAAGAAGTTAGTCCCCATTGCCGCAGTCTCAGAGAGGAGGAGGGAGGTATACCAGAAGGGTTCCCCTTACCTGATATGCTGTCCATGGCGCTGGCTGCAAGATAGAGAGAATGATTATCAGCAGTTATTTAACTAGTTAGTTACTACAAGTAATGACAGAGAAAGATAGCGATTTAGAGATGAGAGGGAATGTTCCAACCAAAGGTATGCAACCACCAGTGAAGAAAAAGGGAATGGCTTTCAAAGAGGGAGCCAGACAGGATGAATATACTATCGATATCTCAATATTTGCTATGCATCCATTCTTTCAATTCCATAAATACATGCATAGAGCTGGCCGGGTCTCTGTAGCTATATATTATGTATTAAAGGACGACGGGCCCAGACTTCTCAGTGTACACACGTGCACGGCGAATTTCCCAAGGGTCAAAGCACTGAGGAACAGGGGGGGGATCGAAGATCGACTCACCTCGAAGGTCTTTGGAGTCGCCAAACAAGAAAAGAAAGCAAAAACGATGATGCTATCCGAATTTGAACTATTTACGACAGTAGATTTTTCCGGACGAACTCCAGGAAGATAAAAGACTCATCATCCGTTGCGTCAACGCCCTTCAGCACGAACTAGCGAGCCAAAACTCAACGAGGTGTTTACCGTTAAGTAGCTCGGTTCACCGAGTCGCCCGACTTGTGCCTCACACCAATAGTGACCACTTAAACGTCGCAGGAGAAATCGACACGAGATTCCCCCACCTTTGCTCGAGGCACGACAATGGAGAATCTTCCCGAAAAGCCGTCGTTGCTTCGGCTACCATACTCTGTCCGGCGAGAAATCTACAGCCTGCTCGGAGTGGTGGGCGTTGATACCAGGTTGATGGCACTTGGCCACAAGGTGCACCGGCCCTGGGCTGGTCAGTGGTGCTCTCTAAACCGCAGCTTTTGCGTTGCGAGATTTCGCTGCGCTGGATATTGTTGCCATATGCAAAACCAGTTGTTTTATGTCTCTCGCGACGTGTCTGCGGATGCTTTGCACGCGTTCTACTCTGAGAATAAATTCGCGGTTTCGAGCGAGAAACCCCTTGTTTTCAAGGTCGTGGGCGGGAATGCGTTGTCAGCCCTGCGTCGACTTACATTGCAGCTGAATCTCCGCCCCACGCGATGCCCTTGCGGCCGAACCTGCGATGATGCACCGCGGAATCGGATGTTCGATGAGAAGATGCCGCTCCAAGAGCTGGCCCCTTGTCTCAATTTGGTTGTCCAAGAGTGGCGGGATACTCTATATCACCTCGGAGCCCACATAGCGGCTGGCAAACTGAACCTACAAATCAATTTCGCCCCTCAATGCTTTTATCCTGCTGTTGTGCTTCAGTCATTAAGGCTGTCTTTAGCGCCCTTGCTGGAATTTCCACGTCTGAAGAACTGCTTAATTTCCCTGCCCAACGCGGACCGGCGGCTTCAGCCGTGGGTAAAGCGTCTGGTTCTCATGACTACAGGGCAGCTTGATGATATAGACCCTCCTTTCCCTTTCGCCAAACTCCCTCCAGAGCTTCAGCTGAAAGTTTTGGAGCATGCGGGGCTCATTTCGGATACCACTCTGGTAGTATCATCAAATGGTTTCATTCCCCGGCTCTGCTGGGGCGGTGCTTGCTTCTCGAGGGACGATTTTTTCTCCTGTTGTTCCCTGACAAGCAGCTATTATGTAAATTGCGATCCCTGCTGGGTGCTCCCCAAGGAGCTATTCGATGTCAACCGGCGGATAAGAGCGCTATCTAGATATATTTTCGTCTCTCAGAACCGCTTCATCATCAGTCCGCTCATCGTACCCGAACTAAAGCCCGGTTGGAGCCCCATGTGCTTATCCATAGACGACCTTCCACATCTCAGATTCCTCACTCTCGAGTTCACTGGCATCGACGGAAATACCCATCTACCTGGCCAACCCAACACTCTTGCCTGGGAACGCTTCGTCGACTCGGCGGTAAACAAACTTACACTACCAGCACTGACTTTGATGGTCAGGATGTTCCATGAGGACCTTGATTATCTGCCAAATGGCGTCATCTACGATGATGATGCTCAGATGGTAGCTGCATACAAAGCTGCGTGTCAGCGCATCTTCGAGCCGCTGGCACATGCATTGAAGGGCCAGGAGGATGGTCTTAAGAGGCTCTTTGTTGCTATCTCCTCGCCGATCGAAAACCTCAAGCTTAGTGGCGTCCGTGATTATGAACGGGTCCTGGAACGGACGGTCATGGGCATAGACTACGATAGTCATGCTCTGGGTTGGGATGTGCTGCGACGGAGGGTAACCTGACTCTTTTTTCACTCACCTTTTTTTTTTTCTTTTTTTCTTTTTTTCTTTTTTTCTTTTTTTCTTTTTTTTTTCGGGACTTAGTTATGTGACTTGAGTAAGTGTTCTGCGAAATATGCCAACTTTGCGGTTTGCAATTCTGACTCAGTCAACAACGAAGTATGGGGCATTCATTATTTCCTGGTTCAAATTGAGAGGGGACATATCTTCACCAAGGAGTGAGAAGTTGATAAATATACCTGGATAAACAAGATCCCAAACATATATCCATCACTGAATTTATATCTCAAACAGGCCTATAAAAGTGCCATATTCAATCCAAAGATGTATTGAGGAACGATATCTAGACTGCAGTGTTCTTCTCAAAATGGTGATCGTTCTTCTTGCACGCTAATTGACCATTCTTCATGAACAAACTACAACTGGGGCAAAGACAGATGGCTTCCAGACACCCTTCTTTTTCAGGATGCACAGACATATTACTCTCAAGAGTAAGAGAATAAGTCTGACTGGTGGAGGATCAGTACCAAATAAGCATATTCACATAAATTCAACGGGAGGCAACCCCCTCTCTCTCACAGCATCATTAACATCTCTGCGCACTTTCTGGAGAGCAGTCTTCCAAGCCTCTAGCGACTGGTGTTGGTCAACCGACCCAAAATCTATTACTTCATTTTTGTCTTTCTCATCGTCCCCGGCACTATCCAACAACCAAGCCAACCATTGTGCCACAGCAACAGCCTTCGACACGTCTCTTTCCTCAAGAATAACACGCTTCAAATACTTGGTAAGGGCATCCACATCTTCCTCAAAGGGTCCCTCTCGCTTGAATAACTCGTACCACTCGCTTAGTGCTTCACGCAGCTCTGGTAGTGAAGAGAGCTTTTTTGAAGTAAATGTCGGCTTTGGCGGCCGGGGTGCGAATTCGAGGAGCTTTTGCTCTGGAGGGCGGTCTGTAGGCTTACTTAACGGTTTGCGAACTGTAGGTAAATTGAGTCCGGATCGCTTCTGGAGACGTGATCGTTTGTGTTCCTCGATGACCTCGCGACGGATGTCTTCTGGTAACGCTAAAAGAAACTCTTCGGAAATATCATCTGCACATTCTTCAACAACCGATGATGTGCTTGGATTTTCATCTGCTGGAGCTGTAGACGAGGACGGTCGAGAAACGATGAAGCTTGATTGAGTCAGGGTAGACTTGGCATCAGATTTACTGGCAACCTGCCGGCCACGAGTGCGGCCAGCACGGGGCTTGGTAGGAGTAAGCTTTGTCTTTGGCCGTATGTTACTATTTGCTTCGGGGGATGCATCGCATGGAAGCGATGGGGGGGATTGCTGATAATAAGCCAGTATTTCCGCTCGTAAATCTTCTGGCAGGGCATCTAAAGTTTCCGGGTCCACCTGCGACTGAGGAGGCAGTGAAAAAGGTGCCTGGGGTATCAGGGGGCGTTTGGCAAGAGTTATTGGTGTTTGCTGCTGTTTGCTCATAGAGACAAATTTGGACCGAATATCTCCAGGAAGCTCAGAAAGCACTTGAGAATTAGCTTGTGAAGGCATAATAAACTGAGTTCCAGTGATATTCATCGGTCTTTGTGATTCATCGTTAAGTTCTGGCGCAGTTTGTACGGATACATAAGACTCCGTTTTACTCGGGGTGGTTATTTCGTCCAAATCCTGGGAGGGCCTTCGTTCTTGAGGACTACAAGGGGCGAAGTTGAGCTGACGCTGGCTGCTGTGTATCCCACCAGAAGGATCATATTTGATGGACTCCAATTTCGTCATTTGTACTCCAAGTCCTCTCAGATTGCCGGGGGAAAAATTGAAGCTCCTGAGGATTGAAACGGCTTCCTTACCAAGTACCTCACTGGAATTGGTTGCTACACCTAGCAAAACGCTCTTGTTGAACATATCACACTTGCCGTGTCCGAGGTGCTTCGGAGGACCCAGGGGTGCATCAAGAGCTCGTCGCATAATCCTCATCGTCAGCTGCTTCCCTTTTACCCCGTTCTCCATAAGTCGTCGATGCAACTCATCACACAAGCTTTGCACGAATTCTTCTACCTGCGCTTGCGTGACGAAGCGAATTCCCCAGTTTATTTCTGCGGATACAGATTTTCTGGGTGCGACGTCTCCAACATCTGCGTTATCAATGCCGCGAGCATAGTCCCATAGTTTGGCTCCAGTTTTTGGACCGAGATTCGAGGTAAGCCTTTCCCTAGAAAGCTCGCGGATATCTTTAACAAACTTCACCCCAAGCTCCTCGAGTTTAGCTCCTAAGCTATACGCTACCCCGGGAAGCTGCTGCACCGTAAGTTCCCCGATAAACTCAAGAACCACTTCTGGCTTCAGCTGGAACTGACCAGCTGGTTTGGCTTTCCGCAATGCCAATTTGGCCTGCAGAATATTTCCTCCAATGCCTACGGACACATCGCATCCAGTCTTCTGTTTAACTGAATCCCGTAAAGTTTGGGCAATTTCATCAGCTTTTGCCTGCTCTTTCCAGATAGAGCCTTCCGATATACCTTTGCCTTCAGAACCCCCGGCCTCAAGGCAGAGCTTAGTGATATCGACAAGAGCTTCATCAATACTGACGCTTTGTACGATGCCGTCAATATCAAGTATTGCCTCGTAAAATTTCCTACTCGCGTCTTCGTAGGCAGCAAAATCGTAAGGAAGAACTTTAAGATCGGGACACATCTGCAAGGCTCCCTGCATCCACATTCCGTTTTGTATACCGAATGCCCGCGCGGGATAGTTGCAACTCGCAATCTCAGACCCTGCTCCTGTACCGTGGGCGATGGCCACAGGCTTATCCGCAAGCTCAGGGTTCTTGCGAATGGAAACAGCGGCAAAGAAGCTATCGAAATCGACATGAAGTATGTACCGTCGTGATCCCTGAACGTGTTTTTTGGGTGTCCGAAGGGATGAAACTTTAGCAAGGGTCGCCTCTTGGAGCTTTGCTTTCAACTCGGCTTTCCAGGTAGAAAGGTGGTGAAGACGCGACTCTCGATAATACTGCCGAATAAAATCGGGATTAACGCCGCTTGAATTACGCATATGTGGATTTGAGAGTAACTGTGCGTTATACTCTTCAGGAGTCATGTTATCTTTGGTCTTCTCCAAAGGTTCTTGTCGCGGTTCGTCAGTGTCTTCCGGATGAACTGCTACCTCGGCATCACCTGAAGTCGTCCTATTCTCTACTGGAATAGAATCGTCAAATCCCTGCTCTTGTTGCGCTATATTAGTAGAGGCCTTAGTGTTAAATACACTGTCACCAACATCTCCTACAGCTTTGGGTGAAGGCGTAGGAATTGTACTATTCTCGAACCCCTTAGCGTCGGGATAGCGTGGGGCAAGACGTGCTATATACCAGCTAGATTCTGTTTGATCCCGATAACTGGACGACTGTGTCCTGGTCTGGCTCACGATCTGGCCATTGTCGCTGAACTTGAGCACCTTCTGAGACGCTCCCTCGTCCACAACCCTAAACGAATTCCAGGGAAGAAGTCGGCCAGCATTTATACTTTCCACAACCCACGCTGGTTTTACGACACGATATTTCCGGAATTCTTCGCGCTTTTTGGGTGTCAAGGAACTTGCGATGATATGTGTAGCCGCCGTCTTCGAGTCAAGGTACTGGAGGAAAGCTCCACCGTGGCTAACGATAAGGCGATGAAGATCATTTAGGGACGGTTGTGTGTAGCCATTTACATGTGCAACCACACCTTGAAAGATCGGAGGGTTGTTCGGGGAACTCGATCGTATCTCAGCGTCCAAGTTCTGCAATTTCAACTTTTTGCGACGAAAGTATTCTCCAAATCCGCCGAAACTTGAAGCTCCGTACTCCTCGCCTTCTTCATCTTCAAACACGTCTGCAGAAATGTTAGCCAAGTAGCCGGTTTATATCAATATCTCGGCGGCCCTTACGGTTCTCAATCCTCTTCCGAACTGCGTTGGATCCTGATTCCAATCGAGAGCCCATGGTGGGGCCAAGAACGCGCAAGAAACATAACCAGACCACCAACAGAAACAAAAGATCAAGAGAGCAACGCAGCCCTTCGTCGTCCTCTCATCATCACAAGCGGAGAGATGCGCCTTTTGGTCTCAAGTCTACAACCTTTGTCGTCGACTTGGCCGAGCCCCGTGGCGAGTGTGGCCGTTGTCTCTTACATAAACCGCAGCGACGCGAGTGGTCGACGCGACCAGCAAGCGCGGTCATGTGACTCTAATGTATCACGTGGGAGCTAATCGCGGCTCTGCACAAGTGGGTCCTGAACTAGTGCCGAAGTAGACTAGTTTTATGGGGCGGATCCACAGCGGGTCTTCAGATTCTGTTTACCTCGAATTTTCATTTTTCATTTTTTTCAGTTTTTATTTTTTTTTTTCCCTCCTCTCCCTTTTTCAGCTGCAGCTCGAATCTTTTCCTGCTCTTCAGCCACCTTCATTTCCAGCAGGATAACCGCCTGGTCACTCGCTCAATTGCCCCAGTAGAGAATAGTCATCCCACGGTTCATCCATAGACGGCCCGTTAAATTCTGCGATCATGTCTGGAACTCAGCCTGTCGCGTTGTACGCAGCGAAGGTCCCGCCTGGTGGTATCCTCGTTCCCGCGGTGCCCAATGCTTCAGCAATGGTATATCTTTTAGGTCTCTTTCTGGAAAACTGTGGGCATATCGAAATACTAATTTGAAATGAGCAGTTTCGTGTTACTATGGCGGCAATCGACCCCGATGCTTTGCCAGAGCTCGAGGACGAAGCTAGCGCACATAAGCCACCACGAGCGACATTGAAGATTGTTCGACCTCCTCCAGGATTGGATCTAGACGATGATGAAGATGATGAGGACTACTCCGATATTGAGGATGATGATGAGTCTTCCGACGACGAGGCGAATGGTGGGCCAAGTGATCCTACCAAGGCAAAGCTGGCCAAGCAGGCTGCCAAGCTCAAAGAAATGGAAGATGCGATGGATGAGGACGAAGATGACTCCGATGGAGATGATATCGATCTCAAGGCCGCTATCTCCAAGCTGATCAAGGGAAAAGGCAAGGTCACTGATGATTCTGGCAGTGAGGGATCTGATGACTTGGAATTGGAAGAAGTGGTCGTTTGCACATTGGACCCTGAGAAGGTAAGCTTTAATCTCATCTACCAATCTGCTATTTTATCATGTATTGACACATCCCTTTCTCTTCCTTCGCAATCGCAGAACTACCAGCAGCCACTTGACTTTGTTGTTGCCGAAGACGAACGCATTTTCTTCAAGGTAACAGGTACTCACACAGTTTACCTCACCGGAAACTACGTCCTTCCTCTCGATGAACGTGATGACGAGGAAAGTGAGGAGGAAGATGATGAATACGACCTGTCTCCGGATGAAGATGAGCTCGCCCTCCTGGAAGGGGATGAAGAGGAGAGCGATGATCTGGATGACCTGGAAAATCCTCGAATTATGGAAATCGATACTGATGAAGAAGAGAAACTCTCAACAAAGACTCCTAAAAAGGGCAGTAAGGGAAAAAACAAGCGACTAGCAGAGGATTCAGATGAGAATCTCGACGATATGATGTCCAAATCCATGAAACCCGCCACCAACGGAGAGCAGCCCCTCAGCAAGAAGCAACAAAAGAAGCTCAAGAAGAATAATGGGGAGGCAGCCGAGGTGGCGCAGAAACCCGCAGAGGCCAAGCAGTCTCCAGCTGCTGGAAAGTCGGACAAGAAGGTCCAGTTCGCCAAGAATCTCGAACAGGGTCCAACTGGCTCCACCCATCAGAAAAAGGAGGCTACTAAGCCAGAAATCATCGTGAAGGAAGTCCAGGGTGTCAAGATTGAAGATAGGAAGCAAGGAAAAGGTCCTGCCGCCAAGAGGGGCGACAGGGTGTCGATGCGTTACATCGGCAAGCTTGAGAACGGGAAGGTATTTGATTGTAAGTGGTCCTTGGTTTATTGGACGTAGAACCAGTACCTTGCTAACAGTCGCCGTTGCAGCCAACAAAAAGGGGAAACCATTCTCGTTCAAGGTCGGTTCCGGCGAAGTGATCAAGGGGTGGGATATCGGCATCCCCGGAATGGCCGTTGGCGCTGAGCGAAGAATCACCATCCCACCGCATCTCGCATACGGCAAGATGGCGCAGCCTGGAATCCCCGCCAACTCGAAACTTGTCTTTGACGTGAAACTCCTCGAAATCAAATAGATTTCCTGTGTTAATTGAGTTGCTATTCCCACAGTTTGATTTCGTTCCTGTTGAGACTAGGTAACCTGCTCGCGGCTGCTGTCTTCACAGTGCTAATTGTTTTGTATAAAAAAAGAACAAGCTCATCCCTCGGCGTTTTACTTGTCACATTTAACGTTCTACTGTTCGTGTCGAGACATCTGCCGCGGCTTCAAGGTGCACTCACCTGGGCATAGGGAAGGATTCTCGCGCAGGGAGTTGGGAGACGGGCCTGGATATAACCGAGTGTGTTCCTGTTCTTTGAGTAGTTAATACTAGTATGATCTGAGACAAAAGATTTCTTCATGTTTTATGCAGGATACGTTGATTCTAGTTAGCCACAGTGAGTCCTAATTTTTCTATCCTTCTCTTTGGCCATCCAGGGCAAGGGGAGGGGGTTATGGTTGGTGAGATCCAGGTTTTGTTGTTTACAACCTCTCCTCACCACTCTCTGATCACCTGCATTCATTTCCAAGTTGCAACAGCAAAAAGCTGTTGGAGGAAAACTAAAGTCTCTGATGAACCATTTTCCATTCCAGACCAAAAATGCATCTGAACAGCCCATTGGCGGATCCTTTTCCCCTCTGTTGGCAGTGCTTTGATGCTATCTTGGCCTCCATCAGATGGCTGCCAATGAGTACACACTCCGGCTGTGGAAACCAATGTGCCCCATCGAGCTGCCAGAATATATGCACCGGCTCTTTAACTGTTCAATGCGGTACTGCGAAAGCGCTTTCCTCGCGTCATGAAGCGGTCTCGGCTTCCCGCTGCTAATGGAGGCTTGTTCCTTCTTTCGAGTCGAAGCAAAGACGCTCCTTGACGACGGCTTACTTCGACATGGCCGTTTTCAGGCTTCATTTACTTGGCCGTGTGTCTCTGTGCTTTGAATGAAGCACTCTGCATGCGTTATCGCTTTGATTAGGCGCTAGGGGTGAGCTGGGCTAATCCAGGCCCTCTGCTGGCTCTCGTTCTCTATATTCATAACATATCGCTCCTACGACGTTATAATGGTCGTTCGACGGAGAGCTACCTTCTCCAAGACACTCTTTGAAAATCCCGCACAACAGAAACCTACTGAGCCTGAGGTAGAAAACCCGGAGCATTCAGTCAACTCGGTGACGTCGATTTCGGAAAGCTCGAGTGGAACTTCTCGAAGTAGAGACAGTGTTCGACGCTTCTTGAGGAGGAGCAGATCGAAATTGTTGTCGATGTTAAGACTTCGGAGCAACTGCAGTGGCACAGGTATAATTTCCGGCTGATATTATCATTACAATGCTTGGTATTGACTCTATCCCAGGAGGAAAAATGACACTCCCTCGCCAGCCAGAGCACAGTTCACAAAAAGTTAGGGCAGGCTATGACCAGGGTGCCTCCGGTAGGGTTGTCACCTATCCCCTGGCTCATCGTGGAAATCGCGATGCGGATGGGATTCCTGGGATATTGCTAGCGCCATCCCGGCCCTTGAAGCGCCTTTGTGATCCGACAAGTTACCACAATAGAGGTAAAAGGTGTACGAGTAAACATCATTCAGAAGATGGTCACCAGGCCATCGAAGTGGAAAATCTAGGCTGCAAACCTTCAACCCTCCATGTTCCTCGTCGACATTCCAGTCCTGGCTTCACGAACATTTTGTCTCGCAGATTTTCTGCAACGTTCGGCCATCCTACCGTAATTCACCGTTCAGATCTGCGCAGACGGCCCAGTATCCACAGCTTTTCTTTTACGCCTCCTGCGTCCAATACACCTGACCTGCGAACGTTAGGGGATAACGCCCAAGATGACACAGACTCTTCTTCAGTGCATAGCGCCTCGTCTCCTCGAACACAGTCGACCAACCCTACTTCTGACGGTGCGCCGGTGCCGCCCTTGCCAAAGATGTTAGATAAAGCTAGCCAGAAGAACGGAGAATACTTTCCAGGTTCCGACACATCTGAGAACAAAATCAACCAACTCAATAAAATATCCCCATCTATTGTTACTGTTGAGGCTGCTGCGTCCGCGAAAATCTTTTTCGAGACTTACTTCAACGAATTGTTCTCCGTGGAGTCTCCACGGTCCGAGCGTCAGCGCGAACTAGAAGAACGACTGTACCTGTTAAACCTGCCGATAGAAGAGCATGTTAGAGCAAAACAGGCGTGGTACCGGCAGGAAAGCGACCATCTCCGACAGGATCGCCTCCTGAAAAGTCGGTCAAATTGCCCGAAAGCTAGGGAGAGTATCTCTGTGGCTGGATACGAATGTATCAAAGTTCTTGGAAAGGGCAGCTTTGGAGTCGTTCGCCTTGTGAGGGAGAAGCACACAGGAGATATCGTCGAGACCCCGAAACCAGAGTCTTATGCGACTCAAAGCCATAGAAGGCCCAGTACCTTTGATGCTCTAAAATCAGCAGTCGATGGGGCTAGAAGCTCTCGTCGTAAGGATCTGGACAGATCAAAAAAGGATGTTTTCGCAATGAAGGTCATTCGGAAGTCTGATATGATACGAAATTGTCAGGAAGGGCATTTACGGGCAGAGAGAGATTTTCTTGTCGCTTCAACAAAATCCCGATGGATAGTCCCGCTAGTCGCTAGCTTTCAAGATACGCATAGTCTCTATCTTGTCATGGACTACATGGTTGGCGGGGACTTTCTTAGTTTGCTAATAAGGAAGAACATTTTGAGCGAGGACGTTACCAGATGGTACATTGCTGAGATGATTCTTTGCGTGGAAGAGACTCATCGCCTCCGGTGGATTCATCGAGATGTCAAGCCTGATAACTTCCTTATCTCAGCTTCTGGGCACCTAAAAATATCCGATTTTGGCCTTGCCTTTGACGGACATTGGTCTCATGATCAAACATACTACATGAATCAAAGGCAATCATTGATGTCGAAGCTGGGAATACAAGTCGAAGGAGACGACAAGGACCGCAAAGCAGCTCAAGAGGTCGCTCATAGTACTGGTACCGAGTTACCAAGGCGAGAGTCCGGTAAAAATCACGATCGACTACTCTCAATTCCCAGCCCTGGACCAAATGATGATATTCTCTGCTGGCGAAATCGGAAGCAAAGGAAGAAACTTGCAAGGAGTGTTGTAGGCACCAGCCAGTACATGGCACCAGAAGTTATTAGGGGTGAGTTTTACGACGGGAGGTGTGACTGGTGGAGCATCGGTATCATTCTATATGAGGTACGGTACCCTCTTTGTTACCCCATCGTCAAAGAGGTGCAGTTGCAGCCCTTAACACAATTAGTGCTTGTACGGGTTTACTCCTTTTGCTGCGAAAACAAGGCATGACACCAAACAAAGAATCCTTGTGAGTCTAACCGCCGAATACCCCTGACCCATTACCTCTTGTTTGCTGCTAATGCAGTACAGCATCATTATCAGACACTGTATTTCCCTACAGATCGGCCTTCGGACCATCTTATTTCTGATGATGCGATTGATTTGATCATTCAAATTCTACAAGAAAAGGAATACCGCCTTTGCTCCGAAAAATATATACTAAATGATTATGTGCATTCAGGAAGGATACCGGGAGAGCTGCTCAATTATCCGGCTGATAAAACATCGAGAAACTACCGTGGCCATTATGTCTATCCTGATGATGCAGCTGATATTAAGAATCATCCGTTCTTTAAGGCTGTTCGATGGGACGAACTTCACTATCGCAGTCCACCGTTTGTACCGAAGGTTAAAGCTGGAGATGACACTAAGTACTTCGAAGGAGAGCAGGTGAGCGATGCGCCGGATGGGCCAAGCGAAGCCAGCCTCGAAGAAGTCGATGGATCCAGAGGCCAAACTCCAAATAACTCTGGAAAGACACAGCTAGATGGTCCGAGTGTAGGATGCAAAACGGCAGGTAAGCTTAGGAATGGAATCCTGGCTGGTATAACAGTCAACCTCCAGAGTAAGTCGTTGAAGAAAAAGCGAGAGAAGAAGCGTGCTAGGGACAAGGTCTTACGAGATGACCGGGTGAGCAAAACTGCGCTGGATATGAGGAAGAAAAGTGCCTTTTTAGGATATAGCTATCGGCGCCCTAAAGATGCTCTACTTGCCCTTGAACCTGAAAGGGGCCGAAGGCTCGTCCGGGCTGACCAGTAGGGTGCAGGAACTGGCTCTTTATCATTGGAAATCGGATATCCATCTTTATCTTCGACTTCTTGTGAGAGCTAATACTCTTGTCATGTTTATCCCTGCCGCATTTCCTGAGCCTTGACTATTGAGCAGCCATTGCTGGTGTTTGCTGCCTTATGAACTGTGTTCTCAGCATTATTCTGGTGTTTGATGTTTGTTACCGCTGTGTGCTTTGTTGAGCACATTTGTTGTTTCGCAAAAAATATCAACTAAGACCAATAAAATATTCTTACCGCATTCATGTCTTTCTTTTTATTTAAAAAAAAAAAAAAAAAAAAAAAAAAAAAGGGTGGGGGAAAGAAAAAGCGAGCCTGATATGCCGTGTATCGCCAGCCGAAAAATCAAAGCCTTCTATTCGGCAGTAAAGTACACATCTGGGAATCTCAAGAGTGCCAGTCCTGCCTGGCGAAAATATGGTTTACATACCATCATCAGGCGCAAAATAAAAACGATGGGGAATCTAAACGTGAAAGAATTGCGTAAGGATAGCTATAGCGCTAGAATGTGGAGGCAAACAGTAGTCAAATTTAACGGGATGCTTTAAACCGCCGGTGCCGGCATCATAAATGCTGTCGCATTCCCACCTTCTTCGGGCTTCATCGTCCCGTTGAGAAGGGGGCAGAGCCTAGAGACGAGTAGTGGTGGTTAATAGGATGTCCTCGAGGGGGTGAATGGTAGAGAAAAATAAAAAGGGACCCGTACTTCTTGTTCGTCTTGATATGCCCAACCTGTCCACAGTTGGCGCATTTGCGCTGTGTGGCACCCTTTGGAGCCGTGGCGGGCGCCGGTGAATTGGCTGCGTCCGGGGATCCTTCTTTGTGTTCGGTCATAAGGGACTTTTGCTTTTCGCGGGCGTGACGACGCTCTTTGTTGCGTTGTAGACGCTGGAGTTCGTCTTGGATGCTGTGAGGGAGTAATTGATTAGTCCATACTGATTTAAGAGGAATGAAAAGGATTGACATACTGTTTCATACGCCTGGCGTCGGTTTCGGGATCTCCAGTTGGCACCATATCAGCCGCACTAAAAAGAAGGTTAGCAGGCCGAATAGGAAGCAGATGGATGGGACGTCACATACGACAACTCCCTGAGTTCCGCCTCATAACGCTGTTTCTGATACTGCTTGATCACCCTTGGATCTTTGACAATTTCTTGGACTTCCTCAATCTGACCTTGCGCGTTTTTGACCTGGCGAGTAATCTTCATAACTTTATTGGTTTGACTTGATGTACTTAATCTGCTGAACTGACTCGTCGTATCGTCGTCGCGGCGTCCTGTAAGAGGAGTGCGTCGATCTACCCGGGAAGATTTACCAAACAAATCTTCTGCTTCGTCAACATCAATATCGCTCTCAGCATCGGAGTGTTCAATTGTGGATGACAAGCTCTTTTTCTGACTTTCCCAAATCCTGCGAATAGAATCCTCGTACGACTTCTGCTGGCGAGCAACATTATAGCTGTGTCCGCCGAGTTCCTTAAGCCTCTGAGCGTCAAGCTTGTCTTCAACACTTTCACCCACGGCTCTAAAACCACCTTTCATAGACGTCTTTATAAAACTAAATCCTTCTCCTCGGCCGGTGGGATCTCCCTCGCCATGTAACTGTAACATCGCCTTTCCTTGGGAAGCGAGAAGGAAGTTTCGGGTTGCTTTCCATGGAGCGAGCTGTTGCTCCAAGCTATCACCTTCTTTATCTCCGTCGTCGTCCTCGTCTTCTTCCCGATCGTAGCCTGCATCATGCAGATATTGTAAACCGACTTGCATTGACTCTAGAAGACAGACATCTTCGGGCTTAACATAACCACGTAGGACATCTTCGTCCGGGATGGGTTCTCCTGATCGCATTTCCCACTCTTTATGATCCTTCGAGAACTGCAAGAACTCCTTCATCTTCTGGCGATTCTGCATATCGGTAGATTCAGGAAAATGTTCCGTGATATCAGCCACACTGACTCTATGGTTCCTATTTTTCCTGATTTGACGATAGCAGATCATCTTTAAGCGGTTCTTTGCTGCGGTTGTCACCTTACGCGAATGAGGTCCGGGTACATCGACGGATGGGAATTGTTGGCCCGCAACATAAAGGTTTTCAATGTTTCGTAGGTAATAGCTCGCGCCCTCGACGCCTGTGCTGTTTCTAACAACGAGGAAATCGGTACCTTTGGGTTCTTGACGAAATAAAGGGGCAAGGAACATTCCCGTGGCAATTGCAGTGGTTGTTTCTCCCGGGTCAACATGACCAAAAGTAGAAAACGGGCTTTTGTCTTCCGGAAGAAGTACCGCCGTTTCTCCAACTTCACCCTTTGGGCGAAGTGCGTCCTCCGCGTTTTTTTTCCGGTAATAATTGATCACCCGGCTTCCCATTCCGAAATTTGACATCATCATTGGATGCTCCTCGGAATATTCGACCAACAAAACAGTTGAATTGTCGGCCAACGACAAGGACTTTGTCGAGTCATAAAGAGTTTTGGCATCTTTGCCCTTTTGGTGTTTACGTTTAATAAACGTTGGCTTTTTGAAAGTGACCGGGAGCCCAGGGAAAAACGTAAGAACCGGACGGTGGAAGGATCGTGCTTCTTGTCTTGCAAGCCTCGTCTTATAGTAAGGCCACTGAAGTCGCACTGCAGGCATACTGTGCTCCAACACGATATTTCCCAAAGTACTGCGTACCTTATTCTTATGATTCTCCTTTAACATCTCATAAGCCTCATCGTTAGATATGTTATAACGCTGCATCATGCGTTTTGTCGAGCTTCCGAAAACTTCGCTGAGTTTTCTGGCCCCTCCGAATTTCGTTGCTTGCACCGAAACCTCTGGTGTTCTTTCATCGATCAAAAGACGAGGATCGTTCATATCGAGTATTAGCTTTCTCGCAAGTTTAGCAGTAGTCTCTGCGGGATCATCCAACAAGGGTAAATCGATGTGCGAAAGCGCAAGATAATCGGCTGGGTCTTTATCCAACTTCCGCTTTTTGGCTGGAGGAGGAACTTCAAAAAGCCAGTCATCTTCATCTTCACTGAATTCATCGTTGGGAGCAGCCCGGGGAGCCCCTTCAACCTCTTCTTCATCGGAGACAACTTCTTTGATATCCCAGTCTGCACAAATAAACTGTAAGTCCTGCATAGTTACACCCCCCGGGAGTTCCTCGTCCAAATCATCATCATCCAAGTCCATGATGTCGCTCAGGGTATCCTCATCTTTCGCGGGTGGCGTGATTACAACCACAGAAGGCGATTCTAGCTCTGAAGCGTGCCTCGCCGTTTTACCAGTGGAACGGAAACTGCGCTCCTGATCCTGAGCCAGCTCGAGTTTTAATTTCGTAGGGATAACCCGCTTAGGTCGCTTGAGTGGCGTCTTACCGATGTAATGAGACTTTTTCGGAGGTAGAAGTTCAAGGAAGCGTGGCATAGAGTTGCGATCGAACTTCGGCCACAGCGATGCTAGGAGCTCCTCGTGGTTTTCCGGGGGTGCGGGTGGGTTATCTGGGCCATAGGAGGACATGGCAAAAAGAGCCTGCTGTAGCTGGTACTGTCGAAGCGTCTCTGGATCCATATCCATTGGAGTTGGGGATCTCTCTCTGTCGACACCGCTAAATATCGCGTCGACCTCATCTACCAGTGAATTCACTCCCGACTCATCAGGTGTCTCTTGTGGCATCCGCAGCCCCACGGGTTTATCTACTCCCTCCGCAACAGGAGATGAGGGCACATCGCCAAACAAATCGTCAAGCTCGTCGACCGCTGGTTGCTCATGAAGCTCGCTCTCGAGGCTCTTTGTAAAGTTGTCCCAGTTATCAACCCCCTCCTGGGTTTCCGTGTCCACGGTAACCTGACCATGGAGTGGCTCTTCATCGGGGAGATCGTCATCATCATCGATGTCTTCATAGTCCACAGCGTCATCTGCTTTTTCACCGGGATCAAGCTCTCTGTTCATGAATTCGAGTTCTCGGGTGTTCGTGGGGGAGTTCAGCTGTCTCATAAAGGTGTCGAAGGGGTCATCTTCGGGCGGCTCGACGCCGCTAGCCTGGGTGGACTGGGACATATCGGTGGACTTGAAGCTCTGCAATACTCAGCGATCGTGCGCCAGAATTCTATGACGGCAAATAGAGGGTTCTTTATGGTTTAAGAAAGTAATGTGAGTGCAAGTGGAGTAGCAGAGCACAGGTTTGTAGAAGGAAATCACCAAGAGTTTGTGGCTTTAACCACGGGCAAGAAACAACAAATTGAAAAGCTAGAAAAGGATATTATAATGGATTTCAGTGGACCACCGGGTGGAAAGAAACAAAGCTGCTGTGAAGGTCTGATTCCTGTTGAGCTCTTGCGCGGCGAGCTGCTGGAGCTTGCTGCCGAAGGGATATATCACGTGACCAAAATGCGGCGGGACCTCTTCTTGAGTCCTCGGGATCGTCAACGGAAGAGCCGAATTTCTGATACGTGGACCTGCGCTCTGGACAAAATTGATACCAATATCATCCACGTTCACAACAGCAAACTCATTCTCATTCAGAATAATAGCTAAAGCTGGTCTGAAAATACTAGAGATAGAGGCAAGGAACTATCAGGACACTAAAAATAGCACATCCTATTCGGCTTGCAATGGGGGCTGGGCATCACCGAGTGATTTACACCACATGCTGTGTTAACCTCACTCAATGTACTCCATATTTAGCTAATTGACTAACCTATTCCAATCTTCCCACACTGTTTTCGACTAAAGCTATTGTTCTAGCCCTTTGGACAATGAATCCACCAGAAAACATGTTGTGTTCTATAACACATGTGAACCACTGTTCGATACCCGCATACTTCAATGATCATTTGAAATAGCTGCCCCCAATTAGGTAGCAAACACGAAATACTCTGAGCTTTGGGGTATCAATTTACTCAACAAGAGATGGGAGCATGCCCACGCAATTCTTGCAAAACGTAAGTCCCGCCAATGGTATCTCACCTTCTTACAAATGCTAAAGGGGTGGAAAAGTTCCTGTCAAAGGTTCTGTGCTAGTCCCGATGCTCATCGAAAAGACTGGATGGGTACTTCTTCGGGCATTGAGATTGCAATCCCTTGTGAAGCCTACGAACTTGATTTTTACCTTGTAGACTAAAAACTCAGCGACATCATTGCTCCAAAGAGAGTCGAGCCAACCGCGGTACAGCTCTTTCCGCCGACAGGATCCCATATACCACCTCCCCAAAAGAAGATCAAGCCACGTTTAGACTACTTGAAACATATTGGCTTTCCCACGTTCATTCTAGACCCAAATGATCTGTATGCCTTTCCTGATGTTTTCCTAGGTAAGGGAGGGGTACATATTGCCCCTATTGACAATGAAATGCTGATTCTAGTATCGAGGACAAACATTCCTATAAGTGAGTACTTAAAGCACCAAACACTTTGAAGCATAAGAGGATATGAAGTTGTTCTTACTCATGGGGATCTCTGTCTGGACAACATTATTATCCGGCCAAACTGCACTATAGGGATTGTTGATTGGGGCCTTGAGAGATTTTGGCCAGTATACTGGGAGTATTTTAGAGTGACAGTGTCAATTCCAATCACTGACAATTGGGATCCAGTGGTGGAGAAATAATCCTGCCATACTACATTGAAGCTGCTATTATGTTGAATATTGCTGCAACTATATGGAACCGAATGTTGTTGCACAAGGATTTGTTTGGGGGACTTGTCAGAATCTAGTCTGCGCTGGGGCGCCGATGGAAAAGAGTGGGAATCGGAGTTAGTTCAAGAGTCAGTGAAACAATGTTCCTTGTGTCCTTGATTTGAAATCAAATTCCCACAATCCCTTTTATTTTCCATTGTGAGTCTGGCTAAAAAAAAAAAAAAAAGAAAAAAACTACAGATATAGAGTCGTTTCTTATCTTCACCCGCCGTTGAAGCTTCAACTGCAAGAAAGCCTGCATGTGGCCGGCCAGTACTGGATTCTCCGCCAACCTCAGGAATAGTAGCTGCGTCATGGCCGAAGTGCGACAGCATTTTGACGGCGCGTTCCTTATCGAAGGTAAAGAGTTGAATTCATTCGCGCTGACCGCACGGGTCTGCGTAAGCGGGTCGTAGATATATGTGTGTGCTGGGGACAGCGGATAGGGTGCATTTTGCATGTGGATGAACCGAGCTCGTATACGGCGATCCAGAGGTGTGAAGGCCGATCCCCAAGGGACTACCCGCCTTGCTCCGTACATGTTTACGGAGATGGCGTGGCTTGGGGAGGAGAACTTTCACTCAGAAAATCAGAGATTTTTCTTCCATCGTGCTTTGTTCTTTTGGGGGCGATAAGAAGAGGTTATTCTGACAGAATAAGCCGTTCCCCTCCACAGGAGTGCTTACGGTATCCCAAGTTCTCGTAGCTTCCTGCAGCCAAGTCTCTTGTTGCAGAAATCTTGTCCACGCAGCCCTGCTAGGATGAGCTCTTCAGCTAATCATCCTGGAGGGACACTTTTGTTAGCACAAACAGCGCTAGAAAACCATTCGCACATTCATCATCGTGCATGTAGTTAGCATGAATACAGATTGTTCGCAATGCGGATTTCTGCTATTCCTGCTCAATTTTGAAATCACCATAATAGATACAAAGGGCCTTGCTTGCTCCATCCATGCAATAATGCATGGCTGTGACCTTCCTTTCATCTTTCACTAAAGCTGCCAACTGTCGCAAGTCAGAACTTCTTGGGAGGAAGAGAGCTATATCTGTTGTAAACGCCGAGAACTCAGAGTAAATAGTCTCTATAGAGTAGGGCTCCATCGTGGACAGATTGAAGACCTTATCAGATCGATATCCGGGTCCTGAAATGACGCACATTAGCACTGCTAAGCCATTACACGACGTTCATCCAACTTACCGCCCCAGGGCGGGCTTGCAAAAATCACACTGTAAGGTGCCAGGTCTTTCAGCTGGGTTTTAAGAATCTCAAAACAGTCTCCTTGGAACCAAGTGATTTTGTCTTCGACACCGTAGATCTTAGCATTATGTTTTGCACATTGAAGACTTGCTGGGTTCTTCTCAATTGCGTAGACCCTTCTCCATTTGTTGGAGCGTGCAAAAGCGATCGCGTTGCCTCCAACGCCAGCAAATGTATCTATTACAATGCTCTTCTTCTGGGGGGCTGCAGCGGTCATATGCGCCGCTATTTTACTATACCAACCGTCAGCTTATTCTCGTTTGCAATCTACCCATACAGAACATACTTTGCAACAGGCTCTGGGGTTACTCCGAACCAAGCATCGTCAGTTAGCCAGACGCCGTCATCATACCTAGAGAAGATATTATAGCGCTGGGCCCAGTAGCTATAATCTGGCTGTCAGCACTCCCGCATATCAAGCAGGTAGAGAAACTAATACTTTTGAATATCCCAGGGGACTTCTCCATATTTGTTGTAATGTTTGACCTCCGGCGGAGGAGCTTCGTCCTCAACAGCCATACCGCCAACCAGTCATCCACCTCAGCTTCTTATCGCCCATTCATAATAGGGGAGACACAGGTAGCCGATGGTATTCAATCAGGGAGTAGTTTTCATAGGCACTCAACTATGCAGTGCTAGAGAAGCTTTCCGATAATTAGTTAGTGGCTATGGCTGGGACGTACAGTTAAGCGAAACGTCGCGAGAAACCTTTTTTGGCCGAGCTCTGGGAGGGTTGTCGCGCTGATGTCACCAATACCACTTCAAGAATGCCAACGAGCATCACATCGGTACGGCAAAAAGTACATGCAAGCAAAACCTCCTTTTAATTATAACTGCAAAACGTGCTGTAAATTCGCTTGATATAAATATATTTCTTGTTTAATCATCTCCAATGTTCGGGGCTTTAAATCGCTTCATTGGGAGGCTGGATTCCGATCTCCCCAAGCAGCCAACAAGCACCACGGGTGACAACTCCTACGGCTTCCAGATACTGCGGAATAAGGACCCGGACCTTCCTCTGGAGCCTTGGTTTGATTTCATAGTTGGAATCAATGGCCGACTTATCGTAAGGAAAATACGGATGCCCCTCTCAGTGCTCCGGCCTGCATGCTTATTCGTGAGATATCGATAGGACGAACCTGACCCTCACCTGTTTGCGACGGAGGTTCGCAATTGTGCCGGAACAAGCGTCTCCTTAGAGATTTGGAGTGCGAAGGTAGTCTTGGATCTACTACCTTTCTCGGTCACAGCAAGCATATACTTATCAGATTTCTAGGGACAACGGACGCACAACGTCGTTATCCCCATCCCACCAGAGAAGCCCACATTAGGTCTCACTTTGCAACTCGCACCTCTCTCTTCCACACAGCATATATGGCACATACTGTCTATTCCCTCGCCTCTCAGTCCTGCCTACTTGGCTGGCCTACTACCTCATTCAGATTACATCCTTGGAACGCCAAGTGGGACTTTGAGAGGGGAAGCCGCACTCGGGGAGCTCGTCGAGGACCATCTGAACAGGAGTCTCACTTTATGGGTATATAATAGCGAATTTGACGTTGTACGAGAGGTGGAAATAGTGCCCAATAGGAATTGGGGCGGGGAAGGTGCTCTCGGTGCCGTATTAGGATATGGAGCTCTACACAGGCTACCGGTTGGTCTAGGAGAGGAGGTTGAGGGGCCCGGAGAAGTTGTCTTCGACACAAAAGATGGAATCACGGAACAAGTTAAGCAATCGCCAAAAATTCAGCCGGGGAATCATTTCCTAGTTCCGGCAGAGATGGCATCGCTGCCTCCTCTCTCACCGAGTGTTAATAGTGGGCAGGTTTCCCAAGCCGCAACGACTCATGGTCGGCATGGACGGAAAGCTCGACATGTGCATACTGTACCAACCTCATTCGATGAATACTTCCGTGAAAGCGAACAGAAAAGCAAAGAAGAGGACTTCGTGCCATCGCAGGCTGGAACACCGGTTGCGCCTCCGCCGAAAGCGACGGATCGAGGCAATGTAACTTCTCCTGGACTTGAAGGCGCATCAACCCCAGCAGAGTAGCTAATTCTTGGGGCACTTTTATTTGGGAAAAACGGCGTCGGGAGTCAAAGAAGCCGTCTTTTGAGTTGTGCTACATGAGTTTTGTGAGATACCATTACGGTCCGGTTTACCAATAGTAGATCGTCTCCCTTTTATTCCAGACAACGGCGAAACCGGGTAAAATGAATGCGAATGTTGGAAGCCACCCCAACTCTCTAGATTCTACTACAGTACATATACATATGCCGAGCTCAAAGATCTTTGGTTGTAAACCGTCGGCCGCTTTGTAAAGAGCTTCAAGACTGGCGTATTTATCTTCCCTTGCTAATCCATTCCTCCAATGTTTGTCTTCCCTCTCCAATCTTCCCTTCCAGCCAGGTTCTTGCGTAGCCACTGTGAGCCACTGCCTGTCTCCAGGATTCTTCGGCCGCATCGCGAGCCTTCACATGCTGCTCTGCAAGCGCAGGAACCTTCTTTTCGTATTCCCACACCAAATCAGAAATGTTTCGCATGGTAACAGGTAGTAAAGTCCAAGCAGCAATTGTACCCGCAGTCAAGGGAGTGGCTGTGCGTAAGAAGATGCCGCGGTTTCGAGAAACGATTGATCCGGCCATGGCAGTTACAATCACATAAATGCTTCCGGGAAGCAGGCGTTCACCAGACTCGCGTGATGGGGCCAATGAGGCTATCGTGCTGGTAAACCTTGATTCGGCGTTGAGGGCACGGGAGAGGGCATCATTGAAGGCATTCTCGGCAGCGAGGGAGTGATCGTAGAGGAAGAGTCTTACTTGACGGATCTGCCTTGCTAATTGATCCGTGGGAGATTCGTAATTGGAGGGGTTTGAGGTCGTTGAGGGAAGAGGTGTGGAGGAGGGAGTCGGAGTGACAGGGAGTGGTTTTTGGGCCTCGACTGGAGTGCTGTCGCCGTCCTCATCGTAGATTGGTTTTCGCTGGCGCTATATAGGATGTTAGATATACTGATTCTGAGGGGAAATGACACAGTGGAAGTCCAATTGACGTACTGATGGTTGAGACGGAGCTTCGGCGTACAATGTGCGTCCAGGATATGCGGCGAATCCGCCAGCCATGAGGACTGCGGCGCTCGTGGCAGCCGCTCTCTGAAGGTAGAAATCAGTATTTACTGCCAACACATCCCGATCAGGAGAAAGCCTTACCCGTAGGAGCAGTGGATGCAATACCATTGTGTGCGTGTAGTTATTTGGCTCCGCCCAATTGCAGACTTCAGACGTGGAGGAGAGGGTCTTTGGAAGTTGAATGAGACACCAACGATGTTTTTGAGTTCTCGGCAAGACTTGGAATTTTCGGCCGCTGCTTTTCGCCGATCAAAACCTCCCAGAACCAACACTCACAGCGTTCTCGAGTCCCAGCCACCCACTGCCAGATCCCGGCAGACAAATGCGATGTCAAAATGCTCAAGACCTTGAATCGAAGGTCGTGGACCTGTCGACAATGTATCCGTATCCTTCGACGGAACGCCGAAACTCGGCGCTACTTTCAAGGAGCGTCGGCTGCTTCTCCCTTGTGCCAGCACACGGTCTCAAGCAGCACTTCAGATAAGGCACGGGATGACCAAACGTTACGACTCATCTTTGATTCGGAGCCCTTCTGGCGTGAATTTTCCCAGCCGAAGTCCAGTACCTCCAAACGCACTGGTCTCCTCCAGAACCAGTACCTCACGGGCCCTGATGGATTCCTCCAGTTTGCCCAGGTTTCGCTGCAAAAATGCCAGAAGATAGTGGCGAAGGTCATCGCTGCCTCGACGCTCGAGGATTACAGGGGAATGGTCCGGGACCTTGATCGGTTGAGCGACCTACTCTGTCGGGTGATAGACATGGCCGAGTTTATGAAATTGAACCACCCTAGCCCTCAAATTCAGGATGCTGCAACCCAGGCGTATGCACTTATGTTTGAATATATGAACGTCTTGAATACAACACCAGAGCTTGACGCGCAATTAAAACGTGCTTCTGCGGATCTCAATGTTACGTCACACTGGAGCCCAGAGGAAAAGGTGGCAGCTCGGGTTTTGCTAAAGGACTTTTCGCAGTCTGCTATACACTTGCCGCCGAAGGATAGACAAAAATTCGTTGCGTTGTCTAATGAAATAAGTCAATTGGGCCCCATGTTCGTAACGAACAGGCAGCCCGAGACCGACCATGTGACTGTGGATAAGAACAAACTTCGTGGAATGGACCCTTCACTCATACAGCAGCTCCAGAGATGGAGGAAAGTTGCAGTTCCGATGTTCGGTGATATTCCGAGGATTGCTTTGTATTCTGTCCACGATGAAGAAACAAGGAAGGAGATTTATGTGACTTCTCGAACTTCGTCTAAAGTTCAGATTCGGCGCCTCGAGACCCTTCTTCAGAAGCGAGCGGAGCTAGCTAAACTCGCTGGGTTTCCAAGCTATGCCCATATGACCCTGAGTGATAAAATGGCCAAAACACCTGAAGCCGTTGTTAACTTTTTAGAGGCTCTCAACGCCAGCAATCGAGGGCAGGTTCAGGATGAATTATCGCAGCTTCTTGCATTAAAGCAGGCTGACGTCCCTTCGGCTACACAGTTACAGCCATGGGATCATGCTTATTATGTTCACCAATATTCAGCACGGCATAGTCGGGTTAGAAGGTCACGGGAGTCCACTCTACTTCCTGCCTTTTTCTCGATCGGTACCGTGATACAAGGATTGTCCCGGCTTTTCACGCGACTCTATGGTATTCGACTAGTTCCCACTGAGACTTTGCCTGGGGAAATCTGGAACCCAGATGTGCGAAGGCTTGACGTGGTGGATGAATCTGACAGACGACTTGCGGTGATCTACTGTGATCTCTTCACCAGGCCCTATAAGAGTCCCAATCCTACGCACTTTACCCTTCGTGGCTCTCGCGAAATTTCCCAAGCTGAGATTGCGGAATGTGCCGATCTATCATCTTCCCTTCATCCCAATGACGGTATGGCTACAACTATTAAGCCGGAAACCAATAAACTCTATCAGTTGCCGACCGTCGCTTTGATATGCGACTTCGACCAGTCAGAATCGCGATCAACGCCATCACTTCTAAACGAGCACAATTTGGAGACTCTGTTCCATGAAATGGGCCACGCGGTCCACTCCGTGCTTGCTCGTACAGACCTGCAAACTATTTCTGGGACCCGTTGCGCGACTGATTTTGTTGAACTTCCGTCTGTGATAATGGAAAATTTTGCGACTGCCCCTGAAGTTTTGGCTCTTTACGCACGTCACTGGGAGACAAATGAACCACTGCCGGAGCACATGGTGAAGAGTATGGAATTAAACCGGCAGAGCCGGGTCAGTATGCATGGTGGCATGGACAACGAAGTCCAAATTTTGATGGCTTTGCTAGACCAGGCTTATCACTCGTCTCGGCCTTTGGAGCCAAATTTCGACTCCACCCGAATCTACCATGATGTCTATTCCACTCATAGCAGTCTTCCAGATCCGCCAGGCTCACGGACGTCGTGGCAAGGCTATTTTGCACATTTGGTGGGCTATGGTGCTACGTATTACAGTTATCTTTTTGATCGAGCCATAGCGAATAAGGTCTGGTCGGATGTTTTCAAGGGCGGGGAACTATCAACGAACAGAGATGCCGGAGAGCGGTTCAAGAATGAGGTGCTGCGATGGGGTGGTGGACGAGATGGATGGAATTGCGTTGCCGGCCTGCTTGGGAATAACCCTGCAAATGACAACGGCAAACTTGCAGAAGGTGGCGAAGAAGCCATGCGAGAAGTTGGCCGATGGGGTTTGGGATTAATGGGCACCTCTGAGCTGTAAGGCCAGCTTTTTCATTTTTGCCGAGTTGAAAGAGCGGGGGGTTTGAACTTTCGCCCGTGGCACGCCTAATTTGAAACAGTATTTGGCTCAGGGATGACCCAATTTTGGTATCCCAGTAGACTCTCTAGGTGCAACTCGAACCGCGGTTTCTGAATCTCTCTTCTTTCGTTTCTGGTACCACTTTGTGAGGTGATATTATTGTATACGGGTTGGGAGCATATAGAAAGGACATTTTTTAAGAGCCGAATAGCAGGATGTGGCATGCCATGCAATCAAACAATCATATGTATATTAGATATCCTTTTTGACATATCAATGCCGTGAGATCTCGCCCTCAACAGCTTTCAGCCATGCCTTGTCGCGTGCGTGAGGCGGCTTCGGGGGAGGGCAAATTTCGCACTCGTTCAAGATAGGTCGCGAATAGAGAGAAATGCGACCACCATGATCCCTTATGGTAGAGAAAGCACATCGTCGTCAATATCAACGTCCAAACACTTCCAATGCCGGCTTCGCGCCTATCGCCGAAAAATTAATAGTATCGTACACTTATGACCAGTTTATTCCAGATCTCTTGAACAATGTATCCAAAGGCAACTCCAAGATACGGTTAGCATCATGGTTTTACGCGTATACACATAGATTCCTCCCAAACTTTCCGGAATGCCGAAAAGGAAGCGAGAGAAGAAGTAGAGGTTATCGACATCGTAAAGCTCTATTGCGCAAAGCTCAAAATATACTTTCCCTGTGCTATGTCAAAATCAGCTCCCATAGCGGACAGGTTTAGAAAGACCATTGCTGAGAAGGTAGTAGAATGCGCAGCGGTCATGCGTGCGAGTAAACTATGAGCCTTTATTGATGTTGTCAGCATATGATGAGCACGTACGACCATAGGAAGTAGAGAACAGGGCTTCCCGTCCGCTCAGCCGTACTTAAGCCACTCTATATAAGTATAGCAAACCTCCAATTCTGCCCTTTCCATGTCGCTACTTCAAGGGCGAGAGTCGCGCGAGCACAGGGTGCGTGTGCGCGAGCGAGGTGAGCCAGGGCGAGGCAGGGTGTGCGAGGTGCTGGGTTAGGGTATGAAGTGGGCCTGGCGGGTGAGCTTGCATCGCGAGGTTGGTAACTGCTTGTTGGAGGTTATGCTTTTCCATCACCAAGGCGTTAATCTGTGTATCCAATTCCTGAACACGTTCGCGCAGTTCATTCCTTTCAGTTCGCAATCTCTGGATGTTGAACCTTCCGCTATCCATAGCCTTGGCTATTTCTCTATGCACGCGTTCGGAATCTCTCTCCAGGGCGCGGAAGAAGTCTTCTTTTGAGATCACTGTTGCGGAGCCCATGTTCTCTGGGTTCCACGCCATGAACTCCTAGTCCGATCTCCAGACCTCTTCATCGTGGTTCGTACTCGCCATCCTGGTATCCAGTATTCGTTTGTTCGGTCGTTCGTTGGAGACTTTAGCCGTGAATCTCCGAAGGGCCGAAGGTGTTGTAGGACTTAGTATTATGTTAGGAGCTCAACTGGGCGCAGTGGGAGTAGAATCCCTGTTGCCAGCTAGGTAGCTATAATAACGAAATACTAAGACAGGCTCTAGAAAGGGGGTTCGGGGCGGGGGCTCGCTACCTAATAACGCGCTAAAATGGTGGAACAACGTTTTTCCGTTGGAAAATGCCCGTTGATCTACCCTTCTCGTGGCCTATTGGTCGTCGACGCCGTGACAACGGTGGATCAGCCAATTCAGGGACGCGAACATTGTTTGAACACCTCGTCTTTCTATGTCACTACGTAGCCTTGGTGGCCTACGTTGAACATGAAGATGCCATTTCTAGCAAGGCCTTACCTCCTATCAGCTGCCGTCAGACGTATATTACATCCTCCATCTGCCGGCATGGCAACCAACGCTCCTGGTGAGATACGCTCGCTATCCTCCAGCTCGCTAGGTCACTGACAAACAGTACATATATAGGCAAAGATAGCCAACTCTTCGAATACACTCGCGGACGCTTCCTCCTTGATGAGGACAAGCAAATGGCGCGTCGACGAGTGCAGTTCAGTCTAGATGGGCTTGCATCCGTCGCAGCGACGTCAGTTGGCGCTAATCGCTGTGTTGACATTGAGAAATGCCCTGATGGCTTGTACAATAAGGCATACCTACTTACCATGGACAATGGCAAGGAAGTTATTGCCAAGATTCCAAATCCCAATGCCGGCATACCTTACTACACCACTGCGAGCGAAGTTGCAACAATGGAATTTGCGCGCAATATACTCCAGACCCCAGCGCCGCACGTATACGCCTGGAATGCCCGCGTTGACGAGAGGAATTCTGTCGGGGCCGAATATATAGTTATGGAGAAGATGCCAGGGGTTCCTCTCTCAAAGGTGTGGTGGGATTTGCAGCCAAACAAGAAACTCAAGATCCTTTTACAGGTTGTCGACTATCAGAGGAGATGGACCCACACCAAGTTTACTGGATTTGGGAGTCTATACTATGCCAAAGATGTCGACCCACGACGCCAGGATCCGCTATATGTCAAGGATGGGGAAGCCGTTACGGATTCTCAGTTCGCGATCGGCCCCTCTGTTGCGCGTGAATGGAGTGATGAAGGGCGGGTAAACATCAAATGTGATAGGGGCCCATGTAAGAATTGCTTTCGGAAGCTATTGCCAACACTGTGGCTAATCTTTTTGCTTACCAAGGGGATTCTATCTTAAATTACCGGGAAGCTATTGGTCTTCGCGAAATGGCGGCCATCAAAGAACTTAACCATGTGCCAAAACAGATGGCAATGGTGTACGGCCCTGCACCTTTATACCAACCTACCGCGCAGAAAAAACTCGCAGCCCTAGGCTACTATTTTCAGATCCTGGAGTCTTTGCTGTGTGAGAATGCTTTGCCAACCGATGGTCATCTATGGCACAATGATCTACACCATGAAAACATTTTCGTGGACCCAGAAGAGTTGAAGGTTCTTGGCATCATTGACTGGCAATCTGTTCAAATAGCCCCCCTATTTGACCATTGCGTCGACCCTTGTTTTCTCGACTACAACGGCCCTGACGTAGGGGACAATCTTGGGCGTCCAGCAATGCCCGAAAGCATCAAATCATTGCAAGGCGAGGAAAAGACTGCGGCACTCAATGAATTTCTGGACAAGGCACTCATGATTGCCTGGCGTAGCCTGGTTCGGAGCAAGAATCCAGAACAGTATCGCATGATCAGATTTCAACAATCCCCAAGTGCAAATCTCCTCCATCTTTCTCGCCGCATATTTGAACTCGGAGAAGCTCACTTCTGCGCACTACTGCTTGACTTGCAGGATGAATGGAGAGAAAATTCTCAATCCAACTCAAGCGCCCGTCGATTCCCCCTCACGTTCTCGGAGCCTGAAACCATTGAAATCGAAGCGGACATGCGACGTGCGGATTTGGGCATCAAGTTAATGAAGGATATTGAGCGCGATCTGAGAAATCTATGGCCTGAGAAAGGCGTCGTGGAACATGAAAGCTACGAGCAAGTCAAGGCATTGCTCAAAGAGCGAAAGGAGGAACTCATCGCCCAGTATTGCACTCTCCCAGGTTGGGATACAGCTGTCTTTGAGCAACTCTGGCCATTCGACGATTGAGCCAATGTGTCGAGCCGAAAGTTAGCGGTTATGATTAACTTACGGAAAAGGTCGATGGAAAGCTAGCCTTGTTTGGACTAACTACTTCCATTATGCGCCGCTCACCTTTCTAATGCACACTCGGCCTCGAATGTGCTCAACCGCGCAATATTTCCCTTTTTGAAACCCGGATTGTTGGTATTGCAGAAAGTCTGGTACGGGTTTCAAGACTTTTTCTAGGAATCCAGTGATAATTGCTGTCACTTGTTTTCCCTCCAATGATCTGCACAGTTTCTGTTCAAACCATGGCGATAAGCTGATTGCACTTTCTAATGCGTTGAGTCCAGAACGGATTTGTCTTCTTGCAGAGCGCCAAGGCCGGCGGCGGCACTTAAGTTGTGATCATCTATATTTGGCAATGCACAAATATGTATGGACAAGCTGCGATCAGAGGCCAGATCCCCACACAGGACTGTGTAGTTCAGTAATGACGAGGTTGATTGGTATACTACGCGCTCACATCCGCACTGAAACCCTCGATAGTGTGTCAGGAGAAGGACAACAAGACTCTGTGATTGGCTTGCAATGTTCGGATGAATGAGGAACGATCCTGCCGCCTACCAATGCTCCTTCCAGGCCCTTCCCGAAACCAAATCATGCAAATTGTCTGGGCGGCAAGCAGAAAACATCGCCCCTGCCGCTAACAACGCGACGCTGGAAACAGGCATAAAAGGCATGCAAATTCCCCTTACAGATCCTTCGAAATATGCCATGTGCATCATATCAGTCCCTCGATTGCCAACATCTGACAAGTCGAAAGCAATAAGACTGTGAGAAAGCCATCGAAACCGACCTATGTTCTGGTACTAACTTACTAAATAGGCCTAACGAACATCGCATATTTGCCCTTCCGCGCCAATCCTTTCGACACTGGAACCATGGCTTCTCGCGCGCTGCAAAATTCCCTCAAGGATCTCAAAACATGGGTAACGGGCTCCAAAAATCGCATGACGAAGCTCGTCAGGGGCAACGGGACACCGGGCGAAAGAGCTGCGCCAACTAAAAGTGGAACCAACGACTCTAAAATCGGGAGCAGACTGGATGTCGGCGCTCTGGTTAAGAAGGACGGCAAGGAATACCGCCGCTATTATCTGCAACTTAACATCAACGCGGAAAATTCGACCATCAGGAAGAAGGCCCAACAGGACAGTCATCGGAATTGGTCGTTCGCCGATGTTGAGATAAAGCAAAACGCGACCGCCGCGGAAACCGAGGCGGCAGTGGAATCGCTCTTCGACGACTTGTCCAACAATGCCGAGGCGGACTGAGGAAGCTACGTAGTCGGAGTGGAGGCATGTGCTCTGAAGTGTGCTCTGGAGTATACTTTTTGTCTTGTGATCTTGTGGAGGAATGTTTCAACTTTGTTCAATTTGCAGTCTCGGTATTTGTTTGAGCTGGCATCGCCTCTGTCTAAGCATGTTATCTGCCAATGCGATTCGAAATCCCTAAGAACTGTCTTCCAACTTGGTACGCCAAATATTTTGAATGGCAGTTTCACCTCTTACCACAAAAGGCATAATAGCATATCTTTGAACGGCAATTCAATAGTGCCGTAGATTCTTTGAGCATGCTATCTAGGCAAATACTACGAAGTCATCTCCTCCCAGCGCGCTGCTTATGTTCTCCAGGCCACCTCATGTTGGTATTATTAGCACGTACTAGTACTTACCACTTCTCTGTGATCATCGCCACCCTCGACTTTGACCATGACAGCAGGTGAAGCATCCATCTCGCAACGGGGACAGAACCGCAGTCCCAGATTGTTAATCAATTCGAACAGATTCTTCGAGGAGGCATGACGTCAAAACGAAGCGTGGACAAAGTCGTGCTCGAATGTACTATTTCGACATCATAATCGCGTTAACATTCGATTCGGCTAGTGCGATATTCTGACGCTTCGGCAGAATAACGTTTATCCAAGTGTGTTCACCCTGCGAATCGAACGACCTTCGAAAACCCTTCCAGATGTGACGATCTCCATGATACTAAGAGGATCTGAGTGAGGAATTGGAAGGAGACGCATGAACAGCCGAGAAAATGAAGCCACTGCCAGCCAATTCCTGCTACCAGGTGAGCTCGCCAGCCCTCTATCGCCTTTCAAATGGGCAGATCGGAACAACACAACCAAGTGGTTGGCACCTATGGGCTTCCTGGCTGTGAAGAGAGTTTTATACTCAATAACTGGCAGGACCATCTGGGGGAAAAGGACTTGTCGTTCGCCTGCGCCAGGAGCGGGACGAGGCACCTGGGTCGGGCCCCAGATCTCAGCGCCGACGGCTTGACTCGCCACCTTCGCGGGCCGATCCGTGAGCGGAAAAGAGCTTTGAACCCAGCTTGTGAGCGGCATGATTCGTTACCCCACCTGCCATTCTTGGCTAGCCGGCGGAGGCTGGCAAGGAATGAAACGCTTGGAGGGTTTAAAGAACCTGATGCCCCACATCCTTCTTCTTCTTCTTGACATTCCCTTGTGTGATTGAATCGTTCTTTGTTCACAATTCTTCTAAAAAAGAATCCTTTTATCCCGTGCTGGAAGTCGTATAGCTGGGCCTGGTACTGCAAGCTGCCCGGCTGCCCCAGATATTTTTGGGCCTGGATCTTGAAGTCCAATTTCATGCTTCACCTTTACGAGACCCCTGCGCACCAGAATGATCCTGTGACGAGAACGCGCGAGGGACGACGCCGGCTGGCAGAGAGCTGGCGGGAGGAAACGGATTATGGCCTGACCGAACCAGTTAAAAGACCACCCGCTGGCCGGCCTCCCACTGGTCTGGTGGGAAACGACACCGATAACACAGAGGAGCTGATGCGTCAAGCCGGAGGAGATCCGAAACTTGCTGCGATGTTATCCACAAGGCCGCTCGAGGAGATCTACGCGCAGGAGCAGTCAAGGGGCGAAGGGAATGCGCCGGCTTGAGTTAAATATAACAGAGAGAGCTCTAGGTAAATGTACAGCTGGATGGATGGATGATTTTATTTACCCTATTTAGCTGACAGTGCAAAGATGTTAAAAATATGATTCTGCCTTTGATACTCTGCGTTAAAAAAAAAAAAAAAAAAAGGTCTAAGTGTTTAATTCAGTAGTACCGCATGGGCTGACTGCCACAGAGGTACGGCACAGCGGTTAGTCGAAGGGAACGGCTGCAGGCCGTGACACTAAATACAGAGTTTCGTGTGAGACAGTACAATGAGCAATTCGCACCTTTCGCGCACATTGGGCTCTGGCAAGCACCATACAAAAAAAAGCAACAAGGTAAAAAAGAACGGGCCAGAAACACTTCCCTACAACCAGGACGACGACCACCAAGTGGCAGAAGGACAGAGAGGCCAGGTGGAAGCCAGCCAGTGGCAGACAGACACAAAGGATAGGAGAGCAAGGTGACACAGCATGGCAGCAGCATGGCAGCAGAGAGCGGAAGCGGAGGGCATCGAATGAAGAGGAAGATTGAAGTCAAAATTGAAGTCGAAGAGGAACAAGAAAAGAAAAAGCCAGAGCCCGAACAGGCCAAGGCGCCAAAGCGAGCAACTAGTAGAAATGGGCTGGCCCATCTTATTTTTTTCAAGTATAGCAGACGACAAGACGGTGACGAGCAACGAAGACGAGAGGTGGTGACGAGTTCGAGCTCCTCAAAGGACGGAGTTTCTTTTGGGGTGAGCCCCGGTGGCCGCGCTGCAAGCATGAGTTGATGGGATGGCTCGGGTTCGCGGTCGTCGATTCATCACACTGCGCTCGCAATGGCTTCTATGCGGCCTGAGACCTCCAGGCGAGGCCTGTTGTGGTCCGGAGCTGCCGGACCTCACGCGCCTTTAGATTGGCTGCCATCTCACCTGCCGCCTTTGGTGTCTTGGTCCCTTTCCTCCATTTGGTCTACGCACCATGCAAAACGCCCGACCTCAGCCTTGCATTTCTGTCCAAGAGCCAGGTGCTGCTCGTCCTCTGACATATAATGACGGGCTTCTCCTGCAAGATGGCGCTGCCAACTCCCAAGCTCCAGTATTTGAGTCTTCTGGTCCATTTTCTTCAATCAAAAACACGCGAAATGGCTCTGCCGCCGCAGTTCACTCAGCCATACGGCTTGTTGCCTCCCCCAAGCTGCATGGCGCTTTTCTCCTGGCAAGCGATCTGAAACTTCGCGAATGTGCGACAGTGCCGTTCTGGGAGGACATTCTAAACTACTACGTTGCCGATGACGGACTGGCTGTTAATAGCCAGCAACCCGTTGACGACACCATGAAAGCCGTGGATGTTGTGGTGCGATACTATGAACAGGCCACGTTCCACGACATATTCCTTCTTGTTCTCGAGTGCAAGCGTGCCAATAAGACCAGATCGGGGCTCCAGGACTTGCAGGATCAGTTACAGCCACCTTGTACACTTACAGTCTTGACTTCTAAGGCGGCGCCTCTGCACCAGCCTACGCCTGGTTGAAGGATACACGCGACCCCAATTGTAAAACTGGCTAGGATCGGCCCATGAAACGGCTTTCTGCAGCTTACGTCAGAATTCAGTTATCGCGAATTCGTTCAGATTCGTCAGGGCCTTTCGTAGGTCCCCATCATCGTCATTGTGGAATGTTTCATTGTTAAAAAGGGTTGTATCTTTGATTTTGGACCCGCTTAAACTTCCATTTAATGCTTGTTCGCGATTTCTGGAAGCGAAGAAAGAGACCAGTAATGAAATACCTGCTCCAAGTAAAAAGCTCACGCCTGTTTGCCAACTCGCAAACTGAGACATGGTCTCCAGGGCACTGACGAGCATCGCGCAAGAGTTTGTTGGAAGACCGAGTTTTACAAGCGGGACGAGGCGCCACAAAAACACACTAAACCCAATCTGACTGCTACTTAAGCCCTAAGCCCTACTTTGTATACTGTCTCAAGACAGATTTCACGAGTATTCCCCCATCTTCCCCTGGTCAAAAACGTCCCCAGGCCATACAGACCAAAAATAACTAGTGCGAAACGCATTGACACTTATAAGAAGTTAGGACGCGAATGATTTCCACAGAATCAACTGCTGCATTTCGGCCTTTCTTGCGCCACTAAGCGCCAAGTTGCGGCCCCTCAGGATTGTGCCCATTTTCAAATGTTTATTGATGATTTGGAAACTAACAGGAATCAGTGGCGTATCATGCCCCTCATCTCTTGTGTTGCTGGATTGGAAGCACGGCCGTTTAGATGCACTTGAAGTGAATTCAGATGGCCGTTTCAGGGGAACGCGTCCCTGCCCTGCAACAAACATATATGTGACATTTGAGGGCTGACACCTTTCCTGCAGCATTTTGGAGACATCTTCCCCATGTTGCCCAATTCCCAGAAGGACCAGGCAGACTCACTCTGTCTCTGAAACCTCTAGCGAGCTTTTCCGATCGAGCGAGTTATTGGCGAATCTCCCCAGACCAACCATTCTCGTGGTGCTTGACCCATCTGAGTGCTGGGAAAAATCATGCATCCCAGCTGGCTGCTGGCGCCTTGCGCTCTGTGTTCCGGGCTGTCCCGTAAGCCTATCGATTACTGCAGCTAGCAGATGATACCTGTGCACGGGGCAGTCCTTTGTCTTCCTCCACATTCCTGATGATCCGGCCACTGTCTTCTTTTTGATATGCATGCCAACGGGCGGGTGACTGTGGAAAGACAGGAGACGTTGGAGCGGATCTCGAAGACGGGCGACTTGGTGGTCTTTCGCGGTGGCCCGTCTTTCGTTACAACCGCGAAAGACGACGGGAATCAGGACAAGTTTGAAACTCAAGATCGAGGTTGGTTACACGCAAGCCAGGGGAGAACGTGTTTCTCTCCTTCCATAAACGAACATGATCGAAGTTGAGCGACAAGCGCTAATGTTCACCACCAATCCGAGCATTCGCAGCGCAGTATCTTCGTCTCAGTGCATTCATGGTGCATCCTGCGACTGGTTAAAATGCGATGTATTGATTCCTATTGCTTTATTGGACGCTGAACACTGCAAGCGCCGATAGTTCCCAGGGATCCCAAACAGTATGCATGTTCCAATCTGCGCACAGACATCTTCTTTGCATGACGCTCACAGCGGCGGCCGCGTGCCATCGAAACACCTCTAGGATTACCTATATAAGGTCACTCCGCTTGGTCCTGCTTCTTGAATGATTTCTAATCCAAAAAAACTTACCTCAGATTGATTCTCCAGTCTTATATTCCACTGTTACCGTTATATCCAAATCTACACACATATGATCCCTTCGAGGCGTCTTCTTCGTCTCTAACCATACACGTTGGTTCCGACCTGCTGAATTCAATCCTTTTTCCAATCCGCGGTTTCCACAGTTTGGTCCATCTCGACAATATCTTCGATCCCAAGATATCATGGAACCCAACGGAATTTACGTTATTCTTTCCGTCAATGCGACGGAGTATCATTGGGGATCTATGTCACCGGCGACGACCTGCGCCAGGGCGGCGTTGTTCACCACGCCAACAACAAGACAGGCGGTTGGTCTTACGAGCGCAAATATACCAACAATCTTGTTCGTTCGAAAATGTTAGCATTGGCACTGAAAGTCGGAACCGTCCCCCTGCCGCAGGGGCATGCCCAAATCGACCACATTTTGGGCGATCCGAATATGATTTCGCAGGACTCGGGGTTTAGATGTAGAGCTTGGGCGATGGATGCTGTGGCACGGCTGCATGATGCGGGCGTTGTGAATGCGCCAGATGTTTCGGGTGATGGCCAAAGCGTATGAAATCGCGGATGCGAATCGATCCAAGATAGAGCAAGGGACAGGGGAATATGTTGTTGCATCGTTCTAGTTCTAGTCGTTTTGCCTTGGAGTTTTCTTTGCGATGAAGTGCTGTCTGGAACATACTTAGCTGATTGATTCGTTTTGTACACCTTTTACCCCGAGGCATAGACCGCTACTGCTATAACCTACGTACATGAAAACTACAAATACCCAGTGAAAACCTCGTGCTGGCTCCTCTCTCCGGTCTGAAATTGAGCATTCAAACGAAAGAAAAGGTTCAAAGATAAGAGAGCATGGCATGCTCAAGAAACTCTTTGAATTGCAAGATGGGAGAATGACTGCACTGAGCCATGAAGCCTGCCTTGAAGGGCCACTGTAAGAGCTCCATGTACATAGGGTATAGCACTTTGCAACATCATAATCTAAATCCCCACTTGTGAATCAACTATTAAGGAACAAAGGTTGGTCCCTTGAGCGCGCCACGGGCTTTAGACACAAAGAAACACTCCGTACAATGTTGCATGTCAGAAGGGACAGGTATGATCTCGGAGTATCTGTTCAGCTTTCAGTTCATCAGGGTATTCAGGAAATGCACCTTTCATCATCTCCAACCACAGCGTCCATATGCGCACAATATAGCATGCCTTGGTGAATTCCCAATACTCGGGATACCAACCTGCAAACTCCCAATCCACAAACCCAGATAATCTCCCACTGTGTACTAACACATTTGCCGGGTTGAGGTCCGCGTGCGTAAAGAAGACACGGTATGAGCGGGAATGCACATTTGCGATCACAGCTCTGTCAGCAGGGTTTGGAATCAGGCCACACATGTCCATCAGATGCTTGTTAAAATCAGCAATGTTGTCATAGGGTCCAGTGCTACCATCCTCATTGTCGATCCGACAATCCTGACACTCTCCGCCGAGTGAGCTGCAGATAAGGGGAGGATATGGATTTGGGATGGACCGGATCTGCTCAACATAATTCCTAAAATCAATACTGAACTGGTGCAGCTGTTCAGCATTCATTGTCTGAAGGCATTTTCCAGCAATGTCACCCTCAATGCAATTAGTCAACAGCCAACCTTCCCTTTTAGCTGGCAACTCTATGAAATCCACAACCCGGGGCGCATTTAGTGTTGTGTATTCTGCAACCATTTTGAGTGCATGTGCTTCATATTGGACACGAAGAAGCCGGGACCGTTTAAGATACAGATTGAAGGGTAACCGTTGGACATCCCGGACATGGTAGGTCCCGCTGCCATAAAGGTGCTCGCCAATTGGTAGGAGAAGGCGATAAAGGAGAAGACGGATGGATTGTGGAATTAGACGGTAGAGTTGAAGTAGCATTGTGGGCAACTGCCGCAGCACGCTGAAATCAGCAAGCCATTGTGGATTTTGAGTGTAAAGGAATACGCACCTATGCTATGTCACACCACTCCGGTCACGAGCCCCCCAGACTACTCACTCCAAAAATCGACAATGAGATAGTCACTACTCCGTACCTCCGCGCACCTTCATCGCCGGTAGTCGAGGAAGATGTTGAGGAGTCTGCAAGTGGTTGCTACGCGAACACTACGCGACGTCACGTGAAGTATATAAAAAGTAAAAAAAGGCCAATAGGGTAGTTTATTTTTAGAAGCGGCTTTTGCAATTTGTGGTTCTCGGTTTCGTTGATCACTGGGGGGGATCCATTGAACGCAGCGTTCGCAGTAAAAGTAAAGGTCGACCTCAGCAATGGTCCTGGCACGTGCGCTTCAGGAAGGACACAAAATGGGCAATTTCAGCCTCATCTCTTGATTCAGGGTGTCAAAGTTGAAAGGTGTACTCCGTAAAATCACCACCTTTTCTATGTATTTCACCCTTTTCCTTCGGTGATATGGTAAAGAATAGGCGATTTACAATTTCCTTCAGAAAGATTATCGATAGATTTAGAACTGATTGTGCAAGATCATTTTCCATTGACTACATCTCCTGATTTGGGGGGTCTTCAAAGTTGGAGCATGTGAAATCACTGTCTTTTCAATTATTTCACACTTTTCCTTCGGTCATATGATGAAGAATTGGTAGATTTATGATTACCTGCTAAAATGATATTAGTAGAATTAGAATTGATTGTGCAAGATGGCTTTTACATGCTATTTCTGTGTTCAACAAGAGTAGGGCTGCTTCCCCTCCACCAGAAATCCATACTGCATAAGATTTGACTTCACTGATACATTCAGTATGCTCTCCCTATCCTGTGGTCCAATTCCCATCTGATCCTACCGTACGCCCACACACGAATACAATTGTTACTGTTGGTGCTTCCCCTGCCTTATCTGGACGCTTTGGAAAAGGGGGCTTCCCTTCCACCAGCGATCCACGCGGCATAAGATTTGATTTACTGACACGTTCAGCACGTTGTCTTGCTCCTTTGCCATGGATATCCATCACTTCTGTTCTCCATGATCTTGACTGGCTATCATCGAGATAGCGCCTAGGTGACTGGTTGCCCTCGATGTGGCATCGTGGTGGGCGTTGGGCGATCTTCAGGTCGACCTTCGGATATCGGAAAAACGTGAAGCCGTAGCTTCGTACGGTGACAGCCGGTTCCTGTGGTGTCGACTCTTCCCAAGCGAGCCACGGTTTCGCGAAGTCTGGGATCCAGGGGAGAGGTCGAGGAGAGAGGGAGAGGCAGAGGGAGGGAACGCTGTCATGGCCGGTCGAGCTGTCTGGTCGTACGCGGCTGGGGGATACGACCCTCAAGAAGTTCGTGCAAATTATTACGCGTTCTGGGTTAGTTGATGCCTCGCCCGAGGCTATTCTGGAAAAGCTAGGAACCTGGGCTGCTAGAGGCGACAAATACAAGAGCCTTGCAGAGGATGTGGGTGGCCTTGGTACTCTTTTCTTGATTCCTGAGGAGGTTGCGGATTCATTGTGAGTTGCCCAAATCAGAATGCACTTTCTTTCTATTAACCTTGCAACAGTTGGGAGCAGAGGCACAAAGTGGCACGACACGTGAGAAAACGATCGAGTCTCTTAAACGACGAGGCATTGGAGAGGAAGCTGCGTTCATCGGTGCCAATGACCTTGCGAACTCCATAATTAATTACGCAGTCAGTAAGGTGGCTCGACAAATAGCAGAGTGGGAAACTGAAGGAGGACGTTATACGTCCACCTCTGTCAAATGCAATACCTTCAACAGCCCAGTACAGATCATCGAAGGCAGAAGAAGAAGAAGAAGAAGAAGATGATGATGATGATGATACTGTAATGTATGTAGACACGTGACCAACTGACTGAATAAGCAGCTCATCGCACTAACCTCTTGGCGATACTCGCATGAGCATCTCCAACAGGCACATCGCGATGATCTCGTCCTGGACAAAGAAGAGAACGCTCTCTGGCGCCTCAGCCAATCCTGACAACCCTCGAGTCCTCTCGAGATATGATGAAAGCGGGCACAAGGCGCCATGCTTGGTACTTTCGATGGATAATCCTTTGTATGAGATCGCCTCAAGGCTGGAGGGAGGTTGATCGATCAGGCGGTGGAGGAAGATCCGTCTCCACCAATCCTTGACATAGGATACAGATCAACTCGGTGTCTCCTGAGCTCATTGCACCGTGTCATGATACAACTGTCTGTGATGAAATATAAAATTCAAAACCAAACATACAAAGTGACATTTGAAATTTATTTCCTAGTCACTAACTGATCCCTAAAATTTCATTTCCATACTCCCTAACCATTCCCTAAGCTACCATAACCTCCTAACCCCAACCCCCAACCCCTAATCCCTGATTTCTGACAACAATACTCCGTACTCCGTACTCATACTCACCTAATACCCTAACCTTTCCGAATAATCCTCTCTACGGAGTACATCTACAGAACTGGTTGCCAACTGGCTGCCAACCTATCATATTACATAAATCTGTAATATTACCAGTACGGACCAGTAACTAAGTTTACATGGCCGGATGAACTTTGCTTAGTCATATGGTGTGATGAGCGCAGGACACCAAGCTGATCTGTGCGGCGTTGGTGGTGCGCTGCCACTGACGCAAGGCTGCAACATAAAGTAGCGCGGCATCATAAGTGACCCCATTTGCTCCGTAGTTATCAGATATTTTTCAGGATCCATTCCAATAAGGGCGCAGAGCTCCAAAACAGGTCTTTTACCGCCTGAAGAGGGAGTGGTTTTACGACTCAAATCTATGTATGCAATGCTATAACACGATCTTGCATTTGTGTTCCTTCCTCCACCTACACCACATGACGGCCTCAAAGGCACAAGCCCCAGCATATGCTGGCAATTCATCAGAGATCCACCTGGAAGCCCAGAATGCACTAGAGCCATCTTCAGTGTCTGGTAGTTTCCAGCCATATACTGACGACGCGGATTTTGGAGGTGAGGACAACCCGCCAGCCTACACCGAATACGACGAATCTCGACCGCCGGTCGATGGTTCCCGTGACGACTCAATCAATGAGCGAATCCGATCTGATGAGTACGATATTCCGGGCGCTCGTGTTCTTACATCATACAGAGAAGGCAAGACCTATACGATTTCACTGGCCCCGTACTTATCTTCCAATGCCGAAGTGCTGTACAAATTCTTCAAGCTGCAAGCAGAGCTCCCTCCACAGGTATTCGTCTCGGTAAAAGGGACGCATACGGTGTCAACGAAGAACCGCGATAAACAGTCATCAACTCAGACTATCATAGATTTCGATTTTTTGATTGATGGGAGCGACAGTGTGCTGCCACCGGTCCGCTGCATAGATGGGGTTTACAAAGTGATGAAGGTCATCCAAGATAATGATGGAGTGTCCGCATACAGAGGCAGCAGATTTAGGAGCACCAACAGAAACTGGTGTAAGAAGAAACGCATTGCAACTGCACTTGAAGGTGGGCAAATAAACATCGGCCCAACCCTTGAGGAGTGGTGCCAGAGGTTTTGCAGTGATAAATCAAGTGTCAAATCGTGAGGCACCCCTCTCCAGTCAAGGAAACTGTAGCGTATCGATTGCTTTAGCTAACCGAAGTACCCTGCCATCAATTGACAATAGCTTCACGCTTCATCGCGACGTCGTCAATTGGAATTTCAATCTGATTCGGCGCCAGGTCATTTCAATCATCCGATCCACTAATTACTGCGGCACCATCACAGTTTCCCCGTTCATACAGCAGTCCCGGGTTACCATATATTCACCATCTTTGATTAACCGGCTGCGTACCAGTTCTTTCGTCTGGTGGACATGTGTGATTCTTCAGCTTTGGATCATCACCTGGCCCCTTCTAATCCTATTAGAGAAGCGCTATGAAATTGTCCGTGTTGAGCATCATGTTTCGCGTGGTGGAGTCTATAGCTCACCAGGTGGCTCTGAGAACGACTGGGTTCAGACGTATACGCCTGCAATCAAAGCTGCGGCTCTGGGAAGGAGACAGGGTGAAGTGGTCACCACTGCAGACATTCCCCGAGCACGAGACATGTTTATGAATAGGCTAGATTCGGAGTCAGAGAGGGAAAGAAGGCAGAGAATTGATAGAGGCGAGGGAACTTGGGCGGATTCGGTTGTTGACCTTGTAAGAGGCCTCTCGGAGGCGGCTCATCGGTGGAACGTTAACCAAAGCTGGGGCAGCGATGAATACTAAGGTTAACTATCGATATGTATCGATCAATGACGGTTTGTGGCTCCTCTCTGTATGTTGCTCCGAAATTTGTAGCGTTTGAGAGCCCTTAGATCCGTTCAATGGCTTGGAAATAGTGTACATGGATTTGAACAGAGTGTAGTGTAAAGGATTGGATGTGATATTTGAGATCTTTGGTCTTCGGCCTGTAAAGCAATGAGTATAACGACATGAGATCCTTGTTATAGGGCAGCTAGCCGCGCGGTGAAAGACACTCTGCTCCACGACGAGGCCGGAGACGCCCGGAGAGAGCTGTTACGGTTGTCAGCCAGATTGTGGCATCTGCTTAGTCATCAATATAGTCGAAATCTCGAGTTCAACTTCCGAGACTCAGGCAGCGCTCACGCATTGAAACAAACCCGCTATCTCAATTGCCTCCATACTCCGCTCACTTGCCCTGGTCAGAGATGTCTATCTGTAGGCACGTCTGCCGGAGGGCTTGCCAGCAGCAGGATGGCCCAATTGCCAATCACGTCTGGATTAGCGATGCCCTCCTAACTCGCTCATTTACCGAGTTTACAAGAACTCAACGGCGCTATGGCAGCAATGTTCCCGGCCCTCTCGAAGCGAGACGACGACTTGCGAAAAGGAGAAACGCTGATTTGGCGATGGCTGGGTATGGTGGAGCTGGCATTGACCCTGCCATTCTCTTTGGACAGAACCCAGAAGGGCACAAGCAATTCGAGTTTCCATTCGGATCGTTCTTGTCCGGACAGGATCCGTCGAGTAAGTGCTTCATCCTACCTATGAAAGTAATATATTTGAAGTGTCTGACGATATCTTTGTAGCTGTTTCTCCTCTACCTTTCAATTCTCTACCCGGCACAGCAACTCCCGCGCAAACGTTGAATGCACCGCCGTTCCTCTCCCCCGACTTGCTCGGTCTCGCATCAACTCAGAATTGGGATAAAATATTCACCCGAGTTCTACCCAAAACGTGTTGTCTAGACGATATTCGAGACCTTGTTTCGTATCTTGGCGTCGATTTACGCAGCCACCCTCAACTCAGCCAATTGATTCTAAACCACATTATTGGGGTGTATCGTAAAGGAACATGGCCCCTGACCCAAATTAGCGACTTCCTCGGCGATCCCTATCTAAATCCGCGGGGTTCAAACAATTTTGTGGCTGTGGTACGGGCTTTGGTCTCTAAGCCAGGCACAAAAGTCGAGGTGGAAGCTATATTTCAGATGTTGAGGTTTCAGCTCTCTCTTGGCTTGGTGCCTCGGCATGAGATACCATTAATGCTGAAGCTAGTTCCGCGGATTAGGACTTCCGATATACGACCGGAAAGCCCCGGCGTCTTGCACACATTCTGTTTCGAGGCCATATGGCAAGGAATCGAATTGTGTTCTGTGGTGCAGCCTAAGGATCTTGGGAATAGAACACTATCTTCATGGTTAGGCCTTCTCTCAAGGGGAAACGCGACCGGACGATCAGCGTTACTTAGCAAGGACATCATTCGCCTTCTGGCAGGTTCTCGAGCATCCTATTCTCCTGGACTACAGACGGTTTCATTGCAGATCGTTAAGCTTATCGCCACACACACTAAATCCACGGCGCTCATTTATTGGAAACACTTCCGCAATTTTATTCAATACTTTAACGATGTTGGGAATCTGTTCCCTAGTCGGCTTCTTATGGATTCAATCTTTCGGGTCACAAAATCCCTATTGTTTTCACGGCAGTATCGCAAAACACGACGAAAGCTTCTGCGGATTTGGAGTGATATATTAGAGCATTCCAATCTGAGTTTTTTACTGCACGAAGCTCACTGGGACTTTTCCCGTCAAGGCTGGCTATCTTCTCGTATGACGCGGAAAATGCCTAGGGCCAGACTGTCCCGTAATAGAGAACACCGCTTGATGAGAAAGGAATGGCTTTTACGACTATGGCTTGTTAAGGTTCTTGATCGCAAAGCTCGTGTTGAACGACGCCGGAGGCAACTGTTCGGAAAACTTTTGGCCTACGACAAACGATTACGAGGCCCAAGGCCGAAGGTCGACCTCGTCTCTTATCTAGATAGGTCTATGCAAATGCTCGGCGGGTTGGGTCTCCCTCATGCAGATGCTGTTTCAATAACAAGCACGCAGATGAGATATGAGCAAAGGATGCTGAACTATCCGCATATACCCAAAAACGCCATCCAGGCGTTGTCTCGAGTAGAACTCAGTGGTTTACGTTCAAATGTATTTCGGGAGAATGATCCACATAGGCTTCTCGAAGACGAGATGTTCTGTTACTGGGAAGATATGGCAAGGAAAATAGATGTTACGGCTCCCGACTTTGCAAACAAGATTCTCCTCTATACGGAAACGAACTCACCCCTCCGTAGCGGCTTGCTCCGCATTCTCCGTCGCCATACTCCATTTAAGATTGCATTGGCTTACTCCTGGAATCCATGTCGCCGATATTCTGATGTGGAACCCCATGGAGGACAGAAGTATGCTTCTGAGGGATATCCGGTGCTAAACCCGGCTGACTGCCTCGCAACAATGCACAGTATCGCGTTGATTTTTGCGTGCTCCTCCAAACTGTCACCTCGAAACGCTTATCGACTGACACGTTGGTGTTTTGAGTTTCTGCTTGACCACAACGCGCCCATCACGCCCACAATGGTTCGCGCGTTATATCACGCTGGCATCTATCGATTTCGCGAGGCTGGTATGTCAGTTCCTCAGGCTCGGTTTTCATACATCATCAACCACGTTAGAGAAGTTGAGGGGGATGCAATTGCAAGTGCTCTTGCAAGTGGAGTGCCCTTTGAAGTTACTTACTTGTTGGGGAAAAATTAGTTCCCTTTTACATATGGAGGTCTTGCGTCGGCTAGTTCTTGTATGTACAGTACATACATGAAAATTGACCTTTGTCCTGTTTCCTACAAAATAAATCTTCAAAGACATATTACAAAAAGTAGTAGTTATGTATTCCATACTGTGCCTCTCCGTGCAGACAAACCTGTGAAGCCTGATTTTCAATAGCGCATGAGAAAAGGGTCGAGGTATGAGTACTAAGCAACATTCAAGGAGTGAAGCGATAGGAGAACTCAGTACACCATACTCCAGACAACGCAAGGGTCTGGAACTAGAGTGAATGAATTTCTTCCTATTTTAGGAGTCCGGACTGTTTCGAATGCTAATGAAAAGGGGTCACTCTCAGCAGTTGATACTTAGAAGCGCTGTGGAACCCAGCGCAACACGAAACTCACCAGTAATACGCAAACCACTTGCGCGGAAGATGGCCATTGCCGTGCTAAAATCTCCAAGGCAATCGAGTTCCACGCCTTTACTATTGCTCTTATCCGCGCATTCATCATCCTCTCCATTTACATCAAGGAAGAGAGCCACAGAGTTAGGTGGGAAACACGGAAGATAGCAAAAACGGTCGCTGTAGAATCATACGGTAAAGTCTCATTACTCCTTAGGGAGGGGGATCTATGGAAGGCACAAATCAAGAATCGACATCCATCTTCTCCACGACCACTGCATCGGCATCTCCACTGAGTTCGTGCACCGTGACGTATCGTCCTATCTCCTCCTTTGTGATGATCTTCTGGTCTAACCAGGCCGTAGTCCCCTTCGTGAATCGGTAGGTTCTCTCTTTCTGACCCCGCTCGTTAGGTCGGATATAGTTTCTTAGCAACTGAGTAGGTTTGTCTTGCTCGATAACGCAAACATCCACGTTACTACCAGAGCCAAGATCGTTGAAAATTCCTGCCTTTATAGCCTCTGAAGCAAGCGCTATGGCTTGGTCCTTGTTCAAGTTAGGCGTCCACATAGTTTCAAAAACAGACATCGCAGCCAAGGATCCCGAGCCCATCGTAACGTAGGGGAGCTTATCGGTAGAGCCATGGGCATGAACTGTATAAAGGCCGACGCCAGTAGGGTCTACTCCAGCAACAACCAGATATGCGCCAACGTAGCCTTGGTAACGAAACAGGTGTTGCTTAAGCAAGGTCATGCAGGTTATGACGCGCGGTTTCCGGCCGGTCGAAAGGGCATGAAGCTCGAGATTAGAGCTGATAAGAGCAGTAGTAAACTCTGTATCTGCAGCGGTACCGGCTCCCGCACACCATATCGATGGCGTAATGTAGTGGAGTTTCTCACAGTTCTAAAGGAGACGTTTCATGTCAGCGGCTGGCCCGATCGAAGCAGTTATTTTCGAAGGTTTAGCGACAACATGTCAGCTCCAGCAAGAGATGTACCTTGTCTGCAACAATAGGACCACTGGTAGCTCTGGTGTCTGCGGCAATCTATGGTGGACAGCGTAATTAGCCAGAGGACTGTTTGATCTACGGGGTACGCATTCGCTGGACATACCACGACACCTCCATCAAAAATGCAGCCAACAATCGTCGTACCCGTGCTTGTGGCTTTGGGCAGCGGGACTCCCTTTGCATGAAGCGCTGCGTTGCGATTGTAATTGGAGAAATCGAACCCAGGCATGGCGATGTGGCTGGCGTTGGCCCTGCGAGGGTGAAAGGCGCGAGAAGAGCTGAAGGCGGAGTGGTGAGGATGTGTATGAAAAGGCGAGTTGAAAGGACGGTGAGAGGCCAAAAAAAAGCAAAAGGGACGCTGAGCGGATGGAGGACGGACGGTCGTTGCGAGAGTTGAAGCGACGTGAAGTGACGAAGCTTCGAGCTGCCTGATGCTGCTACCAAGCTGCCGGCCAATCAGCGCCGCCAGACAAGCCCAGTCGACGGGCGAACGAAGCCAGCAAGCGGACGGCAATCCTTATTCCACAACGAACGATAAACGCCCTCTCTGCGCAGCGGGAATCTATAGCCTGAGGAATTTACTGGGCTTGCAGACGCCGGACAACTTGATATTTTACCGTTTTTTTCCCATGCATTGCCCTCCCGCCACATACTGCGAGCCCGCGCGTCAAGATTTTCGGCCCTACCTTTGATCTATTTAACAGGAGTCCTGGCAGGCTCAGCCATCGCCGTTCATTCAACGTCTTACCGCGTGATTCTATCAACATCAATGCCAGAAGGACACGCCATCCCCTAGATTCCAAGTCTCGGTCACTTTCAGCCGACTACGAGTCTCTGAAGATGGCGTTCTCATTCGTCGCAGCTCCCCAGTCGGCCATGGGTGGAGGAAAAGTGCAGCTAGGTCCTGAGCTGCAGGAGATTCAAACACAGGTACGTGTGGAACATGGTCGCGCTTTACTGATGACAGAAATATCTAACTCGCCGGGCATGCAGGAGGTCGGCTTCCTCTCCCTGAATGGCGATTCCAAAGTACAGCTTCTTCCTTCGCCATGGCCTACGGACGCATTACCACCCCCAACCTCTTCTCTGTTAAGTGTCGCCCCGACAAAGTCCCTTGTCGCAGCCGCTGGACCCGAGGGCATCATTATCGCCAGCACAGACTCTGCCAGAAAAGCATTTTTCGCTGACGCGGTCGGCGAGAGCAATGTTAGACCATTTCAGCCGGAGCTACAGATTCCGCTCCCTGGTAGGGTGTCTCATGTGGCGTTCTCCGCCGATGAAACCGTGCTTGTCGTTGCTGCCCAGACTGGAGATGGGCTGGCGGTCTTCGACGTGTCAGAGCTCATGCAAGGCAAAAGCCAGCCAGCCGCAACTATTCGTTTGAACGGTGAAACTGTCCGAGCCTTACTCCCGAACCCCGTCATATCCGAGCTCTTTGCGGTAATAACGATCAATGGGGAATTATTGATTGCGAATGTGAAAAAAGGACAGCTGGATGCAGGGCCTAATGGCCCCGTTCTAAAAACCGGAGTTAGCTCTGCTTCTTGGAGTACAAGAGGGAAACAACTCGTTGCTGGATTGGCAGATGGAACCGCCTATCAAATGACTCCCCAAGGTGAAGGGAAGGCCGAGATCCCGAAACCTCCAGATCTCGAAGGCACTCAACACGGTCAGTCTTAGCGATTAGTTTCCTCTATGCGATGTGCTAAATATCGTTTTAGTTTCTTCCCTGATATGGCTTGAGAATCATTTATTTCTCATGATCTATACGCCCACGATTGTTTCCGATGAGAGGCCACCTTCGTCGTATTATATTTTAACACGGCACCCACCCGATAGCTTCGAGTTTCGAAAGTTGCCGGAAATTTGCTCCCCGTTTGGAGCGGAACGTAATCCTTCCTTCCAGTTTACTGGCCGATTAAAAGACTTCGAACCGAATTTGAAAGAACTCATCGTTGTCTCTTCGACTACATCGACAGACGTCGGACTCTTCACACGGTCAACAAAACCCCTTGCTGATGACTGCCCACCCGAAAAAATTACAAATCTCTTCACAACCACAACAATGTCGGAAGACTCGAGAAGAGCAGAACTGCCAATGACAGAGGATATGGTTGACGTTTCGCCTATTGGGTTTTCCCTGGATTTGTCAAGCAAGAACAACGTTCCCTCACCCATTCCCGGCGAAGATATCAAAGAGTCTGCGACGCCGTTGCCTGCAATTATGATATTAGGTAACGACGGTGTGCTTTCTTGCTGGTGGATAGTATATTCAGAATCTATCAGGAAACAAATTCCGTATCATGGACTTTCAGTGGCTCCCAAGGGACAATCCCTGCCTCAACAGCAAGCTGTTGCTCAGCCAGCCCCTATTCCTGAAACACCGAAACCATCCTTTGGACAAGGAATGTTTGGAAAGCCAGCATTTGGCCAGCCGTCTTTTGGAACACCCGCAACTCCTTCGTTCGGCACTGCTACGCCCCTTGGAGTAGGGCGACAACCAGCTTTTGGTTCTCCAAGCGCTCTTGGAAGCTCCCAGCCAGCTTTTGGACAAGCAAGCCAACTAGGAAATGGGAGATCCCTTTTCGCCCAAACACCGACTCAGACGCTGAGTCAATTTGGTACTGGTGGAGGATTTACCTCTTTCACGTCTGCTGGTGGTTTTGGGGCTACTCTTGGCTCCCACACCCCAGAACAGAGTGCTTTCGCAAAGGCAACAAGCGACAATCCGTTTTCCAAAGCTGGGCAGCCCCTATTTGGTTCACAAGGTTCAGATGTGCTCTCTCAGAAAGAAAGTACGGCGACTGCTTCAGAGGCATTCGGGTCGAGGGCGTTTGTTCTTGGATCAACCTTTACGCCTGATGAGTCCGCTGCTATGGACGAAGATAAACCAGAAAAGCCAAATGGAGCACTCTCCTTTGGTTCACTTCAGCAATCGCTTGACCTTGGCGGTGTTAACGAACCTGTGACGAAAGCCGAACCAAAACCTTCTCCCTTCACATCGCCTTTCTCCGGCATCCCTGAAACCAACACGATGGTCTCCAAAGAATCACCATTCGGTGCACCAAGCTCGGGGCTGTTTGCCACACCTCAACAGCCAGGATCGCTTTTAACGACCATGGCATCGACGACGCCCGCTACATCACTACCTCCGCCTCCAGTAGCTGCGGAGCCGAAGTCAACCGAGCCAGCCCCCTCTTTGCGACGCGATAGTGGCATCTCCAAACCGCCTGTCGAAGCGGAGACTCCAGGAGACGGAAAAGTCGCGCCATCTCCGAAAATTGTGGAGCCTCCGCTTCCACCGGAGCCTCCCCTTCCACCAGAGCCTTCCCTTCCACCAGAGCCTCCCCTTCCGCCAGAGCCTACGAGTAGAGCAACCTATGGCCCTGGGGATACTTCTGCTTCCTCATCAAGTGTTTCACGGGATGCACCACTTCCGCCAGACTTCCTCCCACCGAAGAAACCTGTATTATCGAACGAGCCCGCGCTCCCACCTAAGGCCGAAACTCCTAAGGAGCCCAAGTCACCTAAAGAGCCCACATTACCGGAATCACCCAAGCATACTCCGCCCGCCCTACCGGATGAATCAGAAGATGAGGAGGGGGAGAGTGAAGGTTTTGAAGATAGCGGGGAGGAGATCACTCAAGATATAGGCTCGACCGACTTTAAAATCTCCCCCGAAAGTTCCTTTGACCTTGTCTCTTATAAAAGCCCTCCTGGTGGAAGCTTTACACAGATACCGGCTCCAGAGCCAAAGCCAGCAGTTCCAAAGCCCCTATTCGGAGAGATCACAGAAAAGCCAATTTTCCCTGTGCCTAAAATACCCCAAAGTCGGACAATACTTAGCCCTAGATCTCCGAGCCCCGTTCGCAATCAGTTTGGAAAGGCGCTTTCTGCCACTGACCACATCAGGTCTACAAGTGCTCCGATACCGGGGCATGCTATTTCCCGCCGAAAGGCTGCTTTAGAGAGTTCTATGCTTGCCAATCAAATAAGGACACCACCCGAGGATATTGAGGATGACATCTCGGCAAAAGAAATTCAACGCCAAGCTCAACGACTCCAGGCTGAGACACAGGAACTTGTTGAGGATGAGGATGAGCAGCTCCGAGTGGATTTGGCACGACCCATTTCGCCAGCACCAACCCTAGATCCTTTCCTGCCTCACCAGGATTATACTGGAGAAAGCCTGAAGCCTGGAATTCCTGGCCAAATTGAACGTCTATACCGTGACATCAATGCCATGATAGGTACTTTAGGCATCAATGCACGATCTCTATCTGCGTTTTTGCTTTATCAGGAGTCTTCCAGCGATCATGATTACACAGCGTGGCTAAGAAGTCTTCGAAGCGAGAAATGCGCCGATCTCCTCGACGAAAAGCTGCTCTTACCAGAGGTTGAAAAGCTTCAGCGAGGCGTTGAAGTGTTAGATGAATCTCTTCAAGCAGGAAAAGTGGAAAACATTCAAGAAAGGCTTGAACAATGTCACCAGCTTTTAAGTAAAGATCTTGTGAACCTTCGTGGTCAATGTGCAAGCATAAGAAGAACGCTAGATTCTTATACGGATGCTGCATCCATCGCTTCTGCGCCATTATCAGCGGAGCAATCTGCTCTCCAACAAGATCTGCGAAAGCTGTCGACGGAGACTCAGGCGAAACTTGCAGAGCTAGAAAAAGATGTGTCACTATTAAGAGCTAGAATTGCCGACGCTTCCAAGGCAGCGGATGGGTTTGGCGTTTCGTCAAGGAAAACCAGATCTCACATGGCGCGCCCGACGGTAGAGGCTGTGACCTCAACAATTAATACCATGACGAACATGGCTCAGCAAAAAAGCGGAGATATCGATGTCCTCGAAGCGCAAATGCGAAAATTAGGAATTGATATCTCAGAGTCAATAGCTCCTCGAAGCAGAGAAGCGTCACCGTTCACGACCCCTCTTAAGAACATGTCCCGGGTGCCGATTACCCCTGGTTCCCGGGCATCACTTGATGGAGCTGTTCGTAGCTTATATCACACTCCCGAATCAAATCGCACTTCGAAATTCCGATCAAGCGTCCTTTCCCAGAGTATGCTGCGGAGTCCAAACAGACCTACGGAGCTTGTCCCGGCAGAAGATTCTGAAAGATGGAAAGCAAAGGCCCAGCGAAGGAGGGAGGCTGTGGGCCACCTAAAAGCTGCACTTGGCCATCGGAAGGTGAAAGTACGGAGCTTGGATGATTTTTGATTTTCTAATTTGATAAAGCAACATTGGGGGTTGGCATGTGTTTGTACGAGCCATTAATGTTGATGAAAGTTTACTTTGCCTGTTTCTTGGCCTTAGATGAATGCGATTGTGAAGAAAGTAAATGGAAAAGTATCAAGAGATTGAAAAATTATCATTATATAGGCGCATCTAGCAATCAACATGCATGCATGCATATATCTGTCAGATCAAAATCTAACACATTACCACACGAGCTCCCTAACCCCCTAGTATGCTATATGAAGCGTTTTTCTTTCTATTTTCAAGAAAAGACTAGTCCATCCTTCAGACTTCCCCACCGCGAGATGCAATAATCCACGTAATAGTTGATCCTTGGTTTCCACGGGCCCTTATTCCCAGCCTTGGGCAAGGTATTGGCCAATTTGGTTATGTACGTGCTGCTGAGATTTAGAAGCGGCACTGGTTCCATTGAAGTATTCAGGAACGGCCGGACGCTCGTTGAACGAGTCTTGAGCATCTTCTGAACAATGCGACAAAAAAGTACGGCGGTAGAGTCCGCACCTAGCGTCCAGGATGCATTGGTGTATCCTACTATCAAGCAAGAATTCGGAACGTCTTGCAGCATGCAGCTTCGCCAAACGAATTTCTTGGATGGATCGAGAGGCTGGCCGTTCACGGTGACTTTGATGTTGCCGACAAGAAGTAGTTTTAGACCTGTGGCGGTGACGACAATGTCGACGTCGTCGATTGTATCGCCGCTGTCCAGGATGATGCTTTTGTCCGTGAATCCCTTGATGGTCCCGGTGGCTACGCTTGCCTTGCCTGAGCGGAGACCTTCGAAGAAATCACCGTCTGGCGCAAGACAGAGGCGCTGATCCCAAGGCTTATAGTGTGGCTTGAAGTGAGGATTGTGCGGAATGCTGGGAGGTAAGCATTTCTCGGTCACTGATTTTATGAGGCGTTTTGCAAGATTGGGAAAGGCCTGGCAGAATTGGAACAGCGTAAATGATACTGCCAAAAAATAAGATCTGAGAAGAGGAAAAAGCAATGCTCTTGGTACCAGTCGCTTCAAGAGAGGAGAAGAACGATTATTTGCGGCTAAGACGTAGCTTGGGCTGCGCTGAAGCATAGTTACGTGCGATGCCTTTTCGACAAGATTCGGAAGTAGAGTAACAGCCGTAGCACCGGACCCGATGATCACCATCTTTCGGTCTGAGTAGTCTAAATCGGCGGGCCAAAATTGAGGGTGGACGACGGTGCCTTTGAAATGGTCGAGTTGGGGAATGTCGGCGGCTAATGGATGCTCATAATCATAGTATCCTGTGCCGAAGATAAGATATCGGCAGCGAAAATGCTTTTCACACCAGTCAGTCCACACACGCCGCCCCCCCGGGGTTCGGGTGAGAATATACGACACGGACCTTGATGATGCCTTCATGCTCTACCTCCAGTCTCCAGTCTGCGTTTTCATCCTTCCAGCTCGCCGACAGTACCTTATGGTGGAAACGGATGTGACTATCGATGTCTGCGCTTCGCGTGGCCTTCTCCAGATACCGTCTGATGCTGGGAGCGTCTGCAATTGCGCAGTCTTCCGTCCATGGATACCAGGAAAACCCGAACGTGTACAAATCCGAGTCGGAACGGATTCCGGGGTAATTGAAGAGATCCCAGGTGCCGCCTATCGTATTGCGCGATTCAAGAATCGTGTAGGAGAGGGATGGACATGTTGTTTGAATGCGATAGGCGAAGTTGATGCCAGATATGCCGGCTCCAACGACAACAAAGTCCGTGTAGGCGGCGGAAGAGCCGTCGGCGGTGGTATCCGATTTATCCATGGCTTCAAACGCCAAGTTGTATTTAGAAGCGGTGAGAAATGGGGATGTCCAAAAGCATCAAGGGCCCTTCGGGCCTCCCTGGTTATTTGACTATTATTTACTTCTATCGCACCTCGGTCACTTTTCACGTGGGACACGACCGTCTGGCAGCCTCTTGAGATGAGCCGATTGGTTCAGCAGGACAAATCTCCGACGCTGTCGACGTTAGTCAGGGCTACTCCGTTCGGCTGAGGAAAAACAGACTGTTGGGCTTGGAGCCCAGAAATGTTCTGGCTGCTCGGCCGTTTCAGCGTTTGTGCACAAAGCGGCCTGAGTCCAACACCAATCCAGTCAAGGAGCGATTGAGTGACGGACGTGTCCGAAGGTTTAAAAGTCGTATTCATCATCATCAAATCACAAGCCTGGCTCTCGAACCCCCAGCGGCCTGAGATCTCGACTCGCCTCTCTGCATCCTTCCAGTCCGTCTATGATGACAACCTTCGTGACGGGTACAGCATGGATTCCATGCCCAGTTCGACTTGACGAGAACCGCAGAATCCACGGCCTCCCGTTAAAGCGCTAGCTGGGAGAAGCTGACCCATCATTGGCTATTCAGTTAGCTATACCTAAGCAGAGCGTTTCCTGTACCCTGTGAGGCCGATGGATACTCCAACTTCCACGAACCTGCCAGCCCAGTACTCCTCCTCTGGGCCGGGCACCACCCCTGGCGTCGACCAGCCTCTCCCTCTCTTCCCTACTATATGGACTCCAAGGTTTAACCAAGCCGCTGCGTTGCTTCTTCCGGCCGACGCCACTGGGGGAGGCGCTGGGACCGATGGAGCAGCTCCCTCGTCGCCTAGAGAGCCCAGTCCCACGGCGACCTTACCCCGAGCCTCAAACCCCTCCAGAATCCGACGTCGCAACCGGATGATAACCTCCTGCCTCGAGTGCAGAAGGCGGAAGTTGAAATGCGACAGACTCCATCCGTGCTCCAGTTGCTCCAAGTCCAAACGCGACTGTCTCTTCCTGGCTCCGGCCACGGATGCGGCGTCGCGGATGAAGCTGACGGAGCTCAAAAATAAGATCGGGTCATTGGAGCGTGGTCTTGAGCGGGATGCAGCCGCGAGACAGGGGGTCGCGATTAGACGGGAAGCGTCTGGCGACGCTATCCAGGAAAGAGACCACGATGGCCCCGGCCAAGCCGACGGGATTGTGGATGTAATAGGGAAAGACGATAGTCGGCTCCCGGTCCCGGATGATGAGAAGGACTTGGAACCTACACCGTTGGCCGTGCAGGATGCGGCATACGATGATGATGCCGATGACGAGTCGCTAGACCTAGGCTTCAAATTGGGACGAATGAGGATGACTGATAGGATTGGAGGACTTTATAGGCCAATGATTGCTGATGAGGTTCGTACCAGTTGATTCTATAAACTGCTGCAATGATTTATTTTTATTTTTATTTTTATATTTTTTGAAATAGGCCGATTCAAACCCAGCTCTGGAGAGTTCCTTGCTGACACTTCTATTCCCATTTAGCTCTCGGCCGCTTTGGGGACACTGCGTGTGTCTGATACGCCCCAAAAATTCGCACCAACTCCATCAATAGATCCTCAGCTGCTGCAGGAGATGTCGGCAGTAGGAGACAACCCATATTTTGAACCCAGCGCTTCATATGTTGCTCCCAGATCTGCAATGTTCTTTGACGGTTCCCAACGGTATATGTTGGCAGACTTTTTGCCGACAAGAGTGGCTGGCGACAGGCTGCTACAACAGTATTGGGAAGCGGTGCACCCTATTGCTAAAATTGCCCATCGTCAAACATTTGAAAAGCAGTACAATGACTTCTGGATAAATGTATCAAACGGGGTTGAGCCGGCATTCTCTCTCCAAGCGCTTGTCTTCGCCGCGATGTTCAGTGCTGTCGTTAGCATGTCAGAAGATATCATTTTAAGCACATTTGGCGTCCCCCAGAAGCGGCTTATCGAGAATTTTCAACTGGGGACCGAGATGGCCCTAAGCAAAGCCAACTTCCTCAAAACGACCAAAGTGCAGACGCTTCAGGCATTGGTGATGTACCTGGTATAGCGTCCCTTTCTCCTGTCTTTAGCATGTTTGTTTTGGCGCGCTTAGCTTATACCCTTTAGATTCCGATGTGTCGAGAAGAGATCTCTCGAGCCCACTCCGTCCTTGTTGGGACGGCCATACGGTTAGCTGAGTGCATGGGACTTCATCGTGACCCAGAAGAGTATGGCCTTGGGCCGGTGGAATGCCATGTACGACGGATGATCTGGTACCAACTGTGTTTCCTTGATATCCAAACGAGCTTACTACAAGGACCACGTCATTCAATCCGGCGAGAGGATTTTTCGACCAAATTTCCAGTCAACATGGATGATTCCGAGATTTCCTCAGCTTCTACAGACTCCATTGTAGACGCCCCTCGATGGACGGATATGACCTATATGCGAATTCGGATTGAATGCAACGAGCTGCGTCGGCTCCTCCTTGTCGACAGGATCCGAATTGAGAAGAGGCAAGTCAGTCTAACTCAAGTACTTACGAAAATCGAGGCTTTTCGAAAAGCCACCTGTGCCAAATACGGTCCTTTCCTTTTCGTACCTAATCCCAAGCCCATCCACCGAGCTGCGCAGCTCATGCTGTCTATTCTCCTGTGTCGCGCATACATATCGGTGTTGCATCGTTACGCAAACGGTGTTTCTATCCGCATGCCGGATCGCTTGCATCAAATCCTCATCAGCAGCGGTACCCAAATGCTCGAAGACTCGATCCAACTTGAAACTTCCCCAGACTTACGCGTTTGGGCATGGTATCATGGTGCTTTAAACCAATATCATGTCGCATTGCTCCTTCTTATGGAGATTTTCGCTTCTCCAATGCGACGAGAAGCCGATCGGATATGGCGGTGCTTGGACTATGTTTTTGAGACGTCGTCGTTGGCGCCCGACCTGGCTAACGAAGCTGGCTCCCAGGATGTATTTCAGCAGCGGGATGCAAAGGCTCGTCTTATCTTGACCGCTTTACGCGATAGAATGACTGTATATCGGGAGATGAGAAAGCTGAAAATTCCAAGAAGCATGGTTGATTCAAAGGTTCTGTTCTCAGAGCGAGAAAGTTCTGGAAGCTACACAGAACCGCCTCCTCTCCAGAGAGCAGTACCGAAATCGTTGGCATCCCGTCAAGCCCAAGGTAATGATATCTCTGTGGCTTTCTCGAGCGAATTGCCCGGTACTACCAGGCAGCAACATTGTCAGAGGCCTGCGGATCTTTCTTCTTTAAATGAAAGCATTGAAAGCCAGCCGGCATTCCCGCAGTCGGATACTTACGGTCAGCGGGTGCCAATGTTATCACCACCTCTTGCCCAGCCGCTCACCGAGCCTTCTTTCTTGATACCGGGCGCTATGCAACAACACTCTTCACTGCCCAGGCAGCCTGTGAGAGCGGCGAGTCATGATTCTGACCGAGTTGGGTCTGAGGATTCAAGTAGTTCCAACTTGTGGTTTGTCTCTGAAACAGGACTGGGGACAGCCGGAGCTGCTTCGTCGATCGAAAACAATGGTGTATCAGATGCCGCTCCTCTATTTCCACAGACAGCCAGCGGAAAACCTACTGCAGCAATTGATATTGACTGGGTAAGTAGCGCTGTAACGAATGATACCACTAATTGCAGCAAGCATCTGTCCGCTTATTCGCACTTGAGCTTGCTATCGCAATCGCCGCCCTATGTCTTCGGGTATCCTGAGGACCAAGATTCTTACACACAAAACTTTCACAACTACTCTTACAGCGCAAGATACTAATATAATTTACCCAGGGCGAATGGGACAAACTCTTCCCAGCAGATACCAACGGTGATTTCAACATTCTTCCTCCGTCCATGAATCCCTCTTTTACCACCTTCGGTTCTAGCGAGGCGACAACAGAACCGATTTATCCAGCTTATCCATGATTAGTCCTGTGTTTTACCAGCCCATTTCGCAACCACAATTCCTGCTCTAAGTATACCCCCAGAAGACAGCCATCTAAATAGCCACCCCGAGATTCTCCACTTGGAAAACCCAGAGAGCCCAAATGAAATTAATTGCTGATCTTTTCGCTCCAAAAAGTCTGCCAGGCCAGGGAACACATGTTCTGTGATATCCTCTATCATAATGTTCTCTTCAGCATAACCTGCGTCCCGCAACTGTGATTTGTATGTGGTTGGCGTAACGAAATTAGAAAATGGAGCTGAGAGAGAAGGCGTAAGTAACCGCAAAAGCAAATTATTCAAGACTGATCTTAGACGAGATGAAGGTGCTGCGAGGAAGATGTCGAATGCAAGAAAGTGAGCATGGAGCACCGAGTGAGTATACCGGAAAATATCGCGACGGGATGGTCTAAAATGGTACGCAGTGTCGAGAGCGAGCACATATCGTTCGGTATTGATTGGATGATTGCCATGTTGCTCCTTTTCTTGCGCAAAAGCGATATCTATGGCTTGTCGTAATTCGCTGGACCATGAGGACGGATTTGCGGCGTCCCCGCAAAACAGCTGGACGGTTTCTGGACCATGCGGCCGGGTCTGGTTTGAGCGCCTCCCATTCTCCCCGTCGTGATGCCTGGATGCTGTTACTCTGGAATTTGCAAACTCATATTGTGTTTTATCCAGCGTGATACCCACGTAACGCTGGAATAATGAAGCAGGCATATTCTCCTGCCGATCTCCTTTCGTATCGACAGTCCCTGTAAAAGTCCTGTTCATCAAATATAATGTCTGCTCGCCGCATCCGAATCCAAGGTCAAGCAATACTCTCTTCACCAAGCCCGAATCCTTACGGCCGGGCAATTCATAGTTTTCCCGCATCTGGTTCACAAGCCCTGCAGATTGGAGTATTCGTTCTACAAGGGCTTCGCATGCTTCTGGCAACTCTGTCGCGTCCTGGTTATGTACAGGCTACGTTAGTTTGAGCATCATTCGCGTGCGTTGATAGCATCAAAATTAAATGAATCATAAAAGCGATGCCAGTATCAAGAGCACTCCGCGCGCCTCTCTGTCCTCTTACTTGGATGAAATACTTTCTCCTTCCGCTGTTGAAATTGTCCCGGCTGCCAATAGTTGATCAGCCGTGCGGACAGCAAGCTATTTTCTAGCCGGACAAGTTATCAAGTACTTTCTTTTGGCGTATGTTTCACAAACCACAGCATCGGGGAAATAAAAAGTAACACAAGGAAAACAATCAACTTCTCCGTAAGGTAAACTTCGATATATTATATCAAGCAACTCTTATCCTACGTAGAGGAGAAAAAAAGAGGCAAAAAGAACGAAAGACGAAACTATGCAACTAACCCTCCAATAGCCCATATTCATCCACATCTTGTCCGGCGGAAATTTCAACCGAGCATTGAGAACAGCATGGTCCAGGCCATACAGCCCGGTGGTTTCGGTGCCATACTCACCACTGCCGGTGGTGGCTCTGCTCGCCGCGCGCCTTTGTCGCCTTCTTGAGCATTGCCTGAATAATATTGGGATCGAGAACGCGACGGCATGAGTGAGGATAGGAAAAACCGTCGATCGAGGAAGGGGCACAACAAGGGCTAGGAGGCTTAGAAGGGACAGGAGAACCAAAAGCGAAGCCATCGTTGATAGTATACAATGCACGTACCTGAGTACGAGGTCCAACGCTACTATCCAGACATTGCTTGCCCGAGATGAACCGGCTCTCTCTCTCTCGGAGTTTCATGTTCGCTGCTTGGGTTTTGGTGGTTTGTGAGATTTGAGTTTTAGAGAACCAAGGGTCTCTCAGGGGCCAGTGTGCTCCGTAGAGTTATCGACTACAAAGTCCAATTACAATGCATGTATTATTATATTCGAGTGCAGATTTGATTTACTAAATTTGTATGCGAGCAGATATTTAGCGATTACAAACAAAACCATGCAGCACGCAAGATATGCCGAGAAAATGGCACTCGAAAGATGATGATACACCCTGAACTTCAGGCCTCGTCCCAGGCTGTCGGCACCATGCTAGCTGTCAGTTATTTATTTCTCCTCTAACCCAGGGCTGGGTGGTGTGAAGAGAATGGCACCGCCTTGGACGCCCAGCTTCTTCAGAGGGTTCTCTTCTCCGTCCGTTAACCATCCCACCAGCTCCGAGAAACCGCAGCGTTGATAGAAGCGTTCTTTTCCCTTTGAAGCCACCACACTAGCAACGATGCCTTCTTTCTTCGCTTTTGCAACCCCCCAGGCAGCCAGTTCTCGCCCATAGCCGCGATTCTGATACTGCGGAAGCACAGCAAGGCAAGACAAAGCCCAGCAGTTATTACGATATGGAGGGGAAGAGAGGATGTGGGCGACAAAGGGGATGGTCGTCGGTGCGAAAGTCGTAGGAGTCATGTTCGGGGGCTTTGCGGCGGCGCGGTTGGGGAAGAAGGTATTGGCAAGGAAATTCATGAAGGCGAAAACGGGCCTGATGAGACGTCCTGAGAGACGGACAGTCAGTGGGGTTAACAGATCGTGTCAGAGGAAGCACGACGAAGACGTACTTGGATCCCACCATCCCCATAAGCCCCATACCTTCTCCCATCCCAGCCCTTGACGTTTCCATTCCGCCGCCCCCGTCAGAACCTCCTTTCCTGAGGCTGGATCCGTCTCATAGCTCACCAAGTACACCATGGAATGGTCCCAGAACCTTTCTCGACATCGATGGTACCAATGCGCCACGAAGTCTTGCGGGAACTGGTCCCTATATGGATGAAGAATGACTCCCACTACTTCTTCATCGTAAAATCCAGCTGCAAAGATGGATCCTATGGTAGGAGTATCGGAATATCGAGCGAGACGGATAGGCATTTGAAAGGAAAATTATCAGTATCACTCTTCACTGTATACCGAGGAAATCGGTCGCTTTCTCTACACGCCAGGGGAGCACAGTAAGAATTTGAGCCCCAAGCTGGAGTCTAGGCTTGTTTAAAGCACAAGGCAGGCTCGTATTGTCTTCCATTTTGGCTTGATATGTGTATATGAAATATGGGAGCCTTGAGCTAGATTCCGACTAGTTAATGTGCAAGCAAGGTTGACGAGCAAAAGTCCCGACGGCTAGCTCCGGCCGAATCGCTTGATACTTGTAGATGTTTCTTGATTAGCCGTTCGAGCCGTACACTCTCAAGGACTGATTACCGGGCTGGAGAGGAGTAGTAGCGTTGGAAAAGACTTTTGGTCTACACTTCCGTATACCATTCAATCTCACACATAGGATGTGGACACTTCCTCCCCCCGCCACCCTAACAGACTAATCCCCGGGGTCCCAAAACCTTTGTCCATCCAGTCCATCCCTACCGAGCGCATAGTCTTCCAACCGCTTAGCATAGACTTGCTGATCGGTTGCTTTGCTTAGTTGGCTGCTTCATCCATTTCACGCACCATTTCTAATATTTTGCCGACCCTGGGGCCTCGGGGTATCGTTGGCAACTTGAGCCTTTCTTCGCACACCAACAAGACCATGAGCTAACTATGGCTGGAGATTTGTCCCTGCTGGCAGAGTTGGACCATCATTTTCCAGTCTTGCCATATTTCGGAAACATAATTGGCACAGGTTTCCCAGCACAATGCCATGAACACGATATCAACTTATCTGTCAGCTAGCACGTCCATTTCGATGTCTCAATCCCGTGGCTAGCCCATCACCGTCGGTAAATGAAAGGACATACCTCCGTGAGATAGATGTAGAAGATTTTGAGGGATATTCCCTATGTAATCAGAGTATATTTCAGAATTAACTTATTAGTTTCTCAGACTTATTTTAGGTATAGAACTTAGCCAGTGCAACGAGTGTGACAGAGACATTTGACCACTAATCTTTTATCATAACTAGTTACAGGACAAAATGTTCTGGTGAGTGACTGACCTCCTGTAAGCTGGCTACGAGTTATTCAACTGGTCCCCCACCGAACCATCAACTCCCCCCAAATAGCAAGCCTGGGTCAGGGAACAAGGAGAGACATGGTGAAAGCCTGAGGCCACCAGGGCACGGACACCATGCAATGCAGTCGATGTCACACCCCGCACTCGTCCAATAGCAGGGTGAGCCACCCCGGCCATCGAAGCCAGCGCGGGGCCACCAGAGCTCTCGCGATAAATGGCTAGCGTGGCTGGCAAGGAGCTCATGTTTCTTTTTTTACTAACCATGACCCAAAAGTGAAAACTACCAGCCCTTCCACAACAAAAAAAGAAAAGAAAAGAAGTAAAAGAGACGGCATCACAAGACACAACCAGCTGTGCTTGTTTTGCGTGGTTGCCTGCAACATCTATTCACTGGATCTCTACGGAGTAGTTGGTCAGCTTGCTTAGATTATGGATATTTCACAAACAGTTGCTTCCTGGCTTTCTCTGGCCGCAACGGTAATCGGGTTGGGCTCCATCGTGACCCAATTCGGGAGCCTCATCGATTCCGCAGATCCTTTCCGTGCTTTGAGAGACCTTCGGCATTTGGGCAGATGGATGCTCCATCAGCCGCATATTCCATGGTATCGCGTTCTCAAACCACCTCCCGTTGGCCCTGTCATCGCTGCCAATCTGCCCCATGGGCTCTGCGGTCGGAAGACGGTACACATCAGTCGCTTACCACTGACACAGCCAGCTGGGAAGGCTGGCTGGTCAGTGATACTTGCAGTCATACACTCTCCTCCAAGCCAGGAGTACGAAAGCGGGTCATACTTCATTCAGCCCTCCAAAGAGCACACTGGAGATATGAAGCACATAACGACCATCATCCGTGAATCACTGGTGGACGTTTCGAAGGGCACATGGGACGACCTTCCTTTACGGCCTCTTCTCAAGCACAGACGCTCCTCATGCGTAGTCATTTCTCGCACAACCCTAATGGCGCTCTTCTGCGTGACCAATGCTCGACCGGCATTCAGGCATAGCGGCGCTTCTGGCTTTCGCGCAGCATACCCATCCTACTGCGGACAGTGGCTTGTGGAATGGCCTCTTGGAGACATTGCACACGTCAAATTTGCTGCTCACGATTCGCATGCACACTCGAGGGATGTTTATCCCATGAAGTTTCAAAGCAGAGTAGATAGGTGTCTGCAAATGCTCGCCGGAGTGGTGTATTCATCAGGACCTACCTCTTTCAAATGTGCCTTTCCAGGACGAAAGTCATCCGGGCAATGGATTCTGAAGTACGCGGTTAGAGGATTTGGCGGTGCGCATGGCGGCAGACATCTCTACAATATGATAGGAGGCAACGTGAATGAGGTGGACTTTCTCTCGATGAAGCCGTTAGGTGATAGTGACATAATAAGCAACATGATTAGGCTCGACCTGCCTAGCAGTGAAGGCAATAATCATGTTGTTGATTTATTTGTCCCTGAAGAGGAGGCTAGAGCTCTCAATCGAGCCCTCGATTGTCTCCCTTGGTCCTCTCTCTCCTGGTCGATTCATCGGGGCATGCGCGATATCCTTGTTGCATTTGCTAAACCGAGAATGGATCGATATCGAGATCAGTTAGCTGAAACCCTTCGCTCCGCGGTGGATAGATGGCCGGAGAAATTGGTTGCTCGAGGGTGGGATGCCCAGTTCATCAGACGGGATATGGCACATATGGCTACCAGTGCTGTTGCGGCTGGTAGCGGGAACTCCGGTGATGTGGTCAGAATTGTTACAGATATAGCGATGATCCTGTGGGATGGCACAACTGCAGAACTCGATGAGACGACCTTTTGGAGATATGACGACCCTGTCGAGAGTTCTCCTGTTCTCAGTCCAATGGCTGTCGTCGCTCTCGTTAAGTGCTTCGTTTTGGAATGGAGTGTTGACTTGGACTACCAGATGTACCACGATTTACCTCTGGAACTGTACCTAGGATGAAATTGCGATAATCCCAAGGTGCTAGGATACCCTTCTCATCCCCGTAAATGATTGATGGACCTTACCGGCCCCAATATATATATGGTACCTCCCTCTGAGCAAAATTTTTTCATTCCGCTGGAAGTCGTATACCTTGGTGCTCCCCTAAGCAATGTGTGATTTCGATGTGTAATTCTGGCTTTTTTTAGCCAAAGAGGAGAAGGTAGACATCTCTGTCTTTTGAGATACCCTTCTCTTTGCTTTTTCCCCTTTTTTCCCTTTTCCACAGAAATGTCTGCAGATATCAACATTTCCATTGTGTGCACACTGAAATATTGCTGTTCAGGTGACAACATGCCAAGCCCTCGAAGGCGAAAGCACAGGCCATTCTGCTCCCTAACCTGTTAAGGACTAGCGTACTCCGTGCTGAATATAGAATTCGGGCACGTGTTTTGCCACACAACAAACACGTGGGATGACGTCATGCTGCCCGATCCGCTCTGGCTGTGCCAACTCCCGGTCAACTCCACTCCCGCGATCACTCGAAGCTCTATTAAATGGTGCAGGCCTGCAGATCGTCGCCCCGTTTAAAATCCTCAGGGTACTCCATACAGCTTGTAGCATTTGCAAAAAGGGTGGAACCAAGAGGCTTCAATTTTGTGGCGACAATGACCCCATCGAATATAGTCACGGAATTCATCTATTTCACATTAAAGTCAGATGTCAAGCCAGAAGACCGCGAAAATGATGATGGCAGATTATTCCTCAGCGCATTAAACACCGTCAAACAAAGCTGTGGATATCTAAGTTCATTCTGGGGTCGAACGATCGAGAATGAGAACAATATTGTTTGGATTATCGGTAAGACCTCCTCTTCTCCTCAGGAGCTCGAGAGACACGCCTCTGCTTTGCCCATAGCCTACTAAAAAACAACGCGCGAAAACGCGAGAAAAACAAAATAGAATGGAATGACACAACCGGCTGCGTTCCCCTTTCTCTGCTCGCTCCCATTATCGAACCAGATACCACTCCAATTGCTCTCCACACCACCCTCACTCCGCCGCCAAATGGCCTCTTCACCAATGCTTCAGTCATCGAATTGGCTGTCCTTGCATTCCCACATGATCTCAGCCCGCCCGAAAGGACCTCCTTAAACAACAATCTGATCAATTTCCGCTCCATATGTCTCCAACTGAGAGAGTCCGAGCCCCCAAGCGCCTTTTTAATGGGCTGGGTCGAGCGACCAGGCAGCGTTCCGCACCAGGGCAGTGAGTCCGGAAAAGCACAACTGGTAGTCTTTGTCGTCGAATGGGAGAGTAAGGAACAGCACGAAATGGCAAGAAAAGCAGCAGAGTTTGACAGATCCATTGCGCCAATAAGGGAGAAGATGTTACCCCCTATCAACATTCTGCAGATGAGGCATGTCAAGTTGCAGCCCGTTATGTGAGCAGATAGTGTTGTGGTCTGAATTCCACCCAGAAATCAAGTTGAACAGCTTTTCAAGGTGATCGGAGATGTTGGGCAAACACTGTCGGGAGCAAGTCCTAAGAATCACTAGATTTTTGGGGCATGAATGTCATAGGGTATGTGAATCCGAAAATGCACATGAATGGGATGCTGTCTTCGAAGTGATGCTGTCGCCCGGAATAATAATAATAATAATACAAGGTTGGCAGTTTACAAGTGCTGGAAACCACATTGGTTGACTGAACAAGGGGTAAAAAGACACGGGAGAGACAGAATTCGGAGATAGACCATACCATTTGTGTGATAAAGTACAGCCCAATAGAAAGAGAAAATAATTTGGAATGTGAACATCAATTTTGATGGAAATAAAAAAAAGTGGATAATGAGCAAAGGGCATAAAAATATTAAGAATTACATGGCTGATGGCTTGTGATGAATTCAAGCTCCGCTGAGAGCATTTTGAATCCAGGACCATGTGAATCATACCATTAAATGCGATGTTTCTCGCTCTCTATCAAGTAAAAGTCATTAGACATATCGGGGATTTCATGGAACAGGACCTTTCTTTGACTCACCAAGTCTCGAGTAGAGCATGTAGAGGGCCATTTGGTTGCACTCCTGGGTTCCAGTGATGGTCACCAGACGCTCATTGCTATTGTCCTGGGGCTCATTAATCTTGATGACGCTCCCGCTAAGGTGGCGGATTTCATTGATCTTGGCACCTCCCTTTCCGATGATAGCACCAACCATGTCGTTGGGAATGAAAATTTGCTGGGTCAATGGGCCGCCAGCAACAGGAGCTCCCATTGGTTGAGCCGGCGTTCCATGACTGTGAGGAGGTTGAGGAGCTCCGTAGGGAGCGGGCTGATGCGGTCCAGCCCCAGTGTAGCCTTGGCGGGGGGAGGCGTTATAATGAATAGGCTGCTGCATACCGTGCGGACTTGGGCCAGGTCCATGCATATATGGCACTCCATAGCCGGTAGACATCGCGCGATTGGCCTGGGGATGGTGTCGCTTGAAGCTGTCTGGATGGCCATATTGTCCACCAGCGGGTTGCGGAACGTAGGGAACTACTTGCATGCCACCGGGAACAACACCTGCGGGACCACCACTTCGGGTTGCATATGCTGAGGCCGCAGGTCCACCGAACCTTTCTGTCAACTGCTCAACCAAAGTGGCGGCAACGTAGTAGGTGGCAATGTGAACGGCGTCAGCAACACCAAGGATAACAAGGGATCGTTCAGTGGATAAGGGAAGGCAGGAATCTGAGGCATTGAGGCGTGCACCAGAGTGCTCTTGAATTTCGCGGATGCGAACGCCAGACTTGCCGATGATTGAGCCAATGAGGATATGGGGAATAAGCAGGCGAAGGGGATAGGTCTTGGACTGAGCTGTAGATGGCGAATCCAGAGGTTCATTGTTCAATGTACGAATAATCAACCCAAACGCCTAGTCAAGGGATGTCAGTCACCAACTCAACATGCTGTAGCCGGGCTATCCACTGGTGAATTTACCTTTGCAACTGCATCTTGAGGACCACTAACAGTCAGGATTCTCTCGACTGCACCACGGGTGTAATCGCTGACGGTACATTTAGCACCGGAGAGACGGCGAATCTGAGAAACATTTTCTCCACCTTTACCAATGCAGGTGGCAGCTTCAGCACTTGAAATAACAGCACGGATGTGAATAAACCCGGTTTCATCCTGTGTTCCGTGGGATTGACCAGGTGCTTGGGAGGTTGCACGGTCATTGTGTGAGGCTGTAGACTGAATAGGTTGAGTCTCCAAAGGAGCAGTTGGGGAAGACTTTCCATTGTTAGGGGCATCGGGAACCACTAGATCACCTTGACCATCCTGGACGTTGTTCTGGGCTGCGCCATCGGTTTCGGCGGTAGGCTCGACTTTATTATTTTCCTCGATCTTCGTATTATCCTGGTCCCCTTTGACCTCCTGCTCGTCACCTTTAACTACTTTATCTAATGCCTGACGTTTGGCATCCGGCTGATCGGTCGGACCAGAAGGCGAGGATGGGTCCTCGAGAGGTCGTTTCGTAGATGCGACGGCGGAGGTTGGCGAAGCCGACATGTTGGATGTTGGGATAAACGGGTCTGCTAGGTTGCACCTACGCTGAGAGAAAAGAAAAAAAAAGAGTCGATGGAGGACTGAATGTCTTTCTTCCTATTTTTTTTTTTTTTTCCTTTCTGTATCGCTTATGTACACCAGGAGTTCTCAAGGAAAACTTGCTGGTGCAGGTGGTCGGCTGGAGAGGAAGTTGGTGCTGGTGCTGTGTGAAAAGGCGGAGTGCTGGGCTGAGTAAAAGGAATGCTTGCCGAGTGTAAAACCGGCGAGTAAAAGGAGATGCTTGGTTAAAGGTGACTGTGCTGAGCACAGGGTTGCGGGAAATAGATGATCTCTTCAGAGGTCACGGAGAGTGTTGAGGTGAAAAGCGGACTGGATGAACGGTGAAAGCGGCGGGCGAAGGAAGAAGGTGGGTAGGTAGTGTTGGCAGATTGACAAGTGTCAGAAGGGATGCTAAAACGCAAAAGGGTCCTTATGATGCCTCCAAAGCCTGCCTTGTACCTATATTCCAGCAATCGAGCTCCTTCGAAGCAGAGGATCGAATAACCAGCTGGTCACAAAAGGGGCAAAAAGCAAGAGGTCGCTGAACAAGTTGGGAATAGAAGAGTCAAAGCGAGATGTTCAAAGTAATCGTACTCATTCATGGGGAGGATGACGAGAAACCAGCAAGAACAGGGTGCGGGACGGCGTTGATGTGCTCTCTCTCGCTGGCAAGAAGACGAGACTGATGGCGATGACGCTTGATATCGAGTTGCGAGGTTGAGAGAAAGCTGGAGAAGGCGAGGAAGGTGGAAACATTCTGCCGCTAGCGCACTCTTTAGCGACCGTGCATTAGCCGCATCAGGCCTAGCCCAAGATCACGTGAAATCAACCGGGTGGCTGGTACCGATTCGCCGCCGAGAGCGGGAGAAGCAAGCACGCGGACAGGCGGGAGGATGCTTTGGGGGGCTATCGCGCGCGGGGGCTCTAACTTGACAAGATGAGCTTGCCAGCAGAGGTTGTGCAGAAGATCCAGGACTTTGCCAAAAGTTGCAATGAATTTGAGACGCAACGCGAGCAAGAGTTCACTGGCGCAAGCCACTCCGGTAACTATGGAAAGGAGCTCGATGCAACCCTGAAGAGTCTACAGGAGCAGGCTGAAAGACAAGAATCTACACTGAATAGAGTATGCGAAATTGGTTCTTTGTAACTGAGTGGACTTCTAACAGACCACGCAGCTGCGAGCAAGGAGTCCTCTCGATCTCCCTCGACCAGATCTAGACCCCGCGACCCGCCTTGCGCAAACTCGTCGAGCTGCTGCTGCCTACCGATCTCTCACTGCCAAACAACCAGAGCTGCCCGCACCTGGCTCCCCTCTCAGTGGCCTTTTGGTATTCCGGGATTCCATCCGGTTGATTCGAGAGCTCAAAGCCAGCATCTCCGCCGTCACGCAAGATCTCGTCGCGAACCGCGAGCGATTGAACACGGAAGAAGCAAATCTCCGGGATGCGCGAATGATTACAGCAGAATTGCGAAGAAGGTTGGAGGCCGTGCAAACCCAGCAACAACAAGAAGCGAGGAAGAAGAAGAAACCCTCACAACTCGCCAAGGAGCTGATTCAGAAGGAGCGAAACAGAGAAACAGAGCTCGACAGAAGGACGGCCGAGTTAAAGGTTGCATTGAAGAGTTTTGTTGACGAGCACCTTGCTTCCATGTTGGCAGCTGAAGATCTGGGTGGACCCGTGGTGGGTGACCAGGTCGATATCTCCGACAGCACACTTGAAGCTGGGTATACAGCTCATGGCAAGGAGAAGAAGCCCAAAACAAAGCATGTAGATGATGCGGATTCGAGGCAGCAGCGGATTGATGACCTTGTTCGCCGTCGAGCTAGCGGTGTTGAGGGGCCAGCTTCGACGGTCAACAATAGAAGGGATGCTTCGGCAGCGGAGTTTCACGCCTTGATTGACAGGCTATTGGATGCAGCATCAACTTCATCCTATATCGAGCTTGAAAAGGATTCTGCTGTATCAAGATTCCTTGTCAAAGCCAAAGTGGCGCAATTCCATCCAAGAGACTCGCGAAAATTACGACTGGTGGATGTTGCGAGAGATATATCTGACTAACACCCTCCCAGCTACACGTCCATCGCAAGGAAATCTTCCATTATGATCAATCATACGGTTACAGACGCATTTTTCTGTCGTACATGGGATGCATCTAAACTGCTAGTCTATTGTATCATCCCGCATGGCAAATAGTTGCTTGAGAAGCTCCTCCACGTTGGCCCGCAGAGCGTTGTGGTACATGGTATTGGTGATAAAGTTCTTGCACCCCTTAATTGACGCAGCTGTCTCTCTCGCGAAATCATAATGCACGTACATGTCATCAACGTATGTGGCTGAGTATACCGGGACTTCATTGTTTGCCAGCTGTTCTTTGTCGTATAATTCTGGCCAGTCATCGTACGAGGCAACGATGTCAGCGGCCTCTTTAATCTGTTTTAATTCGGTAGATGTCTCGAAGAGATTCTTGTAAACCTGCGCTAGTGTGAGCAACCTTTCCTCATAGCTGCAGAAAACGATAATAACCCTACCATCTCTCCTGTGAAGAATATCCCTTCTGGATTTCCTCGGCTTCGGAAACTGGACAGTTTCTGAATCACCCTATCGGCACACCAATTCGAAGCAGCCCTATCCGAGTGTTAGCAGATGTTACCAGTTGAGCTCGCAGATTGAACATGCTAACCCCTGGCAATAGATGGCCTCGTGGAGGACGGCATAGATAATGCTGTTGTCAAAAGTACTACCACTGTCAACCAAAGAGATTGTCGGCCGTGTGAGGAAGCCAAACACCTCGAGATCATTGGAGCACCTGAGGACAATGTCTGGATAGTTTCAGTGTTAGAAATGAGTTTCTGCCTTTCGGACTCTGCTTAACGCACCATGGACGTAATCAAGCCCTCCTGTTTTTTTTTTTTTTTCCTGGGTTAGCACAGTCATATCTAGTAGAGTAGATGGAAGCATACCTCGCATGCCAAGAGAAATTCCCAGAGACAGGAATCTCTCTGGGGTAAGAGCACCGCCATCAGGCACTTTGACATCGTTCTGTTCTAGATGGCGTAGAATTGTCTGTACTCTCTCCTTGTCCTCAGGGAATTTCCCATAATATGCCTTGTTGCGCTCTTGAAGTTTCCCTGGCGGCGAATAAGTTCAGTGAATCCTGGTTGTATCCAGGTTCAATGTTGGACCTACCGTATGTCTTTTCGAGTACGGGTTCGGGATTTGTCACCAAGGGTGGAAGTCCGCCCGTAGTGAACACCTCTCTCAATCCTTGGGGGCTACATACGAGAGCAGAACAAATCAGTGCTTTCCTTCTGGGACAACGGGATTATAGACTTACAATTTCGAAAGATAGGTAACAGCGCAGAAACCTCCAAAACTTTGTCCTAGGACACTCCATTTCTGCCTTTCCAACGGGTAGTCCGCAGTCAAACACATGCGTACAGCTTCGCAGTCTTGGACAATGCTGTCTGCTCGAAAGCTCCGCAGATACTCAGCCTGCTTGACAGCGTTCCCCTGCAGGGCCAGAGTCGCCGCTGTGATCGGGGAACTTAAACCCGTTCCCCGTTGATCTAGAAGTAGCACCTAGAATTGAGATTAGGACTTTATACATAGAAATTGGAATTTCAAATATGTAACTCCGAATGAGCGTCGATAGCACTTAGTACCTGGTATCCTTTATCTAAAAAGGGACCAACCCAGCCAATATCTTGGGGTTGGGAGCATCCCATTCCGGGTCCGCCTTGGAGATACACCACCCATGGCAATTTCCTCTCTTCAGGCTCAATTTCAGCGGAGGATGAACGTCGCTGTACGCTCCGCGCAAAGAGCCTGATGGTTGCATCCTTTGGGCGGCGGTAGTCAACGGGAACCTCGAAGAAGAGTTCCGCAACCTTTAATTTGCCTATAACCCCAGGATGGTAGAAGCCAAGTTTAGTCGCAATGTGTTTAATAGCAAGTAAATGTCATGGGAAATGCGGTGCGCGCTGTTGTGTGGGAGGGAATGAAGCCACCACTACCCTGGGGAGGGGCTTGACGAACCTGGCACGTCCTTCAGACGCTTGCTGATCAAAGTTGCTACGGCCATGTTCAATTAAGAAGACGCCTCTTCAACAGTATAAAATGAATTCTGGGGAGCCTCCAAGGACAGTTTTGCTTCTGGTTTTGGCGACAGCAGCATGTGGTGGTTAAATTCGACACGCAACGTCCCAGAGACACCTCGGAGCTCCCTGGGTTATCCGAAGAACCTGGATTAACTAGTGCCAACCCCTTGCCGCTGTTGCTTGACCTTCCCGTTGTTTGGCCATCTTTCCTCCAACTTTTAAAGAGGGGGACGATGCATCTTTTATCAATCACGTCCTCGGAGATTTTGGAAAGGACCTCGAAAACAAACCCAGCACTTTAGGATGATTCTCCATCGCCATTAACTCCGCAACCAGGAAACGGACTGCAGCGTGGAAGATGTGATCTATCGCTAGAAGCGCATGTCCCATGGCTCTTCCACAGGCTAAAATGGTTCATACGTTACGCGAACTACGGGTTCCCCCTTAGAAGTTGAGACCAAGAGCGCACACGCCGAGTTGGAGCAAGCTGGAAGCTCCGTTTGAAGCTTCTCACCCTTTACTACGTACAGGGTTCGATGATACCCGGCTATTGAGGGAAATTTCCGCTTTACCATTCATTGCATCGCCTTCTGACCAAGTTAATCGTTACATATTTTAAGGCTGGTGGATCAGCTTAACTCCCAAGGACCAACGAATACGAGAAGCTCCGGCGATGGAGAGAAACCTTCGAACCAAGCACTCTACTCCAGCCTCGGGGTTTGCTCAAAGTACGCTGACATTCGGGAATGGCTGAATCCTAGGGACCCTCTAGACGGAAAAATGACAGATCCCTGTTGCCCCTCACTCGAACACCCTCAACTCGATCGCAAAATCGCAAAAAAGGCAGATTCAGGATAAATATGGATATGCACGATTTGTCTCTTACTGAGGAGCAAGCAGCTCTTGAGAGAATAGCCCTGAGTACGCAGCCTACTGCTCGGGTCCTTCCAACAGCCGAGGATCTGGAACATGCCAGGTCTTCACTCTTCGAATCTCTCCCACGCAAGGGCAAGGGCTTTGCAGAGATTAAAGACCATTTACTTAAGGACATTGTTCCAGGACTGAATTTTGCGAGCATAAGCCCAAACTATTATGGATTTGTGACTGGTGGAGTCACGCCCGCTGCATGGTTCGCTGATAACATTGTTTCTGCATACGATCAAAATGTCCAGGTGCATGTCCGGGAACATTCTGTGGCCACGGATGTTGAAGATAAGTCACTGAAGTTGCTGCTTGATTTGTTTCGGTTGGAGACGAGGGAGTGGCCTCATCGGACTGTCACATCTGGAGCCACGGCGAGCAATGTACTTGGACTGGCATGTGGAAGAGAGTTTGTCCTGCGTTCTGTAGCGGAGAGGAAAGGAATTGACTGCAAAAGTGTCGGAGAATATGGGATTGTCGAAGTCTTGCGGGCAGCTGGCTTGAGTGGATTGCAGGTGCTTTCGACTTTGCCGCATTCATCACTTGGGAAAGCGGCTGGGATCTTGGGAATTGGCCGCTCAAACGTCAAGACCATTTGTACTACGGAAAATCCACTCCGGTTCGATATGAAGCGTCTCGAGAAGCAGCTAGCTTCTGCTAGAATGGCGAGTATTGTTGCCGTTTCCTGCGGCGAAGTGAATACCGGTCGTTTTGCAACTGGTGGAATCGATGAATTCAGACAAATCCGTGCTCTATGTGATAAATATGGTGCTTGGTTACACGTTGACGGAGCCTTTGGGATTTTTGGCCGTATTTTTCTCGACGATGATAGCTCTGCAGAGTTCAACTCCGTACGAAGAGGATGCGAAGGGCTAGAACTCGCGGACTCCATTACCGCGGATGGGCATAAGTTGCTCAATGTTCCATATGATTGTGGGTTCTTCTTTTCGCGACATGCAAGCATCGCTCAAGACGTCTTTCGAAATCCAAACGCCGCATATTTGACATCTTCTATCGCTGCTATGGACCCTGTAGTGTCGCCCAATAATATCGGCATCGAGAATTCAAGACGCTTTAGAGCCCTTCCTGTCTATGCTACTCTGATGGCATATGGTCGAGAAGGCTATCAAATTATGCTTGAAAGACAGATCAGGCTCGCCCGCCGTATTGCGGATTGGCTATTCGATCATCCGAAATACGTGACTTTTCCGAGGGTTTCTTCGCGAAAGGAGCTGGCGGAGAGTACGTTCATGATTGTTTTATTCGGCGCAAAGGACGATGACTTGAATGACAGCCTAGTCAATAAGATCAACAATACACCACTGTTATACGTGTCCGGGACGACTTGGGACGGACGACCTGCGTGTCGGATTGCAATTTCTAATTACAAGGTCGATGTAGAAAGGGATTTTGCAAGGGTTGTGAGTGTTTTAGAAGACATTGTTAAATAGACAGCGACACGAATTGTTTAAAATATGAATAGTTGATATGGGTATATCTGTCTTCATCTCCTCCTACCTGCGGATGCCATATCCCCTCTTTCTGACATGCTAACCACTTCGCCGATACCAGCTGCTTCCTGCTCATCTTCCAAAGCTGTGATCTCCTCTCTACAATCCCACCATTTATCCTCGGCCAGATCAAATGCATCTTTCCTTAGCTCCTTTATGGTCTTTTCTATCGTTAAAGTGCTATCCTTGAGCTTAGACATCAGAATATCTTGCCATTCTGTCGAAGTCCTATTGAAAAATTCGCGCAGGCTTTCGAAGGGCCTTGGATGAGGACGTGAATCTTGTGATTTGGACTCAGCTGGCTCCTGGTCAGCCCCAGTACCTTCAAGGGTCGACACATCGATCTCCGTCGGAGGCGTATATAGGCTCTCCACAGATTCCATTTCTGCATCCTCGTCTTCACTTTCTTCAGATTCATCCCCTTCCATCTCTTCGTCACTTTCGGCTTCAGCGAGGTCATTCCAGTGATCGGGTTCTTGATAGACGATCTCTTTCACTCCATCTAGCTTCATCAGGTCAATTGAATAAATGTCGTTAAACGTGAATTCTTGGTCCTTGCGCTCGAAGGTTCCACCATATATAAATAGTGTGTCTTCCTGCACTGCAAGCTGCGCATTAAATCTCGGGTGTGGCATTTCAAATTTGACAGGTAGCGGTTGCTTTGTATCCGTCTCCTCATCCTCTTTAATCATGGGGTGGATCTCCATATCCGTACTATCCTCTCGTGATAAGCTCCCTTTCGCTTCTAAACGTGCCAAATTGCGGAGAAGCTCTTCTTCGTCTGCTTTGCTTCGATTTCGCGATTTTGCTGCCTGTGAAGTAGGTTGCTGCTTCTTATTTCCGGCCCTCGGTTTTCGGAGGGATAGCTGAAAGAAACGGTTGCGTTCTATGTTCCAGGCATAAAGAGAATCGAAGAATTCGCTCTCAATACCTTCTTCAGTCTTTTCAACATCATGGACACCACCAAATAAGATCCCTCGGCCTTTGTGATACGTCATAGTCACTCCTGCCCGTGGGGGATTGGGGGGATTTGCCGGGCGTTTTCTGCGTTCCCATCGAACGGTTGGCGGTTGATTAGCCGGAGCGTCCGCAGCGGGAGGTGTGATACGCAAAAACCATGTATCTTGGTGGACCATTGGCTTCAATGCCATACGCTGGGATCCGCCACCCTTTTGGCCCTTTCCAGCCGTAACTGACATTTTAACTCTAGAATACCCACCATACAGCACGGCACCCGACTCGTGGGGAAGCAAAGTGAAAGAAGAGCGTGCATCGGGCTTTTGTGATGCAGGTGGCAGAGTCGGATTATACCACGTATACTTTTGGCAATCATATATCCAAAGATCCTGAAGATACTTTGTCTGCTGCGAAGTATCTTGAAACCCGCCAAATAAAATAATATAATTCTCCATAGATGTCAGCCTATTTGTAAAATGGAACGAGAAGGCTAGACTCACTTTAAAATAGGTCATTCTATGCCCACTTCGCGCCGGAGGACCCTTACTTTTGGTCTCAAGACGAGTCCATTCACGGGCAGAAGGATCTAAATGCCAAAAATCGTTGTAATGATAAAAAGTCCCCTGTTTGGGAGAGGAGAATTCTCCTGTTTACGATTAGTGTTCTAAACTACAAACTAAATGCAAGATATTTTCTATCTTTGGGGCAACCAACCTCCAAAGAGGTATATGCCTCCAGCATTCCCTCCACGGCACCAAGCATGTCCACTCCTAGGCAAGGGGCTGTTGGGACTCGTCACCTCCCGCCATTCATTTTTATCGATCAAGTAAACATATAAGTTGTTGAAAAAGGTAGCCAGTGTTCCGTCATAAAACTCGCCACCAAAAATGAAAAGTTCATTCCGGTTTGACGGAGACGCAACAAGGGTTGCTGACGAGCGCGGGGTTGGCGGTTCGCTACTCGATTCCGTGACCTTGAGAAATTTGGCCTGCTCCTCAGCATAAGCGGCCAGGACAGCGTCCAGATCAACGTCTTCAGCGTCACTGTCATCCTGCGTGCCAGCCTTTGTTTTGGACTTCTTTTCTTTCTGGGCCGCTTTTTTGGCCTGTTTCGCCGCGGTGCGGGCCTTTTGCTCTGCTTTCTTGGCTTTCTTATCCTTTGCCATACCGAGGACTAGCTATTGATATTCCTAATCTGCTTGACTTTGGAGTGTCTTTGGAGTAGTTATCAAATTCTCGAGAACAAATGAGTTCAACTGTGGTGCACGGGCAGTTTGGAGGTGTTGAGCAGACCTGACGGAGGAGATCGGAAAAACTTGAACTACGGAGTAACTAACGAGTTAACACATTTGTTAAATGGTAGTTAAAGCCAGTGAGCAAGGATGAGTATGGAGTAGTCTTTGTCAAAAGGCCGCCTCTTGATCAGAGGCTGCATGTATATGGCTGTGAACGAAAGATGCAGTCATGATCGGGCTAGTGTAACTCTTTGATTCTTCGTGCAGAAACCTTCCGTCCCACCTCTCGGCCCACGTCACGTGCCGACGCGTCGAGTCCTGTCCCAAACGCCGGTCCATCGGTCGTCAGTTTATTTACTCACCAGAGTCTACGGCAACCCACCAGATGCCAACACCAAACGCCCGTTCCGGATGAACAGATATGATTCGCATCTATGACACAACATAATTTAGGGGATCACTTGATTTGGTTGTTGAACCGGCCCCAAGAATCTTTTGCAGCCGTGAAAATCCAGACGCGACATCGAGACCGTGGATCCGAGCCTGTTCGACGTGACTTTGCCGGCCAATTTCCTCCCACCCATCCAAATACCGCCCAGAGTGCCGTATCATACCCTTTTGGCACGATAGGCCTTGATTCAACCCCTCAACCATCTCACGAGAATGCCGATGATGGCGTTTCACCTGGCACGGAGAATATGGCTTGGCTCCAGTTCGCACCAACTTCACCGTCGAGGTCAAAATTATTGTGTTTAGATACCAAGGCAGGCTCGGCTACTGAATCAAGCACTTCATCGAAAAGAAAGAATGAATTCGTGTTAGAAGCACACAGTTCAAGCAAATCTCGATCTCGGAAGACACGTTAGTCTATAGCCTTTGCTAGTATTTTGGCGTGGTGTCCTTGTCGCTGACAGTTCTCTACAGCAAAAAAAAAAAGTTCCACCGAATCTCCTCTCACCAAGGCAGATATATGGCGATCGCCTTCCTTTAAACCAAAATATCCTTTTGACCAGGCTTTGTTACCTGACGATATCGAGTCTATTGATCTCACCAATGATCTGGAACATCACACTTCGTCCTCTGGGACGATTTCGGCTTTCGGGGAGCCTCAGCGGCTATGGACAGAAGATTATGCTGCACGCAGGGAGCCTTTGGTCTCTAATCAGGGTAGGAAAAGGAAAAGCGACGAATATGAACGTGACCTGCCGCCGCCCAGTGAATCCTCCCCCAGACGCCGGACACCCACACCAACAAAGGCGAAAACCCCAAAGTTGATGAACTCTTGGTCTCAGAAGACACCAAAACATAGTTCTCCTCTCAAAACACGCCTCATAACCATCAGCGATTCCGAAGAAGAAGCTAGCGATGCGATATGGGAGGCTGAATCGGAAGGTCGAGCTCGCACATCTTTAAGTAGTGCCGAGTTGCACCCAAGGGTACAACGTAAAAAGCATCAAAGCGCACTCCCAACAGACGACAAATGTGACACGACTAAGCAGAAACCTTGCAACTTGCAAAGTGGAGCCATGCCACCAGCCACGGACGCCAGATTTCCTCTTGAGAATGATAATCCTCTCTTCTCGAGATTTTTGAATATTGCCGACTCTTTTATGACTGATGCCCTAAAGAAGGTAAATTCCGAGCGTGATCGGAAAGCCAATAGTGCTTACCAGCATGTGATCAATGGATCTGCCCCTCCAGCGGATGTGCTAGAGGAGATCAAGGCCTTGCTTTCAAGGCTCAAAGCTATCGAGAGTCTCTGCAGAGAAAAGAAAGAGTACCTTACATTACGCGATAAGCTAGACGAGCTTAAATTTAGACTGATGCAACATATTCAGACCGGGGATGTTCCGGAGTCTTCTTCTTCGGATGTTATCGAATGTAGGCATCTTGAAATGGACATGCTTCAACGCAGGGAAAAGATCGTGGGTTTGATTCAGGAGGCGCAAATTTTTATTGACAGTGAAACCGGCTCGTTTTCAAACGCTCAAACACCAGATCATAGAGTTTTGGTTTCAGGAACCCAAATTTCGGAAGTTCGTACAGCACCAGCCGGGAGACGAAGCTCTTTTCAACTTTTGGCCGGGGTTTCTGGCTACACTCACGCTATGTCCCTACCAACACCTGTCACCACCTGCCCGCAAAGGAAATACTCGTATCGAAGCGACTCTGGCACCAAAACGTTCGCCAATACATCTGTTACCAGAGCGGGATCTACTCGACCTTCTGAAGACAGTTTTGATGCGCGTGGGAGGAATAGCCCGGGGGTTTCCCCCTCCAACAAGCCTTACCAAGATATCGACGACCTGAAATTTGACGACGATGTGTTTGATGATGGCGACCTCTTTTCCCGAACCATGGGGACACCACTAAGGCCAGGATCGGATATTGAATATGATGTTGATGCAGATGACGATGATATGCTTGAGGCAGCAGAGGACTTCGAGAGCAGCATGCATCGCCCTGCTCGTGCCGTGCTCCAAGAAAGCAACATTAATTTTGCCCGATCACCACCTCGGAAAAAAATGCAAGTGTCGGGTACACCCGCTGTAGTCGAGGGAATGAATTATCCGTGGTCTGCGGACGTAAAGGCTGCACTGAGGGATATCTTTAATCTTCGTGGCTTTCGTCCTAATCAACTGGAAGCGATCAATGCAACTTTAAGCGGGAAAGACGCATTTGTTTTGATGCCTACTGGAGGTGGAAAGTCACTCTGCTACCAGCTGCCGTCTGTTGTGCAGTCCGGTCGTACCCGAGGAGTCACAGTGGTCATATCACCTCTTTTGAGTCTCATGGATGACCAAGTTGGCCAACTACGATCCCTAAGTGTCAAAGCGCATTTTATCAATGGCTCTCTTAAAGCCGCAGAACGCCGCCAAATACTGGAGTATCTTCAAGACCCTAGGGTGGAAGATCAAATACAACTGTTGTATGTAACCCCAGAAATGGTCAACAAAAGCCAAGCCATGCTCGATACGCTCAGGCAGCTCCATAGAAGGAAGAAATTTGCCCGGCTTGTTATAGACGAGGCGCACTGTGTGAGCCAGTGGGGTCATGACTTTCGACCAGACTATAAGGAACTGGGAGATTTTAGACGTCACTTTCCTGGAGTACCTTTGATGGCCCTTACAGCGACAGCAACGCAAAATGTGAAGGTTGACGTTATCCATAATCTTGGTATGGATGGCTGTGAAAAGTTTACTCAGTCATTCAACCGTCCGAACCTTACCTACGAAGTCCGGGTAAAAGGGAATCACGAAGATGTGCTTGAAAACATTGCCAAAATCATTGACTTTCACTACGGGAAAACTGGGATAATATACTGTCTATCAAGAAAAAATTGCGAAAAAGTTGCGAAGGATCTGTGTACAAAATACCACGTTAAGGCTACTCATTATCATGCTGGCATGGCACCTGATGATCGAATTCGTGTTCAACGAGAATGGCAAGATGGAAAACATAATGTCATCGTGGCTACAATTGCTTTTGGCATGGGAATTGACAAGCCAGATGTCCGCTTTGTCATTCATCACACCATCCCAAAGAGTTTGGAGGGCTATTATCAAGAGACAGGGAGAGCTGGGCGAGATGGCAAACGATCCGAGTGTTTTCTGTTCTATGGATACCGAGATGTGGTCGCGATCCGGAAAATCATCGATGACGAGAAAAATGGCAGAAAAGATCGACAACAAAAAGATCGACAGCATCAAATGCTCCAGCATGTTGTTCAATTTTGTCAGAATAAGAGCGATTGCCGAAGAGTACAGATTTTGGCGTATTTCAGTGAGAACTTCAAACGAGAGAATTGTATGCGCACATGCGACAACTGCCAGTCAGGCTCGAAGCACGAAATCCTCGATTTTACTAGATATGCTACCGCAGCTCTAAAGCTCGTGAGCCGATTACAAAATGACAGGGTAACCCTCCTTTACTGTATCGATGTTTTCAGAGGTATCAACCCTAAAAGATTCTGGCGAGAAGAGCATACCCGAATTGAAGAATACGGAATGGGTGCCGATTTAGATCGCAACGACGTTGAGCGCTTGTTTGGGAAGCTTGTTGCGGAGGGAGCTTTGGTTGAAAGAAACATTCCTAACCACAAAAACATGACCGAGCAATTCGTCGAATTAGGCCCTAGGGCTGCTGACTTTAGGTCTGGACGCCAAAAATTTACTCTTGCGGTCAGGGTATCCCCGAATTCCAAGAAACTTACAAAACCCCTGTCGAAGTCACAGAAGAGAAACCTGGGTTCTAATGTAACAGGTGTTCGAGCGGTGATGGATGAACTCCCCCAATCAACAAACGTTTCTTCTCCTATCCAAAGCGTATCCCGACGTCGTGCTAGGAAGCAGTGTGCAAATTCCTTTGAGGATGATTTAGAGGAGGAAAATGAAAGCGATAGCGATGGCTTTGAGCCTATTCGCCAGGGTGGAAGGTTGCTTCGATCCCGGGTTCGTGATGTTGGTCCGCGAATCACGGATGATGGAAGCCGACATGGCCTAACTCACCTTCAAACCATGATTTTGGACGAGTTTTTATTAATGGCAAAGAAGGAATGTCAAGCTGTAAGTGGTTTTCTTAGGCGCCTGTGCGGTGACATTGCTGAGACAGTCATAGATTATGTTGAAAAAGAACCTTCGGAGCCAACCCTTTCCAGATAGAGTTCTACGTGAGATGGGGATTCGCTTTCCCAAAAGTATGTCAACCCCCTGTTATACTGCTATATGACCACTGCTGAAGGAATACTATGATAGATAAGAGTCAACTGCTCCGAATTCCCGATATTGACCCCGAGAAAGTAGATTTATACGGCGATAAGTTCTTAAAGCTCGTTGATATGTCTAAACAGCGTTACGACGAGTTTACTGCAGATGCCGTGGACAATCACGATCGAGAGGAATTACCCGTCCCGGACCCAAATCACAATGTGGTCACTATTATTAGTGATGATGAAAAAGATGACGATGATTATCGGGAGTACCCAAATCTTTCCGAAGAGACTGGAGCAACAAAAAGCCGGTACTTCAGTAGACCATCTCAGTCAAGCACTAGTTTCAGGTCCCGAAGTAAGATATATAGCTGCTTCCACGATTCCTTAAAAGTCAAACCAGCTGATTCGTTATATAGTGACTGAATACCAAAGTTCCCAGAAAAATAATAGCAGTCCGGGAAAACCACGAACTTCGAGAAAGGGGTCGTTCAGTTCAAAAAGCGACCGGGCCCCTAGGCAAGCTCGGAAGGATAAATCGTTTAGCAGTGGCTCCGGCAAAAAAGCACGATCTGGCCAGTGGCGATCGAAATCCTCATCATCCAGATCGAAGCATGCGCCTAAGTCAAAGGCTAGCAATTCTCTTGCTATTGGAATGATGCCTACTTGACTGGCAATACCTCAATACTCTCCTTTGGCTTCACTTTTAGAATATCGATATCAATTTTGTGACTTTGCAAGAGATACTTGTCTTTAGCTCCATCGGCGATAGACTATAATAAACGCAGACATGATCATAGACAACTAGTTGATTTCGTCGAGGAAGCTAGGTGGGCATAGCCTGTTCTTCCGACCATGCCTAGTCCAATCACCACAGAGAGATTCTGCATGCGTATGTAATGTTATGTCAAAGATCAATATGTAAGATCATAATTTCTATAACTACGGGTTGGTTATTATATTTGATGTCAAAATCAGAAAACCTTCCAAAAATTAGCATTGTCACTCGAAAATCTTCGGATTATATTTGACTGGTTTCTGCATGATCACTTACAGCACCTCCGATGATGAAGACCCTTTCATCCTCCTGTTGCACCCACTGGGCTATCTTATTTGCACTTTGAGATAAAGCATTTCTGTTGCTGTTGGGTGAAGCCACGCAGTACAATTCAAAATTCGGAGTTACCCATGCTAGAGAATTCATAAACCTGGAGGCGCAGTGTTGTACCTTGACATGTGTGTTTTTAGAATGGACGCTGCTATGTAGGCCATGGTAGGTAGATAGCAACCTGCGTATAATCTAGTTAAGCCCTGCTTAGATCGTATTGTTAGAATATAGGACATACCTTCGACGTGCGACCAGGGTTGTGAAATCAGGGGAATAGGATGACATGGTGAACTGAACATTGGATTTAGATTTATAGAGGAAATGTCGGAGAACGGTGCCTGGAACGATATCCGTGGTGGCCGGGCGACCTTTCTCGATAGCTGCCCTGATAATATTCTTGCTGTTGCTTTTCTCCAGTTCCTAAATGAAATTAATCACAACCCGACGAGCTTAAATTACGGGAAAGGACTTACTTGGACAACCGAATCTCGCATCTCTCGCAGCACGAAGAAGCTCTCTTTGTCTGCACTGATCAAAATGATGGCCACCGCATCGTCTTTATTGATATCCTTGTCGTCTTCTGGTAGGTGATCGTGAAGGTCGAGGAAACTAACATACATATACAAATAGCCTCTGCTATTAAATCCGGGGAGGCATATTGGAATCCAGCTTTCGCCACCGCCCGCTTTCACTCCATCCGCTTCAAAAATCATGTTGAATATTAACTGTAAATCCCCCGGGTGTAGAGAATGTTTCTTGGGCCTAATAACACTCACAAGCCTCCCCCCTGCAACAACGAGTCCGTAAAGGAGCGGTTCCACTCTTGACTTTAGAAGAATGCTATTTATTTGCTGACGATATGATTTTCGCAATTTAAGGCATTCTAATGCGGAAACGAGGGTCGAAGGAGAACCTTTGGTGAAACTGTCCGCCAGGGACGATAGGAGGGACTCCGTTCCTTGTAAGGGCCGCCGCAAATCTGTAGATGGGCGTACAGCAAAGATGTGTTGCAAAGCAGGCAGTGTTAACGTAGAGAGAATCTGCATGTATAGGGCATCAAGTTGATTCCTCAGTTGCGAATCGCTCTCCAGGAGGCGACTTATTGCAACAAGATGTAGTGGGCCTTGCGAAAGGATGACAATCTTCGTTCTACCCGCACTAAAACTCTTTAACGGATTGCTGGATTCCTGATGGAACGAAATGATGGTTTGAATGATGGCGATATAAGGTGATATCAGACCATCATCACCATGTCTGGTGTAAATTGGCTTTCCTGCCGCGGATAATATGAAATAATGCTTTCTTTTTTGTCTCCACTCTTCCAAGATTTTGTCTATTTATAAAACCGAGTTAGCCACCTGATTTGGGATCCCTAGACCTTGGTTAGCACTCACCGCCATTATCGTCTGCTGCGATATCTTCAACGCAATCAAATTCGCTTTCAAAGTCTAGACTGAGGTCGTCGTCCTCTAGTCCAGGCTCACTACGATCAAATATATTCACTTGTTTTCTCTTTGTATCCCATAGCGGCTGTGGTTGGCCTGCGCCAGTAAAATCGCCGAAAATGCTTCCCACCTCAACTGGCGTTCCTTCTCCGGGAATGACGGATTTGATGCTAGCAGAATCTGCTGCATCGCTTTCTTTCCCGCTCCCGGGTCGACTCAAACTGCATTTGGACTTGATAGCCTCCTCGTTACCTGATCTTGCTCCTAGTAGTGAATAGATATCGTTGGAGCCTTCTTGGAAGGTCTGAGAATTGATATCCTGTAGAGAAACAGCTGTTGTAGGCTTGGATTGAAGAACATTCTTTGAGGCATGCCGTATGGATAGCACGGTATCGGGAGCGGCCTTGGATCGCCCTGTCGCAGACCTGGTTGTTGGGCGTGATGGGAGAGGAGGGTCGGTGTCCTTTTCAACAGCAAGCTTTGTTTTACTCTCAGAACTTTGAGATGTAGCTTGCTGCTTTGTATTGCCAGCTATTAACGATGGGTTTTCCGTATCTAAGCGGTCTTTCTCTTTGCCAGTATCCATTTGAGATGGGTCATTTGCATGGAGATTCGCCTCGAATGGTCGCCACCACACTTGTCGTTTGGAAGATCAAATACGAGTAAGCACATGTGTGGAAATATATTTGACTTCGAAAAATATGTCTGTTGGGAAGAAGGCATATGCAATTTATATTCTTCAAGTGGTACAGGGTATTCTTAATACTGCTATCATGAGAGTCGATGATGTTGAGACGGAACGGGGTTGTGAGGTCATCGGGTTGGCTGCGGAGTTTGTGGACGAAGCGCATTGAACTATTTCAATAACAAAACCACCGTGTCCTCCGGTCTTCGGCTCCACCAAGCTCAGCGCTTCGGCCAAAGATGACGATCAATCTGTGTATTCGAAGGAGATATTATTGTCGGGCACAATCATGAGTCTGGATCCGGCGAGTCTGGCAAGGTCTTCGTCTCCTGCGAGCTCTGAAGCTTCGCTGCCTAAAAACCAAAGCCGCGCATACGAAGGTAGGCGAGCATGAATGAGGGCTTGAGCTTTGGCAACGCAATACTAACCACTGCGGGTGTTAGATGGACTTAAAAAGGACAAAGCCTATCGGCGCTATGCCTCCAACGTCGAGCGGGCTCTGTCCCTATTCGACACGACTCTGCAGGAATGGGCAGACTACATTTCCTTTCTGAGCCGCTTACTCAAGGTTAGGAGCACGCCGATATAGTTATATTCTACATAAGCTGAGATATTATGATGATCATAGGCTCTTCAATCTCACCCCCTGTCTTTGGCGGTCGTCCCAGAGAAAGTCATCGTTGCTAAGAGACTTGCTCAATGCCTGAATCCTTCACTCCCTTCTGGTGTACATCAAAAGGCACTCGAGGTATACGGCTATATATTCGCATTGTTGAAGGTATCTCTGGCCAAAACATCCCTTCTTGCTCTTCACAATAAACATGAGCTCATTTATCATTGTAGCCAGATGGCCTCGCTCGCGATCTTTCGCTTTACTTACCCGGTATTGCACCCACCCTTACCTTTGCGTCGCTTTCCGTTCGACCCTTGTTCCTCTCGCTAGTTGAAACGTATATTGCTCATTTAGATGCGGCATGCATCCGACCGGCTTTGAAAGCAATACTGCTATCGTTGCTTCCTGGCTTAGAGGAAGAGACTAGCGAGGATTTCGAGACCACTCTCAGAATAGTGAATCGATTTCGAGATATCTCGAGTGAGGTTAAGGGAAATATTAGTGCGTCCGACTCTCACGCCGGCAGTCAATACTTTTGGCAGTGCCTGTTCCTCGCATCCATCACCAGTCCTACAAGGAGAATGGGAGTGTTGGCCTATCTAAACCGTTATTTCCCAAAGCTGGGAGGACATGCACCATGGGCTGCTCCATTGAACCAAGCACACCCGGAAGAAGAAACAGAAATATCTGCTTCGATCGCATCTCTGACTTCGCCCGAGCCTGGCCTGCTTATAAGATGCTTCGCAACCGGTTTAGCAGATGATCAATTGCTTGTGCAAAGAAATTACCTGGACGTACTTGTTACCCATTTACCCCTTCATTCCCCAGTTTTACAGACTCGTATATCCGCGGATGACTTGGAGCTGCTGGTTGCTGCAGCTGCAGGAGTGGTCATTCGAAGAGATATGAGCTTAAATCGCAGGCTCTGGACATGGTTTCTCGGGCCCGATCTAGCTCAGAACTCCGACGAAAATGGCGATTCTGACCTAAAATCCATTACTAGTGGGCGCTCAATGTTTCCATCAGAGAAGGGCATACCAAAATCTAAATACTTTGCACGCTTCGGTTTGGTGCCGCTTGTGAACAGCATTAAAGGGATGATTGCAAGGAAATATACGGTTCCACAGGAACGAGCGAAGCCGTTCCGAATATCGCTGTCATTAATGGATCGTTGGGAAGTTGGTGGATTGATTGTACCAGAGATATTTCTTCCTGTCTTGCGAAACGTGCAGGAATACTATCGGGTTGCAACCCCAAAGGCTTTTGATGAAGTCCTCCGATCCGCAAGTGCATTCTTCGACGGTGTTGAAAGCAGCCTAATATTCTCTGAGCTACTTACTCTCGTCCTTGACATGAATCAGGACGTATCTGATAAAGTGTTAGGGAACCTACGGCTCGCACGTTTTGCCATATCCCACTTTAACATCAAAGAGGAAGAAATGTTGACAATTCACATTCCACTCCTACTCCTTGGTACTCTTCTTACAATGAAAACTCTATCATCCACAAAGGAGAACTCGGAAATCTCTAAGTCAGCATTCGACGAGGCATCTTGGATCGCCCACCACCTGCTAGGTTTGATTCCCGGAAGGGCTTTCATCCAAAAGCCACAAGGCAATCAATCTCATCATCAGATGATAATGACCGCAGAAAATATGACTTTGGATGAGATATCTTTGCAACTCCATAGATTCTATGCTATCACGAAAGAGAGCCTTGACGATCCGGAACCGCCATTCACGCCGAAAATCCTGGCAGAGTTGCTTATTTGTGAAGCGCATTCTCAAGTTATTGACGCCCTTAAAGCAGAAAAGCCACACACCAGACCGAAAGACCAGATAAATTTCCTTCTATCACTGCTCAAGAAAGTCCCGCTATCACAAATATTTGAAAGTGGAGAGCTTTACCTGGCAATGTATGAAAAGGTTTCCGTCGCAAAGGGACAATTATCAATGACCACGCTCTCTGCGATATGCTCCATTGTTACAACATTGTATTCCACTCATGAAACCGGTAGCTATATCTCGTATGGCCAAATCTGCGATATTGTGCCTTATTTGGTGCAGCAATTGTGGGAATTCCTATCCCCATTGAGCCCGGTGTTTCATGTAGAGGCGGTTCGTTGCTTCTGGCTTTTACATTCAATATCTTGGAATGATCGCATTGTTGAGGCCGCAATTACATCTTTGATGATTCCATCTACAACATCGAGCTTCTCGCACCGAACCTCGGTCGATCGAGTCGAAAAGTTTTTTGTTCTCTGGAATCATAGCTATCAAGCTGGCAGTAGTCGTTCTGCATCAAGGGTTATCTGGGAATATCCGTTCGACCAAACACCTGGTCGGGATTCGCAATCGGCTTACAGGCTCTCACTCCTCGAACGGCCACTTTTCATATCATTGGATCTCCTTGCCTCCGGTCCTGGTAGGGCATACTCAATGGTCAAACAATGGGTCCAAGACCCCTCGACTGCATATCAGTATGTAATTGTCTATTACTCCTGGATCAGGGCAGCCACTCACAAGCGTCTAGTGTCTTAGATATATTGACCTCAAAATTATCCGAGTTTCAGTATTTCAGACCTGATATCTCCATTCCTAGCGGTATTGACGCAAAAGCTGGACTAGATGATGGGGACCAATGCCTTTACTTGTTTAAGGCGGTATTAAATACCATTTTAGCATTAAATCATGCTGGCTGGTCCGCTCTCACTTCCAAGATCTCTCCTAATTGTAGCAAGCAAGCCCTCCAGACTGATGTTGAAGGTAGGTGAAATGTTATTTCCCAAGGAAGCCGGAGAGGTTATATAGCTCATCTTCCTACAGATAGATCGAGCTTACAGAGTACAATCGCGCAACTATCGGTACGAGTACTCAAAGAGAGGCAACAAATCTCCACCAACATGGGTCTACGTGGAGAGGACTTACAAGAAGTTGCACTTTTTGTCTTACATCAACTTCTCTTGGGCCCCGGCGCAGACTCGCTTTATCCTCTCAGCCTGGATACTATTCTTATCGAACAGTTATCGTCTTGTCTGGATAGGAACGAAACTACGCTCCAAAGTGCTATAATAGATGCCATTCTACCTTCCCTCAAAATCCGCTTCGCACATGACACAAGGGAACTATCTGCTGCCATGGCTTCCAAAAATCAACATAGAAGGAGCTCACTGGAAGCATTGTCAAACATATCAAGGCTATCTTTCACCGGGGAGAGATCGGAGAAGGATTATATTATATCTCAGTTGCCACAGCCTCCATCTCAACTTCTAGATTGTCTACTGAAGGGCATTCGCGCGAAGTCTTCACGGCCCATGATCGATAAATGGGTACATTTCCTCACAGAGTGTTTGCCACTCTACTTGGGGGTTATCTTTCAGGTGCTTTTAAAACTGGTGGAATGCCTCTGCAAGGAAATAAACCAATCATATAAAGAACTCCAGTTAATGTTCCAACAAACTGAAAGCGCCTCCCGCAACCGGTCAGAGCATGTTACTATCGCCTTACTCACTGCGTTAGAAAATTGCATTGCTACAGCCCATGACCGCCTATTGCTCGAGGAATCACATGGTTCGGCAACAAAAACTCCTGATCAGCCGCAGAGCTTCTTTGGCAACATGGTTTCGGGAGTTTTTACCGCTGAGGCTAGCCAGCCTCGCAGCGCTACTGCCAACGATCGGTTAACTGTTCTTCTTTGTTTCCAAGATGCAGTGCGTTTGTGCTATTCGATTTGGGCCTGGGGTGACAGTGGCCGAGGCAAAGATACACGGGACTCCGATTGTCAGGCGTCGTTTCAGTATACGTCACTGAGAATGCGGAACAGATCTAGGCGTATCCTCGAGCATTTATTCACCGCGGAAACTTTGGAGTGCTTGGAGACTTTGATTGACCTCTGGCGTACGTCGCTCAGAGGAGGTAATCGAATTTCCGGGAGATCTGTCTTTAACCTCCTGCACACGCTGGAGGGTTCTAGACCAAAAGTAGCCATTCCGGCAGTCTTCAATGCAATCTATAGTCGAACGAACCCGGCAGCCCTGGATCCAAGTCGCAAGTCAGCCATGATGTCCCACTTAACTGAGGCAGAGTTGGCGGCGTTCTTGGTCATGTATGCGAGATCGCTAGATGAAGACGTCTTAGATGAGATTTGGTTGGATTGCACAACATTCCTACGAGATGTTCTAAGTAATCCTTTTCCCCATCGCCAAATTCTATCTCGGCTGTTGGAATTTGCGGCAATATTGGGCGAAAAGATGGAGCATACAACTTTCGGGGAAGACCAACGTGCTAAAAGGGACTTAGGAGTAAGTCATCTTAGTTAATAGTTGTGCCAGAAATAAGTCTGACTTTGAACAGGACATACTTTTGAGGCTTCTCACTGCCATTTCGACTAGTAAGCCGATAGGCGCGTCTCAAGACCAATCCCCAAAGTCCCGCGCGGTTCAAAATCCAGACAACCAGGTTTCCTCGCTGAGCAAGGACCTAGTAATCGGACCGGACGATGTTTACAGTATACTATCTTCCATCATGCCAGCATTGACGACCTCATTTGACGCAGATCGTATAGCGTCCGCCATGTCTAACATTTCGACAAATATACTCGCACCCTTGTTTCACTCTCGACTATTCCCACAAAATATCAATAAAACCATGTTAGATATCCTTCAACAAATGTCAAAGATCCCAAGTGCTTCCAGATACTGGAGAAAGGACGTTGGGGATGCGTTAAATGACCCTAAGTTCTTCGGCATGAAGCTGAATCTTGTGAAGAGCAACTGGCTAGGTCTCCTCCGCCAATGGACGCTTACGGACAAAGAGCGTCTTCCAGAATTATTGTCTCGACTCTCACAGCCCTCATCCGCCGGGATAATGTTTGGTGTTGGCGCTTCGGCAGCTCGACTCGAAGCTGACCGTAAATCGCAGTTGAATCTCCGCAGGATTGCCCTCTTGATTCTAGCCGCAGATGAGGATCATTTTAGCGGCGATTTATCTGGGCTTCAGCAGAAGTTAGAAGATCTCCTCGCCGCCACGCATATCTCGTCACCCTCTTCCGCAACGAGAGCTGAGGTGTATATGGTGCTCAGGGCACTGGTTCTTAAAACTTCTACAATCCATCTAGCGCCGTTTTGGCCCTTGATTAATACCGAGCTTCAAGAAGTGGTTTATACCATCGCTCCGGGACGGGAATCAGAGACGTACAATCCGTATTGCCTGTTGCAGGCCTGCAAGCTTCTGGAGACTTTGCTCCTTACATCGCCAGATGACTTCCAATTGCAGGAATGGCTGTTTGTCACGGATACAATCGATATTATATACCCACCAGATCGATGGGAGGCCGTGGCACTGGCGGACGAGATTGCTCTAGCTTTGGGCACTACGAAAAACGGCTCCACGGCACACCTTCACGAAACCGGCGAACGTGACGATGAATTCAACCGTCTATGGCTTGGTACCGATTTGAGTAGAGAGACAGCCAAGGATGAAATAGTAGATAGACTTCTGAGGCCATTTTTCACGCGTCTCAGCATCCACGCCTTTGAGAGCACATATAGCCTGGGGAGCCCTGAGTTGTTGGCGTGTCAAGATGATTTGCTGGCGGACTTGTTCAACGACTTTACAATTGCGAGCTAAAGTCCTTTTCATGCAAATGTAATATAATCACTGTATATTCAATTACTCTGTACAAAGTCAAGAAATATGTATTTAACTGCTACTCTGGACTCCGTTCTCATCAAGCTTTCATCTAGACGTGACGCCTCGGTCTGCTTTATTCGGTGGAGCCGAGGTGATTTCGAACCAAGCCATTGGACAGTGACTCCGTTGCACATGTATGTAACGCCGTGGCAAGGACTCCATGCGTTGGTGTCGGTCTTGGGCTTGCCAAAGCATCCCTTTTTGCGGTGAATTGTGCTCCGTGTGTGGCGTGCAAGGGTTTCAACCTTCGAAACAAAAGCGCCAATGGTGCGGTGAGCAAGGAGCCTTATTTAAATTAAAAAAAAAAAAAAAAAAAAAGAAAGAAAGAGAGAAGGCAGACCGCATTCAGATTCAAAGTCGCTATCATCATTCCCTCCTTATCGGTTCAATCTTCCAGCTTGAGAGCACCGGATATTCGATTCAACTGCTCTCGCTCAGTATCGCCAGCTGTGCTTGGTGTCAATCTCCTGAAATTCAATTCCTCCGCTGCCAAGCCAGAAATCAAACAGAACAAAACGAACGCCAAAGCTCAACATTCGACGTCTGATCACGACATCCTACTTCAAATACTCCTCGTCAACAGAACATCATCATCATGGCTTCGAGAGCATTTTCTCCGCTGCCTCGGACAATGGCGAAGTCGCCTGCCTTCACACGCGTCCACAGAACTGCTCCTTTTTCGACCTCCAGTCAGCTGCTCAACTCAGTGGACACGGTTCTCCCAAGGTACAAGCCTCTTGGGGCCTTTAGAGGAGGGTATGATGACAGCTTTTGCCTATTTATCCTACCTTTAACGAAATATAGCTAACCTTCATGTCTGTGCCACTTCCAGAATATTTGGATTCCTTTTCGGCTCCACAGTCGCAGGCGCCTCGGTCTACTATTATATCCTACAGGAATACAGACTGTCAAATGACATGCTGACGGAAGACATCTACGTACGTTACTGCATTTAAGAAACGTCGTTGCCGTGTCTGCTGCATTCCCCCTTTTTCTGTGCCTGCTGCAACTTCTCGAACGCTGGATCATGCACGTCCTTTCTAGGGACAATACCTTGCGTGTTTATTTCGGGACTGCTATAATAGAGGCCCCGGGACGCTGCCCGGGGCTATAATACTGTTTCAGCATAGATAGACTAGATTCGATGCTTTTAGTGTGATACCTTGTGCCCCGTTTCCTTGGATCTACGTTTGAGGCTGACGACCTGTGCTTTTTCGGGATCACTTGGGTTTCTATAGGCCTTAAAAGCTGCGACGCAACGCCTTTCCACTTATGTAGTGGAATTGGAAGGCAAACTGGACCAGTTGCAGAAGAAAAAATGACTATAAACGCTATACTCACGTCTGGCTGGCTTTTGTCACGACTGTCTTCATTCCCCATGAAATTTTTGTCTCCCTCATTCGGCTCTTGCAAGTTCATTTCTGCTTATCCGCTGTGTGTACTTGTATGTAATTTGAGCTTTTGTGTTCGGCAATTAGATCTCGAGGTCGTTACCATTTAAAACCTAAACAGAATGCGTGCAAAAGAATACAGCGGTTAATGGTATCTGTTTGTGATGCAGAAGTTGCTCTCTTCCGATCCACACCAGATTCATCTGCATTGCATTATTTGGTACCCGATAATAATGATACTTCATCTTCGTTATTAGAGCTTTGTTCTTTTCAAAAAATAATAAAATAAAAAAAAAAAAAAAAAGGAAGAAAGAAAGAAAGAAAACAATTTAAATCCCCCGGTAGAAATCAACGACTGGCTGCGCAGAAGCTGTGGTGCAAACAAGCCAAACATCACCACCTCCCGCCGCTCTCTCCAAAACCACGCCGAATGAGACAATCTTGATCCAACCTAGCAAGCACAGACAGGCATCCTATTATTGTTATCGAAATGTCGCACCTCATTGAGGTCTTGCCCACGGGCACGTCCCATACCTCCGCACCGGGCTGGGCCTACGTTCCAGACATCCGTCCTGACATCCCACGCCAGGGTAGAGCTACCACCGCCGGGCGAAAACGAGGCGTGCGAGACTCTGCAATCGGACGCGGAGATATCCCATCGAAGCAGCAGAACGCGATTTTGAGACGACTCGCGGAGCTTGATCGGGATAACCCCAAAGAGGTCCATATTCCGATTCCAACCAAGCAGAAGGATTCCAGTTCAAGGGGTACGACCTCTTCACCCTCGATTATGATTTTCTTCTTTCCCAGGAGCTTACAAAAGTGTTGTTGATAGGTTCGCGAGGCAAGACCACCTCCAATGTTCGCCGCATCTTAATGTCTCAGAAAGCTTTCAAAAACTATCTCGATGACGAAGAGGCCGCTGTCTTACTCGCTCCGACCACCGCGCCACGACCAAACGCTCCACGAGCTGGCAAAACACCCCCCACGTCTTCTAAAACTACACCGAAAATATCAAAGCAACCTCGCCCAGCCCCTCCAGAGCCAGTAGTATCCCAACTAATCACCTCTGAATTCGACAATGATCCCCTTCTCCGCTCGTATATCCCTTCCGCGCCCTCAGAGCGTATCGTGCAGGCTCTCCTTTCGGAACCACCGCTCACCTATAAGACATCCCGTGCGACGTTTCCCGACGAGCTGAATCGTAAACGTCCGCGGCAATTCTGCGGAATTTGTGGATACTGGGGAAAGTTGAAGTGTATCAGGTGCCAAGCAAGGGTGTGCGGCTTAGAGTGCCAAAGAACACATGATGAGACGGCTTGTGGCCGGATCTTTGCGTGAAATATTTAACAGCATGAAGGTTTCCTTGAAATCCAAGCACCTCGCGAAAGATTATCCATCATGAGATACTTCCGGGCCCCCTTTGATGATAGCAGAAAAGGCTCTTTAAATAGGGATCCTTGCTCCATTTATCCCCTCCCCCCGGGGGAGCGGTAGTCACCGATATCGAGAAAGGTGCGGTACCTATTTATTTATTCGACAGCTATCTGAAGTGTCAAAATTATTGAGTCGTACCCTTCGAAGAGGGATGGCTTTGATACTGTGGTTGAAGATTATACGGTTCCGAGATTGCCATCATGTGAATCGTACAACATCCGACTCTAGCGCCTGAACCCAAAAAGTAGGGTCATAATGCGTGTTTTGCTCAGGGGTAGCTCGCAGATCAAAGAGAGTTGACCTTTTGGCTCGTTTTCGGACTATATTCCGGCAACTATTGCTCCGAACCCTTGATTGCTATGACCTTGAAGAATCCAACGCTATGTTCTATGCGTGTCACAATAATGTACAACATAACAGGCCGTCTTAGACCGTCGAACTCGGTCTATTTGGAAATAAAATGAAATTGTAACCACAGGGACGAACTACCCTTCTGGAACGTGTGCATGTTGCAAATCAGCACTTCAACCGGATACCAGCACGGAATTCCTCTTCGCGAATCTCAAACATAACTTGAACTCCAACGAAGACCGCCGCACAAGCCCCTGCGAGATACGCCAGACCTGCATACGATCCCAAAATGCCGCTCAATAACCCTTGCAAACCGTCTAACCCCAACGCAAACCCGACCAAATTTGCCGCCATCATCATAAGTATGTTGGCCACAGCGCCAACCCCGCAAAGTACGCGGTATGTATTCGGCCTTGTACGCCATTTATGCTCTGGAAAGAGCAGAGAAGCAAGGATTTCAGGGAGAACGAAAAGGGTGATGAGCCAGCCCCACATGAGGAGACGGAGGTTTATATCGTGCCAAAGGGCAACGAAAGTAAAAACGACAAGGAAGTTGATTACGCCACGCACTTTGGAAACAAAAGGTTTATCGCTGCGTTCACTTCGACTGCCGCCGAGAGGAACGTAAAGGTACCGGACTACCCATCGATTGAACGATCGATGCCAACTTCGCCAGAAGGCGAGGGCAGAATAATTGTCTGACATGCATCGTACCATGTTTTCGGGGGGATCGATGCCGTCAATCAAAGCCCATAAGCGGAAGAATCGCCATGGAATGAGAAGCTTCAGCCAGATGATATGGAGGTTGAAATATCCCAACATGCTCAGCTGGAAGGGGGTATATATAGACCAGTCCGGGGATGATTTAGAGATGGCGACAACGTAGATATAGTGGAGAATCAATTCCATGGAGAGCAGTGTAAGTAAGAAGCGCACGCCATACAACAAAGTGCGAGTTTTTGATATTGAAGGCGGTTGATATTTCTGCTGATGAATATAATCGTTGAATGTGATTATGGGACCGGCAAGGTAGAGAGGCGAATATAGAGTGTATGAAAGATAGTTTCTAACGTTGAAACATAACGGATCAGCGGGGGTGTAGATGCGATCACGCTCGGATAGGGCTGATGGATCGAGTTGCTTCTTCTTTGGCATGTTAGCAAGGGCCATCTGCAGATGGTTGCGAGGGCAGGGATGAATTTTGTACCTCCAGTGGGCTTCCAGCCCGATAATCTAGACTCCAATAGTAGTCAAGATTAAAACTTATAAGCCGCAAAACGGTTATGTTAAAAAGGACCTCCCATCGTGAAACGATACCCCCCAAACTATCGAGCCACTCTCCCCAGGAGCTGATATCGGCATCTACACCAAGACCGAGCATGGACGCAATGGAGGCTGCAATCCTGGCGTACTTGTACCCGTGCAGAAGTTCGTTCGCGAACAAAATGCCGATATTGAATATCCATGTTGCCGCTGGTATATAAGGTCTTGGCAGATTCGTTGCTATGTTATAGTTGATTAAGAGAATTCCTAGTACCTTCAAAGAAGAAAATCCGTGAAGAGCAACTAAGAATATCAATGCAAACCAATAATCAAATGACACTCGTTTCTCGAATCTCGATTGGGCTGCGGTAGCCGAAGGATGTCCCACTGCGACACCAGCTTTATTGGGGGACGGTGAATTCGCTAGCTTAGAAGGAAAGAAATGATTGTAGAGACGGCGAAGCAACGGATGGATAATGATCAACAGTGCCATATAGCGAATGTTATCACGGAAGCTGGCGTATTGGAGGTCGGAATTGTCCTGAAACAAAGTGTAAGAATTAGGCTTGAGAGGAATTTGGGACACAAAGCGCATACCACTTTGCGACCAGGGATCCATCCAGGAGCAAGGAGCTCAGAATAATTCGAGTAAGTCGGATGAGACTCTAAAACGACGCTCAGCATATAGCCAGGTAGCCTTTTTTCTTAGCTTTCTGCGCTCACCCTGAGAAACATCAATTGCAGTCTTAAACATCATCGGGACAGCGATGATGAAGACAACATAGTAAATGTAGAACTCGGGAGTGTTCCATCTGGACGGAGATACGCCATTCTTCGCTGGCTTTGCGCCTCCACCATTTCTCGTCCCGCCAGCGAAAGGCCGATTCTGGTTTGCTGACGCTGTAAAACGGGGGTCGAGAGTGTCCAGGGAGTACAACCTCCGTAACCAGCTCAGCAGGCTCATCTTACCATCACCATTTGCAATAGCGACGGACTGGCCCTCTTCTGCCGTCGCTTGTGAATTCCTCGCCGCTTGGTGAAGGTTTCATTCCCCTGGCCCGTCCAGACACGCGATGCCAAGACACCCCTGACTTATGTCAGGGCTTAGTCATTAACACATGACGTCACCCTCAGTCGAGACTTCCAGCCATCACGCGCAAGATGATTCGAGCAGCACCCATATCGCCATGTGTACGGAGCATTTTGTTGTACCGGACGCACATGGTTATACTGGAGCTTTTGGATAATGGATGGCCTATGATGTTTAAATGACATACCCAATTATCCAAACTTGGTAGCATCGGTGGTTCGCAAGAACGCGGCTCTCCCGTCCAAGATTTATGCCCCCGAGTCTCCATGTTGGCAAGATATGATCTCATGGGAAGTAACCCTCTAGCAGACAGCATATATGGAATATATATATGCCACACTATAAAATGGCCCTACTTTCATGGGAACCTGTGACCCATTGAATTGGGCATTATTAAAACTAATGCTTCGCCGAAGTGTCTTGAACAAAACGAACCATTTGAGCGACGCATTCGCTTTCCACAAACAATCACATCGTGGAACAGGAGTCTCAAAACGTATTTTTTTACAGAGTACAAGAATGGCTTCGTCAGGAGCCGGCACTGGTGGCAGCTTTCAGCCTATTCGACAAGGGCAGGCTCAGCAACAGCCAGGGTACGTCCAAGCGCTAAACTTCAAACAACCTCAGGCGATGAATTCAACTGACCAGCAGTTAGATATGAGAAGCACATGACTCCAACCAGTGAGGCAACCAAACTAGAGTCTGAAGGCCGATTCGTGGAATATGTTGGTTCCAACAAGCTCAAGGGCAAGAAAGCTTTGATAACTGGCGGAGAGTACGTTGATTTGGTTCCCCTGAAGAGCCATTGTTGAATGTCGGTTCTGAAATATATTGTACAGTTCTGGAATTGGTCGATCAGTCGCTATTCTCATGGCTCGGGAAGGAGCTGATGTAACGATCGTATTTCTTCCGGAAGAACAGGAGGACGCAAATGACACAAAGAAAGCGGTAGAACGGGAAGGGAAGAAGTGCTTGCTCGTCCCCGGAAATTTGATGAATAACGACAACTGCAAGAAGGCGGTGGATGAGCATGTGAGCGCGTACGTCTTGAGTACTCCAATTACGCTAGGCCTATCCGCTCTTAACTTTAGATTTTAGATACGATCGAGTCGATGTTCTGGTTAACAACGCTTCAAAGCAGATCATGTGCAAAGATTTTGCTCAGATCGACCTAGACAACGTTGCCAGCACATTTCAGAGCAATATTTTACAGATGTTTGCCATTACTAAGTTTGCAATTCCGCATATGAAGAAAGGAAGCTCGTAAGTTGTCAATTACCCATGCATATCGCTAGCTAGCAGCTCACTGTGGAAGTGTCATCAATACAACCTCGGTTGTAGCATTTAGAGGGTCATCCTCTATGGTTGACTATTCCTCGACAAAAGGAGCTATTGTAAGCTTCACCAGAGCCCTAGCAAAGAATTTAGCTCCAAAGGGTATTCGTGTGAATGCTGTAGCGTAAGTGTTGCATCCACCACTACGCACCCACTAGTATTTTTCAAATGCTAATAAACGTCACCTTTGGCATTAGACCTGGTCCTGTGCACACCCCCATCCAGCCAGCCTCTCGGCCTCCCGAACAAATGGAAGGCTTTGGGTCCGGTTCCATGATCGGGAGACCAGGCCAACCGAGTGAAATTGCTCCAACTTTCATATGGCTGGCAAGCAATGAAGGTGCTCTGTACTGTAAGTCTGAACCATATCTCAAGTCGAAGATCTTTCCCCCTAACTTCTCGAACAGATGGTCAAATTATGCACCCCTATGCACTTGGGGATTAAATAACTTGTACGCTTAGGATGACAGCTATTCACTGTGCTCATTAGATGGTATAGTCATGTATGATTGGAAAAGGATATGCCTTGAGAAAAGTCAGTCAAATCTCGAGTGTGTTTCGCTTCAACACAGGGCCGAAACATAGCACAAAGGGCGTTTTAAGTATGATCGAGAATATGAACATCTACAAAGACGTTGCTCCAAAAAGTTACAATATATATGCAAGATTTTACATGCTCGCTGTCGTAAGCCAGCCGACCGGAGTACGGGTCCTTAGTATTCTAGCAGTTACTAGGCAGCTTCATTTTTCTCTGTAGCAAAGGGTGTATAGTGGTTGTATGTAGCCAGCACAATGCCAAAAATCCTAAATTCTCTCCCCTAGTTAAAAATAAAACTATATCAACATTGAAGGTATCGTAAAATGATAATTATACATCAATAGTATATTACGCCTGAACTGCATTGCAGAGAGCACTCACTTTTCTCTTCAACATTTCGACCGTGCAATCCTGTTAGACAATGGCGTATTCAAACCAAAAGAGAAATTAAACCCATTTGTAATGTCGGTACCAATGTGAAACGGGGGCAGACCCCTGAACAGCATGCGACTCAGGAGAATGGGAAGATTTTCATAGAGATCTGGGACGTATTCTTATCGGTTAATTCCCCAGCCTGGCCATCTTGATATATTCCAGTTGGTCCTCGCATCTCAGTATGGCTCTTTGTCAGCAAGGTCTGGCGTATAGCGGTGCTTCGCAATTGCAGGGGCGGCTTCCTTCAAAGCCGAACGACATGTGAACCCTGAAGACATAGACGGAAACGGGATCAAAGCTTAAGGCCAGCCAATAAGGCGTTTAACTTAACATTTTTCCCAAGCTCGCTCTCCAAGTCGTCCAGCATTCGTGACATCGCATCGTGCATGTCGTCCAAAATATCGTGAACGTATTCCAAGCTTCCCACTTTCTTAATTTCGGAGAGTATCCACTGTTTAGTTTCGATGCTAATAGTGCTTTTTAAGGGTGATCCGGCCCGTTGGTGGCGATGAAATATCAGGCCACGAATTTGGTCTGCTTTTTGCGATGGGGCATGTTGAAGAAAGTGTATTAACGGGAGGGAGAATTTTCCTTCGGATAGATCATCGCAGAAACCCTTTTTAGCAGCATACTAGAGACGGCACGAGGAGATGAGCCAGGTCAAAAACGAGGAAACAAATAAATAGTGCGTTATTAAAGCGCAGAAGAGATAGAGCAATGCATTCTTCTCACCTCGTCAGAAGCTAGATTCTGATAGTCATCTCGGATCTGGTAATACCTCCCCATTAAACTCACAAGTTGAAAAAGTTCTGCTGAACCAAAGGAACTCGGAGCCGCCGCTACCATCAGCCGAGTTGCTAGCCTGAAAAAGCTTCCGGTCTTATTGTCGACCATTGTAATGTAATCATCCACTGAAGGGCACTGCACATGATGGCGCCAATAGAGATCAAGCCCCTGGCCTACGCAAAGATTCCGCGATTCCTCTGAAATCTCATTAATTCGATCGCAAACCTTAGTATGTTTTTGCTTTTAAAAGGCAAACTTACCATAAAACACAACGCAACATTCTTCATTCTTGAGTCGCTGCAGGCGTTCGACAGCCTTGACTAAGATGTATGTACTGCTGTTGATCGTTTGGCTAGAGCCATATATGACGTGAGCGGCTGGGAATCCCCGTCGAAGCTCGGAGCCGTCCTGGATATCATCTAGCCTGCATAGCTAATTAGAGGCAAGACCAATCGATGTTAACTAAGTGTAGTATTACTTGCATTAGAGATATATTAACCATATCTGTTGCGATGTTTTCGATGATCTTCATGGACGTGAGAGGAACATGAAGCCAATGTTGAAGCGCATCTATGAACTTTGGAATAGTTCTTTTGCCTGGCAATGACATGGTATAGTCATACGGCGAGGCACAGATTGTTTCATCGATGTTGGCTTGGAAGGGCGCTAGAAAGCATTCTGTAGTTCTGCGAGTGGTCTGCTGGTAGGCATCATTAGTTCGATTTGCGCATAACTCTCTGATCTGTTGAGAGACTTGAGCCACATTGCGTGGTCGTTCTCTGGATGCCTCTGAGGAGCAAAAGCGTATAGAACATTTCACACTACGCCTCTTATATCCTTTTGTCCTAGGGATTGTAAGAGCCGGATGTGAAGAAGGTCCAAGAAAGGCGGAGTGTGTATCGCTTGGCCTGGCCGCTCGCGGTTTAGAATAATTCTCTGAGCTCTGGGCATCTCTGAAGAAGCCAAGTACAGGTGTTGGCAGGCCGTTGGAGTATGCAGCCGGAGTAAGTAAGCGAGCAACAGACAAGCTGTCTAGATTGTTGACACTTGGCTGAACGGTGTGATTCCCAGTAGGGCTAAAGCGGCGAAAATATTGGAGTAGTGGAGGTAAGCTATCGGTCTGTCTATGCATCGCAGCATAGATAAACCTTTCCCAAGAACTTCCAAAAAGCCGCTGGCCGATGTTGGTATTTGCACGTCGGCTCCAAGACCGCATTGGCAGCATTCTGGCACAAGAATTATGCCACACCATAATCGTGGGGCTACACGTAATCGGTTAATATACGGAGTATATGTATGAAGATAAAGTTTGGCTCCGAATGCTCAGCGGTTGAGCTCCAAGCAAGCGGAAAGGTACTTGCAGTCACGATTCCGAGTGAGGTTTCTAGCTGGACGTGAATGTGGTTCGTGCGCAGCCAGCTCCGCCTAGCAACCTTTAGTTCCTTTCAATATGGAGTTTACTCTGTACGGAGTACTCCGTACGGAGGACTTTTTAGGTATACACCAGTGTCATAAACACAGTACAATCATTGGCTAATTCTGATACTACTAGTATTTTATTATTATAATTTATCCAATTAGATTCTAGGCTTATAACTGAGTGTAAGATGCTTTGTCCAATAAAGAGGTCTCAAATAAGCTATCTAACCAATCAAATTGCTACTCGAAATCGGCGCTGTCAAATGCCGCCAACGCACCAAAACGGCCCCTACAGAGCGCAAAATATAAGAATCTGATGCTCTCACTGGCAGCTTGCATTCTCTCCCCGCCATTGCGCCCAAACATACCGACTCAACATGATATCCTTTAGATATAAAACACATGCATTCTTTCCATGTTTGCTACAACAAGCTTATGCGCAGTATAAGTACTCCGTACGGGTCTTATGCATGCAAAAACCAAGCACGAAAGAAAAAGAATGAGACTAATGCCAAATCAAACACCTTGAACCGTTCATGGTCTTCTGATGCCCAGACCTCTAATTACCGAAGACACCAACCGTTCAAACCTCCGCAAAACCGCCAATTGACGCCAAAAATGAGAGATTGTCTTTTCCCTACCAACTGTCCAAACCTGCATCCTGCTTCTGATGATGTCTGAGAGAACCGGATGCAAATCCAAGAAGAAAACCCTTTTACCGAAATATAAACACGAATTTTGGTAAGACTCCATCCAAATCTAACTTATTCAGAGAACGTCTTTTCTTTCCCAGCCCGTTGGCTTCATAATGGAGGCGGACTTTGTGGGGTGAGGATCTTGGGGATTATTGTACTTGGCTGCATAAGGATTTGGGTCGTATTTCTGGTCCAAATTGGCCAGAGTGTGATTGACCTCTCTGTGCTTAGCCTCGTCGGCACGGACGTAGTACAACAGATCTAAAATTTTCCGATGGCCCTCAGGCATCTTCCAGTATGTGACTGCGATGTCAGGAGCATTCATGTCCTTCCATCTTGGCAGTTTCCCGTTCTCAAGGTCATTAATGGCATGAGTGTATGTCAGGACGGCCTCTTCCTCGAGATAGCCGACAAAACGGTGGCAAGTTCTTGGTGATACGAGGTACGAGAGGAAGAAAGCATTGAAGAAAACGCCCTGGGCACCGAGGACCATAAGACGCATAAACCAGCCTGGCTCTGCCAGCTTTAAGAAACTGAGAAGGTGCATACGCTCGTTATATGCTTCTTCAAGAAGAGTTTCGATCCTGAGGAGACGGAAATGTTAGCCGTTTAGATCCTTTTGAGCAGGCGATAGCAGGGCAGCCCAATACCCACCATCCGAGATCTCTCTTCATTCTTCTCAAGCTACGCAAATGGCGAAGCATGCCACCAACCATACCTGGCACAGCGGCGACGGTTTCCAAGAAAATAAAACGGATGATCCATTTACGCTCGTCCATGGTGAATGGCTTTACTTTTTTCTGTTCCTTTCCGGCGGGCGGGTGCTTGTAGCCCGTTGCGAGATCCATCCCCCAGCGGAGCATCCGGACTGTGCCTAGGGCAGCCCAGTCCGACCAATCTCTCGTTTGTCTATGTGCGACGACAATGTCTTTCATTTCCTTCTCAGTGAATCTGCGAACAGAGTCAGAACGTTTCACTCTTAGCCCATTTCGAAGTACAGAGACTCTCTACATACACTGGGTGTTCAAAGTGTGTCTCGGTTTCAACAACATGCTTCGTCTTAGGCGGAGGAAAGAACTCTCGCAGCTTATTTGACGATGTTGTGGTGAAGTATTTTGGGCGATTTGGCGCGATATAGTTATGGAATGGCACTCCGGCTGTGCTTCGAATGCCTATTGCGGCCACCGCTGACGGACGCAAGGATGCTTTCAAGCATGATTGCTGAAAGAGCCGCGCTGAGGCTGAACTGGCCACCAGGGCTCTGACTGGGACAGTTGCCGTAGTGCTCATTGTTCTGGAGCTGGTCGAGACGTCGATGTAGGTGCGCAGGAAGACCCTCTGATGAGTAGAGGAAGGAGGAAGAATTAAGGCCGAGGGGTTCCAGGCTGATTTTTCGCTTCCAAGCTTTGGATTAATCCGGCGACCCAGGGATCTCGAGAAGTGAAAGGGGCATCTCTAATTTATATAGCCAGCAACAGAATTCAAAACCAATGACTTCATCATGCTACCATTAAGTTAGGAGCTAACTACACGATATCAAGCTTTTCTAGCCAATGGAAGGCCACAGGCCTCGGTTCTGTGACTGCCAGAAATGATGAAAGTTGCCATTGGCTCTTAATTCGGGGATTTCGGGCACTTCAATAGGTATCCCTGAAACCTCGCAACGTCATGCTACAGTGCTTACATGAACGAGCTGCCATAAACCGGCTGTAAATTTTTGCCAGTGAGCGGGGTCGCAAGTGATGCATATATCCCGTATGAGTGCATCCGGCGTGAAATGCTTCTGAGCACTCCTCCATCCCACGACTGTCTTGGAACTGGGCTGATGACAGCTACATTAGAATGGATGAGGTCCGGCGGTCATCAAAATACAGGACGGCCGCAATAGATTACCGCTAGTAAAATTTTCTGGTGCAAGTGACACTTCGGGCGATTCCGGGATAGCTCCGAGAACAGGCCGCTGAGTCATAACATCCATACCAACACCTACAGATACGCGCTCGAGGAGGACTGGCTGGCCATGGACGTTGACATCGCAACGGGCCGGGCTGAGCGTCTCAAACGGGGAGCCTCGTCGTGGCGGCAAAGGGGTTCCGGCAAGGCCCGGAGCCCCTTCAGACCGACATTCACTGGAAAGGATATTGATCGCGCTCCGATGACCCATCCTTGTAGTGACGGGTTTGAATGCACGTGAACCCATAATTACATGAAATAGAGATGTTATTCAACGGCGGAGCTTTGGTATTTGCATCCGTTAACTCTCTTTCATTTTAACTATCAACCAGGGATGATTGGACGGAATGAAATCCGGGAGCAATCATGTCAAAACAGAAATCTAGCCTGCTGTAGGCTTCGCTCCGAGCCCAATATTTGTCAATAGACTTCCACCCAACCGTTTCTAATGTATCTACCGGACAACCTGGAATCGAGATTCTCCCACTTTCGGATCAATCTCGGACTTTTCCAGCTTTGTCACTTGGGCATGTCGAGGGCCCCGCGAAATGTCCTCGATGAGCTTCGTTATCGATTCTTCATCGCCTTGAGCTTCTCCCTGGACCTTTGTGCAAATAAGTCTCTGAACACGAATAAACTCTCCGTGCAACCGGGCAATCCTCTCGGATAGAAAGGGATAAAATTGCTCCCGAAAGAAGATGGAGGGTGTTCATGAGGTGAGATGGGTTTGGGTGGTCAAAACAAACCAAGGATTCACACCTTTCCATCAGTAGTATTCCTCACCCAGCCGGTCAAGCCATAGAGGTTTGCATTTCTCTGGGTGAAATCACTTGTAAGCTCGATGTTAGCGGATAATGGCACGCTTGCAGAAGCCATCCATTGACCTCTAGTGGTCCATGAGAAGATATGAGAACTATACCGGAAGAACACTCCTAGGGCCGGTCAGGTTTATTCCCGCTTAAGTCCAGTCAAAGTTTAGCTCGCGAGAGCCATGCGAGGAAATAATTGGGCTCACCTTGCACTCTCCCTTGGACCGTAAAGGCAACCTATATAAACCCTATTCGGTCAGTAACTAGTGTCCATGCACGGCATGTCGATTCCAAAACAACGGTTGTGCCATACACGTTTGGCCATAGCATTCGTGATAGACCACAGAATGCTGGAAATGATTGTGAGCAATGATGACAAGAGGAGAATACGAGTTAGCTAGGCATCCAGTAGCCAGCGTTTTCAAGCTGTCCTGGGTCCTCAACGAGCCTCTTTTGTTGCCCCTTCGACGAGATATGGCTGAAGATGGCAGAAATTGTCTCGATTCGTGGCATGCGCTGGTGGAAAGGAATGAAGTCATCTGACCCGCGACCGCCCCGCTAGGCCCAAAATGGTCGACGCGACGTTCCCAACTCGGCCATCACCAGCCAACGGCCTCGTACAAAGTCTCCCAAACTCCGCCAACGTCCTCAGCACGGCCGGCTGGGATGACGTGCAGACACTGATTTGCTCAGGACACTTTTTGATCTCTGACACAAGTCCTGTCCTTCACTCTCCACCAAACTTTCACCACTCCGATGCCTCTCACGGTCAACCCGGTGTTGATGTGGGGGCTTGAAAGAAAACCATGTGACGACGATAAAAAAAGGAGAGGCTAAACCCCCCTGAAGCCCGCAGGAAGCCCAACTAATCAACTGCATCTCCTGGTTTGGTGCAAGTTGCAAGCTACTAAACCCCCCATGCCCGCAACAGCTAAATTAACTTATTAGAAATGTCACCATGGTACTGAAACATCTCCTTCCCCTTCCCCTGTGACATGCATCCGCCAGTTCCAGTCGGGTTCAGCTTTATTTACACAGACAAGACTTCTCCCAACGTGACAGCTTCATTGTTAATTTCCTGCTTACTCCGTCCCAACAACCATTCCTCCCGCTCAAATAGCCGCCATGGCAGACAACATTGAATCCCTTGCTCGTTCGATCCCAGATCCGATCTCCATACAACCTCGCGATCTCTCTCCTTCCCCGTCTTTGTCGCCGACTCCCGCTATTTCATCCTGCCCTTCTCCTGATCGGACGTTCTCTACAGTATCCTCGGTCTCAAATTTATCAGGCGATGGAGGATCCTCGGTTTCCACGTCCTCCCGGAGACGTGGCTATATCAGACCCCAAGGCGCTGTATTTGCAGAGTCTGCAAAAAATCGCGAGAGCGTAATGAGTTTAGGGAGCATCGCGCATTTACAGTATTACTTTGCTCGAACGGGGCTATTGGATGGTAAAGGCGGACAGTTGGCCCGTGCAAAAAAGAGACGGGATTCTGATATTCCTAAGCTCATGTTGACTCAACAGACGCATTTTGGCGGGGATTTGACTGAAAGTCCCATCGAGGAAGTCAGCGATTTGGCGGAAGAATGGGATGAAAATGAACCGGCCATGCTACCTCCAACCGTGAGCACATATAGTGTTCGCACGCACCACATCCCTCCCCCGATAGACATTGAAGAGCTTAGAAGGGATCTACAGTCCGCCTTGGATAAAGCCAGAAACGTCTTAACTGCTACGAGAGATCAACTGGCAGCCCAGGCTTCTGCACCCGTATCGAGTGACCAGACGCCTGAAAATATGTCGGATGCTGCAGAGGAAACGTCTGAAAACCCACCATTAACGAAGCCTCCGCAGGGATGGCATGAGATCGAAGGCATGCATATTCTCGATGTGGTAACCCTTGCTATTCGAGCTGCTAGAATCTACTACACTTCTCATGAAAATCCAGTACGCTTAGACTCTATCAAGAGCGAGAAGAAAATCCGTGACGAGCTGCTTGGTATTTTGGACGTATTGAGAAAATGGGCAGGGCGAAATTTTGTGGGTGGGTTAAAGGAAGAAGAAAGAAACGTTATGCTTGGATGGATAGCGGGAGTGGAAGCGATGGTTGGCAAAGAAAGGGAGCTTGAAGAGGCGGATATACAAAAGAGGGCCAGCTGGATCTGGGCGAGCGGAGATTGGTCAGGGCGAGAGCGCGAGAGGGAGCAGGCGTTCCTTCAAAGCTTTGAGGAGTCCGAGGCGATACCCGCATGGGAACCTGCCGAAGATTGTCCCCTTCCCACACAGTTTCTCTCTCGCTGGCAGGATGGTCGACGCCTTGTGCGATTACATAACGCAGCTGTCAGGATGTCAAAGCGTCCTTTTGGAGAAATTAGAACCTTCCATGAAGATGTCGGAAAACCGTACCGAATGGCTGACAATATTCGCTACTGGGCCAAGGCCGCTGAAATTCGATGGGAGATCAAACTTGATGTAGACGCGTTGGCGGTTGTCAATGGAGACAGCGATGAGGCATGGAGGAAACTTGACCAGGCGCTGTTTAAGTGGTGTCAAGGTGTTCGAGAAGAGCTGATCCGGGATTGGACAAAGAAAAATCCGGATCCAATATTATCCATCGTTCCGCCAGACGAGTCTGAGGTATGAGGGGTTTAGGCTCAAATAGAAGTGAAAAGTGAAGCTGCTGGTGACAATCACAACATCTCATTGGTACCACGTTGTCTGCTATCCATTGCGCTTGATACCCTTCTTCTTCCTCTGTGTCTCCGGACAGACTTCCTGCCACTCAATGCACAGTGCGTAATGTTTCATCTGTTTTGGAATTTGCATATACATATTTTGGTATGTGTGAGAGTAATCCAGTGTTATTATAATGTTTTGTAACAAGACTGCGGGTTGACGGGGCGGTTGGGTGCTGCTGGACAGCAGCATATGTAGAAGCTTTCCCAGGTAGATAACAAGAAAAAAGGATAAATATATTTTGAACGATATCTTCATTCAATAATACAAATGTCATAGAAGTGTCAAAGTTGAAGTGAAACAATAATATTGCCTGTGAGGTTTTGTGTATGTTCTATTTAGGGGGAACGATGATGACTTGCAATCAGAGCCCACACAGGCTCCTTTCGGCGTCTTCCATAATTCAATCCAACATCCCTCGCTGCCGTGTAGAATTCCCCTTTCCCCGACCCGCGAAAGTACTCGATGCCGTCGTTGATGAGTTGCGGGTGACCGGGTGCGGCAGATCCCCTCCAAGCGGCAACCAGCTCCGGACACTCACCTCTCTTCTGCGTCTCTCCCTTTTTCGATCCCAAGTTCATCCACCACAGACCCCTTCAACAGCCAGCGAAGAGCGTGCGCCCCAACAGCTACCCGCACCCACGGCAGAACCATCCACACCATCCTTGAAGCTGATATCTACGGCACCATCGTTGGAAACAGAGGTAGGCAGCGCTGAACGTGGCGTTCAAGTATCGATGCCCGCGGCTGTGCCCGTGTCGAGACCTGGACCAGCTTCTATAGCCGCTCCAGAAGACACAAACCCTGCCACGGCCACATCTACGCTCTTCGGACCTCCGACAAGCCCCCAAACGTCACCCATTCAAGTTCCACAGCGATTGTCTTCGTGTCCGAGTGCAACCCCCGACGCTCAGACCTCAGGTTCTCTGCAAGCTACAACATCCTTTTCGCAGTCCAGCAGCACATCGACTCAACACGTCTCTACACCAGCGAATCAAGATCAGAAGTTGCGGTCCTCATCTGCGTTCCTTCGTCGGCTCTCTCCGAACTTAGCAGCGCGGGTAAAACTCCTTGACGGAACGGTTAGTTCCCCAACAACACAGTCGCGAAATCGAAGTCCGGTTGGGAAGATCCCCGAGGCACACCTCAAAGAGCTCGATAATCTTCATCGAGATCTTTCGATCAAAGTTCAAAAGCGAGGTCGAGCGTGGGGTGGTGGGCGCTCGAGGACACATACCCCGGAACCGCTTTCCACGAGCAGCGAAGTACAGTCTGTCGAATGCCCTTACAATCGTGAAGTGGATAGCCCCGTACAACCATCCGTGATCAACACGACAGACGAAGACCAGGAAATGTCCATACCAGATGAGACCAGCTTGCAATCCGCGGTGGAAAACACGGGAACGTGCCATGGAACGAATATAGATCCCCCCTTGGAACCCACTGATCTTGAAAAGTATCTTAGGAAGAGCACCGAAGAAAGCGATCGAGGGCCCCCTCCACCTCCGAAAGACAGTCCTTCACCTCCACCTCCAAGCGGCGCCACCAATGTCGAGTCATATTTTAATCCTCTTGGACTCCATCGCACAGACTCCATCTACTCCTTTTCTAGAGCATCGTTCAGCAACCAGCTCTCCCAACTAACCTCAATCAGCCTTCCGCAGCCGTCGACGTTAGAAGCGAGTATTGCTGCAATTCCAACTGCCTCCGCTGCCGTCCGAGCTCTGACGCAGGCTGCCGAGCAGATCCAAAAATGGATCAATAAAGCTTCGGAGGTTTTGAGCGGGCTAGATGCAGATGATGACGTGGAATGGGCTGCTGCTGGTGGCAGGGAAGGACTGGACGATGTGGACAAAGCTGTTACGAAATTTGAAAGCTTGATTAACGTCTACGTCAAGGCGATTGAAGATGTTCAGCTACGCGACGATATTGCCGATGTGGGAGCTAATCAGCTTCATGCCATCGTTATACAAATGGAATCGACGCTACAGAATTGGAGTACGGTCAGGTCTTTGTTGAAAGGAGTTAAAGAACAAGTTGAGCTGGCAATGGAATGGGAGGAGCTCTGGAATGCAGTGCTTGGGGACGTTGGTCTTGAAATTGAAAACCTCGCCCGACTGATCTTTGAGATGGAAGAGAAGCGTCACAAGACTGTCATAGATATGGACCATGAGCCCGCTCATGGTCTTGATATAAACGAGCTCGAGACAATTGTGGAAGAATCTCCAGCCAACGGCAATACCCATTCGAATCAAAGGTTTAGCTTCGCTCCCGTTTTTCCACCTGGGGGCTCTCAACTCGACATCCAAGCGTCCCAGAATCCGCAGGATGAAGCCAGCCTTCTAGCATTGTTTGCGCGAATGCAGCCACTCCGGGCATCCCTCGACTTCCTTCCGATGAGGCTCTCAATGTTTCAATCTCGGGCGGAAAAAGTATTTCCAAGCGCCTGCCAAGAACTGGAGGACCGAAGACATCGACTCGAGAAAGGGTACAGGAAACTGGAGACGGATGCGGAGGCTTTAAGAAGAGAATTGGGAGAAGATAGATGGATTGTAGTTTTCAGAAACGCTGGCAAACAAGCACATAAAATGTGCGAGTCAGTGGAACGGAGTGTCAACAAACTCCAAGAAGCTATAGATGGTGGAATTCAGCATAATAATCCAGCTGCCTTGGCAAAGAGGGCTGAAAACTTCGAAGCGAAGAAGGTTCATTATGGATCTGCCATTGAGCGAGTGCTTTCAATTATCAAAAAGGGGATTAATGACCGTTTGACTGTCAACGGAGAAGTTATTCGTCTCCTTGCCGATCTCAGGGCAAGATATGAGGCCTTACAAGACAAGATGAGCATCATGGACTCAGTTTTGGAGGAACTCACGGCTACCAAGGGCCAGCAGCTGCGTGATTCAGTATCAAGCATCGTTACGTTGGATACCCCTCCAACAAGAAGCGCCTTCGATACTCCAGAGAGTTCTCCAGCGTCTTCCGTGATTATGGCCAACGGTGCAAACAATGCAAAGTCCAACGGCTCAAGACGAAGTAGCACCACAGGGAGCACCATATCGCGGGCAGCCGCCTCGAAGCTGAAGCGATACTCTGCCCTACCCCAACCAGTATCACCATCAGGCCAAACACCAAGACGCGCACAGGCGCCAAGGTCGTCTTCAGCGAGCAACGCCTACTTGAAGTCCCCGACTCCGAGACTGACGACTACATCTCCTTCACCCACGCCTCCGTCACGACCTGGTTCGCGGGCTGACGGTCCAACACTTTTATCGAAACCCAGGTGGAATAACAGTTCCAATACCAACGATCTTATCGTTGGGCACAACTTCAAGCCCTTGTCCCTCAGCACACCGTCACCTCATCGCAAGCTTCCCGTTCCTTCTCGAACTACTCCTTCCACCCTCCCACCACGCAGTCCTCTCAGTCGAGAATCATCCGCTTCTCCAGCACCAGGGCTCCGACCACCAAGCCGGCTTGGTCGCGGGGCTGCATCTCCTTTACCTGACCGCGGCATTTCTCCAACGCCCAAGAAGTCATCCATTATTGATCCACCTCCTTACAGCAAGCTACGTAAGACTGTTCCTGCGCCTAGCCCTGTAGTTACCGGTCTCCCTTCAACTCCCCGAAGTCGTCAAAGTTATGCTGGGACCCCAAGTGTTCGTGACACTTCCGTGTCCGGACGAAATGGAGATGAAAAAAAGTCAAGTCGACCCGGCACTGCCATGGGTTATTCTTATCGACGAGTTAGTCTTCTTCCGTTGCCTAAACCACGATCCGGGAGAGACAGTGCGACAGGTAATCGGGAGGAGCGGCCACCGTGGAGATACTAAGCATTTCTTGCTAGACTATTCTCTACATCATACGAAATCAAATCGCAAGGTAATCATGTACCTAACCCTGATATATTTTACATTCTATGCTGAGCGACATTTTTTGACATTATGCAAATTTGTTAATAATACCTTTTGACCCTTCATAGCCTTTTGTGTTAAGTACCGCTTTCTATTCTATCATTGTCTTGATATTGAAATCATTCAAAAAACTGGATCACCGGGGCCTGCGTTTATATTTTCTTTTCGCTATCTGATGCCTCTTTCTAACTCCTTTCAAAGGGGTTGTGTCCATTACCTGAATTCCTCTCATCCACACTTCTCTAGTTTCTCGTCTCTATTACTTTGTAGGGTACGTTGAAATGAGATTTATTTTATATTTGTACTCACCTTTCCCCTTCTGAGTACTTTCTTTGCTGCAGTTGGCCCTCTTTCTTGTCTTATACCATTTCTGTGTAGCCCTCGCGTTCTATTCCGGGTTGATATTTCCGGTGCAAGAGTCTGGTGTTGATTCGATATCTCTTTTAAGTTGGAGCGTATGAGAGTGCGAAAATTACTCCCCCTTTTGCTTTTCTCTGTTTATCTTCCGGTATTTGGTTTTTTAACCGTTAGCATATGAAAACTCGAATGTACATTTTGAGTGGTATTCCAGAGAGTTGTGACCAGGCGCCTTGTCTGACGTACACGCCACTATCCCAATTTACCCCAGAGTATATCAAAGTTCCTGTGTTAAATTGGACCATGTGGCATCTCCATTGGACGCGACCTACTTTGGAACAGGTCCCATGGGCCAAAAGTTCACTGGAACGGTGTTGTGATCCAGGCCAGGAGCACATCAGCTTTTCCATGAATATACGGAGTACGGCCAGCTACTTCCTTTCTTACCTTTAAGGAGATCTCCGAAAAGCCGCCTGATGGCTTGATAGCAAGGATTCTGGGAATTTCAGCCTCGACCTGACCCATCCGGTCACCGGTGGTCCGAAAACACGGTCTCAACGGAACCAATTGGAAACAATCCATATTTCCTTGTAATGGCATCTATCGTCTGATCCCTGAATAAAACCGTGGCATTCC